GGGGGGGGGAATGGGGGGGGATGTATGGCTAATAGTGGGTAGATCGCCTAGGCACTACGCACTGGCCGAATGCCAAACATGTCGCCAAGACGAATATCGCCATGCGGGATGGAAAGCCTTGTCCTGTGGCTAGGGAGAGACCGGTGCAGGAGCCCGTCTTGAGTGAGAGGGTGTTTCGACTGACCGGGATTCCGTATTTGGAGGCGATGGAGAGGGAGGAGATTCAGGTGCAGGGATCTTGTTGATGTTGCTTGGTTGAGATATACTTGTGTTCAGTGGTTATTGCTCTGCTTTACGCTGTCTGGTCATGCTTGAGAATTCAAGTATAGTGCCTGAGAATACTCGTATAATGCTTGATACTCGTATAGAGCTAAGAATGAAGTGCTCAAACCTCAGGACTATCTAAGTACACCATCCAGTTCCAGAGTTCTTCCACGTTGTATCCCTCAAATGGAAATACCTGGTCGATGTGGATTCCTTCCGGCACGAACCCGTCCAGCATCGTGCTAAAGCCTAATGAATCTATCCCATCGTGTTCCCGCGCCCTGGTGTCTACAGGAGAAGCAAGGGAAGATGCTACATCATTTTCCCTCGTATTCCGTTTCCGTAACTCGATTGGCTGCGCTATATCTGCATCTTGTGGCGATTGCACGATCGCTGGTGTCAGGGGATCGGTGGACTTGGCTACCTGTCGAGTCTCGCGTCTAGTGGATAGGTGGGCGCAGCACTGGTCGTAGATAGCCCCGATTCCTACTTCTATCAGTTATGCCTGTGATATAGAGGATTCGTACCTTCTATAAATCGCGAATCGGTGTTACATCTCGACAGATGCTGCGTGGTATACTCCAAACACGCTTTGAGCAGCTATCATCGTCAGACTAGAACCTCAAACAGACAACGACATACCTGGAGATCCATATCCTGCAGACGAGAGCCCGGATGTTTAATCAAAAAAATACCTAGCACGATACACGCCAGCAGGGCCGATCCAACCGTGATAATCTGCGAGTCAGCTCGTCGCTCCGACAGCTCGACGCTGAGCTTGGCAATCGCCCGGGCACTGTTCACGCAAATAGCCTCTCCATGGCGCATTCGAAACTGGGATGGCTCGTCAGAGCAATATCTCGCCACTTCGGCCTCGAAACTGGCAGTCGGGGCAATCAACGCCGCTCGATGCAGCGAGATCAACGCACTGTGATACTGGATTGAGATAAAAGCAGTCATGTGAAATTCCTCGTCCGCGCAGAAGAGATCATTCCCCGGACGTAAATCATTCGGAACCCGATTAGCCCAGGATAACAATGCCCGGTCCAGTCGAGCAGTCCCTAACAGGATTTGTCGCACATCTCTACTCCCCGATTGATTGTAGATATGATGGCTGATGCTGCCTTGATATTCCCCCAGCTCGACGTGCCACTGCAGGAACTTATCTTCTGGTCGGAAGATACCCTCACTCGGCTTAGGATGTTGGTATCCAATGACCGTCGGACGGCCGGATTCCAGATGCATCATCTTCTCTAGGCACCAGCACACGGCCCACACTCGTCCTTCGATGGACTTTTCTTCAGAGGCCGAGGTAGAGGCACGGTTGATTCCCAAGGTGTAGGCAGTGCGAATGGCCATACCGAGGGTTTGCCAGGCCAGTCCTTCCTGATTTCGCCCCCGGTATGCGATAGTGAAGAGGAGCAAGGTCTGCACGGTGGGCAGATACGGGATGATGATGACGTGGGAGAGCAGACACGCTGCGGCGTGCAGGTATCGGTCCCCATCCTCCGTCAGACCCGGTCCTACCTCGTCTGCCCCTAAACTCATGATCAAGTATGCCGATACAAGTCGAGGGATCTGCTCGCGGGGAAGGTTGTCGAATCCCCCGGCGGTTGCAAAGAGTTCCGTGCCCACGCGCAGTCGGGTCGTATTGAATATCGGATATAGGGAATGAACCCGAGAAAGATAGGCGGACAAGTACCGATCTCGTTGCTCAGGATGCGGCAACCCAGGTAACGACAGAGATAAAGGCAGATCAATCTCCTCTGCATGTCTCATCCCGTATCGGAAGCAGCCAGACACCGGTTTCAACCGCGCCGCCTTGAAGTAGACATCCAGTGATTTGGCCAGACATTGCGAACTGCTCCCTCCCATGATCTTCATCCGATCGGTGCCATGTTCCACATTAAACGAAATATCGAACGGGTGATGGACGGGCGAATCCTCAGCGGGCTTCGGGGACGTTGTCCCTTCATGATCGGTCACCTCAGGCTGGATTCGCTCCTCAGTGATACCCTTCTCTGACGCATCCAACCATTCCCGAATGCCAGTCACCCCCGGCCGCTGGGGATCGGTAGTGATGCACTCCTGATTGCGCACGCGGCAGTTGCGACACTTGGGGTACTCGGCATCACATTTCACTTTCCGCTGACGACAAACGTTACAGGCCATTGACAGCCGCGGGCGCTTAGCGGGCTTGTCCATGATGAAGCCTATGCCCATTCTGCAAGTATGGTCTGATGTTATCTGGCAGCATCGTGGGCAGACCGGAATGCGGGGTACCGAGGAGGCAGCCAATAAAGCCATCTGATTATAAACAGTACTTACTAGACGAATCGCGAGTGACAGGAGCAGTTCTCGGGGCTGAGCAGCTCTCGGGTCCAATCGGCGCGGGCTGAGGGGCCGAATTGCGGAGTCGTTTGCGGGCACCAATAGTATACTCCGTGGTAATATGCCTAGTACACAGGTGGTTGAATTTCTCAAACATGTAGAACCGTCCTACTAAAGGCAATCCCCTAAGCCGCAGAGTATTATTCAGGGAAGTTCCTATATCATCAATTGAGGAATACTCCTACACATCATGTGATCTCCCATATAAAGACTGCAGCTTCTCCACTAATCTCACTCACCATCCCACTTGTCATTCATCATCCAACGATCGAATTACGAATCCTCATTTTATCAATTGCACCATGTAAGAATGGCGACCAGAATACTCATCCATGCCTCCTTGGCAGCGGGCATCTGCGTCCCTTTCTACTTCCCCTACCAGCGATCGAAACAGCCGAAGCAGCGATCGCCAGTGAGAAGGTAAAATTTTCCCATACTAGATTGAGCATCTCTAACACGAAGCAGACTGTATCCCGCCATCGGGCCATTCTTTCACCTCTACTGAGCTACGGTCAGAAACATTAACGAAGACAACGAACATTCCATAAAAGACATAGAACCATATCATTAGCTACATAACCACAATGGCATAACCCCCAAACCTCCTCATAACCCCACACCAAAGAACTACTAAGGAAAATCAAGCACAAACCCTAACAACCACCTCCCCCTCCCCCCCGATCACCCTAACCTGACTCCCCCCCACCGGCACCCCATCCTCCCAAACAATCATCTCCTTCTCTTCCCCCCCTCCTCCTCCTCCACCACCCCCCGCAACAACCCCCACCGTAACCCTCCTCCCCCGAAACGGATCCCCAAACACATCCGACAAATCGAACCACACCTGCTCGTTCACCAAATTATACGCAAAGATCATCTGCGGGGATCCCGTGTAGAGGCCGTTTCGAACGGTGGTGATTTTGATGCTCACGCCGCCGGTTTGCGCGTCGTGGTGGAATATTTCGCTGTAGTTTTGGGTTGCCGGGATGGTGTATTGCGGGGAGGTGGTGGAGGAAACGCTCCAGATGTAGATGGGGGTCGTGCAGTTGTTGTGGATGGTGGCGTGGCCGGGGGTTATTGCTTTGTTGTCTGGAGGAGGGGTGGTGGTGGTGGGGTGGGGGGTTGTGAGGGGGAGGAGGGATAGGAGGGGGGTGAGGAGGTAGATAGGTTTCATTTTGGTTTTAGTTTGGGTTTGGGAGTGGGTGACTTGATGGTGGAGATGGGTGGGTTGATTGGGTTATATGTCTGGCTGGTGTTGTGGTTTGGCTAGCAGGTTGCGGTTGTAAAGAGGCATACATGTTACATCCGTCGCTGTATGACTGCTCTATATTATTAGAAGACAGTCCTACAGTTGTGCCACCGTATCAGTGGCACAGAGCACAGCCGATGCTGTGACCATGTGTCAGGTGTCAGGTGTCCGTAGTGAGTGACAGAAACTACTAAGCACAAGACATAGGTAAAATAGGTATTCATGGTATAGCCCGATCCAGCGGTATATTTACAATCTATATACAACACACGCATCAATAGTACGCCATCGCCGATGTCCCCAACGGAATATTCCCCCGTCGAGCAACCACCTGCAGCCAGTTCGTCCGCATCCCCGTCAAATGCACCTTGGTCTCGAACCCCTCGCGTTTGACCGATGTCACAAACGTCGGCTCCCCATCCGCCGCCGAGGCGGAATAGACCGCCCAGTTGTCATACTCCGTGGCCCCATTCCAGCTCATGAACATCGTCGCCGAGTCGGAGGCCGTCCGGATGATCGCCACCGCCGGCTGCCAGAACGGCGTTGCCTTCCACTGACACTTGAAGCCCCGGTACGACGCCACTGCATTGTCGTCGCCAAATTGAGCCGTCATCACCTCGTTATTGTTGGCATCAAACTCCTTGAGCCGTGCAATGGAACCGTAGCCCAACACAACGTGGGAGCTCTCCTCGCTGAGAAGCTGGTAGCTGCCTTGGCTGACACTGTGAATCACATCCTGCGAGTCTTTCAACCGGCGCAGCGTCGACACCTTGCGGTTCACCAGATCCACATTCAAACTCAAACCCGTGGTCGCATCAACGGTATCCGTGGGTGTGTTGGCGTTGTTGAACAGACTCACCAACAGGCCTTCTTCCGTCTGGTGGTACACCCGGATGTCATGTTGCCACGAGAAGACGGCACCATCATCGATCTCAAAGTCGCCGACATTTGGTTCACCCTACACTGATTAGTTGCGAGTCTGCAAGCAGGACGGTCACTTACACTCAGTCGCCACATCACCGTCCCGTTGTTGTGAATGTAGAACCCAGACCAGTAGTGCCGCAGCGAGATGATATATCCGTCATCCATCAGCTCGACCGAATTAATGTGGTAGGCATCCCACGGCTTCTCCTGGGTGCCATACTCCGCTCCCAAGCCCTGCTTGGAAGCCTCGATGGGAATGCTTCCGATGTGGTCCAATGCGCTCCACTGATACACAATCTCGTTGGTCGCAATATCAATCTCGAAGAACATGCCATCGAGCATGTAGTCGTCCGGGTTCCCTCCAATAGCAGTCAGATCATGTTGGGTGATGTTATAGGCTGTGACGAGGAGGGTGTTGCGCTCGGTGATATGACTCTCGTGCAGATCAATGTACGAGTCGCGGGGAAGGCCATCAGGCGAGACAAAGTTGTCCGGGAGGGTGACGGTGTAGATTTCGCGGTAAGTGTTGTCAAGAATATGCACGGTGCCGTATCCAAATCCGAGTTCCATCATATCCCCGGCCCAAAAGGTGATGACGTCTTCGTTGTATAGTTTCTGCACCCGAAAGTTGGCCGTCACCTCTTCAGGCCCCTCGTAGACCAGGTTGCCATCCTCATCGTAGATCAACGCCGCTGTACCATGCGCCTGGTTTCCTCGAGGACCGATAAAGAGATAACCGGGGTCAGTTTTGCCGGATTTAGTGATCTTGATCTGGGGGGGAAGATATGGCGCCGTGCGGTACCCGGTGAAGGGAAAGTTATCGGCGGCTACCTGCGTCAGCAGCAGGGCGCTGAAGGCGGCGAGAAATCGACGAGCCATCCAGCGCGAAGAAGCTGGAACCAAATTAGAGCATTAAAAGGATGTATAAAGGAGCTAAAGAGCGACTAGTGATCACTCAGAACGATTAAGGGAGGGACAGTGGTGAGTTTAGCGGAAGAAAATGTCACGCAACAGCACGCTGACGAGTCACGAGACGAACAGGGATAGGAATAGGAATGAAAAGAATGAAAAGAAGTAAAGGGAGAAAGAAGAGAAGAGAAAGCGCAAGGAAGAACAACGATCGCCAGGAGAAAAGTTGGCAGATGGAAGATGGAGAGCCTGCAAGCCTGAAAGCCACCGCGGTGGACGGGCAAAATACCTGCCCCTTGCCGCTTAGGGCAGGCGGAACGTCCGGTGGGCCCCAGGCACGGGATGGCCACGCGGATGTCGAGGGCTGATTGGCGGAGATACAAAGCCGACCGGCTGGCGGTGGGCAAGTGGGAATGCGGTTTCCCCTCCGTTTCCACAGGCCACGCATTCCTCCCTGCTGTCCGCGGCTCTCACTGGGCCCTGTCACGTCAGTCCAGGGTCTGCCGCTGATTGTGACCGTCTGATCGTCTCTGGCCTCGAATGACAGCCGTTCCAGCTCACGATCTTCGCCCACAGCATCCACTGGAACCCTGGTTGCTCGTCCTGATTTATCCAGCCCTGCTCGCTGATCGTGAAACTTGCAGCCCGCCACATCGCCGTATGCTTTGAACTTCTTATACCACGATGCGAGGATGAGGGTCGTGAAACATACAGGCGTGAGCCCCGCATCAAGGTTAGGAGGACTCCAGGAGAAAGACATGCGTTGGCCTTTTCAAACAATGCCCCAGACAGGCATGGATCCAGAGTTTGCCCGAGTAATCTACCAGAAACGGCGGGTTTCATCTAGAGCCCTGAATTACCCTGTTCAGCCGTCTGCTACAGATCAACACCGCAGAACAGGGCCTTGATCTCTCCTCATTCGTCACGTGATAGTGAGTCCCCAGCGTACGTAGTGTAGCTTTAATGCCTGAACTGGGGAAGGTCTCTCCCCTGAGCCACTGCAGTCACATTGACCAGGAAGCATCGATAATGCGTACAGTCCTAGATTGGCACCCGATGACTTGTTGACTGCAGCATCCTATGAATTAGGCGCAGTGGCCAAATGACCGACATGGCGTTTCCTCGGTTCTAAATATGTCCTCCATACTGATATGCAAACCGAACGACAATGATGGATTAACTGACTACACCAAGTTCACCAGCAGTCGGGAGCATCATGGTCGCAGACAAGGACCTTGATTCCCAAGACAATCTCCTCAGTTCTTCGTGATGGGAAGGAGAATGACGAGAATCATCGGTCTATTCCTCTTTACAAGCACATCTAACTGAGATATGCCAAGGGCCACGCAGACGACCGCATATCCTACTAGACAGTAAAGACCTAGGAATCTACCCGAAAGGAGTACTGACAAGCAACCACATATGCATTCCACAAGGGAGCTATCAATCATCCACCTTTCAAATTCTTGGCTTGACTGTACCGTATACTCGTGCATGGGCTGCCCTATCCACATCCGCTCGGATTTCATCGCACAGCGCTTGTATGTATTCCCGTCTTAGTTGCCGCGCCGCATCGAAAGACGACACGGGCTGTCTAACGGTCTTGACATCAGCGTTCATACCCCCAACAACCCCTCTCCAGGGTACCTCGGGTCGTCGGTATGCATGAAACTCATTCTGAAGCTCGCGTGCTCGTGCATCGACAAGCCCGGCAAGAATACCATTGACACTCTTACAATCTTCCGGGATTCTTCCCATGTGGTTCATTTGCCCGCCCCCTACTTCCATTGGCCCTCCCGGCTCTCTGGTGCCAATGGCGCGTCGATCTGCCATGCTGCCTATTTCTTTCTTCTTTCTTTTTTCTTTCTTGTTAACTCGGCTGTTCTATTGAATATATAAGAACCCTTTATCCAAGAGTCGGACTATCCCCCTAAACAGGTGAACACCTACCGATCAGTCGCGTATGAATTTAACCGCGAACAATAATCGACCCACCCTTCGAGAATCCAGGTAGAACAATGGAGTATTGTAAATTATATCCTCCGTATTGTATATGGTAATAAAAATAAAAAAAAAGAGGATAATTCTTTGTTTTGCGGGAGTCAAAGAAAAGACGGAGGGGAAGGAAAATGAGGGGTAAATTGATTATTGCCTTGCCTGACCGCAAGTCTTGATTATGTACTACATCCCTGCCTCCAGCCAGCGAGCGCAGAAGTTGAAATTTACATCGTTGATGATTCAATGGCCCTATTGGCCTCGGTACGAGTTGCATTTGAATTTAAGAGTGGTGTTATTTGTGTAAGATTGAGGGTGGTATTTCGCTTCTTTTTCCTCTTTTTGTTTGTGTTTGTTTTCCTTTTTTTCTAATTTTACATTTAACTTCGCTCTGCTAGACTTCATATCTAGGCAACCGGCTGAGAGTCGGCAAGATTATTCCGTCGAATTGAGATCACAGGTCAGTGTTCTATAGCAAGTACTAGTATTTTTCTGGTAATGAAATGAATAAGATAATGATGTAATTCGTATTAAGTCTATAGGTTATAGGTTCTATCGTCTATAATAGCCGCGCAATTATAATCCATCCAGATAAACATTACGTATTAGGTATGTTTAAGCAGAGCAGGACTGCTCCGTCTTGCACATGCGTCCCGATTCGTCCACCGACCAGTACTCACTGCCCGCACCCTTGAGCACGTAGAAGACATGGTCCGGATCGTACTTCTCCTTGATCTCGCACAGCTTGGCATAGGTCTCCCCGAAGAAGGCCTCCTGCCAGTTGTGCTGACGGAAGCTGGCCTCGTTCTCGTAGGCACCGGAGCCAGGGGTGACGGCCTCGAGCTGAGGAACGTAGCTGTTGGCGATGTGTTCCTGGTTGGCGACCATCTCGGACCAAGGGGCAGTCTCGTTCCAGGGAGAGCCGATCTGCATGGTCACGGCGGCGTTACGCCAGGCCGGGAAGACGGCGTTGGTGGTGTCGTTGGAGTGGGTCACGTTCAAGCCCACACCCACGGCAATGACACCCTCGGAGGTGATGTTACGGAGAGCAGCGACAAGGTTGGTGGTGTTGGACTCCAGAGTCTCACGGGGAAGAAGGCGACCGCCGTAGTTGTAGGTACCCACCTCGAGGTTACCGTAGGGAAGGGGACCCATGTACTTCTCGTAGTGCTCAAAGTATGAGGCGTACTCGGTGTAGGAGACGGTGTATTCGATGCCCAGCTCGGTCAGAGCAGAGAGGAAGGGCGACAGAATGGTCTTCACTTCAGCGGAGGTCTTGTTGTAGGCAGTCAGGGGGTTGATGAGGAAGACCTGGTTGGTCATCTCGTAGATCACGGTGGTACCGGCGTCGACCATAGCGGGCAACAAAGTGTGGAAGCGAGCCACGGCCTCGAAGAAGAGGTCAGTGGTGATGTTGGCCACAGTGAATTCGACTCCAGCACCCGACACGGTGGCATCCTCATGGGCCTTGACTGTGAGGGAGGTCACGACACCCAAGTTACCAGCACCACCGCCACTGAGAGCCCAGTAGAGATCAGTGTTGTTGGTACGGGAGGCGGTAATGACATCGCCCGACGCGGTGACCACCTCAAAAGCCAGGGTCTGATCAGCTCCCAGACCAAAGGCAGTGCTAAGGGCGGAGTGACCTCCACCCATGGTGTATCCACCGGCCAGACCGACGGTAGGGCACTCGCCGCCGACGACCACGAGTCCCTTGCCGTACAGGGCATCGAGCACTTGGTAGCCCATCACACCGCTGCCCAACTTGACAGCCTTGCCCTGGTAGGTGGAATCCGACCAGTCCTTGATTTCGACATCGTTCAGGTAGTGCGTCCAGACGGACAGAGCACCAGCACCAGTAGAGCGACCAAGGTAACTGAGATGGTTAGTACTCCATTACTCAGGATCCTAAGAGAGTGAAGAACTTACTCATGACCAGTGTTCCGAATAACGAGACGAATGTTGTTGGACTTGGCAAACTGAATCGCGGCAACGACATCATCGGTCGAGGAGACGTTGACGGCGTAGCTCACATAGTTGCCCAGCAGGCAAGGCTTGGACTCAGAGCTGAAAGGGTCACAGCTCTGGTTGGCAAAGTAGGGTTGCATCACCGACGAAGAGGAGACAAAGCTGCAACTGACATCAGCCTGATTCATCGTCAAGCGGAGTGAGGGGCCTTACTGTGTCTGCGGGTAGTACCAGTTGTTCTGCAAGTCCGTGCAGGCGGTTCCATTGTAGGACGGATCATGGCAAGGGGTACCGATGGGAACCGTTGCAACCAAGCGGCCACCCACGGTGCTGTTCAGGGACTCCCAGCTGGATGCCGAGGGCCAGCAGCTATCGCCGGGCAGGCAGTGGCAGTCGCTAGACGCAACGGCCTTGGAGGTGAGAGCAGCGAGCGCCGCAAGAGACCAGGAAGCCTTCATCCTGAGAGAAGATAGAAAACAAGTTGACTGGGGGAGGTACTGAATGATGACGATCCCTTCCGTGGAAGACTACTTATATATGATGACACAGCGGGTCGAATCTGATGCCATCAGGAGGCTATTCAGCCATCATCGGACTTATTCCCCGAGTGCGTAAAGTCGCGGAGCAGGCTGGTGGATATTCCTCCCGCCGCAGATTAGCCGGGGCCTGGCTAGATGGTTGACTGATTGGCAGGACCTGAGCGAGCGATGGTGTGGTCGATAGTCAAGGACCAACTAGCTGAGATAGGAGTCGGAGAAGAGGCGGAAGTGCCCAGGTACCGATCGGAGGCGCCTCCCGTTGGGTGAATCTGGCACGGTGGTACTCCTCCGCCAATTTCAAGCCCCGCCACTAACTGGCCAAGGGCAGGATTTAGGCTTTCGGCGACGACTGGAATCGGTGGTGTGGGTCGTGGTACACGGTTTCATTGGCAGCCATCCGCTGGACCGTCTAAAAATGAGTACCGCGGAGTTCCGGGGGTTTGCCAGTTTGCCCTCGGCTGGCCGCCTGGCGAACAAACACTGCTGAGAGGACTGCGGACGCATCGCGGTCTGAATTTGATGACCTTCCTTCTTCTAGCGCCGAGTCCGAATCCTTCTTGCTATCGCTATTTTTGTGGCGTTTCCCTCCTCTACCTTCCCAGCCTGGACGACTCCGTAGATAGTCCCAACCCCAAAACCTGTTCCTGACCGGGGTGATTGATGGCTGCCTTCTCGTCTCCCTGGAACGTGGCTTGACTTGGCTGAGAAATTTCACACAAACTTTGACAATGCCCCACTGGCTTTCCATCCAGTGTCATGGTTCCGTACCGGTCGCCGCCGGGGGTGAGCTTGGAGCAAGAGATCTCCTGTCTTCCGTCCCGTAGGGTATGGGTAGATCTGCATGATGGACGAGTATAACGGTCCTGGCTATCTAAGATGCCCGCTGCAGAAGCCAAATGCATGGGGTCTGCATGGCGATCCTGGCCTCATTAAGGATACTGCCGACCCCTGTTCACCTCGTGGCAAAGGAGTCCGCCGGTGCGCGCTAACGACGACCAGGATTTAATTAGCACCCAGGCAGAGCCTGGAACTAAGTTCCCCGGCGACGTGTGCTAATTGGGGAAAGCTTTGTCCAGTCGACGTCCCCACTGCGACCGCGAGATTTGTCCGTCGCTTAGCCGAAGCACCCAGGAATTGGATGGAAGCAGCAGCCCAAGTCTTCCGAATATTATGTTATCTGCGCCATGGATCCAATATTCCAGCCATGCTGCAAAGTCCCGGTCGGCAACCATGAGGGCTAAAGTCGCTCAGAAAGTATATTTCCCCTAGAGCCGAATCTTGTGGGAAATCGGCATATAATAAATACTATCGCAGTCGCATCTGCTGAAGCATGAACACTGTCACGGACCTCTGCCCGTCGAGATGGGTTCCAGCATAACTAACCCTTCTGGCCTGGCCCTGGAAAGGGGCATGTGGGCAGCAGTTGCTGTGGCCACCGTTATCATCATCCTCCGCATCGTCGCAAAGATCAAGATTCACCACTTTCGCTTTGACGATGTGTTGATGGTCATTGCATGGGTAATCCCCTCCCCACCGACCCTGAACCCCTGGCGCGTCTCTGACCCTCTGTGTTTCAGGCATTAACACTCGCATCCACGGTCGTCTTGACGCTCTCTGTCCAGAATGGCTTTGGCACCAACCTCGAGACTCTGCCACTCCACAACACGAAACAGGTGCTGAAGTACATCGCCATCCAAGTACCCCTCGTCACCATCAGCACCGGTCTGGCGCGCTCTTCATTTGTTCTCTATCTGCTCGGTATCCTCGGTGGGAAAAAGAAGTATTCGATTGCATTATGGTTCGCCATGCTGCTACAGCTCAGTGCCAACATTGTCTCGGCCGTTCTCCCGCTCTGCATCTGCCGTAACGTCCGGGCTCTGTGGGATCCGACCGTCAAGACCACCTGTGGCAGTAGTGTGGCGGTAGTTCGGTTTTCGTACTTCTCGTCTTGTATGTTTTGATTCTACTGTCTTATGGGACTGTGACTGACCATTGGGTAGCCGTCAATACGGCCACGGACCTCTTCCTGGCGGTGTTTCCCACGATTATCTTCTGGAGCCTGAATCTAAAAATGCGGATCAAGATCAGTTTGATCATGCTACTGAGCCTCGGTATAGTGTCAGTCTCCCCACTTCTGCTACTGGTACATGGCAGTGGACTAACCTGAGCAGTGCCATGGTTGCCTCGATCATCAAGACCACCCAGCTGGACGAAGTGCCCAGCATCACCAACCTGGGCGCCGGTGGGGCAGTCGGACTAATCCGCTGGGGATATTCGGAGAACCTGATCATTATCATCACGTCCTCCGTGCCGTGCATCCGGCCCCTGCTGATCTCATCCGTGCGCAAGCTGTCGAGTGCGGCGCGATCTCGCTCCTACGAACTCAGTGGGCCGTTCTCGGCCAACAAGGGGACGACGAAGAACGGCACGGCGCCGACGCGGTTGCGGGAGCAGGAACATGAACACCAGAGCTCGGACAATCGGGATGACTGCGACAGCATCGAGCAGATCCTCAAGGACAGCTACCGCACGGGGTCGACGATGGAGTCGGGACGGGGGATCAAGAAGCAGGTTGAGATCTCGGTGGTGTCCAACTCCAACCAGCCGCGGTGGGGAGATCGCGGCAGCCGGCCTTAGGCAGGCATTTCTTTCCTTTGTTTGTTCTATCTGTATAATACCTCCCTTCATGAGTCACATGCCCTGTAATGATACACAGTAGACTATCGACCACCTTCTACCATCTATCTACATAGTACCAGCCTCTCCTCTCCTCTCCTCTCCAGATCTCCCCACATCCTCTCTCCAACAACGGAGGAATTACCCAGATAGGTATCCTCCCCAGCCTGATCCGTGCTCTTTCTCCCGTCGGGGAACTGAGACATCATGGCAGAGCACTAACCAGTTTCTTCAATTCTCAATAGTTGGCTCGCATCCTCCTCCTCCACCATTACCACATTACTCATTCCTCGCCGCATTAGGCAGATATCCGATCGTGGGAAAGTCAGCCACCCTCCCAGTCACGTCCAGACTTGTCTCACCCACGAACCGCGGCTTGGAAGATGAGTGGACCCAGCTTCACCTCACTGGTCTCCACCTAGCTGCGAGTTCAGGCAAGATCGCCCAAATTTTGGGCCGGATCGAGAACGGTCAACCATGCGGTGCTGGTGGCCAACCTGGCAATGTGACTGGCTGATCGGACTGCCTATCTGGCATCTGCTGGGGCACGAGTGGTCGGAGCTTTCAGGGGATAGTCCGAACCCTGGGTAAGAGTACCATAGCTCCTGGCTATTGATAGCCACCATGCTCACTCGACGGTGCTAATCCCATGTCTACGATCCCTTGTCTATGATGGTACACCGCAAATGGGCGTGGCGACCAGGCGATCGGCCACGGATTGCGATTGACATGTTCTCCGGTTAATCCATGTAACGGAATGTCTTATCAGAACTCAAAATAGGGGCAATCTTGGTTGCTTCAACGGTTCGTTTCAACGTCTACACTAACCTGCCACCTGCAGATCCCAAGCGTCCAACAGTGACAATCATGTCGATCACGAACCCCGGACAGTGACTGAATCAAGTAGGCACGCCCGGCGGCCATTAGTCGCTGATGACCGACGTCAGTCCCTGGTCAAAACATACCCGGATTGGAAGATGCGTGCTCGCGATTGATGTCATGACTCATTGCCCCTTTGTCGGTATGTCGTGCTGTTATTTCAGGATTCTATGCCACATAGACTCGCTCACCATATGATCCTAGCCTCCATAAGACTGAAACAAAGGGTTGACCTGCACAAAATAGTCATAAAAGCCTGATGAAAGCGTCCAGAGTCTGCATGCCTCGGCATCGCTGATAACCTGCGATCAGCAAAATGTGGTAACTAACCGCATATTGCCGCTTACTAATCAGGAAAAACCGAGAGATGAAATTTGTATAATCTGCACAATCTATATCCGCGGAGTTCATGCTTGGGACGACATTCTCTGTTTCTCCTCCAGGATCGAGATAAACGCCAAGATGATCGGCAGGCAACCTGAAGCGATCCGGGAGCCGGTCAACTGCGCTGATCGGAACAGCAAGGCATCTAGAAGACATGATCATGAGTTAGTGTCCCCTGGGAAGACAAGGAACATCTACGTGCCAGTCGATAGGTGGCCAGAATAATGATTCCGTGCTGCATGCCTTGAAAACCCCGATTGCCAATCTGGGTGAATCAAGATGTCTCACGTGACATAAGCCAGCATGACATAATCACACTCTCATGTCAGCAGTGTCTGATCATGTGATTATTGCTATCCATAATGGGAAAGGGTACATCTTTCCAGGACAGGACTATGGGCTTGATTGAACGCTAGGTCTCTTGGATCTGACTTTGGCTTTCAAATATCACTTATGCACGGTGCTGCTGCCAGATCGATACTACTTACCCTCTGCAACCGGCCAGCTGCCAAGCCGGAGACACAGAGAGAGACGATTCCGTCCAGCCAGCAAGTCGAAGTAACCTTAAGTGCCCCTAATCAACTCCTCCCCGGTCCTCCAATCACACCCATCGCTCCCATCTGCCGATCATCTCGTCTTTTTGCGGGGTACCGATCCTGGCCCTCGCCATGTTGAGATGAGAACTCAATGTACCCGCTAGCTCATTGAAATCAACGAGATCTGTGGAAAGAGGCTTCCTGAGATTAAGCCATGAGACTGCCAGACAAGGTCCGATCATGTCTAGACCGTCTTTTCTCCGATTCGATGCTCCAACTGTGTCGTCACAGATGGCTATCACGTCATCCGAACCAGGTCTTGCCCATCCGGAACCAACCACCATCGCGGAGTCGCAGACATCAGGACCTGAGAGCCGGACTTGGCCGCCAACCCCATACACTAATGCGGCATTGGGGGGCCCCGAGCGGGGGATAGCCATCTGACTTCTCTCTTCGATATCAATCACAGCAGATCTTCGCACAGATGCCGCGTGGCTGCCATCTAATTGCACAACAGCAAGGAGGCTACTTGCAGCGCCCACGGCTGAGTGGGTAGTCCATTCTTGGTATATCCGCACAAGCTTATTATTGCCGTGTAGCACGCGCAAGCGAAATCACGCAACACGGTCTGTCTAATCAGTTTAAATCTCAATGTGGCCCTGACGGATCGGTCCTTTCTGTTCCCGTTTTCCCCTGAATCGTGCCTCACGCGGTCTTCAACTCGTACCCAACACGCTCGCTTGAGGATAAGGCATCCACGATGGGTCGGAAATTGGGTCTCTTTCGCGCCATTTATCTGGTATCAGCCAGCTGCATGGGCTCTTTTGCCTTTGCCTTTGATACCGGCGTCATCAGTACGAAGCATCCAAGGGCCCCTCTCATATGACGGCGACCTAACCAGACACCAGGCGGCGTTCTCACGCTGCCTTCTTTCCAGCAAGACTTTGGGTATACGACTGCTCAGAAGACGTCTGTCAATTCCAATGCTGTATCTATCCTTCAGGCGGGCGCCTTCTTCGGCTGCTTCTTTACCACGCCCATCGCCTCATTCCTCGGGCGCCGGCTTGGCCTCATCCTCAGCTCTCTAGTCTTCACTGTCGGTACTATCTTGCAGGTCGTCAACTCACACACCTTGGGCACGTTTTACGCCGGTCGGGTGATTGCTGGCATCGGTATCGGCGCCGCGACAGTGCTCATCCCCGTGTATGCTGCTGAGATGTCTCCCAAAGACCTCCGTGGTCGACTCGGATCCTGCTTTCAATTGTTCTTTGCCCTAGGGGTCATGGTCGCCTACTGGGTCACATATGCTGTATCGGAGGACCAGCCATCCGCCACGAAACAATGGCAGATCGCACTGGGTCTCCAACTCCTTCCCTCGTCACTCCTCCTCTTCGGAATGTGCACCGTCAAGGAAAGCGCTCGATGGCTTGCATCGAAAGGAAAGATCGAAAAGGCCCGAGAGTCACTGAAATGGGTGCGTGGCGGCGAGGAGACCGAAGAGCTGCAACAAGAATTCGACGAGATCATGGCCGGCATCGAAGAAGAAACGCGAATCAAGGAGGGCTTTACCTTCCGTGAACTCCTCCTTCCCGCCAATCGATATCGACTGTTCATCGCCTTTACTATCCAGCTCGCCGCCCAACTCACCGGAAACACCTCCCTCGCCTACTATGCCACGCAGATCTTCTCCGCCGTGGGAGCCGGCAACTCCAGCAAGCTCGTGACAGGCTTCTTCGGCGTGGTCAAAGTCGTCGGCGTTAGTATCTTCCAGATCTTCGTCATGGATCGCATCGGTCGGCGCTGGCCCTTCATGGTCGGCGCCGCCGCCATGGGCTCCTTCATGCTCATCATCGCTTGCATCCTGGCCACTCATTCGACAGATTCCAACGAGACGGGGAGCGCCTCGCCGTCAGGAATCGCCATGATCCTCATGACCTATTGCGAAGCATTCAGCTTCAACATGTCATGGGGTCCGCTGCCCTGGCTGTACGTGGGCGAGATCTTCTCGAGTCGCACCCGTGAGATTGGCGTAACCGTTGGCGCAGCCTCGCAATGGTTATTCAACTTTATGATGTCGCAGGTTACTCCGCATGCGATTGAAAATATTGGATGGAGGATGTTCCTGATGTTTGCTATCTTCAATTACGCGATCGTAGTATATTCGTATATCTTCTTAAAGGAGGTGCGTTCCCCCCCCGGCGGTATTTCCCAACCCCCCCATCCATACTAATCATAACCAGACCTCCAAATACTCACTCGAAGAAATGCAACACGTCTTTGGCGGCGACAGCCCCCACTCCAAACCCGACAGCAACAAACTCACCACCACCGACACCATCGACAAGACCGACGTCAGCGAGGTTGAGAACCATCGAGACCGTAAGACCGCCACTCCAACGGAGGGTTAATGCTACTGTCATACCGAGCAGTTCTGGATTCTGTAAAGGGTAATGATAATGTGTGCACGTGCATGTTCATAAACAAGACATGAATTATACATACCGATAGGGGTATTCAGGTAGATGGGTAATGGATAATACAACATAGTCCTTGCAGCGCTGGGATAATGTGAACTGAACGGAAGTCGTGTATGTTTCGCGATGAATGGTACTGGGGGGTTCAATCCGAGTCATTCTTGCCGGCAGTCTTGTGTTCACCCAATCACCCCGTCTTCTAAAACTTTCGTTCTAAACCGTAACGAAACATCAATACAACTACAATTCCACTCCGAAGAAAGTCATATACCGAGGTATAAACAAACCCATATACTACAGAGAAATACACCCCCAAGTAACGGAGAACCATCCCCAACGCATCCCCAATCAAACCCACCGATTTCTCCCCCACCAAAGGACACTTAACAACGCAAACACACACACACACACACACACACACACACACACACACACACATCCCTGAATCCTGCTCGTGATACCCAACGCCCTAGAACAACATAGCCGAATACCTTTCAACCCCATACACCCCCTCAACACACGACGAAGAATACGCCTACATGCCATCACCGCAAGCGAGGATATCAAAATCAATACGTTTCAAACCTCGCCCAGTATATGACTGACCTACAAGAAATGAATCCGCCCCTTACGTCTAAGGTCGGAAAAGAAGATGATCACCATTCACTATCAGAGTATCTCCAGACTAGTATTTCATTCCCCGGAGGATCCCTTGTCAAGTCAAGTGAATGTTTATATACAGAGAACTCTAGTCAGCATACAGAGTGACCCTTCCACATACGCATAGTGCCAGCCGCCTCGAATATTTAGACAAGCATAGAAGAAGACTCGATCAATCTCGCATGACACCAGAATGCTTACTTCGTTGTAACGAATGTTCTACACTATTATCCTTCTGCCTTGTAAGTGATGCTCTGCAAATCATCTGACCTCTTACCCTCTAGCTTACCTCATCCGCTAAGCCATATCATCATATCAGTAACCAACTTTCCCTTCAATTTTCGCATCCTGGGTCAAGGATGAGCGAGGGACCTTCCATAAGTAAGCGCCTGTCAAATTAATAAACCAGCTCATATTCTGCATAAGGATCGCTCATGCAAAGCACAGTCCCCTGCTTGATCGCTCGGTGATTGACCTGTTCTGCGCATAGAAGCGACGCCAGTGCATAGAATACTCAACGACGCCCGATCGATAATCGTCCAACTTCCACCCCACAAAGGAACCACAGGAAGGTAGAGTGGAGTGGAGGTATCCCGTTGTGGGGTACCATACAGATGGAGAAATAGCTCGGAGAAATAGAAAAATGCTGCTGCATAGGATACGGAGAAAATGCGGAGACGTATACCTGCAGGTAGTAAAGCACAGAACTGCTTCTTTGTTGGCACAGAGGAGAGAAGGAGATTAGGCTTCTTCTTTCTCGTTATATACGAGCGGGATCCATCGAAGCAGTGGTGGTGGTCCTTGCTTGAGCTGCGCAGCGTTTGTTTGGTTCCTCGGAGAATTAACATGGAACGGCAAATTGGTTCAATAGCCGATACGATGCCGTCGGTAGGCAGAAGGTCATCGACCAATTGGAGAATTGTCACTTGCATAGTTCGTTCCTTTCAGCTACTGTGTCTATCTCCGATCTTATCTATAAGGCAGACGGCCAACTGAACACTACTTAAATCGCTCAAATGCCCAAGGATAGATTCTAACATCCAGTCCAAAGCAAAGGCAAGCGCAGAACAAAATGGGTGCAATGTCCCTTCCTTCAGAGATCCCTGAGACTCAAACCGTGGCTCTCGTCCGCGAGCTCGGAGGCAGCGTCGAGTTTCTTGACAATTATCCTGTCCCGACTCCCGGGCCAAATGAGGTGTTAGCTAAGGTGCTCTACACGGGCGTCTGTCAAAGTGGTTAGTCCAGCGATTTATGATCGAGTCATGTTGACATCTAATGGCCAACTCACCTTGCAGACCTGCACACGAAAAACGGCACGGCAGCCGGCGCTGACGGCAATCCGATCACAAATATCAAATTGCCGCATGTTGGAGGACATGAAGGGGTGGGCCGAATTGTGTCACTAGGTCCCAACACCGGTCCTGAATTGAAGGTCGGTGGGCTCGTCGGTATCCGCTTCTCCAGTCGGATTTGTAGGAGGTGTGAGTTCTGCTTGGCCGGCACGGAACAGCATTGCATCAAGGGTACGAACCACCTGCACCATGAAGACGGCAGTTTCCAGGAGTACATCGCCCTGGATGCCGACTACCTGACAATACTGCCTGATGATGTGGATCCCAAGGTCATCGGGCCGGTATTGTGTGCTGGAGTGACAGCCTACAAGGTATGACCAGCTTCATAGTCGGTGACAGACTGCTAACGTCATGTAGGCAGTCCTCAACGCGAACATCCGGGCCGGCAACTGGTTGGTCGTAGTAGGTGCTGGAGGTGGTCTCGGCCACTTGGCTGGTACGTCTGTTCAAAGTCCACGGCACGACACACACTGACCAGACAGTCCAATATGCCAAGGCACAAGGGGCATTGGTAATTGGCGTCGACGCCGGCGACAAGCGGGGTTTTGTTCTCAACTTAGGAGCCACAGAGTACATCGACTTCACTTCGACGGATCCCGTGCAAAGGGTTCATGAAATCACAGGCCTCGGTGCGCATGCCGTAGTTGTGACTGCAGGAAGTGCTAAAGCCTTCGCCCATGCTTGTGATATGCTACGGGTTGGAGGCAGTCTGAGCTGCGTTGGAATCCCGCCAGGCCGCCCAGTGCTGGAAACCCCAATCTGCACCATCGTGATCAAAGGACTCCGTGTTACTGGTAACCTGATCGGCTCCCTGAAAGAGTGTATGGAGGCGGTGGACTTGGTCCGGCGTGGGGTGGTAAAACCAGAGATCAAGGTCCGGTCATTCAAGGAGTTGCCTCAAGTGTACGAGGACATGGAGAAGGGTGATATTGCAGGCAGAATCGTGCTTCAGGTCTCAGAGTAATTTACTCAAGTCCAAGCAAGCAGTCAGTCAATTTCACATCTTCTGAACCATCAAATGCATTCATCGAATCGATCCTCATAGAGTATCCACTGCGGATCGGTATACTGTTCAGGCGAGTCCGAATGCTCTTCTACTTCGTGAGCGATATCTTCATCGTCAAGTGTCCAGTGGCCAAAGTCCATGCTCAGCAACCGTGCAGGGGCCTTGACTAGGGCATCGGCTGTCTTTGTATGCAGTATGGCTTTTAACATCGTATCCTGTTCTAGAAAAGGCTGCAGCTTCTGATATAACGCATGCAGAAAATCTTGTGGCCCTAACTGGAAAGCTGAGTAGGCCGAAACGGAGGGCGTGAACAGCACAGTATCCGCAAGTGAGTTTGCAATCTCGAAACACTTCAAGAGCTAAGCTACCATTAGTATCCAACACCCAAGCAGTGAAGAAGACCCACCTGATCGCGTCCCAAAGGCAACAGGTCGGATTCGGTGAAGCCTTGTAACGACCTCAACAGATCGCGGCTGACTACAGCCGGGAATTTGAATGTCATGAGCTCGGTGTAGGACTTGGATGAGAGTAAATGCCGAGACAGAGCTTCCTGCCAGACGATAGTCCTCATCCATTCCTTCGTGATACAGTAGTCTGCAATACGGGTGGAGGGTCGGTCTCCTTGGCCGAATGATAGCATTGACAAAACCGATTCCGTTTCCGCGAGACCATCTGCAGTCATGACCGGCTGATCGCTGCTACCGGCGTTCCTGCGTGCGGAGGAAAATCCGTCAAATGTGGCGAACAACCTGGCCAACTCGAGCAGGCCCTTCACATCCGCGTTACTGCCCACATTCATCTCATCTGGCAGCCGAAGGGGACTTTTATACGATGGTTCCAGGCCAACATGCATGGCCCAGCCTCTGTGAGCAGGTCAGCTAGCGCACCGCATCTGTATCAAAAGGTTTACCTTTCAGACACCCAGAGCAGGAGAAACACAATCTCCTTATTAGCAACAATATCAGGTGTATCTTGATCACTTACACCCTCATCCAACTTCAACAACCTGGCCCCCGAAACAGCCTCTTGGATGAACGTCATGGCCGAGTTCCGTTTATTGAGTTTGGCGTGGTACACATGAAGGAAGAACGAGACCAGAACGCCCCTCATATCAAGATTCTCCCGATACTTGTTCACCTCACGCATCCTCATACACTCCGATGCCATGGCTGCGCTATCAACAACCCGATCATCCACAGTTATAGGTGCAAGCTCCAGCTGTGCCATGGTGGCCGCGCAAAGCGCCATAGCCAGACATAATGAACCGACATCATGCGTGCCACCCTCAAGTTTCTCCAAAAGCACCTCTGCGTTGACGACCGGCCATACACTATACGAGGCCTCCTGATACAGACGCACAACCAACGCTAAGGGACCCATAGGGATTGCGGGAGCACATTCCTGGTCGTCCCTCGGCGCAGACCCTCCCTCCACGCTTGTAACACGCACCTCATCATGATGATCGACAGACGAAGCCGCCAAAGGATCGACCGTCGGGTGCCCCGGACCACCCGAGTAGCGACGGACCTTGGGGCCCCTCCTTCGGGCAGGTTTCAGATAGGTGCAGTTGACCTGCTTGGGAGCGTTCTGGCAGGTATCGCAGGGCCAGGCCCCGCTGCACTTCACCTTGCGGGAGATACACTCATCGCACGCCCGTTTGGTGAGTCGATGGCGCATAGATAAGGGTGAGGTGCTCTGGATGAAAGATAGCTGGAGGACGGGATGACCAAAATGGGGAGAGAAGGGGGTCGGGAGGGATGACGGCTGCAGATGAGGGGAAATGCGGAGTCACCGGGTATGCCACCAGTGCAATTCGTGCATCCCCACCACCCCTGGATTTTCTGGAGTCCGCTGGGATATCCCTTTCGTCTAAGCATACAACACTCTGTCTGTTGGGGGACATCTGAAATCAACAGCTGATGATACGCGGTAAAGGATCGATTCGCTTACCAGACGAAAGCCCTTACTGTTTCACGCCAGCCAACTCCCCTGTACCCATGTAATTCCGCATGTCAGACTTTGGAGATACTCCGTTATATAGCCCCTCGTAGGATGCAAATTAAGAAAATCACCCAGGAGAACGACTCCCGATCATGCATAAAGGAATAGTGCTCGCCCATGAGCGCTCCGACTGACATGAACCATCGTGCGAATCATTTGCCTCGGAGGCATTATTCCTCATAGCAGGATCGAAGTCGATCAAGAAGACAGTCTGGAAGGACTATCTCTGTCCTCGTCAATCATCAATTTGTTGCGCGAGATATCCCGATGAAGAATCCCTGTTCGTTGCAAAGACTCATGTCGTGTAATGCAACCATCGGGCGTCACGACGAAGGCCGACCGGATGCTTGCCTCGTATTGGTCTATCATGGCTGCTCCGAGTGACACACCGATGTACTCGGTTTGCAAGTTTCTTTCGGCATGCCGAATGAGATCGCTTACTAGATGGCCAAGAGATACCAGTTTGCCCAGAAGATCGCTTCACGTCAGCCCGGCTGCCGTCGCCGTGACTCCTGCCTAGAATGCCGATTTTCCCGGCCGATAATTGCTCGCAGTTAGGTTGTCTAAGCCTCCTCTGATATGTTCTCAGCCTTAACACGCACATAAACCGTGCGACATTGACCGCGCCTTCATTCGCTTCCGAAGAAGCTCACTGTCTTCCCCGTGTCTTATGTCCTGTGTTGACAGTGGGGTCAGCAACTGCATTGTAGACATGGTCCCAAATATAGCTCACATGCTTGTTGGAGAAGAATGCATTCAGAAGAGGCCAGACATGGTAGGAATCCACCTTCTCAGAAGCAGCCACACATATATATCTCTGGAGGCCAGGTTGTTAAGTCTTTTGACACGTCTTCGGTGGCAGGATATGGGTGATAGGCAGAGAAAGCAGAGAAAGCAAGAGATCAAGGGTAAACCGTTGAATATCTCTCTGATAGTCAGATGGAGCTTGCTAGAGAATACCAGCTTGCCATGCCTTCCTGTTCAAGGTGATGAAATGCGCCTGGAACGCAGGAGAAGCTCTTCAGTCCATAGATTCCATTCAGTGAGGCTCGGGGCCCATCCTGGCAGAACCATTGCAGCCACCTGGGAGTTGTAAAGATGATAAGGTACCAGCCTTGTTTCACAAACAGCTCAGAAATACGGCTAACAGTATCTAAGCCATTGGTGTGCCATCAAGTGAACAGGAAGAGAAGTTGAAACGGCAAAGTTTATCAGAGCCATCGCTAGCATAAGATGTGAACCTTAACAAGAACGGCAAGTTCAAAACACAGCTATCCAAACAATTAGCTTCTTTGGACCTAGATATCCCATATAAGCCCGAAACCCGTCCCTCATCTGGACTCCATACCAATGACCTGCCTCGAGGACTAGTCCATGGCGCGCTTATCCTTCCTAACCCGGCAACCACCATGTCACAAACCTTCTACTATGTAACTACTTCACGTCATACCAGTAGAACCCAAATTGTTCTGCTTATCAACCTCCATGTCATTATCCCAAGTAACAATAACCACCTCCCTACTACCTCAAACCGCACCTCTAGATACTTAGTACAGGCTTATCTAACTTGTCTCACATATTATTAATACATCTTCAAATAACTAGTTAACTAACTAGTTATCATGTGATGCTTTATGTAAGCCTATACAGCAAACACCAACCATATCCAGTATCCACTTCCAGCCAAGGGTTCCCCCCACGCCGCCCCTCTCGACTTAGATAAGTACCTACCACCACTTACCTACCACCTACTATATAACTCCTCCAACCCCCACCCCGCCTACTCTCGCGATTCTCATTTACAATCGCACCCAAACTCCCTTCCACCATACCCTCCACTTCCAAACCATCACCACCACCACCTCAACCACCATTACCAAAATGGAAGACAGACCCCTCCCCGCAGCCAGCACCGACGTACGCCCCCATTCCCTCCCCCAATTCCACCCCCCTTGATCTCCCCAACTACAACCCCCAACTAACATTCACCAACACACAGCTCTCCACCCTAACAGCCCTCGAATCCTCCCCCTCCCTCCTCTTCCCAACATTCACTTCCACCACCGCCTACACCCTCGGCCAGGCCCTCCGCACCCGAATCCTCTCCCTCCCACCCGCGCAACGCAAACCCGCCCTAATCAGCATCTCCCTCTCCGGCTTCCCCACACCCCACATCGTCTTCCAATGCGCCACGGAACCCGGTACCGTCGCGGATAACGAGGAATGGGTGCGGCGGAAACGGAATACCGTGTTGCGGTGGGGCGTGTCGAGTTGGTTGATGCGGAATAAGATGTTGAGTAGTGGGGTGGACAGCAAGGGGGTGGAAGCGGGGTTTGTGCGGAAGTTTGCCCTGGTGAGTTCGGGGGGTGGTGGGGTGGCGGATGATTATGCGATTCATGGTGGGGGGTTCCCGGTGAGGGTGAGGGGGGTGGATGGGGTCGTGGGGGTTATTGTCGTGAGTGGGTTGAAGCAGGAGGATGATCATCAGGTGATTGTGGAGGTGGTGAAGGAGTTTATTGCCCAGGGGGGGCAGTAGATACCTTCTTTAAGTCCTTAGGTGTTAGGGGTGGGAGGCTTGTATATAGATGGGAACTACTGGTATGATGGATACTACTGATAATGTAACAATGGTATCATGTATTGCTGCCTCGACGAGGTCAGGTATCAGTATCACTCTCGGTGACGGCCAAAACAATTCTCAAAACAAGAAAAGAACTCCGTAAATCCCTCTATGTTATTTTACAGTTCATCATGCCCGTAGGCCTCGTCATCCTCGTCCGCCGGGGCAGAGCCGTACAGCTTGCTGGTGATCGGGTACGCCACGTTGGACAGCTGCTCCTTCTGCTCCTCGAAGTCCTCCGTGGTAGCAGTGGCAGCGTTGTCCTCGAGCCACTCCGACACCTCCTTGACGGCGTCAAGGATGGTCTGCTTGTCGTCCTCGTCGATCTGGCCACCCAGGCCGTTCTCGTCGTTGACCTGGTTCTTCAGGCTGAACGCGTAGTTCTCCAGAGTGTTGCGGGCCTCGATCTTGGCCTTGATCGCCTTGTCCTCCTCGGCGAACTCCTCAGCCTCGGCCACCATGCGGTCGATCTCCTCCTGGGAGAGACGACCCTTGTCGTTGGTGATGGTGATGGACTCGGCCTTGCCGGTGCCCTTGTCGCTGGCGTGCACCTTCAGGATACCGTTGGCATCCAGGTCGAAGGAGACCTCAATCTGAGGAACACCGCGGGGAGCGGGGGGGATGCTGGTGAGCTCGAACTTGCCGAGCAGGTTGTTGTCCTTGGTCAGAGAACGCTCTCCCTCATCTGCGCAAGTCAGTATACAGGAACATCACGGGACAGTCAAAACACTTACAAACTTGGATGAGGACGGTGGGCTGGTTGTCAGCGGCCGTCGAGAAGATCTGAGACTTGCGGGTGGGGATGACGGTGTTACGGGGGATGAGCTTGGTCATGACACCACCAGTGGTCTCAATACCCAGGGTAAGGGGGTTGACATCCATCAGAACAACGTCACCGGTACCTTCCTCACCGGAGAGGACACCACCCTGAACAGCAGCACCGAAAGCAACAGCCTCATCGGGGTTGATACCCTTGCTGGCCTTCTTGCCACCGAAGAACTCCTCGAGGAGGGCCTGGACCTTGGGGATACGGGTGGAACCACCGACCAGGACAATGTCGTCAACCTCGGACTTCTTGACCTTGGCGTCCTTGAGCACCTGCTCGACGGGCTTGAGGGTCTTCTTGAAGAGATCCATGTTCAGCTCCTCGAACTTGGCACGGGTGAGAGTCTCGGAGAAGTCGTTGCCGTTGTGGAAGGCCTCGATCTCAATACGGGTGGACATCTGGGAAGACAGAGTACGCTTGGCCTTCTCAACCTCACGCTTGAGCTTACCCATGGCCTTGAGGTCCTTGGTGACGTCGACGTCGTTCTTCTTGTTGTACAGCTTGACGAAGTGGTCCATGACACGGTGGTCAAAGTCCTCACCACCAAGGTGAGTGTCACCAGCGGTAGCCAAGACCTCGAAGACACCGTTGTCGATGGACAGGAGAGAGACATCGAAAGTACCACCACCGAGATCGTAGACGATAACCTGGCGCTCATCACCGGTCTTGTCCAATCCGTAGGCGATAGCGGCGGCGGTGGGCTCGTTGACGACACGGAGAACGTTCAGGCCGGCAATGGTACCAGCGTCCTTGGTGGCCTGTCTCTGGGCGTCGTTGAAGTAGGCGGGGACGGTGACAACGGCGTGGGTGACCTTCTTGCCAAGGTAACCCTCGGCGATCTCCTTCATCTTGCCGAGGACCATGGCGGAAACCTCCTCAGGAGTCAGGGTCTTGGGGGTCTGGTTGACCTCGACCTTGACAACGGGCTTGCCATCCTTGTTGACGACCTTGTAGGGGAAGTGCTTGGCGTCCTTCTGGACATCCTTGTCATCGAACTTGCGACCGATCAGGCGCCTAATATGGGTTAGCGATGTTCGCAAACACGTGCCGAGAAAGCTCACTTGATGTCAAAGATGGTCCGGGTAGGGTTGGCGGCGTATTGGTTCTTGGCGGCGTCACCGACCAGGCGCTCCTCGTCGGTGAAAGCGACGTACGAAGGGGTGATACGGTTTCCTTGGTCGTTGACGAGAATCTCAACCTTTCCATTCTGCATCACACCAACACAGCTGCAATCAGTCAGTTTGTTGTTCCCTCGACAGTCGCGTGATTGTGCAGTTAACATACGAGTAGGTGGTTCCCAAATCGATACCAACAACTATCGCAAGTAAACGCGTCAGCAATTGTCTACTTAAACAGCTGCAGTCTCCTTACCAGTTCCGTAGCTTTCCTGAGGCGACTGCTCATCCTGAGCGTGTGCGGTTCCGAAAAAGGCGAGGGGGGCAATGAAAACGAGAAGCAAGTAGAAGATGGTGGTCCAAGCCGTGAAGGGCTTGGCCGCACCCTGATTCGAGATGCGCGCCATGATGTGTAGATGCAGACAATGTCCGTTTCACCACAGAACACGTAGCAAGGGGATTAAACGGGCTCCTCTACCGGAGAAGACAGCGAACGAGAGATCCTCCTGCGCCTCTAGAAGAATTCCTGGCACGAAGGTGATAAAAAAAGACTGGAAGACAACAATCCAACCCAGACAGCACGGGCAGGAAAGGGAGAAAGAGCGGATCAAGAGGAGAAGGGGGGGGAGGGTGGTTGGGTGGAAGAAGGCGACGACGGAGAGAAGAAAGATTGTGTCTGAGAAGCTCCGGCCAGCTTCTTGTATGGCTTGCCAGCGGCAAAGAAAGCGCAGCGGCCATGCTGGCCTTTTCGCGGGTATCCGACTTTAAGGTTACTCCTCGGCTGCTGATTGGTTCGTGACGCGTTCAGGGCGCGGCTGAGTCAGCGTGCACGGTCACCGCCCGGAGGTTCTGCCGGCGTAAAGGGCGACCAACTGGGAGGCGTTCGCTTTTCTTCGGGGAGGCGGTCTCCACCGAACTTGCTAGAATCGGGGGCCATTTGCTCGCTTAGGGGCTAGTCGGTCAATTAGCGGTTCGTCAACCCAGGGGCCGAGGGTCCGCCTGCCTGTTTCTTCAGCCTGCCCTTGCCTCTTCCGGCTCTTGGACAACTGGCCGTTCCGTTGGTTCACTTGGGTTGACTGGCGACCCGGCTGGATGTCGGTTGGTTCACCACATGGCCACTGGCAGTCTGGCACTGGCCAGATCCCGTTGGTGACCATCATTGAGTCAAAGTCATCCTCCTTTTGGAGTCAGACCCCAGGGTCTCTCTTCAAAGTGGATACTCCCCACTCAGGAGGCACATCACCGGATTATTCGACATGCCAAGGCCGTTCTGCCAGCCTGTTCAGATTGTTTGATCTTCGTTTCACTTGTCTGGGGCGGCCACCCTATGTACTAGCTGGCAAGTCAATTGAATGTACGGAGGGCTGTGTAGGTAGATAGGGGTATCTCCCGCCACTGCACATCATTGATCTGCGCATAGTAGTAGATCTATACATATTATTTTATAGCAAGACACAGTTTCGTTAACATCTAGACTGGCATGAAAGGGATATATATATGCACAACAGCCTGTCAGCATCAATGTCTGGCCATCTACTCTAGCAACCCAGCGGCAACAGTTTCACCTCCAGCCCGTAGTACAATGCGTGTAGGCGCTTCCAGGGGCACAGCCTGGTCCATCTCCACTACTATCCGTGCCACCGTGCCGGGTGCAACAATCTTGGGCTTCTTCTTGATGCTCGCCCCAGTCACTTTGTCCAAGGTGGCAACCAGCTGACTGATCCGGCCGGGTACATGCAGGCGTCCACGGTGAATATCCACCATGCTAGGCAGCAGATGGTCAAAGGCCAGCACTTTGCACGTAAACGACGTAACGTTGGCAATGGGCGCCGAGGCGCGGCAGATGACATCGCCAGACCGGAGGTGGATCGGGTCAATATTCACCAAGTTCAGCGTCACGTTCTGACCCGCCACGGCCCAGTCGCTAGGCTCCCCGTCCACTTCCAAGCTGCGTATCGTGGCCTTTTCGCCACTGGGCATGGTGAGTATCTGATCGCCGACCTGTAGACTGCCGGCATCCATGCGGCCGGAAATCGACAGAGGATTCTGGACGCTTCCCCGGAAGACATCTCCGATGGTCATCCGAAGTGGCTTGTCCACGGCGTGCGAGTACGGCTCGGTGGCCTCAAGCTCCTCGATCAACGTACGACCCTTGTACCATGAGACATTCGGGTCTTCGCTCCGTCTGGTGACATTATCGCCGCTAATTCCCGAGCACGGCACAAAGGCGATGTTCTTGGCTTGGAACCCAGCAGTCGTCAGGAAAGAGGACACCTGTTGTTCGATCTCATCAAAGCGATCTTGGGCCCATTGGACCGAGTCCATCTTGTTCACAGCAATGATGATCCTCTGAACACCCATACTCCGCACCAGCAGAGCATGCTCCTTTGTTTGACCTTTGAGGCCCGACTCGAAATTGCCGGTGCCGGAATCAATGACGAGGACGGCGAAATCGGCCTGGCTGGCGCCGGCAATCATGTTGGGCACAAAGTCCCGATGGCCTGGAGCATCCACGATCGTAAACACCGTATTTTCCGTCTCGAACTTGTTCGTTGCAATGTCAATAGTAACACCTCGCGCTCTCTCTTCGGAGCCTTGGTCCAATACCCACGCGAGGGCAAATGATCCTTTCCCGATTTTTTCTGCTTCTGTGCGATACTTGTCCAGGGTACGCTGGTCGATAGCTTTAAGGTCAGCCAACAGGCGTCCCATCAACGTGCTTTTCCCTGCATCAACGTGGCCTATCCATGGTCAGCGGCGTCCACCAACAATGAATGAGTTATAACGGACCGATAACGGCAAAGTTCATGGCCTTCTTCCGTTGCGATTTCTGGTACTCAGACAGCACATCAAGGTTCTTGCTCTTGACATTCACCTTCTCCTCCACACTCAGGTTGTTCAGGCCTTCAGTCAAACCAGCCTGGGATTTCTTGTCACCTGACTTGGAAGCAGATTGTTTCGATTTGAAGCCTGCACGTCCATTAGGGAGGTTTTATATCTTTCGCCGAATAGCCAAACCTTTTGCAGAGCTCTGAGCATTCAAGACAACATCGTCGGGGCTTGGGCCTGCAAAGTCAAATGGTTCAGCAAATTCTTGTCCGTAGATCTTGATCAGATCAAGAGTGTTGGCAGATAAGTGGCTGGGCTCGGTCATCTTCGGACGTGTCGCATCTCCAACAATGGTGCTGGCAAATGTAGACGGTGGCGCCCGGATATTGACACTGGCTTCCTCCCGTCCCTGATCAACTGGCACAGGTGGCTCTGGGATTGGCTGCACGACGACCTCGGGACTGCTTTCTTTCCTCGGTTCAGGGGACGGCTTTTTCTGAGGCGAAGGACTTCCCAGTCGTGACCCTTTACCGAGTGTCCGAAGCGACTGCAGGCCCTCTAAGGGTTTCTGCGGCTTTGCATTGCTCGCGAGGCGCTCACGCAGAGAAAGAGGCGTTCCTTTCTGCTCACTCGGAGACAGCGGCTTCTCAGCCTCAGGCTTTGCAGCCGGAGCTGGCGTAGAAGCCTTATCCCCTTCCTTCTTCTTGCGCGCAGCAGCCAAAGCAGCTAACTTGGACACCTTCCCTGCACTTTCCGGAGCTCCTCCCAGCAGTCCCAGCCGAGGATACAGAGGCTCAACCAGTATATCCGCCTTACGATGCGCAGGTATATTAAGCCACGGGGCATCGCGAAAGAAGTCCGCCGCCGAGAAATGTGCAGTTGAACAGGCCGGAGGAGACAACGGAACAGGATACACCGGCACTAGGAAACCTGTTAGAAACAAATCCAACTTCCGCAACGGTGTCAGTTCAAGGAATCAATCACGAGGGAAAGAAGACAATACTCACAGTTTACGACGTTGAATAAGACGCATAGGGCAATTCGTGACCCGAGCCCAACCACCCCAGTAGATATAAATGGACATGCTTACCTGTGCTTGCTTTCGCCTTTGCAGCCGGAGCCGGAGCCGGAACCGGCTGCTTCTTCTTGGTTTCCTTCGTCTTCTTGTCTGCCGAAGACTCCAATTAGCATCTAGAGTAGCAGTATGTTCACGCAGGAAATAGACATGATAACGCACTCCTCAAGTAATTCACCGACTTCTCCACATCATTATAATAGTGCCATAATGCTTCTTGAACCTCATCGCGAGTCGCAGTAACGGAAGGCTCCCCCGCGCGCAGCTGGTTGAGCACCTCCGTGGTACACTGTTGAAGGAACTCCTGCTCCTCAGGATCAGGGGAATCGTAACCGTCATCGAAGTCGTCTTCGTCGTAGCTCACAGCTTTAACGCGATGGCGCGACATGGTGGCTTGTGTTGTTGACGGAGCGGGGCAGGTTGGAAGGGAGGGAGGGGTTTTTCGGGAGTCAGCTCTGACGAGGAATTGGAGTAGGTCGGATGGAACGGAGATTAGAAGGCTGATGCAGACGACAGAATAAGTCTTAGCCCTGTAGAGTCCCCGAAGCGAGTGAATCGGGAATGCAAAGGTGAGTGAGGTTAGCAGACACAGTGAGTGCAGACTCGGGGAGGTTGTGGAGGAGCTGCTGAACCAACCCACCACGTCATTCCCCGCTCGCAGCCTCAGGCCCGGCTGACGGCTCGCTCTTTACGAATCAACTCGCGCTGATTTACAACTATGTCGGTGAACTGCTGAATTGAACTTGATGTTATTTCTATCTACTGAGCTATATATAGCTTGTTCCTAATTTCCTTCCTGTGTAGCCAATTATGACAGTACATCCAAATGCCCCTCTGTCGCGGGCTCTCTGAACTGATATTATAAGCAGTCGGTAGCGTCGTATAGAGGTCATCAAAATCGCACTTCCAATGGCGATAAGATATCACTTCAAGGGACTTCCGCTGAAGAAGTCTCCCGCCCCGGGTCCAGCAAAGCTGCCGTTGCTGGGCGTCAGAGCGATGGAGCGTCGGAACGCTTGCCGGGGGGTCGCCGGGGCGCTGGCAGCAGCGCCCGCTACATCGGCTGCGCTGGGAGTGTTGCGGCCGCTATTGTTTTGCATAGTGACTGCCGTGCCAGGGCGAGAAAGGACGGTGGGGACACCGTTCCTGGGGGGTGGTCGGAATCCAAGCTTGGATCCTTCGCGGAAGATCTCTTCCAGTATTTGAGACACAATCCCTGCGTCTTCGTATTCTTTGAATTTCTTCCAGAGCCGTAGAGCCATGCGCGCATCTTCAATAGAGTCGTGTCCTTGGTTGTCATCGACCGGTTCCTCTTGAATGTATTCCTTGAACACCGCCCAAGCCAGATATCGAAGACTCAACCGGCGGTTCTTGCCGGGGTGGAAGAACAGATACTGAGTATCCACGGTCTGGCTTTTGGGTACTTGGATATTGACCTTGCGGAAATCAGACGCTAAACCATGTCCGACAAATACGCATCCTAGGTTGAGGAGCAGCCAGAGCTTCTTGTATGCGACCTTGAGCGGGACCAAGTTGTGTTGACTGACCCTGGGGTCTAGATCACCAGGCTTGATGCCCGAGTACTGGGTCACATAGTCGACAATCGTCTCCTTGATGGTGATGTAGTCGTCGATGAAGGGAGCACCTTCTCGGAGCCCCGAGCCCCTGAGGACTGATACTCTGGCGAGTCCACTCTTGCTTGGGCGTACGATCTCCTGGGAGCCATCTGCTTTCACATCGATTTCGGCCTTTTCGAGATCGACAAACTCGGTATCAAGAGCAACTGGTGTGCCGGGCGTCGGTTTCTCCTCTTCAGTCAGCGTGACACGCGATTCCACGGGACAGCCACCACTAAGACCTGTTAGTGTAGATTCTAGCTTCTCAGTAGACTCAACGTACTTTAGTGACCAGTCGCGGAATAGAAGAGTGGTATCAAGGGACTTTTTCCAAGTATCGTCCATAGCATGCCGACCATCTTTCACCTGGAAAGCCACCACACATGGTATCTTCCATGGCTGGTTAAAGCGGAGAGCTTCATCCTTATCCACCTCTGTAACAAGAAAGTCGTTGAACAGGTGCCATCTATTTTTCGTCTCTGGTTCTCGAGAGGAGATGGAGACATTGATGAACGAGACAAGGTGTGCCTTCTGATGCTCTGGGATGTCAATTTCGCAGACCAAACCGACCAAGTCGTATATCACGAGCCCGGGCATCTTAGCCTGGACCCGCATCTTGAGCTCTTCACCTTCGAAGCACAATATCTGGCCGCCATCGATAACAATTCCAACTTCTTCCGGCAGCCATCCAGGAATCGCCCACAGTCTTCGGCAAAGGGGATTGCTCAGAGCCGCATTGAGCATCAGGACATGAGGCATGCGGTGTACTGATTTTCGGATAGCGACTTGCTGATACCGTCGGCAATAGTTGCACCATCCTCTGTTCTGCGTTTCCCGCTCAATGCTCGATCGCAGTATATTCGAAAAGCGGAAAGCAGGGTTCCTTCGAGCTTGCTTGATATCAATTGCAGGGTAGTTCAACTCATTGACGAGGGAATTGCCCGGTCTCACGATCTCATTCTGGCAGAACATGCACCGTATGGCTTCAGAAGCGACCGTTGCTAGCCTGTGATCGAGGTCATCCGAGCTTGGTGAGATCATGCGGAAGTCGTGTGAGATCTGGCCCAGAAAGAATCTGTTCACGGCCTGAATCGCGGCCGAAAGCGACTTGTTGGTCAGGTTCTCTTCGAATAGGCCCAGATTTGACGCTTCGCGGAAACTGCTAAAGGCCTTGAGGAGATTTGTCGCCTGGCAATTTTGACCATTCGCTTTCTCGAGCATATCGAAAAGGTAGCCCATCTCGCAGAGCAGACAATTTTCGAAGATGCAAGAGCTGGCAGCGTGATGAAGAGCGACGTTGCGGATGTATGGGATAAATTTGAAAAGCTGAAGCAAAGCATTCGTGAAGGAGTTTGCGATATGTGTCTCCAGTCCGGAGAAGGTCGTCTGGTTGTAGAACCTGTTGCAAATTAGCTATTGAATGTCACCGATCAAAGGAAGGTGAGCTCACCTAAAGTCGAAATCATCAACGCCAAACCGACTGTACTTGATTTCAACGTTGCTGTATTTGAGGAGAGGATCATCCTCTGTTTCCCCGTTGATCTTCGCACCTGCCAGTGCCTCGGCAGCATCACTGATGGCCCCTTCGGACTTCGCCTTGTTCTGTTCTCTGGCCTTTTCACTCAGGAACTTGGGGGCAATGAGAGCAGATTCTGCAGAAGCCAAAGCGCGAGTGTTCTCGACCTGGTAGCGTCGCGTTTTCTTGGGGTTCGGCGCATGATGACCCATCTCTGCAGGACGGAGATAGGGAATCAAGGCCTGGTCCACTTGGGCTGGCGGGCTGCCGACCTCGAAAATGAGATGGCTTGGCCATGCAGAGAAGAGACGTTCGTGATAATAAGGCATGCCAACCATGCTCAAGGGCGTGTCTGCAGACCAATCGAACGTCGGAGGGCGGGGAGCTACATCGGCGAATTCAGCTTCCTTGCTCATTTCATTGAAGTGAACTTTAGCTGGTGATCCCCAAAGATGGATCGCACACTCTGCATCATTGATGGCCAATGCTTCTCCGGATGGCGACAGGTCGATGCCAAGCATGAATGAGACGTTCGCCTGGCGAAGGTTGATCGCGTTGGGATTCATCAGGTCCACCACTTGAAGCTGACCCGTTTGAGATGCAACAAAGCTTGTCGTGTGCAGTTTCGGATGCATCCGTACATACGCAGCTCCAGCGTGAAAGGGGATGGGGGGTAACGGCGAGAGAGTCTTCAGGTCGTAGACGTTGGCTAATGGATCAACGATCGGGGAGCCCATGTGTCTGACAGAAAAGCCGCAGGTGACGAGAAGGTCATTCCGAGCATCCATATCATTAACCGCAGTTCCATGTGCTTTCCAGGATTTCACCACACTGAAGTCGTTCAGGCTCAACGCATTCACTGATCCCGTATCTGTTGCTGCGCAGAGATAACGACTCTTCTTCATTATGGTGTAGTTGTACTCCGTCCCGAGCTTGTCGATGATGATTCCCTTATCGATATCGATCGTAAACATGACTTTCTGACATCCTGCAACTATGATCCGGTTTGTTTGGGCCGTGAAGCTCATGCAGCGAAGATCGGTCATTTCCTCGTGGGCGATGTGCCATTGCGTCAGGCCACGCCTGGTTATCATATGTACACTCTTGGGCGAGAGCGAGATGACGCCCCTTTCATGAAACAAAATTTGCCGCACCGCCTCAGTCGCAGGGTGTGCTCGAACAGAGGTATACCTCTGAAGCTCGGGGCCGCAGAAGGAGGTAATTCGACCCTAACGACAGCACAGGCACCGATTAGCACAGCCCTGGAACGCAACCTCAAAGACCATGAGAACCAACAAATTCATTTCCAGCCCACAATAATTCCATCACATCATCAAAGGCAATTGCGGTCGCGATTGTCGGCAAGGCGTGTACGCTTGGCGCAGGCACCGGAATGCGCGACAGTTCATCCCAATCGGCCTCCATGGCCTTGACATCGCATCCGACACGGCGCGGGCTTATATCAAAGATCGTATTCGGGATATATTCAGGGTATCAAGAGGTTTCAGGCCGAACGGTGGGTGTGACCATTGGGAAGCAGGGCGAAAGCGGGCATCGTTCGGCGAAAGCGCGAGTGCGGGGAGAGAGAGGCTGCCTGGAAGGACTTGTCTTAGAGCGCCGGAGCACAAAGCACAGACAGCAGATTCTTGAGCCCGACACCTGCAATAGTTTCAGGCTCTTGTTCCGGGGAGCAGCAGCGTACGAGACAAAAGGCCTCCGGGTTGGGTACTTTCAAGGCATAATGGGGGGATGAGGTACCGACGCATCATCACGTGAGTCATCTCCGGCGGCACGTTAGTCACCGCCATCACCGCCCCTTTGCCCTCCCTTCAGGCACCGCCTACTCGAACCATGGGTGAGCCCTGAGTCAGGGACAAAGAAAGTAATTCCCAACAGAGTATGATGCATATAATCTAGTCACTGAGGTGTGCATGTCATACTTCTGATTGACCGGCCTCTTGTTCCATCCAGCCAGCAATCTAGCTCACCTACAGGGATCTCCCCTACTGGCAGGTGTCACCAACTCAAGGCCTCAAGGGCCGAATGAGTCAAGCTGGACATCGATAGGACATGCAGTGAGGCTCAAAACTCTTTTTACCACGAAGCCCTCGCTTACACCCCTGCGGCGCAGATGCCAACGCATTAAGTGGACGCCTGAAGGCCGAATTTTTGCTTGTCATCATCAGTAGTAGTCATGATTACCTAGCCCTCCTGGTTGACCTGCTTTTGGACTGTTGGAATCTGATGATTAGAACAAAGGTTGAGCATCTATTGTATGTAGTGTAGATGGGTCTGTATACGATGGTATGCTCGATTGCCCCGTTGTTGGACGCCTGAAGGTATACCTGAGACATACACTGTATGTTCCTGTGTCCAAAGATAGTATAACGGCGTTGGATCTGACGTCAAGGATGCCAGTCATTGCTCCTGCAGTCCGTACCATCAAATTGGCGGCCTTGCTGAATTGGGTGCCCGTCTCTATCCAAATCTGCATGACACAACCTTACCCTCATCCTATACGTCATCATCTTATTTGTGATTTATGAAGTCCGAGCATGGCCTAGAGCAATCACACTTACTGCTGCCAGTGCAGTAGCACATGCAATAGCGAGCCTGCTTTATTGGACCCCGGTTCACTCAAAAGATACCCCCGTACTCGATCAAGCATCACGTTCTTTCGGACTGGCTAGCCTGGATAGGACATGGGTAAGGCCTCCCTGGCGTGATGAGGTGCCTTCGGGGTGAGGCCCTCCACCGAATACGTCCGATGGCTCATATGGCGGCCTTATACTGTTAGAAACGAGGCTGAACCAGACACACAAAGAAAGAATTGACCAGGATGAGATGGCATCTCAGATGGCTTGTAGGAACTGATTATAAAAGATCCAAGAACCTCGTATATCAAGTCCTCATGCAATCATAAGTATTCTTCCAGTACACACCTGACTGAAAGACAGAATCTGATCATGGATTTTTTCTCTGAGTTTCAGCCGGCATGGCGGTCCCTTTGCCTCACCTACGACCCCTCTTTGATCGAATGGACAACCGTCTGCGTCTCCCAACTAGTCGGGTTCCTCCTCCCGGGACTGGTCTTCTTTATGTTAGATCTGTTACAGCCGAAATGGGCAAAACCATGGCGGAAGCCAGCCCAGTTTCCAACCCACCTCAAGTTGTGGAAGATGGTTCAATGCTCAATAAGGAACATGTTGACTGGGTGGATTCTCCATGGACTGTACCTCTGGTGGGCGTACCCTCGGACTCTGTTCGTGGTTGACAGCCAGCTTCCCACATGGAAATTAGCTGTTGGACAGTACATCGGGGTCTTCCTGCTCGGAGAGGGTCTTTTCTATGTCTTCCACAGGATGATGCATGAGAACCGATGGCTTTATCTGAAGATACACAGTATCCACCATGGAACGGGAGTGGCACCAACCGGGATGTCAGTGTGGTATGGGCATGTCGTGGATCATTTTGTGTTCAATGGGTTGCCGTTGGCGCTGGTGACGCTGTTGCCGGCGATGGTTCTGCAAGCTCATATCTTGGTCGTGGAGGCGCTGTCCGTGTTGGCCCTGGTGAGTGGTGTGGTGAGCCATAGTGGGTATTATTATCGAGAGAAGACGGTATATGATCACTGGGCGCACCATGAGAATTCGTCCAAGAACTTGGGGGCCTATGCCATGATGGACCTGTTGTTCAACAGCTATACTGGTCAGTTTGCTGCTTCAATTGTTGACGTATACTGACTCTGGTCTAGCCTCGCGTTAAGCATTCTCATGGTCCGACACAAGACGTTGATTGTCAAGCACTTTGGTTGTGGATGATTTGAATGAAATGGCAGGCTTGGTGAAAGTACTATACATATTGGAAGGAGAAGCGATGAGAGCAGGTCGTCCCTCCCGAAAGACTTGAGAGACGACACATGACTACTTTACATTGTTTGCAATACTTGTTTTCCTTCATCTACTGCTTTGTTTAGGTCCATTAACGAATCGAAATTATTGAATTTATCCTCTGCCACATGCCATTTTGTCATATATTATCACGTTCTCTAATACCAGACTCCCACTTACTTCTCCCCCCTCGAAATCCTACACATATTCGTAAACGCCGCACGACGTTTATCCACAATCTCATTAAAGACATCCGCGGGCCCAAAACTTCCCACAATAACCTGATCCTTCCCCTCAGTCAATCCCCGGAACGCCTCCTCCGTGAACTCCTCCAGCGGTATCCCGAAACTGCGTCCCTTCTCCTCACCCATATAGTCATGCAGTTCCGCTACGACCCAATCAATCAGCCCGGAAGCGACAACGAGAAAAATATCACAATAGAACTTACTCTGAACAGCCGGCGGCGACACTTCAATGACTTTGATGCTCGAATTCCGGAGCTGATCCCGCAGACACAGAAGAAAGGCATTCAAGGCAGCTTTGGAAGCCGAGTACGCGGGAGCCCATACGGCTGGGACAATGGCGAGGTTCGAACTGGTACTGTAGGTTATACTATTAGCTTTCACCACGCACCATCAGAAGATATCAGGGAGAACACAACTCACTAAATGAAACTCGTAGCCCCCTCCTTCCGAGTCAAAAACGGCAAAAACGCATGCGTAAGAGCAACCAAACTCGAAAAATTCACCCTCATTTCCTCATGGAATCTAGGCAGATTGAAGCTCTCCGGATCGGTCAAATCAATTGAGTGCTGAATGCCGGCGTTGAGGAAGATACTGTCGATGTCGGGGTATTGACGAATGATTCTGCCGCATCGCATGTCAGAATACACCATGGATTGCGTTTGGGGGGGGATGCGTTTGGGGGCAACGTACTCCGCCGCAAACTCAGGAATCTTATCCAACTCCCCAATGTCAAACTGCACGCCATTGGCCTTATCTGTGCCGTGCTCGCTCACGAACTCGTCCAGTCGCTCTTTGCGTCGTCCGACGGCTGTTACTTTGGCGCCTGATTGTACGAGACGCGATGCGAGTGCTCGGCCGATACCGGCCGTGGCGCCGATAATTAGGAAGTGCTTGTATGGGAATGCCATGGTGATGGGTATTAATTGTGAATTAGGTTAGTGAGTAGTATTGTAGAATTTGGGCGGCGTCGTTCACCGTTTATATACTTGTCTGGAACTGGGTCGGAGTCGGAGCAACCGGGATAAATCCGCGGGGTTAGGCTTCGGGGTCAAATGACCTAGGTCACTGTCGTTAATGATGATGATCCTGAACCTTCGGGGCCGCTGGGTGTCACGATCCTCCCGAAGTGCGCTTTTAGAGGGAATTGTACCAGGCACTGAGCTGCTACCAGCTAGGCTTTCTGGCAAAAGATTAGAATTCTAAGCCAGTGGCTTAGAACGCGCATCACTGATAAGCTTAGATTTACTGGAAAAGTCATGTGAGGAGCCCAATCGTCACACTGGGTCGGTATCCGACCGTTATCTCCGGACCTTGTGGATGCCGTCTCTATAAACTTAAATTGATTAGTTATTACTAATAGCACAGATCCAGCTGGAGATCGATTTTAGTCGTTTTTGGTATACCTATCTAGATTCCCACATTCTTCAGCGGTTATCGTGAGGATGCGTTGTATGGGTCAATACTATTTAATCCTACTACGCCATCGGGCTGTCGCAGCATATACGCATCTGATAACAGATGGAGAAGATCTCCATCCCTCAAAATACGATTGAATAAGCCAGAGATCAAATGTTACTTCCTCGACTTAAGCACCAACTCCAGCGCCCCCAACGACAACGTAAACGCATCTCGCTTGCCCTCTAAAAACGCCTCGGCGGTTTGGCCAGGAGCAAACTCGACATCGTACCGCCGGACAATCTGCGACACCACGTATCGGAGTTCCATGAGTCCAAGCTGTTTTCCGATACAGCCGTAGCGACCTACATTATTAGCGTATGTCAGTTGGGACGGCAGGAGTGGTGTCATACCTGTTGAGAATGGCACGAATGGCGAAGAGTCCTTGATTAGCTCTGGACGGGATGTCCACCGTTCGGGAATGAAATCTTGGGGCTGGAGAAAGAGTCGCTCGTCTTGGTTGTGTTAGCGAGATATACATCCAGGGTGTAGAGAAGACGTACCTCTGAATAGCGTGTGGTAAGGGACCTGCACAATGGTGCTCCCCGGGATCCAGGTATTGTCAATCAGCAACCCGTCAGGAGGAGTCATCCGCTGCACACCGGAAGGAACCGGGGGATGGAGGCGCATGGTCTCAGTGATGACGGCGTCGAGATATGGGAGTTTTGAGAGACTCATGTAGTCAACAGTCTCCACGGTCTCAAAGTATTGGTCAACTTCATCTTGGAGGGTCTTCAGTACCCGGGGATCCAGAGCTAGTTGGAAGAATAACGTGATCAGACTTGCGGCTGTGGTGTCGCTGCGTCTATTAGCTAAATGTTTGATCGGGAGATTGGGTAACGTACCTTCCTGCGACGGCGACCAAGTATGCGTCGCCGGCTAGGTACATTTCGTCGTTGAAGGTGGGCTTTTCTTGTGCGTTGTAGTCTCTGAGGAGCCATTCGAAGACATCCGGCTTGTCAGGGGTTGCCTATAGTTCCTACGGGTTAGCGACTGAGAACATGCCGACATTTAACTGTTCTTGGTCCTAAAGAATTCACCTTCTTCCGGTCAGCGACTTGCTTATCTACCCATTCCCAAAATCGCATGTGCTCGTAATTAACGACAGGCGTGGCCTTAAAGATCGGAAAAAGCCACGGCAGACGACCCAGCACACCAACATTGGTCATATCGGCGTGCAGCGAAGTCATGAAATAATGCTTGACGCCATTCTCCAGCATATTGAAAGACTTTCCAAAGGCCAAATCGCCCATCACGTCGAAACTATAGAAGTTGAACCAGTCGGACACATTGACGGGTTGTCCCTTGGTCTTCTCCAGATGCGCCATTAGTTGATCCGTATACCGAGCAACACGGGGCTCATAATCACGGAGTGCTGTTCCATTAGCACGACTCTAGGAAGACCCAAGTAGAATACATACATTTCGCACTAAACGCATGATCCCACACCTTTCGGCGACGAGTATGTTCAGCCGGGTCGCGGATCATATGCATGGACTTACGCGGGTCCAGCACGGTGTAAAATGGACCCTTGGTGCAAGGCGATTGGGAGGAGGAAATCGCATGCACAGCCTTGGGGTTGTTGATGGATAGCTCAGAGGGTCCTGGGACCGTTAGACAGCTGTTGCGCCATGGATATGCAAACCTACCCAGTCGTACAAAGTCCCCGTATGTACCATGTAGCTTCTCTACTTCTTCATAGAGATGCAAGTTCTTGGCCGAGAGCAGTGTCCCATAGAAGTTGGAGACACGAGCCGCAAAGGGACCCGGGAAGCGGCCCAGACGATGGAAAAGAACACGATATACCAACATACTGATCTCGATCCCCGCAACCAGGCTTGTTGCCAGCCAGGAGACAATTTTGAGTGCCGTCCATGCTGTGTTGTCAGGGTATGGGAGAAGTACAGCTTTCACGAGAAACACCAGAACAACGTTAGCGGTCGCAAAGACCTTCAACAGCTTGGTAGTCGCAAGGTCCCATTCTCCTATGCGAAAGACAAAAACATGGAGAGCAATCCCGATGCAGAAGGCTGTGGTGGAGATTGCCGGGCTCGTGAGATCCGCCGTGGAGAGCATGGTGAGAGAGGCGAACCGGTCCAAATCCCGGGCTGGGGATCGATCGAAAAGGCGCGGGGACGGCAGGGATTTGAGGAACGGTCGCATTCTTCGGGGTGGTGTCTGTGCGACACTGCTCGATATGCGAATGATCGAATCCAGTTAGGCATTCAGCTTAGCGCATGAGTTGAAGAGCGATGCCATAGTAACTTCGTACTCACAATTGGATGGTCTGCGGGGGCCTTTGACCCGCTCCGTTCTGCCCGGAAATGGTGTGTCGCATAGCCACGCTCTTGATTGGTGTGTGGGAAGGGGGCTAGCAGTAGCCCTGCAGGGGTCCGTCTGCAACCCAATTATTGTTCGGTACGGAGTACGGAGTAGTATATTTGTTCTGATATCACACTGCTCCGACTGGCTTGGGCTGAGGATCCTCAAATTAGCCATTCCGAGAGACTCTGAATTTTACAATACTCTTGTTCTCCTCCCAAAGGATAACGAGGTCTCTCCATATCAAGCATGTCCAAGAAAGCTCTCGATAACGGGGAATGACTGGCACGAAGGGGACAAGGGATAAAGTCGTCCGCTAAAGCATACGAGATGATATGATTGATGTGGTGGAGGTAAGTATCTGTTAATACATTTGCGGGAAAGGCGACATTAGGCTTGCCTCAGGGGAAAGAATCCTGTGTGAGATTTGTATCCTGGTTGTGGAATCGGAAATGAGATGCTGTGAAGTTGAAACCTGAGGGTTTTGCAATATTCATGCAGAACGGTTATCATACCGTGCTGGATTCAACAGCTTGGGGTTGCGGCGATGGCATACCGAACACATCAAATGGTGTTATACAATCACTGGTAGCTCGTTATCAAAATGAGGGGTTGTCACGCCATTAGCGCTTATCTGTCACGATGGTCAGCCATCCATATAATGCCCATTCCATCTCAATCATCTGGACCTCAATCGCCAACATCGTCCAGATCAAACAACACTTACAATCATGTCTTCATTCTACGCCGAAGGAACCCCCGACGCAGTGAAAAATGCCAAGGTAAATGCTCAATCCTTAATCAAGTGCCACTTTGACATCTAACCTCACCCAGGGCCTTCACCTCATCACTACCCTCACCCCCAATGGCAGAAAAGCCCATATCTACCTCGAAGAGCTGAAGGAAATATATGGACTCGAGTGGACCACCAGCCTCATCGACCTCAGTACCCTGGAGCAGAAGAAGCCCTGGTACTTGAAGCTGAATCCAAACGGTGCGGTCCCTTGTCTTACCCAACATCTCTACCGAGACTCATACCCATCAGGCCGTATTCCTATCCTCATAGACAACACCCAAAGCCCGCCCCATGTAGTCATGGAATCTTCCGCAATCTTATTCTATCTCCTTGCAACCGTTGACAAGGACAACATCTTCGGGTTCACGGATCCGCTCGAGCACAGCCAGCTTGTCCAATGGACCATCTTCTGGCACGCATCCGGACAGCCCATTCAGGGACAGTATAATTATTTCCGTCGGAATGCGATTGATGAAAGTCCTCGTATGTAATTGCGGCCTCTTTCCTTTTCCGCATACCGATTTTCAGAAACTGACGGTTCTTGTGTGGGTAGATGCGGCACAGCGATTCAAGAATGAAGTGCTCCGTGTATATGGCGTTTTGGAACTCCATCTCTCAGGAAAGCTCACTAACAGCCCACGGGAGTATCTCGCTGGGTCGGGAACAGGCAAGTACAGCATCGTGGATATCAACGCATGGTCTTGGATCCGCACGTTCAAGTCGATTGGTTTTGAAGAAGAAGAGTTGGCTGCGTTTCCTCATTTGGAGGCATGGGTGACACGTATAGCTGACCGCCCAGCTGTGCTTCGTGGACTGGGAGAGGCGTATGATGAGGAGGTTCATCCCGAGTTGCTTATTCGCACAGAGTAATTAGTCGAGCAAGTAAGCTCTGGTTGGGTTCTTGTCTATCGGTGACTCGACTATGCCTCAGCAAGGTCTCGCATAGCCTATAGTATTTGGAACGCTAGGTGAATTGGTTCATAGGCGAACCGCCCATGACCTGTAGATGTGCTGCGCATCACGTGGTATCACTCAGTCTGCGTGAATGCAGTCCAAAGCGAGGCGACGCGCACCGTGTAGCAGATAACAAAGAATGATGTGGACTCCCTAGCTCACACGCAATAAGGAGGCTCTGGTGCAGTTGACATTGTTCAACCGGTCCTCTGAGCACCAACCGTCCCAACCCTCCTCATCCTCTCTATCATCTCACATTCCTAATCACTCTGGTCCAAGATGGAAGAGGAGTTCCCAAAGAAACCTGTCTCTGTAAAGCTGGGCCCGTTTGCCTATGATGACTATGGGGTCACGGTGAACGGGATTCCTCGAGCGTCCTCAGAGCTCTTGGGAAGGGTGTTCCCCGAAGACTCATCGACAGCCTCCCGTCACAAACCGAACAAGCGATGGATCACGGCCCAGCTGCAGCATTTCGGGCTCGACTTCCAGCCAACTGATAGAACTACCCAGCTGAGAGCTATTCTGGAGAACGCGTACAAGGATGGACAGGTAGGCGAGGACCTTTCGACCAGGAGGCATACTCCGGAGACTGACATGTTAGTGCAACTGTCTCGCACCAGCCACGGTCTCCCTAGAAAAGACGCTGTCCGGCATGTATGAGAAGATGCAAGACAATTACGAAGTCAAGAAGCAACACTGGCGGATGACGAAGTTTGCCGGGCTGACATCCCCGTCCGAGGAAGCCCTCTTCGATGCCTCTCTATTCATGGCCAAGTATTTCCTGACCGAGGAGAACGGTCTTCCCGACAAGGAAAAGCAGAAGGAGGCTCTGATCCTGCAGAATGTCGTGGGATGTCAGTTTGAGAACGCCACCAAGGGCATTCCTGGGCTTGCCGTGTGCATCACATCCCCAGTGACAGTCGTGGGTTGGGAAGACACCTTCTCCCGCGGGATGGACGCCGGCTTTGCCAAACTCGCCGAAACCCAGTGTCCGATCCTACGGTGCACATTCGAAGCCAACTTCGACCTGGGCCGTTTCATGGCCAAATACTTTCTGGATGGTCCGAATGGTCGCCCCGATCTAGAGAAAACGCCGGACCCCATTACACTCATGCCGAAGTTGGAGGAAAGGCTGTACGAGCCTCTTGCGGCCGCTGTTTTAGCGATTCCGGGCCTGTATGTCCGCGGTACTATCAAGAAGGGCGGCGTGTGGTCATTTCTCGGCTGGGACATCCATAAGATCATGCACGAACTGGAAGAAACTAACAGAGTTGGCGACAGCGAAAGAAAGCTTAATGACAGCTTGTTCGATACGGTGTGGAGCACGAAGCTGGAGCGGCATTCCGAATATCTGGAAGGCCGTGATGCCCCGACGGGTCCGCTTCAAATGGCCGATCTCAAAGGCCAATACATTGTTCGCTGCGAGGCGATCGATCCTTGGGGTATGGAAGACCTGTGGCTGACCATTCATCGGAAGGACCCTCGAGATCTGGGAACCAACGCGGGATTCTTCCTGGGCGATTTCAAAGGGACGATGTTGTTGGCGTCGTCCTGCGATGCGCTGGGCCAGACGCGGAAGGCGTATGAGGCTCGATGGGAGAAGAAGCAACCCCCCTTCTTCTCTGGCAACCCGGATCGGAATAACCGTGAGCCCTCGACGATTCGCCGGTTTGAAGACCCCTCCAAGACCACCCGCGTATACTTGCAGTGGGCTGGAACGGTCAGCAAGTGCAACCACGTCGACGATCAGAACGTGCAGATTGGCTATCTGGACTTCGCTGACTCCATGGCCGAGGCTCATGGCGTCATCATGGGACCTGCCTTTGAAGGCCGGAGTTACCCTTGGTCGATCTATAAACACTCGGACACCCCGGGGGGTTGGGCCAGCCCATGGACGAGCTTCGATTACTGGGCGGGCTACGAGGGCCGCATTAGGCACGGCGAGATGGCCATGTCTTGTGATTACGCGCTCTGAGGGACCAGTACGATCCCTGAGGGTTTTATGTATGGATTTGCGTCGGGAACGTGTCGGGTGGCTGCTCTTGTACGGTTAGGCATAGGAGTCTACGTAGGATAACAATCAAACCGCGCTATATGGTGATCGATGGAGACTGAACTAGATGGATTGCTACATTACCATTAAAGTCACATGCACGTTCCTCTCGCCGGAAATAGAACCGATCTTGGTATGGTACCGGGGCAACTATCAACATAAACGGCACGCTAGTATAACACAGACCCCTGACCCAGTATCTAGCCCACAGGCCCGGGCTCGGTAACAGAAGCCTGCAACGAGGAGATGAAGCCGGCCAAAACCCCAAGTTCACCGGTAGAACGAAGCTGGGTTGGATACATCAGTTTGCGATGGGTTATACGCCTGATAACTTCCGCCGGCGGCGTTCAGAGCAGGATACGGGGTGGGGGTTGTGGAGGTGCCCGGAACCGGCGGGGGTTGATGCATCGGTGGTGCTTGCTGCGAGGGGTATGGCGGCTGCGAACTGGCGCCAGCGGGAGGTCGAGAGGCGTCTTCAGGAGCGTAAGCAGAAGCTGGATAGTCCGGTTGCTGTTGCGGCTGCTGATGCTGATGCTGGAAATGCTGCTGAACGGCGGCCGGGACGTGCACTTGACCAGGGTACTGAGGGCGCTGGCTTGCGGAAGGATGCTCCACGGGGGGATCGTAAATCGACGTGCCTAATTCTTGCGGGTTTTCATAGGTAGACTCGGGACGATGATAAACTGGCTGGTAGGACTCGGAGGAAGATTGACGTTGCTGTTGCTGATATGGTGCGCCAGCAGGGGGCGTGCGACGGGGATCGGGCGATTGTGAGGTTGGAGGATACGCGTGTGCTTGTTCCGCACCATAGTATGCGGACGCATTGGGCTGAGGCGGTTGTGTTTCTGTTCCAGGTGTCAGGATTAAGCCGGTTAGGATGTACAACAATACGAACCTTGAGGACGAGGGCTGAAATATCGTTGAGGATCAGCCTGTGGCGGGCCTGGGGGATATCCCACGGGAGCAGCAGCCCCAGGATAGCCGTATGGAGGTTGAGCCGGTCGGCCATACTGAGGCTGTGCTGGGTGGGACATGGACGCTTCCAGGAGAGACTCGTAGTCTCTACGGGCCTTGATAAACTTCTCATTGAGCTGCGTGAACTCGTCTGCCCGAATATTAGCTGAGAACCACACCGGGACCGGAAATTGGCCTACCCTTCTTCTGCGAATACTTTCCAATGAGCTCGATCAGCTTGGGTCGAATGGCCAATGTTGAATGATACAACGCCGTGATCTCTTCATTGTCCTGCACATTGAGCTCAGAGCTACGAGTGCTGAGAAGAGTCAACAACTTCTCGACATTCTTGATCTGACCAAAGACATCGGCCTCCATCTGAGCTTCCCGCTGCAACTCCTCCACCGTTGGATCGGGGAGCTTCTCAACGTAGTTGAGGGGAAATATACCGGTCTGGCCTCTCAGCGAGCCCTTCCACCAATCCTTATAAACCGACTCTAGCACAGCAATGACATCGCCCTTGCGGAATTGCAATTCACCAGGTTCCGAAGGCTGAAAGTCGAATAGTGCTCTCACCCGCGACACCGTGGCTGCAGAAGTACCGGATGGCACTGGTTGTGAGGCGGCAGCAGGTGCTTGGTTGACTGGGGCAGCGCTCGAGCTGGCTTCAGGCTGGGGTGCAGGAGCCACAGTAGGCTTTTCTCTTATTGAAAGCGCGAGAGCCATCTGCAGTTCCTCCTCTTCCTTCTGACGATCCGAGTCGGTGATTTCTCTCTTCCCAGGCTTCGACGGGGGCTGCAAATTCGGGTCTATAAGAGGAAAAATGAGTTTCCGTGTCCGACATCTGTAGCGCTTCACGATCTTACTCTGGGTCTTCAGCTTCATGTATGCTTGCTCCATTATTCCAAAGTCTGGGTTGCTGGCGAACATTTCCGTCCACTCCTGCATGCGTTCTAAGATCTTTGACTTGACCTGCTGGTGGGTGTTCTGGATACCAGTTGTGAGTATGGGATGCCTTTCATGTGCGGCAATCTGACTTACTCGGTCATTCGCTAGACGTAGAAGAGCATCAGTGAAACTTCTAGATGCCAACTCGCGATGTATTTTTGGACCGCAGTTCTGAGCCAGAGCGTTCGCCAACTAAGCCAAGTATCAGCACGAGACCCACTGATTGTCCATGTCGTCACAATGCCCAAGAGCCACAAACCTCCAAGGTGTATAGCTGCACATTGGCGTTTCTGTGCGCGAGTCTCTTAATCATAGCGGCAACGGCATCTTTCGCTCTAGATATCATATCCTCTGTCAGTCATGTTTAACAGAGCACAACTAGAGGTCAAGCATACCCTGACTCCTCCGCTCCGACTTTATCACAAACATCCTATAACATCCCAAGTTCCCGTGTCAGATCGTTTCGCCCTCAACCAATGTATGCCAGATTAAGGTTTGCTGAGTTGCATACCAGAATGTATTCCCAGTTCTCGGATGTCAGGTTCTCGTCGGTCGCCTTGGCTATACCGTACATCGCTTAAGTCAGCACGGCTATATGTGATAGGAAAAGTACAAAGAGCGCCAGGAGGCATGGAAATGTTCATACCGACTGCATCGTCAAAGGCGTTTTGCTGTGCGCGAAACATCACGGGTTTCTTGCCTCCGGCGCCCAGAACGTCACTAGGTGTTGAGACTAGGACAGGTTGTTCAACGTAAACGAGATGGCAGTTCCACGATCGCGTATGACGAGCCAAAAGGCCGTGCTGGATAGAGGTATTGCGTCCCAATAGACCGGGGCGTTCGGTTCACCCTTGTTCTGCCCTTGATGTCCAACGATTCGCGGGACCCAGAGATGACACCCGATGCGGGGGATAGGTACACTGCGGTCAGCGGTACCCGGAGTAAACGTCGTCAGGCTCAATTGAGGCGCTCGCCGATCGGATGAATGTGTTGCTCAAAGAAATCTCCACGACGCCGGTTGGTCCGACCAAAACGAAGGACTAGAAGGTAGGTAGCAGCTGGGGAATCAAGATTGGGGGGATGTGTAACCGAAAGACAGGCTGCCACCTGATGCTCAGCAGGTGATCGCGCGGCGGAGAGCAGCGCCTCTGACGCTGACTGGCCGCGCTACGCCCGATTAAGCGAGGCCCGCCCCTTTACGTACTAGTGGGGCACTGCTTCCGCCGGGCGGGCCATGACGATATGCCATCTACATGCGATCTACCTTCTACGGTATACATACGGTGGTATTGAGGTAAAGAGGGGGTGGGAGATAGCAATAACATCGTGGCCTTCACGGAGGATGGCGAAGAATAATCGTGGACGTCCTTCACACCCATAAACAATAGCCCCATGGCACAAAAGATCCCTCTATATCAATGTAACCGCTCAAACACTAGTCGTCAATGAGAGCTGACCCTCAGTCATATCATCAAATCGGGGACGAAATAAAGAACACAAGGTGTTATCCTCGAACAATAGGAGCATACCATCAGAAGAACCAGATCAAGAAAAGTTCCACACTTTTTGTTCTTTTTGTCGTCAAAACAGTCGGGAAATGCCTCATAAATCATCAAGAATATTGATCGCTGGAAGAAGTCGGGGGAGCCCCCCCCAACAGCTGCAAGGCAATAAACAACAAGGTGGGTACCTGAAGCCGCTCCAGAAACAGGCTCCCCGTTCATTATATGAAGCATCAAGCTTCATCTTGAGCTTCGGCTCCATGACAACAATAAACACACTCGCAAACCGACAATATCAACAGCAGCGGAATGGATGGCGCAAGGAGATTGTACAAGCATCTTCCCCCGTTCAGGAACCAACATCGAAAGAACGAGTCGTGCGTCAAGGTTTGTCAAAGGAAGGATATTGTGCATGTGGGGGTTGGCAGAGACGGAAATGCAAGCCAGGCAGGAAAGGAAACCAGTTCAAGAAATCATCGTCCGATGAGGTCATCGCCATCTAAACATTCACAAGAGATGCGAAAACCGCGCAATGGGGGAAAGATGCGAACAAGGCTCTGCCATAATGCAATGCCAGCATATCATTGTCCAGCAAATATGGAATATCAGGAGTAATGGGTATCTGGGAGAGAGAAGACAGAAGACATCGACATATATAGTAACAGTTGAATGCGACGGTACCTAGGCACCCCCCTTCTGAGCCTTTTCTTGGGCTCTGCTGGCCCGCGCAGCCTTTACAAGGGGCGATAAATGGGACAGGGGCGCGCAAAGCGACATGAAAGGATGCTAATTGATCAGTCAGCAACCATAAAAAAAAAGTCAAGAAAACCGAACATACCTTCAGCAAGTCATGCGCCGACGCTCTCTTCTCGGGGTCCACCTTAAGGGCAAGATGCAGGAAATCACGGAAAACAGGCGACAGGTTGTGCTCATCCTTGATGGTGGGGGTTCCGTTCGTCGCGATCAAATATAGAGCCCTCAGTGGCGACTCGGTGAGATAAGGAGGTTCACCCTCGATCATCTCGATGGCCATGATACCCAGACTCCAGATATCAACTTTGCGGCCATACTCCTTTCTGGTCACAACCTCAGGAGCCATCCAGTATGGGGTACCGACCATGGTGTTTCGCTTATTATGCGAGTCGTTGATCTGGGCGCAGAAGCCAAAATCGGCTAACTGATGTCAGAAAAAGCTTCTAGAGGGCAATCCTGAAGACAGCTTACTTAGCTTGATATTGCCGTCCATTGAGAGAAGGATGTTGTCCGACTTGATGTCACGATGAATGACACCTTTCGAGTGAAGATGCTGTAAGCCACCCAAAGTCTGATGAAGTTAGCATTGGTAGCAATGAAGAGCTGGGGAAAGCTAGCACCTACCTCTCTGCAGACAGCGGCGATTTGCCCTTCACTCATGATGTTAAAGGTAACCACATCGGTCAGAGAGCCACCTTCCATGTACTCCATTACCACCCAGAGGTCCAGACCATGGAGGTAACTGTCCAAGAAATTGACAATGTTCCTGTGCTTGCTGTCCTTCATAACAAGAATCTCATTGATTATGAGGTCCTTCTTCGGTTGCAGATCCAAGTTCATTTGCTTGATGGCAACGCAATTGTTGGTGTCGTTTTCGTAAGCGGTAAACACACCACCGGACGCACCCTGGCCAATTTTGTTGAGGTGATGGTAGAGGCGAGTAGGGTCGCCAGGTGTACAGATGGCGAGCAGCCGTGACCTGATATCCATAGCATTACTCTGGCGAGGCCGCTGTCGGGGGCGAGCTGCGGGAGCGGCGCGTGCGTTCTGAGCAGCCTCATCGACGGGGGAAGCGTGTTGGGGAGGGCTCTGAACCGAAGGTTGCTTCTGCTCCGGACGAGCAGGTTGCTGCTGACGCTGACTGCGAGAACGGTCGAGCTGGATAGTAGCAATTGCCTGCTGGGCCGCGGCCATTGCTTGCTCTTGCTTCTGTTGATATTGCGCTGGAGTGGGGATATTGTGTGGTGGCCACGGTACGGGAGTACCATTTGCCTTTGAATTTGATCGGCTCAACTGAGGGTCAGACGGCAACGGCTCCGTCTCTGGGATGGGAGGCGTGTCGAACTGAGGAGGAGTATACGCCTCCTGAACTGGGCGTGCTGGCGCAGCACTGTATGAGCCCGTGGTAGGAGGCTGCGGTGTAGGCCGTGCCGGGGTCATACTGGCAGGGGTCGGAGGCTTTGGCGGTGCTCGATTGGGGACAAAGCCACCCACTGGGGGTGACATCGCTTGGGTTCCCGCAGGAGGCCCACGAGGGATGGGAGGCGGCGCTCGTGGATTTTCGAAGCTACCCTCATGGTTCTGTGGGAAACGAGGACTCGTAGGGGGCGAGTTCCGCTGCGAGGCAGGGACGTAAGACCCAGAACCGGCTATACTAGTCGGTGCGGAAATAGGGCTGGTGACCGATTGCTGCTGAGGATAGGCATGGTCGAACTTGTGCCAGACCTCGTCATCACCCTGGGCATTTTTCTCGTAGAATCTCATGATATCAACCATGGTCTGTGGGTGCTCCTCCTGTTCTTTTTTCGAGATACCGTTTTCCTGCAGCAGCCGTTGCCATTCTTTGGGAAGGCCAGTGAACTGGCCCGTCTGGTTGTCATAGCCAACATGAGTGACGTGCACGGGGTTCTCAGGAGCGGAGATCTTGATTCCTCGGGGGGAACCTAGCATGCTATTGACAAAGCTGGAGAAACTGCTCTTCTTGCTTCTGCCCGTGCCGAATGGCCGGGTACCACCCCCCTCATCGGATAAACGTTTCGGATTCGCCGGGCGGTCATTGTCGGTCGTCCTATGCACAAATGTCTCCATTCGGTTCTGTAGAGCTGTGAAGCTAGTTGACTGTCTCAATCCTCGGGTGTCGGGGCTAGTAGCAGATCGTAGGTTGGAAGGTTTCTGCGGAACAGTCTCGGTGGTGTTTTCTTGCAATGAACTGAGCATGCCCCGACTGTCTAACGGGGGCCCAATCAATTCATCTGAGCTCTGCTCGTTGAGGGAGAATCGGTGGGGAGGGCGGGCTCTGGGAGGATTATGCTGATTATTCGGGAAGTATCCAGGTTGATTGCCAGTGAGCACTGGGGACGGACCGCCGCTGTTCTGTTCGAGGGAGGATGAGGAAGATCCGTAGGCGTTGGACCTGGTCCGCGAATGCTCTCGACTTCCACCGGTGGAGGAACGTGGATAGACGGGCGCGGAGGGGTGCCGCTTTAGTGACGTGTTACTCTGCTGGCTCTTGAGGATGCGGGAGCTGAAACTCGGAGGGTCCTTGTGAAGCTTGCTTGACGACCGTCGAAATTTTAGGGAGGAAAAACTATCGTGATTCATGACGTGCAAGTTTAGGGGGGGGGGGGGGGGGGGGGGGGGGGGGGGGGGCGCGGGGGGGGGGGGGGGGGGGGGGGGGGGGGGGGGGGGGTAGAGGGACAGTTCGGCCGACTGGCAGCAGCAGGGTTGAGCGACTGGGATTGGTGGTTTGATTGGAGGGAGGGGGGAAAGCCACCGGGTGAGGCGGTGCGCGCTGCGGTTGTCCCTACCTACCGTCCGTCCGTGTCGACGATAGGGTAGGCGAGTAAGGCCGCTGGCGGGGGATGGGGGGGTGGGTGTGGGTGGTGTGGTGATGCTGCACGGTCAGATCGATAGCCCCAACTGGACGAGTGTCGTTGGAGAGACGGAGGAATCGGAGATGTAAGAGGACCCAGAATGCCTGAGCGACGCAAGGGAGGGCGCGAAAGAAGCTGCCGCGGACTACCGTCAACCAGTGGTTAGCACGTGGAGAGCCGCTGGATGGATCAGAGCAGAGCAGCCAACAGAGGCGGTGACTGGCCTGAGGGAATTGGACGGGGAAGAGGGGGCGAAACGACAGGAGAGGGAAAAAGGAAACAGACCAGGTGAGGGCGATTTCACTGGGTGCAGGAAAACTGCAGATAACCGACAGCTCAGCACACAGATCTGCAGCGCCAAAAAAGCAATAATGCAGCAACGATGACGGCGGGCGAGGGGGGGAAGAAGAACGGAGAATTGGTATGGGGGGGAGAGGTGGGAGGTGGGAGCGAGGCAGGAGGCAGGCCCCAGCAGCAAGCGGTTTAGTTTGGAGATTTGGGATTGGAGGCCGAACCAGGGCCAGTCTGCCAGCCTGCCAGAACGGCCCGTCCTGAGACGGAGAGTCAGGTCAGGTATTATTACCAGTGACAATGGAGACAATAACGGGCCCAGCCACTGGGGCCCGGTTGGATGGGGAATGTCTAATACTATTGATTGGGCTTAGAGGCTTGTAGGTAAGGTACGGGAGGACGGAGTATTGCGTATGGTAATCTCTACTACCAGATAGATACTAGCAGTCAGAGAAGAGATAGGTGGTATCTCTCTGCTTAATACTTACCAAGTCCTCCAGTTGTCAATCGGGCGGTCAGGGAGAGCGCCCGGTGCCTGTTTTCCTTTTTCTGTCCAACCCTCCAACTGCTGTGTAGATAATCATCCCCGGCAATAGGATTATTGACTGGATCATCTTCGAGGGAGGCCATTGGTCTCGTACTTTTGGGTTCCAAATTCGACCTGGATGGAGGAGCGTACATCAGCTGTCTCAGAGACCGTCGGTCCGATTAGGCAAAGAGAAAAATTCTAGACGTGTCCTTGACCCCAGTTTGCGTCCCGTTGGCGGGTGGATCGCGAACAGATGCTTTCCCTTCTCAGACGGGTTCCACCGGTTTCCGCTCCCCTCCTCAACACCTCGGTTTGTCAGTTGAGACAGGAGGCAGGAGACAGGTAGAGCTCCCTTGTCCCGATTCGTTGACGGTACACCCGATGTCAGTCGGAATGGTCGTAATCACCATCACACTACTCCGTAGTATCAGAAAGTACTGTCCTGAACCACCATCAGTTAATCTATCCGATAATCCTGCTGGGAGCCTGGGACAGACAAGAGGTTAGGCACCGTGGACACCTGGTACGGTTAGTGCCACGCTAGGAAGGCGGGGCTGCGAGAATAGGTTCCAACCGACTTCTGCCGCTCCCAAGTCGCAACCCTCTTCCAGTTCCATAATGGAATTAATCCTTTCATTATTCTATAACACGGTGGATCACGTTCCATGGGCCAGGGCAAGCCACCAATATTAGCTTCATTATTGATCTGGAGTCGGTAGCGTCATCGCCAGAGAATGTCCGCCTGAGTTGCCTCCTACGTACTTATCTCCCGAAAGGGTTGATAACTGATACACGATCATGGATCGGTTGTGTCTGTCAGCCTCTGATCTCAATGAAAACTCTGCAGGTACAGAGACTCTATCCATCACCATCAAATCGACCGGACCTGTACGGAATAGACATCCTCATTTCTGATCCCTGCACCTGCAGCCGTCGAGAGGACGTACCCCGGCCGAGTCACACATGTGTTTCCCGACCTGTCCCCCTTATTGACGGAGAAGACGGCTTCTCAGATGGTGAGATTCATATCATATCCATGATGTGACGGGTAATCGTGACCACGAGCGGAGAACCTGATGAATTCGATTGAGAGCAGCAAATCAGGGCGTGTCCTCACCCACTAAGCATGCAATAATCACCTACAGGAAGGCTTTCATTGCAGGAAATTATTCCAGAGCCTGTGGGTGAAGGTCTCGCCCCGCGGCTCTGTCAGTTCGATATATCACTTATTCTTATGTGAAACCTGGCTGGAATATTCTGCACATCTCAATTGAATATTGAGGGTACTGACCACTTGACCAGTCTCCTCCAAACTACCATGGAGCGGGATCGGCAAGTCCCGTCAATTTCTTCTCGGCACAATGAAGTTCGAGGCCTGTCTAGATTCCAAGGAGCAGATTGATTAACTATGGCCGTGTGGTCTGATGTCATCACCATTGATTGAATCGAATTGGGTTTAGTGACGATGATCCGATCAAGAATCCGGATACTCTCAGTCTCAATGATATTAATTACGGTAAGCTTACTTGTATATTGGGTCTATGCGTCCCAGCCCGGGTGTAATAACCGCTCTATGCACCAATAAGTCAAAGCTGTGTTCGCTCCTACTGTCGATGCGGCATTGGCTATATGTCTGTTCTACGGAGTACCTCAAATTCATTCATCTTACTTTCTGCACTGTTCACATCAGAACATTCCCTATATCTGTGTCTTCTGTCTGTACCTCTCCATCTTCTTCACACATTCTAGCCCATCAATTTAAACCTCATCTTGCTTTCCATCTCTGGCTCTACTTCTCAACAATTTACCATCATTATTGAATGGCTCTCATACAACAGTACCAATCACCATCCGTAGGCCAACTCCCAGATCCAACCCTTCAAAGTGAACCTGAAAAGCGACAGGCCTAGTCCCCTAAGAATTATCCTCGAACTACTCCATCCAACCTATTCTGACGCCATGATGTCTCAAGACGGCCTCTAACCCTCCTCTACCATTCACCTGGACACAGTAGAAGCATGTATACACCACCAATACTAGCCTACAACTAGGCACATTGCATAACATTCAAAACATCCACATCCCAAGCACAAAGAAGACAAACTCCAAATCTCTTCCAACAACACACCCAACAAAACGAACAGCTTACACATACCCCTTCCCACATGAATAGTTACATTGCTAGTTAACTAGCTAGTTAGTTAGTTATGCTATCGCTGAGTAATCACCCACGTCATGTCCTGTACTCCGTACCATGAACCGCAACCGAGGCATATCTACCTTATCCCCGCTCGATCTCAAAAAGCAGACGACGATCACCTCCATACCCCGAAGCCAAAGTATGGAGCTCCAAGCTCAACGGTTCGCTGTTCGCGCCGTGGAAACTTACTTTGAGTTAGTCGTATCGTATCGAGTTTTCTAGAAAAAGATGAGGTATGGTGAGGTGTGGTCCGCGATCATCATTTAACTTCAAACACCGAACCATACGTTTATACTACCCCACATTAGTATCCTGTGGTTAAGTATCTAATGACATCTGATTATTGAGTCAGTAGTTGGTCCTGTGTGATGATGATGGAATAGACTTTCGCGAATGTTCATCTGGAGGATAGATACTATCTACATAAGTATATATCCTAGTACTATGGTGCACATGAACCGAGGTACTATGTGAGCATAAAGCAAGCATGAGAGCTGTATACATATCCCTAGAATCATAGACTACTATCATATACTACTAGTATGGGTTTGAGTTCACATCAGCCAGTGTCACCACACTATAAATAGGGTGTGGCTGGCTGCACGGGGAAGACCGTCGGCATGCAGATAACGCAAGGCTTGGATCCCGAATGTACATGCTAGTTACTACATATAGGTGCATTCCTACTATGTAAATAAGTAGGTGGAAACTAGGAAGACAGCAAGCAAGCAAGCTAGGGATAGAGTTCCATTCATGCAAGGCGGGAGTATGGAGTATCTGTCTAGCCGTTCCGAGATGCTTCGGTGGATTTGCGGATGTACCGGTGCTTAAGTATCTATTGTATACTCCGTAGTGGTTACTGTTTGGGTTTAGATGGTGTTTAGTGGGGGAGGGGGTATGATTAGATAGGAGGTATATGTAAGATGGGCCGAGGAAAAATTGCGGCATGTGTATTATATCGTGCATTAATTTAGCACGATATTGGGGGTGTTCTTTTTCATCATAATATAGTACAGGAGTGATGGTCGGACTAATCTACCGTCCGATGTACTTCAATTCCAACGTCCGCAGGGGGATGTAGGATACGCTGGTGAAGACCAAGGCGAGCTCGTTGGCAATGTCTCCTCCGCCTGTGCCGATTTTTCTCGCCAGAGATCCGACATAGTACGTCTCGTCCATGCCGACGATCCAACCAGCGGCACCGCACAGGAACGCCGTGAGACCTGCGAATCCGACTGGGAGTTGGGATGGGGTGTTCCAGGCGTCGAGGTCGTAGTTGGCGAGGTTACCTTTGCGGAAGTAGTAATGCTCAGTGAAGAGGATGACGAAGAAGGAGGTGTTCCAGTAGCCCAGCAGAGAAAGAAAGTTGTTGAGGACGGCAAGCAGGTGGTCACGGCCGGCGATACCGATGACAAGAATGCAGGCGAAGACAATGAGTGTCCAGATGATCCGGGGGATCTTCTGGAATGGTTTGGCGAATAGCTGAGCGGAGAGTGCACCGGCGTAGATGGCGATGCAGTTCATGCCGACTGTAAGAGTTAGTATTGGGGAAGGTTCGAAGTGGGGTGGCTGCACTTACTACCACACAGCACCAGGAGGACAAGGAGGAATTTGGAGAATCCTCTGGGGTAGATGATGATCTGCAGGATTTCGCCGATTCCCTCGTCATAGGCAGCAGCCCATTCGGGGTTCTCGTCCAGGGCAGAGGCAATACATGCACCGAGTAGCATTCCGATGCAAGTCGGGAGGGAGATACCCAGGGTCGTGTAGACAAAGACCTTGATCTTGGAGGTGTTGACTGGGTAGTGCACGTAGAAATCGGATACGATAGAGCACCACGATGCACTTGAGCCGTAGATCACACTGATGAGACTCAGGACATTGCCGGACTTTGTAAGCCCCGAGACGGTAGAGGGATCTGAAAGGCTGGCATGGTGGGCTGATTCTCCATAGATGATCATGAAGACGACAAAGGCAATCATCCAGATAAATTGCTCGATCGTCATCACAGCCTTCAATCCGAAAAAGCTGAAGCAAAGACTGACGCAGGCGACAATGACGACTCCAACGACCATTGAGATGTGACCGTCTGAAACAGCGCGCAGAGCTTGGCCACCGGTGATGCAGCTGACTGAAGCCCAGCCCAGCTGTTCGATCACGTTCAGCGCCGCGATGATGGAGGACGGGTAGAAGCCAAAGGAGTATCTAGAGATGGCGACTTGACGAAGGCCAGTTCCGGGACCCATTGTAGCACACCAACCCTAATGAATAGATGTGTAAGTAGCCGAGCGCAACATGCGTTGCTGTTGTAGACTAGAAGATGGAGTGCGAACCGTGAGACAACCGCCCAGAAACGTCGCGCAAATGATAATGGCGATGGTCTGCCCCAGACTCAAGCCAAACTCCTTTCCCATAAAGCCAGTGCTGAAGCAACTGAGGTTCATAGTAGCCGACGCCCAGATGAAGGCCATGGCCAGGGTGTTGGGGGGCTGGCGATGCTCGGGAAGGACTCGATCCAGACTGTGAGACTCGACACCCAATTTCCGGTCCAGCGACTCTTCATAGTACCGGATGCGGGCAAAGAAGCCCTGCGGTTTGACTAGAGTCTTTTCCTCCACCGAAGCCGTTGCCTGCTTGGGGTCGATGGTGGTGCCATCCTCGAGGGATTTGGACTCCATGGCGAGGGAGGGGATTGCGGGGAGGAGGGGAACAGCAGGAGAGCAAGGAAGGAAAAGGCTCACGAGGCACCTGTTCTTCCCCAGAAAACGGGTGTTAGACCATGCATGTATTAAATATTTGTAGGAAAATTCGGCATCGCGCCTGAAGCCGGCGCCAGATGGGGTTAGAGGACCCTCGCTAGGGCCAGATCCGTTTTATCTTTTGCCGTCGCGAAAACGTTGCATTGTAGGTAAGAGTTTGTGGGACAGGATTTTTCTTATCATTGCCCCAGTAGTCTAGTCGCCCCCCAGGCGAGACATGCCTATTGTCTAGATAATTCTTCATCTTTTTTCCCGGATTCGTTGCCGACTTCGGCCACCTGCCAGCAACTCCCTACTGTGTACGCCGTGTCTGCTTCTGAACCCAATTGACTTTCATGCCGGGATGCGTGGGAGGGCCCTGGACTTCTGTGGGAAATCGAAGCAGCATATCGCCGTTAAGGTTTTGGTCCACATCGGCCCAGCTCTAGTGCCTGGCCGTATCAGCAGTGGGTCGAGAGGCAGCCAGTCTGTCAAGGACTCAAGATGCCAGTCGGCGGCAGAATTAAGTCTGTTGCCTTTTCATGCTACTACGTGAACTGCACCAGATTGGGAGATTGGTGTCGAGAGAGCCATTGCTTGCTTGACAAACGTACATTACGGTGAGAAAAGAAGAAACGGTGTGATGCAAGTTTTGAAATATGAATATCAAGTCACATCACGACGAAAAAAAAAAAAAAAAAAAAAAAAAAAAAAAACCAGAAGGAATGAGGAGCTGCCCGGCTAAGATCTCATCATCCTATTGCTGCTATGGAGTCAGGCCATGTAACCCCCACAAACTTCCTGGACGTCTGCTGATTTCGCCACCGCCAGCTGTGGATGTTACGTCGGCGGTCCATAGCAAGGCCGTAAATCTGCCAGGCCCAATGACAATCGTATCTGCACGATACTATGTAATGCATGTTTCTCGTGAGGGTGAGACAAGAAACCACCAGCAAGTCAGTGGCTACTGATATTCCAAAGATCGGACTATCTACTATTAGAGATGCGCATTGGTCTAGGAATCGCATTGCCAGCGCTTTTCTCTAGGGACCGGGGGATTGTAGTTAGTAGACCCGAGACCGTGTGGGAGATGCCGGTATCTAGTAGGCATCTACATCTTGTACGTAGGATGACTCCTACAGAAATCGGAGTTGTAGACCACGTTTCCACCCGTATAAGATGCCCGAGCCTGCTCGTCTAGCTAGTCATGCTTTCAACTTCATTTGTATCAAACCGAGCGAATCATTAAATGTCATCAGATTCCACCTACCGTGCTCGGCAGATAATTCATTTACCAACTTGATGAGTAGCATATCGGATTCCTCATCGTTAGCTAACGAACCACCTACCTGGCTCTCAGGAGGATCCGTTAAACCATATGTTTTCCGTCGGATATGCCCGTACGGCGGAGCCGGCTGTTGCCTGTCTTTGGGGGAAGATAACCAGTACTGTGGTGACTCCAGATATCATCCCAGGTTTCTCGGGATGGTGTAACGTCAACAACAGCATTGTCAGAATACGGAATCATCGGAGTCCACGGCAAGATGAAAGGCTCGCCTTGGGATCGTAGTAGAATATTTGCTGGGGTTGCGGCCACTTGCATGGGAAGTGTGTCCGACTCTCAGCCTCAACCTGCAAGCCGGGCGCACTATCCAAGCACACCAATCACTTCCGGCGCACCATGCCAGTGCCGGTTAGAGGATCGGGATCCTGAGAGGCGTGATGCTGGCGACAAGGGATGGCGACCGAATCGAGCCCGTTGTGACAACGGCGACCATGCGTGCGGTGGTGGGCTGTTTTGTTTTGGGTAATGATCGGTCGGATCGAGCCCGACCCTGGCGGATAATGGATTCTGGCAGCATGAGCAGACACCAGCCGTGATGTTGTCAGAGAGTAGGAACTGTGTCTGGACTATGGAGTACTTACTGTTCGACTGTCGACCGGAGGAAGAATGGCGGCTCCGCCATTCAACCATGGCCCGAAAGGGAATGACTTCCTCCCCCGGGCTTTCCACTTTCCACTCCGACCACTCGGCTTGTCTGTCCTCTTCCTCTTCCTCCTCCTCTTCTTCCTCTTCCTCCCCATCGCATTTTATCGCCTCTGCCATCGTGTCAATTCTTTGGCCTCCTTCCCCCTCCCTTCCGTTCACCTCTCTCCCCCTCCGCTCACCTTTTCCTCCTTCTCCGCCTTCCCACTTTTGTCCTCGCTTTCTCTTCTCCACCCCCCTCATTTCTCGGCTTAATCTTGGGTTGCAACATCGCCTTATATTTTTTTCGCATTTAAGCCCTGCAGGTAGCAATTGAGCTTCTTCCCTTCTTGACCTTCCGGTTTTGGCCTACCGCCTCTATACTTTTGGATTATTAGCTCAACGAGGCACCTCTACACTCGGTGTTGATATCCGGTGCTGTTGACGTTGTTGGCAGCGAATTATAATTTCACTGACGTCGATTGCTTGACGGTATGGCTCCCCCTTTACGAATATCAATTGGCATTTTTAGTTTGACTAATATCAGAACAACAGTCTTTCACATCCATTTCTCCCCTCCTCCAGCTCGAACATCCCCCCAAACTACCCCGACCCTACCTCCGATCGTCCCGTCACAATGGCCTCCGAAGTGTCCGATGTCAATGTTAACGGCGGTGCCAAGTCTCGGGCAGCCATGCTAGAAGAGCAACACGCCCGTGACGAGGCGCACAAGGTTACCGTGGAAGATGTCGTCGATGAGGAGGACCTTCAGCACCCCCCTCCCTCTTCATCGCTCAATGGTGAAGAGTCCAGCGCTCCGTCGCAGACCCCGGCCCCAGCCGCGACCCCGGTTCCCGCAGCCCCCAAGCCCGCTAAGAAGGCCCCTGCCTTCGATGTGCAGTCGGAGGAGCTGTTCCCTGCTCTTGGAAGTGGTCCGAAGCCCAAGGCCCCAGCCGCCTCTGCTTGGGGGGCTAGAGGTTCTTCGGCTGCTGCCGTTGCCAACGGTGCTGCCAGCGGCGCGCCCGCAGGTACGTCTTTGCGGCCCAAATAGACAGGAAAGTATCGTTGTACTGATCGTTCTGGAATCAGCAGCCCCTGGCGGTTTCGGTTCTGAAGTTCCCAGGATCATCAGCTTGCCCGGAAAGCACATGGAACAGCTCCGCTTGGCACCTTCCCAGATGCTCCCGCGAGGCCAACTCAAAAAGCCTCTCCGGGATATCCTGCGCGATATCTCCAAACGGTCCAAGGCCAATGTTGACATGCGCGGTGGACCGGGTGGCTCCATAATCTTTGAGGGTAAAGGCTCTGTGGATGCGGTCAGGCAGGCCCTGAAGGAGGTCGCGCAGCAGGTCGGATCCAAGGTATGCTTCACTCGTTTACTGTGGGGAGCGATTGACGACTAATGTACCCCTAGCAATCTGTCCGCGTTCCGATCCCTACATCTGCCCGGCCTCACATCATCGGACGGCAAGGAGCCGTTGTCCAGGACATCCAGCAGCGGACAGGAGCACGTGTGCAGGTTCCCCGCGCAGAGGAGTCTACAGCTGGAGAGGATGATGACGACAGCGATACCATCGATGTCTTGATTGAGGGTGATGCTGTCGCAGCGGAGATGGCCCGTCGGGAGATCGAGGCTATCGTCAAGGAGCGTGCTTCCAACATGAGTCTGCGTCTCAAGTCTATCCCGCCCGAATTTTTCCCTTTCATCGCCGGTGCTTACAATGCCAACTTGAAAGAAATCGAGGAGCGCACTAAGGCTCAAGTGCATGTGCCGCGGTACGATACCTGGCAGAGCCAACCTCCGCCTCTGGAGGCTGATCCTGGTCACGTTCAGTTCGTACCAGTCCCTGACAAGCACATCCATGTCTCTGGTGAGCGCGCTGCGGCCCAGGAAGCTCGTGCGGAAATCGAGAGACTTGCCGCCGACCTGCAGCGCCAGCTCGCCCTCCGCCAGCTCGCCATTAACCGTGGCCAGCATCAATTCATCCTTGGCGACAACGCCGACGCTTTGCACGAATTCCTTGCTGATACCGGCTGTGCCATCGTATTGCCCCCTGCCTCTGATGAAAGCGAATTCCTTACCATTACTGGCCCTCTTGATTGTATCGAGAATGGTATCAACCGGGCAATGGACCTTGCAACCAGCATGCAAATGGCAAGCATTGACCTGTCCCGCCAGCACCCCACTGCTCCCATGGGCCCCCATGCCCATGCTCGCGCCCTTACCCAATACCTCAGACAGCGCCAGATCATCAAGGAGCTGGAGAGCATGTACGATGCTCGGATCGCCCTTCCTCCCAGCTCTGACGGCCCAGTGACATGGGAGGTCTACTCCAGGGATGGCAAAAACACGATTCGCGCGCGCTCCGATATCATGAACCTGGTTCAGGCTCACCCTCCGGCGAGACTCCGTAACGTTGCGGTTGATCCTTACTTCCACCCATACCTGCGTTCTCGGAGCATTGCCAAGTTGCGCAGTGACTATGGCGTTCATCTTCTTGTGCCTGATGAGCTTGATAGCTCTGATGTCGTCCTTGTGTACGAGGGCCCCTCGGCTTCTGCTGCTCAGTTTGAGATCCCCCGCCAGAGACCCTCTCCCACTGATCTCGCTACCTTCGAGAAGGCTCTCCAAGAAGCCCAGGACTATCTTTTGAACACTCTTGGCGACCAAAACGATGTTGTGGCGAAGTCTGTGAGCGTCCCAAGCAAGTACCAGGAGAAGGTACGCAAGTTCATCTCCCGCGAACAGCAAGCCAAGGGTGAGGACGAGATCCCTGTCCGCGCTCTTATCGGGGATGGACGTACCCGTAACGAGTCCGAGGTCGCACTTCGTGGGCCCTCCCGCCTCGTCGACGACCTTGTTTCGAAACTCCAGGCGTTTGTTGTGGAGCAGGAGCAGGATGACCTCGAAAGAGGATACACGACAACCTTCGACTTCCCCCAGAAGTTCGCTAACTTCTTGATCGGCAAGCGGGGAGAGAATATCAACAAGCTCCGGGATGAGTTTGATGTCGACATCAAGGTCGAAGCCGGCAAGGTTGAGGTCAAGGGACCCAAGGCCAAGGCCGATGCCGCTAAGCTTAGAATCATCAACCTGGGCAAGAAGCTGGAAGACGAGACCACCCATATCTTGAAGATCCCTGCCCAGTACCACCGGGAATTGATCGGACAGAAGGGAAGCCAGGTCAACAGACTCCAAGACCGTTATTCTGTTCGTGTTCAGTTCCCCAGGGCTGCGGTGGCGGCCACCATCAACGATGATCAGTCGGTCGCTGAAAACTCCAGCGACGCGGGTGGCTCTCGCCCCAACCGCCCGCAGCAGGCTCTGGATGAGGTTATTGTCAAGGGTCCCAGCAAGGGTGCTGATTCTGCGCGAGATGAGATCCTTAGCTTGCTCCAGTGGGTCATTGACCACTCCTATGCGGCTTCAGTTTCCGTCGCCCAAGCTCAGATCCCGTCCTTGATCGGCCAGCGCGGGCGCGAAATGGACAAGCTCCGCGCGGATACCGGTGCCCAGATCGACGTTCCTGGAGTCAACGATGCTCCGGATGACTCGGGCCGTGTGCAGATCAAGATTAGAGGCACAAAACAGCAGGTTGAGGAGGCAAAGAAGATCCTGCTGCAGCGGTCTAGTGAATTCGACTCGATTGTCACAAAGACAATTGACGTGGACAAGAAGTACCATAAGTCGCTTATCGGCAGCGGTGGTAAGTTTCTGCGTCCGCTATATGATGATCTGTTCACTAACAAACGTCCAGGCGCGAACATTCGCAAGATTGTCGCCGAGGCCGGTGGCCCTACCGATGGCAGCGCCTCCCGAATGGTCAAGTTCCCGCGCCCGGAGAGCCCTGACTCCACTATTAAGCTTGAAGGAAATGGCCAGGTGGTCGACAAGATCGTTGCTGCGATCCAGGACTTCGTCAAGGAGCGTGAGGATCAAGTGTCCGTGACCGTTGAGGTTCCTCCTTCTCAACATCGTCTGCTCATTGGTCGTGGAGGTGAGACCCGCCGTGGCATCGAGTCGAAATTTAACATCACCCTTGATATCCCTAAGCAGGGCTCTGGACGCTCTGATATCAAGCTGAAGGGCCCGACCACCGCTGTTGCGGATGCTAAAGAGCACATCCAGTCTATGCTTAAGGACCAGCAGGGTGAGACCGTGGAAGTTCCCCGGAATTTGCACCATGTGATTGCGGACAATGGCTCTTTCTTCCGTCGCCTTCGCAACGACTACCGCGTGACTGTGGATCATGCTGGCCAGCAAGTGCCGCCCAAGCCCGCTTCCGAAGACTCCCGCGCTGCCGTCAACGGTGCCTCTTCTCTCCCCTTGATCACGGATGAGCCTAGCGACGCCGTCGAGGCTCACTCGTGGAAGATTGTTGACAACAGCCCCGCAGCTGTTGACCCCTCCGAGCCTGCGACCATCCCGTGGGTTCTGGCGGGAACCAGTGACAATGTGGCCAAGGCCAAGGCGGCCTTGGAGAAGGCCATTGCCAATGCATCCCAGCAGTCAGCTACTGGCTACCTCATCCTGCCCGACCCGAAGACTTACCGCTTCGTTGTCGGACAGGGAGGCAGCCAAATCAACGCTATCCGCAAGCAGACTGGCTGCCGGATCAACGTGCCCAAGGACCAAGCCAAGGGCGAGGCGATTGAGATCAAGGGAAGCAAGGAAGGCTTGGAAGAAGCCAAGGATATGATCCTGGATGCTGTCCGCGCTGGATTGAGCGGCAACTCCCGGTCATAGGAGTCAACTTGATTGGTGTCATGTACGGCTGTTGGCATAAAGAGTCTGGCGGCCGATATTTTCCTTCTATTTTTGTCTAATGTTCTCCCAAAAGAAGACTGTGTTGTACATCTACTCGCATGAGAGGCAGTTGGGTTTGCATCTGCCTTGAACATTTTGTGATTAGGCCTCACTCCCCTTATAAATATAAATGCATCTACATGATTTCAACGACTCTAGGCGGGACCGCGTATAAACACCATGGTAGGGAAACAATGTGTAATCGAATCCTCAGATTCGAGTGCGCACCCGGTTTATCCTCGGCTTTGTACAGTCAATGTTGAATGAAGCGACCATGAGTAAATCGGACATCTGTGAAATTGCTTGCACTCTAAGAAGAAAAAAAGGAATGAGACATAAATCATGAATATCTGCACTGGATATCACCCAACAACCCCCTAATGCTGGCGAGAAGTAAAAATAGCCGAGATCGACGGGGCCAAAGACAAAATCAAAAGCAGACAAGAAATGGAGAGATTCAGAAATTCGGAGATTCTTTAGGGTCATATTCATTTCTCTGTTTTTTTTTGTCTTATTTCTCAATTATTATTGAAGGTATATCGTTTACTGCGTCTCCGCGGCGGAGGCAGTCTGGAGGTACTGGTAGGCACCGTAGGCGATCAGACCACCGACCAAGACGATGGCGTAGAGGCCAACACCGAGGCCGCCATCGCTGGAGCTGGAGGGACCGGAAGAGGACTGGGGCTTCTCGCGGGGAGCAGGGTCGCCGGGCTGGAAAGGGTTCGTTAGTGGGATTGAAATTTACGAAAATCAGGCGACTAAGGTGAAAGAATGAGGACTGGTCTGTTTGCGACGTACCATGCGCTTGACGTTGCCGACGAGGAGACCATCCAGGATCTCGCGGGCCTCGTCACTGTGACCGACATCCTCGAAAGCCTCGGTACCGTCCTGGCCGGCCACATCGAGAAGGACTTCCTCACCACCACTACATTCGGGTTGTGTTAGTTGGGTTCACATTATTTTTGTTCTTCGGTGATCCTTTCAGGACGCCCTCTGGGGTTGGGGGTTTCCGGGCGCGGTGTGCGCATAGGGAATAGATGACAAGGGCTCAATCACGTACGGGTGCTCATCGACGAAAGAGGAGACGTCGTAGACCTTGTCGTGGATGACCATGTAAAGGTCCTTCTTGGTGTTGTGGGCGCTGACCTCCTGGAGGGTGAGTTCCTTTGCGTCGGACATGGTTGCGGTAGGGACTGTAAGTGAGAAAAGATGGCACGGTCAGCGACTGAAACTGTCCAAGTTGCAGGTGAGACTGATAAGCAGGGAAATTTCGGGATTGAGTTGGGATGGATTCATGTGAATGTTCGGCAGTCTGGGATTGTTTCAAAGCCGGTATAGGATGCATGTACTCCGTGTACAAGTTGCGATGGGGAAGAGCACGATTGGGCGATATGTCAATGACAGATGCCAGAACCACGTCGTTTGGTGGTTTGTACCTCGGAATGTAGAGAACGGCGACGGTGCAGAATGCGATAAAGGCAGATGGCAGGAGAGTGCGGGACTTACCGAAGATTCGACAAAAATCGAAGGCACGAGGCAAGTCAAATGGGGAAGAGGAGATCACGAAGGACGGTCTAGGCGACAGAGACAGATGAACCCGAAGGAAGGAGAGGAAGAAACTCGGGGGACGACGAGAAGGAAGAGGAGAAGGAGACCTAAAGCCGAGTCGCTTCCTTAGGCAGGGGCCCCTGGCCCTCCCTGATTCGCCGCCGTCTCCGCTGGAAGCTCCAGCCAGGAACTGTAGGAGGTTCCAGCAGGGCACCGCTGGCTTGGCCCATGGCCGTCGCTGCCGTGGATGCCAGCCGGCCCTTGGGTGCCTCGACTCGCTTTTTACCGGGTTACCGCCAGGAATGCCTGTCCTGCTGGACTGTCTATCGAAGATCGATCTATCCCTTTGGCCTGTTCCCCAACCCTGTCCCAAAAAGGCAATCCGGAAAAGTGGCCTGATAGGGATAGGGTCTGTCCGCCAATCAGCGCACGCTTATTCTTGGCTTAGTCAGGTTGGAGATGAGTCAGAGCGCTAGGCCTGATCAGGCAAGGGACTAGATGGCCCGTCGATCAATCCAGCACATCGCTTCATTGAAATTGATTTGTGACTGCCAATTATGATTACTCTTCTTCACCGATCATCACTTGGTCCAGTGGAGGGGTTGGCATTAACTCCATGCTTGGAGGCCAGGATATCTTTTCCTAAAGGGTATTTTTTTTCTTCTCTGACGCCTGTGCACTCAATATCATCTCATGGGATATCACCTCATCTTTTCGGTGCCCCCATTCTTAATAGTATTTCTTACCCGCTCCACTCTCGTCGCTTCGGAATAACCTCCGCGGTCCGATCATGATTGCTGCTCCCTTCGGTGCCTGCTCCACCACCTTATTGTGTGACAGCCATTGTCTATCTATCAGTACTCCGTATCAGTCTTTTCAATGTTTTATCGCCAGTTCCGCGATATCCTATCTCCTATCTATCTAGTATCTACACGTAGTAGAAATCATACCTTATGTAGCGTAGCAATAAAAGCCAAAACAGACACACCAAGAAATCACGTCATAGCGACAAACAATCCTAGTCTTCTGCATTATTTCCAAATACATCCTCCGTACGTAGTTGGAGAATGCCGAAGTTCCGCCACGCCCGTTCAAGTAAGTCCCGACGGTGGGATCCAGGGAGCCCAGGGATAACCGTAACCTCGGGGAGGATCGCCTGCCCACCGCGTGTCGGGTAGCGCTGTCGGGATTAAATGCCCGAGTCGGCCGCGGGTTTCCCCGCTTTTCCGCACCTGGTCACTTGGGTGAGGAATGCGCCGTCGCGGGGAGGCAGGGCGGAATGTTCTGCTTCTTTGGGGGGTGGATGCGGGGTTCTGTCATGATCTGATAGCAATGAGGGGGCATGGAAACTGGTAACGATGAACTATCCAATGTCTATCATGTCATGTCATCATACTAAGCTGAGGACGGCTGCCTGCCTATCTATACATCGCTGAGGGAACCGGAATGCGACCTCAATGCCGCTGAATGGTGCCATCCAAATAAGTGCTGAAGAAGATGCAAACGCACAGGGATATGGAAAACAAAAGGTATAGTTCGTCACATGCAAAAATCATCCGTCATGCAGCGCGTGTCGTCGTTTCTTCCAAGAAAAAGATAAAAAACATAAGCAAAAATAAGCAAGCACAAACGTCCCAATGCAAAGTTACCCATGTCAGACATGTCCCAATGAATAAACGCTACATTAGGGTCCATCCCGCTCCGGTAAGGCCGCCGAGGAATCGAATAAAAGTATATAATGCACAGCGCCCGTCTCGTCTTCTTACTTCGCGGGGACCCGCTCGTAGAATACGATATAGGCTTGTTCGTTTTGAAGCCGGTCCTTGTGCCGCATGTCGCGCGGGTTGAAATCCATCACCCGCTCGTCGTCAAATCGTCGCCAGCATTGCCGTTGTGCGTCCCGTACGAGCGAGATGTAATGGCCGCTACCCATCGAGGCCCCGATGTGCCGTAGTACACCGTACGCATCATACGTGAAGGGAGGCGCTGTGGCCGCGATCGGGTCTTGCGGTGCTCCATTGGCCGGCCCCTGATTCGGTGCCGAGAACACAAAATCGTCCATTCGGAGCCCATGCAAGGGGAAATCGATCGGCGTATGGATCTTTCGTGCGGTCTGCGTTTTCGACGCGGAGAACCGCTTGAAGTGCACTACCAGGATTTGCGGGGCCCGCGTGATGATGATCTGTTTGGTTGCAACTCGCTCGCACTTGCAGTACGGACATTTCCACACCTCATCCCCGCTCAGCAATTCCTCCTGGCAATAACTGCGAAGGCATTGGTAGATGTCGCCCGATCCCGATGTGGGGATTTCAACACTGATGCTGTAGAAAGCCTCGTACGTGGTTGATGTCCGCTTACAAGTGGTGCAACGCAGACGGCTAGCATGCTGGCCAGCGAAAAGTGAAGAGATGAACGATTCTTCTCGGTGACAGTACCGATCCCATTCTATCTTAGAAACCCTAGGGACCGGCATCCTCTCTCGCTGCATTTCCTCCTCAAAGGTCAGCGGCCTGAGAGGCGTCCGCTGCCAGTTGATGTTGAGGTCCTCGTGCAGACAATCGACGGCAAAGTCGAAAAACTCCTTGGCGTCCTGCTGGCGGTCAATAGCCCATTCCTGGTTCAGCCGTCCACAGAAGTTTCGGAAAGAAGTTGGCATGATCACTTCTACGTCATTCTTCCAAAGTGACCTGATTAGATTTGCATACAGCCCCGGCATGACGCCTTGGGAGCCTTTCCAGTTCTTTTGCACATAGTACCGGAACCGATTGTCGATGAAGAACTTGCTCAGCATCACTGTTGCGCTCAAACATTGGAGGGTCGAGTTCATATAACAAGTTACCCCGAAATTCGTCAGTCCGGTTCGGGGGAGCTTCAGACGGTTCAGCATTGAGCTGGGCGTATATAGGGCTGTTTTGGTCGCGGAGTTCTGCCGCTCTAGTGTGGGTTGTATCTGCCGGCCGTCTGAAACACCACTGTAACTAGGCCGTGGAACCGCAGGTGGAGGTCTTGATGGAGCAACTGGAACAGGCGTGGCATAGTTGGGTGCGGGGGTCCCTGCTGGCCGAACATGTGGTGCCACCATCGACTGTTGGATTGAATGCGGTTCGGGGAAGCGACGAAGAAAATCCTCATAAGTGTGCACAAATGGCGACACCGGGGGCTCTTCCTCGCCCTCCGGCTCTTCCATGAGTGCATCCTCTCCGACATAGGTCCCGGGGTCGATCTCCTCCGTTTTCGACTTTTCCATCCACTCAGTGAGTTCTTGAGGGTTTAGTGGCTTGAGTTCGCGTAGTCTTCTCTTTCTCACTTCCAAACTCGAGTTAGCACTGACGATCGTGGGTACTCTTCCCAGGGGTCGCCCGGAGTTTCTGACAGGCTTCTTTGGTAGCAAGGACCCCATCACCGCAGCAGTGGAAGACGTGGCAAGAGACTGCTGGCCAACGAGATCGATCCATGCGTCCAGCCCGCCAAGCAGCAATGCCGGGGGTCTTCCATCCTTCAATGGTTTATAAGCATTGAATTCGTAAAGCGTGTCATACAGAGCTCGAAGATGAGGAGCTGTGGTGCCAACTGGGGATCCGGCAAGGTAGCTGACAGATGCCGTGCTCTGGTCATGATAGACGACCATGTCAAACTCATTGCGCCGCTCGAATAGCGATTGCTCGTGTTCCGGCGATACCACCAAACGTTCCTCGAGTTCCTCGGCCGACACATTCTCCTTTAACGCCACTGGCTCAATGCAAAGGATCGACGAGGCATAGATATGGCCACTATCGTACTGGTCCCGTGAGCGCACGTCAATCAATAAAATATTGTATTTGCGCATATAGTCCAGTAACTGCTGAGGCTCAATTATAGTGCTGTAAGGGAGGTCTGCACTACTGCTTCTAACCTCTTTGGCCTGATGTATGCCGTTGGGAGTTTGCGATCTATAAGGATTGTCGTTAAAGCCATCACGGCTAGGACTGCCGCGAGGAGATGTCGTGAATTGAGAATACCTTGAACTGACAGGACGAGAGCTCTCGATCGAGGTTCTGGGTGGGTTCGAGGGCCCCTGCGAGGGCACGGTCCAGATTGGGCTGTAAGCAGGGTCTGGAGCGCGAGGAAGAGACGTATTGACCGGCACCTTCGGAGGTAAAGTAGGTACGCTATGAGAGGAGCCCATGCTACGGGGTCCTAGAGGGCGCCTTGGAGGTACTCCTTGAGACATGTAAGATGACGGTCGAGGAGGAGGGTCTTGAGTTGGGGGGGTCGAGATAGTGCCATTTTGGCCATTGGTGGTTGGGCCCCGATCAGTTGAAGCAGGCGGCGACATTTTTAATTTTGCAAACCTTTCAGCAAGTGCATCCCCTGCAGGACTCGAATACCGATTCAACTTCACGTTTGCTTCAGCCGACTCTTGGAACTGTGAGGGGCTAGGCATTCGCAATCCGTTGTTACCAGCGTCGGTTGGGCGGCCTCTTGAAATAGGAGTCTGCAAATGTCCAGCGGATAACATCTGTGATCTTGGGCGTAAAGGGTTCGACAGAGGAATCCCCGCAGGCTGGACATTGGTCAACAAATTGTTCTCTAGAATCTGTTGTTTTATGTCGTCCATTGTCCCTTGCTTCATTCGCACAGCCTGCCGCCTAATTAGCCAATGTTTAACAGATACAGAAACCACGGCAATTGAAGCACCGGGCATGCTGTTGGGAAGCCAGCGCATACCATCATCAGATCCTTGAATCGTTTGTACCATCCTGGGCGGTTATTGACAGTCACTCGGTAGTCAGGGTGATTAGGGATTATATTGATCGTAATCTCGGAGGCACGCAGGTATTGCACATAGGCCCTATCCACTTGCTCGGTGTCGGCGAGCTCGCGGGCTCGATCTATGGCCACTTGCGCCCGCTCCAGTAGAACGCTAAGCTGCATATAGTTCGGGTTAGTGATCTGCAACAAACGCCACACAGTCAAGCGCATCGGGGTCGAAGCATACCGACGTATCTCCGCTGAGGTCAAGAGCTGCCGCTTCATCCTGGAGATCCTTCAGATTTGGAAACCGTGCTGGTTGAGATCCCGCGGGGGAGCCATAGCTGAAGGCCTGATACGATCCTAGTCCGGCGGTTGACCTCCCGCCCGAATGCATGCCACCGAGGGACTGAGGACGGCGAGGGGTGTTCTCCCACGGTGCAAAGTCAGGTGGAGAGGGTAAAGCCGCTGCATCGGAGGACATTATATCACGGCTAGGATGAGAGGCTCAGCACATGACCTGGAAGACGGGTTCGTCGTGGACGCGGGGAATCTGGTCGAATTCGGGTCGGAATTCGAGTGCCTGGAAGGGTACGGGGAACCCGGAGGGAAGAAGACCGATGATGACCGCGCTGACAGGCCCGAGGGGAGTGGGCGGAAGAATCATGTAAGAAGCCTCAAGGAGGAGGAGGAGGGGAGACTCGGACACTGCCAGGCAAGATAGGCAGCCAACGTTGCGGGATCGAATTGGAGGGATTGGGATGTTTCTGGGGTAGGTTGGTATGTAATGCGCCGGTATCATCGGGGGCTCGTTACTCACCGCCCGGGCCTATGACGCCACTGGCCGACCCTGGCTGCCTGGGGCTGCCCGCTGAGTCAGGGTTCCTGGCCAATGGCGGCGCCACATTGCCGCCTGCTGCATTAGGTAAGTTGGTACCTCCCGCCATCATCGACCGTTGACTGTTATCGGGCGATCTGCCTGGAGCTTGCTTCCACTCCCTCCTTGGTACTGTGTCGGCTTCAACAGAGGTCTGTTCCTGAAGTACCTAGGTCGTGAACTGGCCATCTCTTCAGCCTCATCTCAGAGATTTATCCTGTCGGCTAGGATTCTCTCCAGCCCCTCCCCGTCGCTGCTACCCAACGTCATAGCGACCCTAGGCTCCGCCATCGTCAGATCATTCATCCATTGCGCACCGGCAGCATGGCGGGGTGGTTCTCTTCAACCTCACCGATCGAGGAGCAGGTGGAAAAGGCGACCGCATCGTCACTGTATGTTTCTTCGAGCACCTTTCATCCGGTCCCACGGCGATTGGGCTGGGCCAGCTCATTAGTAACCGGTTTCTAACAATTGCCGCAGGGAAGACATTGCTCTTAACCTAGAAATTTCCGACCTGATTCGATCAAAGAGTGTTCAGCCCAAAGATGCTATGAGATGCTTGAAGCGACGCTTAGAGAACAAGAACCCAAACATACAGCTGGCGACTTTGAAGGTTGGCTATTCGGCATCGATCCAACTACACCCATACTGACGGCTGTATAATTGCGCAGTTGACAGATACATGCGTGAAAAATGGCGGCACGCATTTCCTGGCGGAAATTGCGTCGCGTGAATTTATGGATAACCTCGTCTCACTTCTCAAGACCGAGGGGGCACCGCTGAACTCCGACGTGAAGGCAAAGATGCTAGAACTAATCCAGGACTGGGCCATGGCAGCCCAAGGCCGTATGGACTTGAGTTACGTTGGGGAAACGTATCGGAGGCTGCAGGATGAAGGCTTCCGCTTCCCACCCAAGACCCAGATTAGCGGAAGCATGCTGGAGAGCAGCGCGGTGAGTTGCCCTTGTTGCAGTGCCTTCTACCTTTCATACTAATGGTTGAATCGCGCAAGCCTCCTGAGTGGATTGATTCCGATGTCTGCATGCGATGCCGTACTCAGTTTAGCTTCATGAATCGCAAACACCATTGTCGCAATTGTGGGAGTGTCTTCGATGCGCAGTGCTCCAGCAAAACCCTCCCCCTGCCTCATCTCGGAATCTTGCAGCCTGTTCGGGTCGATGACGGATGTTACGCCAAGCTGACCTCCAAGCCATTTGTATCAAGCGGCCTTTCGGATCGGTCCGCATTCAAAAACAATTCTATAACAAAATCCAGCGTGATGGAGCCGCGTGGAGCTAGGGCAGAAGGGGGATTTGACGATGATCTACGTCGGGCTTTGCAGATGAGCTTGGAGGAAGCACAGAACAAGGGCTCAAGTGGCTATGTCCCGCAGGCTTCGACCGTCCAGGAGCCACCCAAAGCACCCAGTCAGCCTGTCATAGAAGAAGAGGATGCGGACTTGAAGGCTGCTATTGAAGCATCGCTGCGTGACATGGAACAACATAAACAAAAACATGCGGCCGCTTTGAAGAATGCACCGTCTACAGATGTCCCGTCCCGTCAGACACCAAGTGCAACACCTTTGCCTAAAAACCCTTACGAGCTCAGCCCAGTGGAGGTAGAGAACATTCACCTTTTCGCCGCTCTCGTCGATCGGCTTCAGCACCAGCCTCCGGGGACCATACTACGTGAACCTCAGATACAGGAATTGTATGAAAGCATTGGAGCCCTTCGTCCCAAATTGGCGCGGAGCTATGGAGAGACCATGAGCAAACACGGTATGTTTTGGTTCCTGCTTGTCACTTGCGACTTCCTGAAAGCTAACACAAGGATGCGTCAGATACACTCCTTGACCTACATGCGAAACTCTCGACGGTTGTTCGATACTATGATCGCATGCTCGAGGAGCGTCTATCCAGCGCTTACTCACAACATTCGCTAGGTTATGGATCTGTCCCTGGTGGATCGCCATATCCCAGCATCTATCCGTCAATGCCTGCTCCTCCGACTGATGGGAAAACTGGATCTGAAAATTATTACTACGGGAATCCGGTCGCTGAGAATCACCAAACCCCGACCACGCCGTACTCTCAGCCTCAACCCGACAGGGAATTGCATGAACGAGTTGGCACACGCAGCGGTGCCATGAGTCCCAGCGTATACGCGTATCCCTCCCAGTCTAACCCACCCACCATGCCTTGGAACGGAAACGCTCATGGTGTCGCATCTCCGCAACCTTCAAGCGCCAGTATGGCTTTTCCCAACAACCCTTCGGCTTACCCCGGACCCGCTGCTCCGACTCAGTTCTACGCCCCTCCACAACCCGTGGAACAAGACACAAAGCCGGTTCAACATCCCAGACAGTTTGAGCCAGATATGCCTTACCAGCCGTCACCTATTTTGCAACGTGATGCGCAACATCAGCCATCTGCACTACCAGCACCGGATCTACCCACTGACCAAGTGTCAGCTTCCAGCTACATGCATTTAACGGATCCCCATCCTATGCAACCTAGTGGTCAAGTGCTTCAGCGTCAGCCCACCGACCCGTCCGGTGCATCGTTCTACGCTCAGCCGCAGCCTCCACAGGGATCTCCGTTCCCGCCTTACCCCCAGGGAACACCTGGACACCAGGGCCCATCCGTTGGAGATGTGTCCCCGGTGGGTATGGCGCCGACTCATGCACAGTATCAACAATCGGCACCGAGCCGGCCACCGGTGGAAGAAAGTTTGATTGAGCTGTAGAGGCGGGGGTGGGGCCGAGTTGAGCCTTTTTCCCGTGTGATGATGCGGTTCCTTAATTATATAGTCTTTTGTCTCACCATGATACCAAACGGATTGGTTGTTTGCACGCCACGAAATTGTCTCTGCAGTTCTCACAATCCCACGGACAGAAGACGTTGGAGACCATTGGTAGTGCTCATCATGTAGGACAGACGGTAGATAGATGACGCATCCACTGGAGCCGGCCTCGTGTCCCTCGTCGCGATCGTCAGTGGCGAAAAAAAAGGGCCGACGACGGAACGAGGCCAAGAAGCCCCGGTCTGGACCGTACGGCGGTACCGTACGGGGCCGGGTATTACCGCCTCTACTGGGTAAGATGGAAGTAAGAGTAGTATTCCATTCCCTTCATTCCCTTCCTCGCCGGCGGCATTCCTTTTCTTCCCCATCCTCCCTCTTCCTTCCTTTGCTTCGTCGTGTCAAATCCCGGGATTCCTCCTCCCAATGTCCTAGAACCAGTGCCTCTCCTTCTCCTGGTCATCGGCTTCTTCTCCGCTCCCACCCCCTTCTCCCCCCGTCACCTCTCCTCTCTCTCTCTCTCTCTCTCTCTCTCTCTCTCTATCCCGAACCCCTCCTCGCTGCCTCCCTCCTTATCCGGCCTCGGTGTAACACATCTCGCGTCATCCACCAATTGCCTCTTCCCCGCGTTGTCGGATCGTCGACTCAGCCGGAGACTGCCTCTCATTGCTTTTGCTCTGCGTGCTGGCTGGCTGGTGTGCTTGCTTGCCTGCCTCTCTCTGTCCCGCCCGCCAATATTTTCTGCAGCGTTCTGGCTGCTGTCGTGACACCGGGGCTGCTTCCTGGGCCGGTCTCTGCAGTGCAGGAGCCCTCCCTCCAATCGCCTCGATCGCTATTTTTCCGATTGCTGCTCATCGCCCGATCCGGCGCCATTTCCCGTGGCCCGTTGGGACGCCCTTGCCTGACCCTGCCTTGCCTTGCCTGCCAGCCTGCCTGTGATTGCCGCCATGCCGACCTCCAACACCTCCTCCCCCGTTAAGCGCCCGGGGCTGGGCCGCCGCGCTGTCTCCTCTCACGCGGTTGTCACGCGCTCCTCGTCCTCGACCCAAGGCGAGCTGGCTCACTCCCACTCCTCCAACTCCCAAAAGCCTACCCATAGGCCACATCGTCCCCATCTTGTCGGCGGCGGTCGCAACCATCACCGCAACCCATCCTTCGGAAAGAATTTAAACAAACTACAACGACACCAGTCCGCCCAGCAGATCGTTACGGAAGGATCCGCTCGCCTGCATCAGCGCAAGAAGTCCGCACCTACGACGCCTGTTGCTGCGACGCCTGCTGCAAGCCCGCGTGGGCAGCACGTCCGCTGGGATGGGGTGTTGGACGAACCTCACCGCAGCACCGGTTCGATGAAAAAGAATTACTCCAGCCCGGCTCTCCGACGAAATACCTCGGGTGTCTTGGGCAAGAAAGCTCTAGTCACTGACCGTCCTCACACCAGTTCCGGGAAGAAGAAAACCGTGGGCTTTGAACTGGCGGATTCCGACAACGACGACGCTGACTGGGAAGATACCACTCAATCACCTGAAAGTACACGGCGCAGCTCGGTGGCACAATCGAAAGAGAGTGTGGAGAACCCTGCCGTGCTGGTAGACCCCCTTACTTTCGTCAAACGCTCCTACCCGCAGTTCCCTCGAGCAACCAGCCTTCCAGAGTCAACCAGTAAGAGTTTCGGTGACGACCATCTATCGGACGACGACGACCAAGACGACGACCACGACAGTCACGACCACGACGACACTGCTACACAACGGCCGTCCGATTCGGAGGAAAGAAGCGAGGAGTCCAGTCGCGCTCTCGACCACGCTGATATTGCAGCACGCCTGTTAAGTCCGTCGCACTCCGCAAAAGCGCCCCCCGCCATGTCTTCCATATCGGCTACGGTGAAGCCGACCGTGGGGGATCCGCTTTCTCGTAACGCCTCGCTGACCAATTTGGCTTCTGGGCATGAGGGCGCACGGCGCCCGCTATCCTCGTCCCACACTACGTTGGCGAATACTCCCGGTAATCACACGCAGGCTACGTCGTCTTCTATCGAAGGTGGTGTCTCGAAGTTCATCATTAACAACAAGGCTGGGTCGCACGCATTTTCACGTGCCGACTCTGATCCAAACACTCCGTCTTCTTTCCTGCCACACTATCACCCTCAGACACCACCATCCCCGAATCGTGGCACAAGCTCGAGGAGAGCACGAGCCTCGCCACCTTCACGGCCTCCAGGCGCCGAGCCCCATTCCCGCACACAGCAGAAGCTTTGGTTGCAGCGCACCGCAGCACTCAACACTTCGCCGCCTGATGGCCATGGTGTGTCAACGGCTGTGTCTCCAGCAGCGATAGACCCCGCCTTTGCTGTAACCCACACACGACCGGGTTCTGGGCCCTTTGAACCCGGCAGGACACTAGTAAACGGACCTTCCAGAGCAAGTGGGACAGTGCATGACAATGAAGTCAAACACATCCGCAAAGCGTACGAGAAGACGGCATTAGAACTGACCGTCGTACGAAGGTTCCAGTCCCCCACCGGGGATAGCTTCAATCGCTTGAACATCATTCTCAATGATTTCAAAGGTGCTAACTCTGGCCTGGAACAACGCTCGTCGCTTGGCAAGCCGATCAAGTCAGCACCAGCACTGACGCTTCTGCAAGACGAAAGGCAACAAGGCATAGGCCGCCATAGCGCCAGCCCCGAACCCAGACAGCTTGTGGGCAGAAGAGACCAAGAAATGCATACGTCGGTCTCGCAGGCTTATTTGCAAGATCCAGAAGATCTTGTGAATGAGTCCACCGGTGCAGGCCCGGGACCCAAGTCTCAACACCCGTCCCATCGCATACTATCCACATCCGACGAGCCTGTCCATGGCAGTTCGGCCCCCGAAGACATCCCGGAAGACACGCTTCTAGCCAATGAGGCTGAGATGATGATCCGTCGCATGTGGGAAAGCCGAGAAGTAGCCACCGCCGGCTAATTGTACAACACTCCCCTCTGTTTCTATTATTTATCACCGTCACTCAGTCTGTTTTCGGTCTCTGTTTTTAGCAACCACGGCGTTCAGGGCTGCATGTTGTAGCGCATAGGGTCGTTCCGGAGTCAATCTTCTGCGCAAATTGCGTCGTGATGAGGTATTACCTTGGGCTTTTATTCAGACTGCTGCTTTTATATTCTTTTCCCTTCTCCCCTTTTAGCCTTTTTCTGTGTCCATCTTATGCTACGATGATAGATACTTTCTACGTAATAATGTAATTAATTTAGTGAAAACCAAAGCCCTAGATAATTAACGCTTGGCTAGGACAATACCTCCTTTTCGTATATGCTTCAAAGACGGTGATACACAACACCTTACGATAAGAAACTCTTCATTGACAGTCCCAAATCTGTCGGGAATATCACCTCTCTCTCTAGATTAACTATACATATCAAATTTCCCCAGTGATCCAATCGTAACACAAGCCAATGTCTATCCCAACGGGCTATTTCTTCCCGTTCTTTCCGTCTATAAAAATAAGTCACGAAGCGCAATACGGAATGAGGAAGAATATTCCCCACTCGAAGGACAATTACAATCGAAAGATTTCACATGAGTATTGTTTTTTCAGAGGATAAGTATCTATACTCAAGGAAATGGGAAAGTAATGATTCATATCGACGGAGCAGGGCAGAGCAAAGACTGCTGTATCAAGCAGCCTTACCGCGTTCTTTGTTGCCTCTGCCACGAGGAGCACCACCGCGACCACCGCGACGGGAGTTGCCCCCGGCTGTGTCGGGGTGGTTCCCGTTGGGTGGTCGTTGGGGGTGCTCCCGACGAGGGGTGCTCTTTTTCTGCGTGTTCGGGACGTCCTTCCGAGGAGAAGGGTTGGCGGGGGGCGGTGGTTGGAATTGCGGTGCAGAGGTCTGGTCGGTGCCGTTGGCGCCGCCGCCTTTTCCGCGCCTCTTGCGCTGTTGCTGTTGCTGCTGTTGTTGTTGTTGTTGTTGCCCTTGGCCTTGGCCTTTACCGCGACCACGGTTCCCTCGAGTGTCTCTTACTTCTGGGTTGTTGGTGGTGTCGGGGGTTGAGTTGGGCTCGGGAAGTCCTTGGATACGTCTACTTTCTTTATCCCACCATTCTTGGAATTGCTGCTCCAGTTGGATGTCTTCCAGGTTGTGCTTGGCAGTTGCGGCTTCCCGGATTTCGTCCTTCTCGGTTTGTTGTTGCATCAGGATGGTGGCTAAAGATAGTGAGTTTGATGACGGGGAATGGAAACTCTTCTGGTAGGGTTCCGGGCGGGGTATGTGGCGGATTGATTGGATTGAGGGCTGAGGTGTGGATGGGACGTTAGAGGCGGAGGGTGCTGTGGTTGAAGGACCCGAGACTGAAGGCCTAGGTGGTGTTTGAACATTGGTGGAGGCACTGCGGCCTTGAGCCTGCACGAAAACAGCTTTCTGTTTTGCACCAGGAGGCGGTGTGCCGGCAACTGTTTGACGCAGCGTCATAGAAGGCTTCGGGGTAGTTGATTTTGTAGACTCTTCAGATGGACCAACTTGCCCATTGACGGGAACGGGACTGCCTGGACTGGGAAGTTTCCAAGGGTTCTGGGGTGCTTCCTTTGCCTTTTGCTGAGCAGTAAGCATGTCCTGCATTTGCTGCTGCTGGATTTTTTTCCGTTCCTTTTGCGACAGCTTGGAGGCAGAGTTACTGTTGGTCTCTCGACGGGCTCCCATCCCCAAGCTGAGATTTGATACCCGGGGCCCTGACGCTTCACTCATAATGTCCTTGAGGCTCTTCTTGGACGACGATAACACCGATGAGCTCCACGGGGTTTGAGCAGAATCTGGCGGAGAATCAGACCCGTTCCTCTTTTTGTAGAGCGCTGCGGCTCGAGATTCGGATGGCGAGTCTGGAGGAGCAACATCTCGCGGCGATGCCATCTGGTCATCCAGATAGCTTCGACCACCAAATGATCCCCCGTCCACGAGGCTGGAACCAAGAGCAGGTGAATCTAGAGATGGCCGATGTTCATTTGCTGCGATTGGTTTAGCATCTCTCACTGCGCCTTTCCCTTTGACAGAATCTCCAGGGGATAAAAGGTATTCATCATCCATCTGGAACATCAGATCTCCCACAGACTGCCTTGATTTCAACAAGGGGCTACGAGTGATAGGAGTCGAATTTTCCCTCGCTGGACTAGCCTTGACTTTCTGCATCAATGGCAAAGTGGCTGCCTTCTCGTTGCCCATCAATCGTGACTTTCCCTCGTGGTTGTCAACACGGTTGAGGCGAGATCTGATCCTCATGGAGTCAATTCTCCTCTTCCTGTCCTCTTCTACAAGGGACACAACCTCGGGATATTTCTCGTAGATGTATTCCTCCGTATTGCGTCCCCGCGATACGGGAAAGCTGGCCATCTGGTTCTCGCGACAGACAGAATCGAGCGCACCAAGTAGATTGTCGTCAAGATCCTCCAGCAACCTGTAAAAGGTGTAAGATGCGCGAGCTCGGTCGCAGAATCGAGCAACACTCACCTGTTCGCCAGCAGATCCTCCAGATTCAGGCATATATATTCCAAAGCAGCATCCTTGAATTCCGTGACAGAACACGGTGCAATGGCGTTAAGCAAAAAGCACACACTGCGCGTATTCACTGCGGTACTTTGGTAAGCAATATTGTCTACGCATAGAGGAGGGAAATTTACCGAACATCCCAAGCATCTTCTGGCATATCTGAGCCAGCCTATCAATCATCAATTCGTTCGCCACGAATGCAACATCGAGTATGAGGTCGATAAAATCGTCTAAATCCTTTGACCGGACATCGTCAAAAAGTTCAACCTCCGTATCTGCATACATATACCGAAGAACAAAGTCGAAAACAGCCCGGTCGATATGCTTGAGGTCGATTCGGACGATATCTCCTGGGTCTGCGCGACGCGACAATAGCCATCTACCCCCTGAGCGCCCAAAGAATAGCGCGTTGAAAAACGGGCATCTTTGACAGATCACTTGACTGTGTGCCTTCACCTCTTCTCCCTTCAACTCGATAACCACATCAGCGCTATCAAAAAAGGCCGGGTCATTGATGGCCCGTTCCATGTCGACTTTGAGGGTTTTAGTTGGTTCAATCATAAGCCTAGCAGCCCTCTCCAACGTCGGCAATCCCAAATGGCTGGCGATGCGCATCACCTCGGTCCGAACTTGGCGATACCTAAGGGCACTTTCCGGCGAATACCTCACCTGTTGCCAAACGTCAAGAACGCTGTCTGTATATATGAAGAAGGCAACATTCAGGATAGTGAAAGCATCGACAGCATGGATCAATAGTTGTACCTGGCCCTGACCATCTGGTTGAATGGTCATTATATCAGGGATGGAAACGTGATGGGTACAGCGGAAGTCTCGGAATGCTTTCCTTAAGACCGAGCTGCGCCCTGTCAGAATAAATTCGTGCACAGGTATCCGTATGTCAGATTGCGTCGTCATGAGCCAGACAGTTCCCGCAGGCGCTCGAGACTGCGACGTTTGAAAGTATGGTTCAATCTCTGAAGACGACATGATGGCTTTTCTTATGGCCATAGCAGGTTCTAGGTCTATATAGGCGCCCTCTTCTTCAACTTGGCTTGCCGGAACCATGGTCTCCCGCAGCGAGTCAAAAGGAGACAGGGGCAAAATATCCTTCCAAAGGGTGGTTTCGTCAATGTTTATCTGTTCTTTCGTCACTTCGGAGTCGCGTTGCACCGCTGCATATGCTCCAAAAGCATTGCTGGACACACCAATAACTCGAGACAGTCCAGGTATGCGAGCAAACTTGTAATCCTTCGATGCACCATCTTTTGCCTTCCCACGTTTCTCTTTCCTCCAAGCAGAACCAGAGACGGTACAGATGACAACTGAACCGTCCTGTCCGACATCAAAATCTGCGGCCGCCATATGGGCTTTTTTGACAGACCAAACGCGAGTCGGTTGGGACAAGGAATTACGAGTCTTGGATGGATTGGTCGTTGATGTTGAAATCGGTGGGTTTTCCGGTCTATTAACCTGAACTGTGTACACTTCACCGAAACTGGACAGCGCACAGATGGCGTTTCCACCAGACTTGACTTTGACGATCCGATTGACGGACGAACCATACCGTGTGGCCATAAAGCTGTCTTTGATGAACCTTGAGCTGACATCCAGAGGGAATGAAAGCTTTGAATAACCGTATTGGGAGAACACCCAAACTTCGTGGTTTTGGAGAAGGACTGCTGTCGCCTGATCGATTGCAGACACGCTTTGTATCGGAGCACTGAAAAGCGACGCCCCTACCCGTCTGGGCGTTGTCTGGATTTCGAGTGATCGAGCGTCAGAATCCACCAGCCCCAGTTGTCCTTCATTTTTGCCGAATGTGTAAAGACCGGAATTGCTGAAGACGACCGAGTGGATTGCGGATGCTGCTGCTCCAAGAATAACCTCCTTCTTGAAGGGATTGAATATTTGCCGCGGCGAGCTCTGAATCGGCACATCGTCCCGGTTGTTACCCCTTGGGAGACTGTATCCAAGCTGGCCAAACTTGTTGCTACCCCAGCTGAGAATTTCCCCGCGGTCTGTGATAGCAAGGGTATGGTCCTGGCCTAAAGCAACAGAAATCACCTTTCTATTGGCGAGCCCTCCGGTCTCAATACAGACGAAGCTGAACCGCGTCGACTCATCGCCGGTGCCAAGGCGTCCGCCGGGACCGAACCCACACAAGAAAAGGTTTGATTCAGGGTCAGTGGTAAGAATAGCTGTGTGAAGTTTCGACATAACAATATTCTGGATTTTGAGAGGTCTATTCTTCACGAGAGCTGGTAGGTCCTGGTGGGAGTCAACCCTGTCATCAGCTAGCCGTTGCTCTTGGAATTCACGGTAGAAGCGCTGTAGAAGATGTTCAGGTCGCTTGAGGGTGATCCTCTCGGGGAATTGGCGGTCATCCTGGTCTCCGACGCCTAGGTTCAAATTCTTGTTGCTTCCAAACGTAAACACCTCATCGCCAGATAGATTAGTCCTTGGTTTTAGAGCGCTCCTGCCAATGCCACTGTCTTGATCGAATTCCTCTTCGAGAGAAGATACATCAGAAGCAACATCGCTGTCGTCCACATCTGCGAAAAGAGGATCTTGGCTTGTCGTTCGGGAAATTATACGTTTAATGTCGCGAGACGCAATCGTAGCGCCATAGACGTCAAATGGACTATAGCCTTCTCGATCTTTGATTTTAATCAAGCCTCCACTCGGGTGTCCAGGGTTGCTCGCTTTGCTGAAATCCGTTGCATCACGTATATCTCGGGCCATCAATGCCTGGGCGATCGTTGCATTTCCCGCATATAGAGCTCGATGTAGGGCCGTCCAACCACTCTCCCAGTCTTGCGCGTAGATGTCAAGCGCGGGCACCTCAAGTAGGGCGATAGCAAACTCGATTGCCGTGCTTTTCGAAGATGAAGCCACATGATGAAGGAGGGTCCGGCCGTGATGATCCCGTGCATTCAATTCCTCCCGAGACAAGGTCTTGCCAGGGCGCAGTCCACCACCCCGATCTGGTATGGGGGTCCCTGGGGAGGTTCCCACCAACTTCCTGCTCTTTGTTGAACTACCTGGCGAGGACGCTATCACGGCCCCGGGGCTTCCAGGCTTGGAGTTGGCAGCTCCTCCGGTTCCCGTCCGCTGACTGCCCGTGGTATAGGTGGCAGTGGCCAGGAACCGCTGGAAGCTCTCAACATCATCGTAAAAGAAAAAACCCCAGAGCTTGCTACTCATGTGCTCAAGATTGTGTGATGTCAGAAACTCTTATCAACCCAGAACCAGAACGTCGCTGTAACCGCAGAGGGTTCGCGGCGCACCGGCAAGAGGACTGCGGGTGACAAGAGTATTCTGACCGAACAGATGAAGAGGGGTCGACGACCGTCAACGCCTGGCCAATCTCGCGGGGGATTTATCGAGCAAGGACCAGAGGGGTAGATGATGCAGTGGTCGCTGTTGGACAGGTATGGGTTGGTAGTGAGCAGCGAAGCAGAGCAGAGCAGAACCGATCACAGAAATGTGGTGGCGATGATAGCTATCGGTGACAAATATCGCTCTCCGGTTCTTGAACGGCGGGGAAGGAATGGGTTTGGCGCGTCGGTTAGGCTCGAGGGATGGTACGCGACGGCGAATTCGGCACGGATGACTGTTTTCGAGAAAGGAGGAGGGCGATTAGCCGGCAGGGTATTAAGGTCAATGGGCTTTGGAGGGAGGACTCGGGACTGACTGATGGCTTTCCATCTGACCCGTGGATAAGACCCTCCGGGCGGTGGCCAATCGCAGCCGCGCACCCCTCCATGCGCTCCGACGGACGGCGGGCAGTCCTCAATCAACATGAGGGGAATGTAACCATCCTCATGGATACAGGAGTCTACAATCAGCCTTATGGAGTATGGGATTCCGAATTTATGCTCACACGGCTAAGTGGCAGCTACTGGCGACCTATGTAGCCTGGAGGTGTGTGTCAGTTAGTACTGTGTACTAACTTCCGATGGAGACAGATGCCCCAGTCGGGGTCTGTGCAGGCATCCATGACAGTGGCGGCGTTGCGAGGCCAGGCTGAGCAGGCTGAGCGTCCAGGTGCATGCGGAGACCGTTAGATCAATTGAAGTCCATTGGTCTTGGTTGGGATGGAATAATATCAGTGGGTGATTGATGTATCCACCGAGTCGTTGACAATCTATACATTTCATCCTCAGCATGACCTTGCTCACTTCTTATTCACATAGAGTCTCTATCACAACCGCAAGTCCTCTGTCTGACTGGCAGCCATTGTCTAACGTAGAAAGAGTAGAACAATGAAGTCATATTCGTCTGAGCAAAATACATGTGTAAATGACGGAGTGTTGCTAGCGGCCCGCTACACCTAAGTTAGTATGCTAAAACTGGAAGAGGTAATCACTATATTCATATTAATATGTTTGTGTTTCGTCCTTGGTCCTGTAGAACTGCAGTATAGCGGCCTTTTATACGAAACGGTCTACGGAGTAGGCGCACTGGTGTATGGTGTGTGATATTTGTTGGTCGAAGAATATAAGATATTGTACTTGGGCGTGCCCTGCCGCTCTTGGTGACGAGGATGCAAGATCTGGGGTAGAGATAGCAAACTCGCACAGAAAGCATATGCCAATCTCATCCTCATCATAATTATTAACATGGTACCTATATTATGGGGAAGTTTCCGATAGGACCTAAGCAGGGGGTGGTGATTTACAATATAGGTTGATGGCGTAGTGCAGGGTAAGGGAGAGACACTGGTCTGCTCTCCCTTTCATCTCCGGTACTAGTAGCTGCTAGAAAATGACTACGTGCTTTATCAAATTTAAGACCCGAGCTAAAGAAGGCAGCGCGAGACAGTCCGTCATCACTTCGTAGAGCACCTGGGTATGTGCTGCCTACAAGGCTGCAATCTCTCCATGCGAACATCCCGGACAAAGGTACGAAATAGCAGTACGGAATGGCCAGGCCCTATCACTCTGAACCGTGTCAGCGCATACAGCTGCACCACCAACTGGCCCCAAACAACGACATCCAAGTAACCCTCTTCACGTGAGAGACCGGCCAGGACCGTTATTATTGGCCTCTTTACTTTTTTTTTTTTTCTTTTTGCATCCTCCCAAGTTTTTACTGGGGAGGATGCAGCACTCATTGTTTCGCCCAATTTGGGGAGTGCGACAGAGGAGAGTCTAGGTGTTCTAAGGGGCTTTAGCCAACCGCCTAGGCTGCAAACCTCGCAGTTCCGGTGCATCATGCCGGCAGTGTGTTGTACAGTAGGCCGGATTGGATTGGTTCGAGCTGGAGGATGTAGCTACTGGACTAAGGTACAGTGCCTTGTAGGCCGGGCAACTGGCATCTGCTCTCCACCTAACCGGCAGGCCGTTGCAGGTGAGGCAGCCAGTCCCAGCACTCTGGGGGGGTGGTCCATGCTGTCGGTGCTCCGAGCTGTCTGCAATCCACCCCATCTCGGCCTGCGTCGCAGAAATCCAAGCTCTCTGTCAGTGAGCTGGCTCTGGGGCCCGTCTGGCTAAAAATCTGCCGTCAAGGAGGGGTCCCGGTAGATAGGACATGCTGTGTAGAAGGTTGGCAGGCAGCGCAGGAAGAACTCCGATGGCTAAAGTTAGAAAGCATGGAATGTTGTCATGGATTGTGATTATCATGCAAGTTGATTGATCGCCCAGGCGCAAGCGGTAGCTGGGGAGGCTAACCTCCTTCAGGCATAGCCACATTACCGTTCCATTGACAAGAGCCCCCTTTTCGTTCCGGTATGGAACACGCCCTCTGACGTGGTAATTACGGCCATCAGGCGGAGTCCCCCGTGCCAGTTGTCCGCCCGCCCGCCCTATCAGCCTATGACTTCATGCTATCACCGCTGGACCAGGATCCCTTATCTCTCGCCCATACCGTTCCATGACGGGGTCTCCCGGCCGGCCGTACCGGGTTGGTACAGAACTGCAGCCGCCGCTGCGGCTTGACCGCCTTCCAATCGGCCGTTCTAATCGCCAACTGCAACTGCAACTGGATGTAGTTCAGCGTTAACGTCCTGCGCCAGAATCTTGGTCCATCCAAAAATACCAGAAGGGGGATCACTCGATCAACTGGAAGCTCCCTTACTGACCTCCGTAGCCATTGTTTGTCCAGGATCGCATGGTTCATCTGTTTCCCTTATCGCATCCTTGGGGCATGCTGTGGCACCCGTCAGCCTGACTGACCGCTTGCACTTGACCTGCTTCCTTTCAAACCGTCGAGTCACCGGGTGTGCGTCACAGACCCTCTGCTCCCGTACGCTTGACTAGCTGTGTGCCTCACATACGCTCCTCCATCTTGTCCTTCCTCCTCCCTCCTCCACTCACGTTTCATCCTCTCTGCCTTTCGATCCCTTCCCCCCCCGACATTTCTCAGTCTTTTCTTCTCCCCTTCTTGATTCCATTCTTAATAGCCCCCCTCTGGTAGTAGTTCTTCTCTCATCATGCATTCCTAATTCCTCTGTTGTCCCATTACGGTGAGGACTCCCCCGGACGAACTGGATCCGCCTAGTCGTCAGTGCGGAGAAGCTCCAAAGGTCGTCTAGACCGGATGCTCCGAATGTTCCTACGCTTTGTTGCCTGAACACACCAAACGATGAAATCGGCGTCTCTCATTTTCTCTCCGTCAGTGCCTGCGACTTAGCGCTCAGCCTCTCTCTTTAGTCTTCCTCCTTTGTCGACCTTCTTCAGGCTGTTGGGCTTGTTAGCATGGCCTTCCGCAGTGGGACCGTCACCTTCCCATTTCCTTGATCCGAGAGATACACGCTGTGGTCATTCCGGACTGTATCGATTCGAAAACCCTCGACAGAACCCTTTCTAATCTCTCTATATTGACGCATTCTCACCATGCATCAACACCCTCGATCTCCGGCGCCTGCAGCGCCTCTTATTGCAACCAGGCCGAGCGCAACCCGCTCGGATGACCGCAGAGAACAAGATACCCGCCCGACCTCCCCAGCTTTTGACCCCAGGGTACACACTAGTAGGGGACTGGGTATAGAGACGGAGACCGGGTCGCCTGAGCAGACACCTACTTCACAGCCGGCGAAAGAAGCAATAACTAAGCTCAACCAAATTATAACGGTATGGCTTGGATACTGACGCTGGGTGGAAAACGTGCTTTTGACTAACCATCTGTTGTTCCAGAACTATTTCACAAAGGCTGCCCTAATTATCCTGCACGATCGTGTGCACCTCCCTGTCGCTCTCAACAAGGGTACCGACACTCCCAAGAAGAACAGATGGGTACGCTTCACTTGCCTATGCTCTCAACACGTGCTTTCTATCGGTTGTTCACAATGGATCTATGCCCCTGCTAACTTACATACGATGCCTACTAGTTCAACATCGAGATAGAAGATACCGAGGCGCTTCGTGAACCGTTGCTCACTTGGAGGACAAGTGACACAATCGAAAACCGACCTCCCCCGCTGATTATCGAGACATACTTGGACACCAAGGGCTTAACCAAAAATCAAAGTCTCGTTGCCTTGGATGAGCAAGGGAAGCGATATGACGTGTTGGAGTCTCTTTCTGCGTCTGCGGAAGCACATACTGGGGGACTGCCGTCATCCAGGCCCGACGATGTTATTTTAGAACGGTGGAAGGTTGAACTTGGGGATATGTCTAACAAACTACCGGCTGATCTTGGATCCATCCTTCCCACGGTATATAAGAAGAGCATCCTCCTGTTCAGGTCCTTGTTTGTCTATTCTAAACTATTGCCTGCTTGGAACTTTGCAAAGCACAACGGGAGGCTTCGCACACACCCGGCCCTACGGCTCAAATACCGTATCTTGGTGGGGAAGCCCCATGCGGAGGACCCCAAACCGGATCATTTGACTATGCCGCTGTTTGAAAGCAGCAATAAAGTGGTCGATGTATACAGCTTCGGAACCACGGAGTCGCCTGCTGGTGAATTCTCCGTTCAGGTGACCTACCGAAAGAGCTGCGAGTTTCGAGTGGACGATTCGGAGGCTCTGCTGAGTTCACGGTTCATGGGGGCCGATGATGAGGTTTTCCGCCCGTCGCTTCCAAGCCGTGAATCCAATATCAAGGCCGCCAACCCCGAGATTGGATCGGCCCCTCTGGAGAAGAGAACTGTGGAAGATCCAGACCCTAGTCGAGCATATGGAAGTCTCTCGACATTTCACCATGTCGGGCCTACCACCAGTGCGAGCCCAATCTCGGCTCTCCGTGCCGCCAGAGAATCTGGAGCTTCGTCTCCCTCTCCTCCAAGCTCGTCATCTCGCAAGCCTCTCGCGGTTGCAAAGGCTAGCCCTGTTGGTCGTGCGGCTGCTCTAGCGAGCGAGAGTGGCCCCGGTATTGCCAGGCGATCATCTATTTCCTTCCAGCCTTTCAAGGCGCCGCCGCTTTCTGCGTCTCCGTCTCTTGTTGATCCACCACTAGGGATGTCTCCCCGATCGGGGCCAACAGCTCGCACGCCATTTTCCGAATCAAAGACCATGCAGCCGCCATCCATGGCGGCTTCCGCTCGCAAATCCTTATCCGGGGCTTGTGACAATACGGTCGGCTCTTCAGCTTCCGCATCGCCCCGTCCAGCTCCGATTGCAAGGTACAGTAGTGCTTTCACTCACCGGCGTGGAAGGCCTTCATCTGGTAACATACACAAGTTGGAGGATGACAATTCGAGTGGCAAGACTAGTGCGACGTCTTCCAACGCTCAGCCTGGCTCGGGCTTACTTGCTGAAGCCACAGGGACGAGCGCGGATTCAATACACGCTGATGATGAGAACATTTCAGAATTCCTAAAAATGCTGGACCTGAGGAAAGATCTGTTGAATCCATCCAGTTCAACTTCTGTCGATGTCACTGCACGCAGGACTACTGCGACTTCTGCTGCATTGGCTCGGTTTCAACGCATGAGGGATTCAAACGCAGCCCTTTCAGACTCAATGTCCTCGTCATTGCTCTTACAGCGCTCGTCGAATTCCTCAAGCAAGCAGCTCTCAGGGGTGCCGCCAATGGTTGCCGGTACCTCGATTTCGACAGCATCTTCGCCTGGAAAGCCCATCTCACCCCACACCCCCCATACCCCTGCCATACCGTCCCGCCTAAGCTCCAACAGTATTGTTGATTACGGAAACGAAAGAGATCCTCACCGCGAACCTGGCTCTTCTGTCGAAGAAAATCCCAGCGAGGGCACAACCATGGTGCATCACCCGTCTACAGTGACGGTAACTGCCATCCCTATCCCTACCTCACCGGCGTTGCCGTTTGCTCCCCCATACCGTCGGCCCAGTTCTGCTGCTCCTCCTCCTCCTCCCCCAGTAGCGGCCGATGACGATGAAATTTTCCCATTCAATCTGCGCAGCATAAGTCTTGGGGCTGAGGAGAGATCCCATAGCAGTCTTAGCGCTCTACAGAGACAGCACGACCTTGAAGGCGTTAAAGGGAATACACATCAGACACGCAGGGAACAGCGCCCTCCGTCTGTGAGTGAGGATCCCGGTTTAGCACCGAGCTCAGCAGGGCACGAAATGGGGCCCCACAAGAGGACATCTGGATCTAGCCCCACAACAACTTCGTCGCCGTCAAACAACCATGTTTACCAACCACGGTTTAGCATTTCTCGTGGACGGGGATTGTCTGGTGGACCACACTCCCTTAGCTCCGGCTCAAGTAGCCTTGCGCGCGGCGTACCTTCTTATCTTGCGGAACGTGATCATGATCGGGATGTCAATGCTAGCGGCAGTAATAGCGGTAACTCGACTGTTGAAGACCGTCGGGGGGCTGGGCGACGACCCAGTTCGGGCCGCAATAATCCGCCACAGTCACAGACTGAAGAGGACGAACCTCTGTTGTTTGCCATGAGCGACTTCGGTGCCTCCCGGCGAAGCTTTGAAGAAGGGAGGCATGGCAACCACGGCGGTGACTCTAATGGAAGTGCCAGTGGGTTGAGACGCGGTAGCGGTCGACGCGGCGGGGGTCTCTCAAGCTTCCATGTCTGGTCTTAGGATGTGAAGGCACTCTCCTTGAATACCTATGATTTGATTTGGTTTTATGTTGGTGTCAGGTGCACCTTTCCATTTTTGCGTCTTCCTCTGTTTCTGTTCTGCTGGGCCAGTTCTGAACCTTCATGTTCATGCTTCTTCTTCTTCTTCTTCTTCCTCTTCATCCTCTTCTTCTTCTATTACCACTACTTCCACTACCTTTTCCCCCATCTTCTGGTGTTTTTCTACTTGGCCATGGCTATTTCTTTTTTCCACATCAGGGTGGGTACTTTTATAGACTGATCTGCAAGCGACGCGACCATGTGCTATCCGGAAAGGCGAATAGAGGATGGCATAGGGGGCTATTTTGAGGTTTCTGTTGTTTTGGTCTAGGTTCAAAATGCGTCTAAACGGCCGTCTGCATTCTGGAGTGAGAGTTGTCTTTTTGGGTTTTGTTGTTTTCATTGTTTGCGTTTTTGACCTGGGTTGTGGATCTGCCCTTTTCTAAATTCAGCTGATCTTCTACTTCTGCCAGCATGACTCTTCTTGTCACTATTCCTTTCTTCCTTCCTATTTACCTTTGGGATGCATCATTGACCGATCTGTATTCAGACATGCCAGGCCCATAGGACCTGACGTTGTTTTCGCAGTGGATAGGCAGGTAACATTCAATCAAACTTGATTAATCGTATTGGTCTCACTATGTAGATCGGTTCATCTTTCATCATAGTGGCAATCTTGTTCTTACAACTTAGGCCAGAATAACGATCTTGGCTTTATCTACAGGCTTCGGCATGTGCAAAAGAACCAACTCTATATTTAATGCAATATGCTTTTCTCCTTTCCCCTTCATTTTTGGCAATATGTACAGTACAAGGGTAATGGATTTTGGTGGGTATCTGCTTCATCACATAGTGTGATCCAAGAAAGAAGACCCCAGGTCCCGAACGAGTCCGCCAGCAAACCAGGTTGGCTTCCCTGTGGTGCGGAGAGTCTCGTTGGTTCTGGGATACTTGTTTGTCGCACCAGGGGTGTCTCCGACGTAGGTTTGGTTGGTGGGTAGGAAGCCTCTGTGACACTGAGGCAGACATGCAGGTGATGGCAAGCAGGTCGCGTAACCTGGTACACTCTGCATGGCGATGAGATATTGCTGCGTAGTAGACGTGGGTCTAGAATCGCCGGGAGGGGTGGTGGTGTAATGGATGTGTCGAGGGAACCGGCCAGGAGGCGGAGCCGAGCAGTGAAATTGGAGCGCTGCTGGCTATGGGAGAGCTCTGATGGGTGAAGTCAGGCTCACGGAACTCTCTGGTAGGCGAGATCACATCTTCCGGAAGGTGTTGCCTGAGGCGCTTCGTCGCTCCTTGGAGCGGAAGCTCTGGCTGGGTGCGGTGGGTGCCGGGGCCCTGTTTTCGGGCCTGGATTTGCCTCGAGGGTTGAAAGTTACTTCTCTCTCGCCGACGACACCGCTACGACGGGACGGCTTGGCTCTGGTTTGCATGTTCTGAGCGCGCGAGGCAAATGAGCGATCGCGAGTAGCGCCGATACCATTCGAAGAGGAGACCTCCATCCGGGGTTGACGGCCATTGGTGCGCTTGTAGGAGGCCGTGGAGATTTTCCCAGAGGAAGCTGGCTTGGAAAACCTTTCAGGCTCGCTTTCGGACTCGGAGTCATCGGAGCTTGAGCCTGGAACCTCGTCGATCGCTTCCTGCTCAGCAGCGGTAAGGCCTCGCTCCTTTCTCTCCTTGGTCTGGTCAACGACGGTGCTGGGGTTGAGAAGTCTGAATTCGTGCGACGTCTCATCGATGGCGAAGTCTTCGTCCTCGAACAGCTTGGCGAAACGGCTGTCGCCCAATAGGTTCTTTCCGGGCTCCTCTGTGGACGGTGCCGGGGCGGGTGCGTCGACCATATCGTCATCTCCTCCTCTCTTCAGGACGCGCTGGGCTTGGCGGCGCTCGTTCTTCTCCTCAATGCTCAATAGCTTCTCTGCCAGTTTCTTGTTGACCTTGACAGCAGCCTTCTTCTTACCGCGGATTCTGCTCTCGCGTTCCTTATCGATCTTCTCCTTAACACGCTTGGCACGCTCTTCCTCCCAGATGTACGGGTTGGTGATCAATCTGGCCTCTTCGTACAGCTGCTGGGCCACAAAGTAACCGTGCATGTAAGGGCGCAAAAGGCTGGTTCTGCCAATCAGGTGGTCCAGGTTCAGGTTCTTCAACTGAGGAGCAGTCAAGAACTTGAAGTTGTCGTAGACGGCGCCGGTCTGACCGCTGCTGAAAGCGTTAGGATCATTGGGATCTTCAGCCATCTCCTCGACGAGGTTGTCCAAGAACGAACACCACTTGGGAGCGGGACCAAGTTGGGGAATAAAGAACGAATGCTGTTGACGCCCTTCGTTAGCCGTCAGGATCATACCGCTATCCTTGCACCACGCGACGGAGTTGAGGTCGACAGCCGGTTCAACAGATGTCCAAGGGCTTCCATCCCGGGGGTCCCAGATCTTGATGATCTTCTTATCCGCGGACATAATCTTGGGCTCCATTGTCTGCTCACGTGTGGCGGTTGATGGCTGGAGGAATTTCAGCGTGTGAATGGGGAAGCCGTATCCCTGGTCTTTCTTGAGGAGGGGCACCGGTGACCGAAGATCATAGAGGTGGATAAGACCGTTCGAGGAACCAGTTCCGAGGGTCAGGCCTGAGCGGTGGAACTCCAAGGCCGTGATCTCATGCCGGGCCTCATCAGGGCCAGACTGCGTTGGTGGCAGCAACACTCCGGCTCTGCCCTTAGCTCTGGGATCCCAGAGCTCCACCGTACCCATAGTGGTACCGAACGCCAGAAGATTGTGGCTCTCTTCCGCGATCGCACCTGTGTTGACCGCGCCCGTGTTGATACCACCCTGCAGAGTTCCTGCACCGGCAGAAGTGAAATCGTCTCCGCCAACATCGACCTCGAAGCTGCGCATGTACCGGCCCAATTCCAGATTGAGACGGAAAACCTCTCCCATGCCGTCGGAGTTCACACCCACTGCTGGGACCAAGGCCTCAGTTGACTGCCTATCGTAAACCAAGTCACGTCCATATCTGGGGAGCCGGGTGGTGTAATGACAGCCTTGAGGGGTATGGAACTCGAGCGATCGGTCGGACTGTAGGTGGAGAGATTTCGAGTAATCGGAGGACAGCAGGAGGAAGGTAGTATTGAGAGCCACGGTATGGCGAGCCCAGGAGAGAGAGAGTTGGGGGAGATAGTGCGTATGAATCTGAGGTTTGTATGTTCCTGTGAGATGGGAGATGGTCAGTCGAAACAAACAGCAATAAAATAAGGACCAGGACCGGTCCAGGTAGTGGCAGAAGGATCGCACCTGTGCTCATGACCCACTCGCCATCTTCACTGACTCGAATACACTGGCTGGCTTCTTCGAACTCAAAGTCCTGAAGCAGCTCAATACGGTTCGCATACTCCGGGTCATTTTTCAAGCTGCGCTTTCTCCGGCGGGCAAGCCACTCGGGGAGGGGCCGCGCAGTGTTGGAGCCGGAGATGGTATAGACGGGGACCTCCGACTGATTGGAGAGCTTCATGACGATGGCGGTTGCAGCTCGTGGCGCAGACCTGGAGAAAAGGAAAAAGCCATTCGCGCCAGAAAAAAAGTTCGCCGATAGCGATAGCTGGGCCCACGTGACGCTGCGGGCGTCGATCACGCATGATTGGCTCCCGCGGGCCGAGCCAACCTCCGTTGGGTCTCGATGGCATCGGAAGTCTGGGATTCTCCAGCTGCGTCGTCGCCTTGTGAGCCATTAAGTCCGTCGGTTATCGGGTCCTGGATCATTCCTTCTTGATAATGGCGCCTTGTGCGTGATCCTTCTATGCGCCTCGTCCCTCCCGGTATTTCTTGGCCGCGACTCCTCTTCTCCCCCAAATCCGCGATGGCATCTCCGAGCCCATCTATTTACTGACTTGTCTTGTTGCATAACTTAAGTTCCAAGTGCTATGGGCGGCTTACTGAGATATGACCCTTTTCGCATGCCCGGCTGGAAATGAATCCCCCTTTGGCTGCGCAATCTCCCCTGGCTAGAAATAAGAACAGCCGGTGTCTCCTTTGGGACTACAGCTAAATCATGGACTTTCCTGGAGGGTCCATCACCAACATACGCGTCATTGTAGGTCGCTCCGCCCCAGAAGGTACCGGACAAGCTCTAACGCGGGACGCCAGGATGGATTCTCCCAGATCTACTGGAGAATATACACAGAGGAGCCTAATATTGCTAATAATCCGGGCGAGTCTCCAGCTAATGGCTACACGATCTTGAAGCATCTCAGCCGCCTCAGGGATCTTGAGCTTCAACTAAGGGACCGGAATTGTTTGGTTTCCAGCTACCCCAGACGGCTCTGCTTATGGGTCTATTCTGCTACGCCTGGCTTTGAGAGCCTGTTGCCCCTGTGCGCGAACGAAGCTAAAGGTGACTCGAGCAGACTTGCTATTGGCTCAGCTACCTTGAAAGGTATGTACCTGCTCGCTCATTGCGCCCTCCAATTCCGTCCTTTGGCGCTGAATACCAATCAATTACCGTAGTATCCTCTTCGGGCAATGTTTCGTCACTAGATTTAGTCAAAAATCTCTCGACAGAACCTCAGAATGCGCCGGGCACTACCGGACCTCAGAGACAAAATGCTCTTACACCCTACGCTACGATTTATGCATCATTCATTTCAGCCGTCAGTGGGGCAGTGAGCCTCCAGCTGGTCCGACAACACAACGCGATTCCACTTGGATCGCGTACTCTCTTTACTGCTGTTGACAGAGACTCATACGATCGTTTTGTTAAAAACGACCCTGTTTCGGCTTCGTCCTTGACTACGCTTCAGATCCAGCTGACATCGGTCGGGAAGTTGACGGTAGCTTTACAGACAGTATCGCAGGCTGGCCTAGCGCGATTACTCGCGCCTGGAGATGACCCAGCAGGCATCCATGAAGCCCCACCGGGCACTGACCTCTGGCTCTCTCCTAGTGGGTCTATTGCCAGACTCGTCGCCGCTAATCCATCCCGACTAAACGCAGCATCCCCGTATCCGTCTAGTGCTGGAGGCCTAGGGAATGACAAGTCCAGCACGGCAAACCGCAAACAGTGGAAGGTCAATGTGCTTTGGTGGCTTGCCAATTTTGGTCTTCCGGTGGATGAGATTGACGAGGAAGCCTGGGTTGAAGTTGAAGTTTGGGAGCCGTTTTACTCTAGACTCGCTGGGGAGATAGGGCGGCCGAACGATGAAAGCTCGTCGTCGCTTCCCCTGAAGCGGATCCTTTGGCCAGCTATTCACTGCTTCAAAAGGACCAGGTCAGCATCTTCAGATTTCTATGGTGAAATGGATAGCGTCGCTCCTATTGTTGGTGACCCTCTAGACTTTGCAGAGAAATGGCGTGTAACAGAGAAGCCCACCTTTACCGAGGCGAGCCCTAAGCCTCCGTCTGTTCAACCAGAACCGCAAGCTAGGGACCAGGACGCATCATCGCCTGACTTGTCTAACTTACCTGAAGGCATTGAAAGCCTTTCTCGGGCATCACAGTATCCTGAGCTTCAGACCGCTAGCCTTGTATACCCAACTCCGCCTGATGGAGCCGCTGCAACGGGATTAAATCCTACAATGCCTTCCGATGTCTTCCCAGACGATCTTGAACAAGGCTCGAGCTTCATGCAACCGAGCAGGCAAAGTTTTCACGGCCAACTCGGTAAAGATCGAACGGGATCGGAGGTGATAAGCTTCGGCCCATCGGCAGGGCTCGTGGTTGGATCCGGTCTATACGATACAAACGAGGATGACGATCTGTTCGGAGACATCAATGAGAAGGATTTTGGGTCCAAAGGCATCACTGATGCCGATTTCAGCTTCTTCGACGACCCACATTTCGACCATGTCGGTGGAGGTGAACAAGAAGATCCAGTCCATGAGATGTCTGAATTTATGGATACGGATGAACCCGAACTGCAACCAACTATGGATGACCAAGCTTCGCCTGAACAGATACCAGCAGTGGACATTGATAGCTCCCGATTGAGTCCCGTGGTTGAGACTGCAGGACCCCAGCAAGAAAGGACTATTGCCGAGGGGAAAACACCCGTATCCTCGCCTCGGAATGTCAAGCCTCGAACTATCAGTCCCCCATTGAGCCCTGTAGAGGTTAAAAAGATCCTCTTCCCAGAGCCGCAGGTAGGAAGTCAGCATCTGGTTAAACAGGGGCAGATGCCAGGCTACTACAATGCAGTCGCTTTCAAGCAGAATATGTCTCTTTGGGACCGGAAATACAGCGCAAAAGGGAAGTTTGGGTTCACCTTTCGAGGAATGGAGGGCCATCAAGGCGATGCGGCCGCGGGCGATATCCCAACCATCGGCCTTCCGCGGCGCAGTGGGAAGCTTAAGAATGGCACGTCGAAAGAACCGGACAGCCATGGGTCCCCCACTAGCGAGATGCAAGCGTCATCGTCGGATACGGAATCAAGCAGCGATATGAGCATTGAAAGTGACGAGAGTGGCTCCGAGAGCGCATTATCACCGGCCACATTCTCCACCCGGAAGAGAAAACGTACTCGCTCCAACTCAGGGACTTCGTTGGCATTGTCCCAAGAAAAGGCTTTCACGAGGGCTGACCAAGAGACCATACCCCAGAGACCGGAAGACTCGGTTTTTCTAGGGAACTTCCTTTCTACTTTCTCCGATTGGTCCATGGCAGGCTATTTTTCCCTGACACAGAACCATGTTTCCCCAGTACTTATCCGCAAGGACATCCAGGTCCAGATTGCCCAGCTGTTGGTCGACCAAGTCACGCAATCATCCTTAGACCACAAGATAGATGGAGCCCTTGGTCTGTCTGACTATGACGATGAGGTGTACTCTCTTCAGACTCACCTAGGTGATGCGGCTTTCGTGGGTGGGATGGAGCGACTGGACCTAAACAGCTTTGTCTCGCTGCAAGACGCCAGTACAGTTTCGCCCCCTACATCCAATGGGCCTAACCCACGCCAGTCTTCTCAACGTAAAGAGGCTGGAAAAGGCACCATACTGAAAATACCTCCACCGCACCTGCGTGTACGCCGCGGAAAAGACTTTTTGGAAACACTGCCTCCGGCGATCTCCTTTTGGGAAACTTTCGGGTTAGAGCCGGCTCACGGTCAGAAGGATGTCTTTGCCTATTGCATCCATCCTCATTTCGCTGCCGAAGCAGCCGATGCATTCTTAGAGCGGCTTGGCTTAGTCTATACGGGCTGCAATCTTGGAAGTCATAGCCGAGGTGAACGATCCAATTTCTTCGACCGTGGGCTGGGCTCCTGGGACATCAGCCCCTCAGAGGGCTCACGTTATTCCGAGGTCATGCAATCCCTGAAGTCAATCTGCGGAGTGCTCGGTATGTCATACTCTACGGTCTTCATTCATGCATGTACTAATTTCAATAGGTTCTGCCTTCTTGAACACTCCGCCGAACAAGGATAGCAACCTTGTGGTATACATCGTAAATCCTTTCACTCACACCGCGGCATTGGTCGATATCTGCTCCGCGTTCTGGTCTCTTTTTCAGAAATATATCGCGGACGCTGATAAACAACAGGCACGACAGCTTAACGAGCTTGTGCTGCAGATCATTCCTATGGATTTCGTCACAACAACTGAGTCCCTAGTTGTCCCCCCACAGGCCGAATACCTGAACCTGGCTCTTGAAGTGTACAGCCGATGTCCGCCTAAATCAACTCAACCAAGCCTTATAAACTGTGCGCCGCCGGTACTGCTTGCAGAACCCCTTCCGCGATCGATCGGTTTCAAGTTGTCTTCAGAGGGATCTTCTCCCCTCCAAGAAGGAAAATGCCTGCACATTGCCTGCTCCAGGAGTCTCGACCAACGCTGGATAAGCGTCGCTTGGTCTGATAATTTTGGGGCACTTCAGCGAAATATGTCTTATTGTCTGCGCTTCCGTAATTCTCTGATGACCCGACCTCTTTTGGAAGTACGCGGAGAGATTTGGAAAGCAACAAGAGATATCATAGACAGGATCCAGGCACGGTGGAGGGTTGTCATTGTGAACACTGACCCTGTGGACCAGGAAGAAGTTGACAGTAAGTATGCGCACGCCGATGTTCATCCTTTCACTAACGAAATTAGCATGGTCAAACTTTGCCGATCAGTATGGTAAGGCCAGGTCAACGACGCTGGACCTTGTCATCTTGAGCACGAACCCTACTCCTGAGCTATTCCTTGAGCCGCCTTTTCTACCGATTCCCCTGACCGTCTTCAGTCAGCAGGCTTCTTCCACACCTGTCGCTACGCCGAATGTCGGTGGCAGTGTCTCTTCTCCGGACCAATTCGGCAATGCGCCCACGCCTCCCGGTGGCTGGGGAGCGCCCGCAAACGCCGGCACACCAACGGATGCGCTCCCAGAAATTGAATCAGAATCCCTACTTACAGACATCTACGATGAGACGTGGGGGGTGGTGTTATCACACCGGCTCAACAGCTCTCTACATCAAACGGAGTATCGGCCCGCACTGGCTAGCGGATATCTTCTTCGCCGGAAGGGTTCCACTGATGGAGATGGGCTGTATACCATGAGCGTCAATATACTCTTTGCGCGGCGTCCCCCATCTTCATACGATACTCTCCTCCGGGAGATCTTGGGCATGTATCGCGACTTGGCGACTCTGGCTCGGGCTAGGGGTACTCGCACTGTCCAGCAGGGTACACTCCCGTGGCATATTGCCACGGCGGTGAAAGCCCAGACTATGCTGAGCTATGCTCTATGATTTCAGTTGTATTTTGCTATTATACCATGTTCCGGTTCAGTGATAATGTGGCGTTCAGGACCACCCGGCTGACTTTTTTACTTCATCTGTTTTACCTCCGTTTCTTTTCTTTTGTATATAGTTGGGCACTGTTTCAGGCAGAATAGGATATACCACTGTGCAGGTTTGCTTTGGACTTTTGGACTGCATGGGAATGTCGAACTTCGGTTACCGGGAATAGAGGCTATCTTGGCTGTGGGTGCATGCATACTTGTCTGTCATGATATGGAAGCATTGTAATATCAGCTTTTTCTACTTCGATGTGTTCACATTCGATTCATCTTTGACCTATTATCTTCATCAAGTTGGGGTTGCTTGTTGTTTTGTGTGAAATTTTCGCTCGTTCTCTGCAAGAAATATACTTCGGGCTAGGGTGTGACCTTGCATTTTCATGTCCAAACCCTCCAGTGTTTCTAGCACCACCATGAATCTCAACTGCATTCTACTCATAGACTACATAGAAGTGATGCATACGTGATTTCGGAAAGCCAAACCCCGTGCTCGTTCCACAGAAGATATGATACGATATCATGTGTTTCCTTCCCCTTGAACAGAGAAAATGTGCGGAACGCTCTATCAGGCACCACTCCCTTTATCTTCTTGACGCCATCATCTTTATCATGTCTCTTTCACTGACAGATTGAGTTACACCACATACACATCAATATCCTTCAAGCCCGATGGCAAAATTTCCAGCAATCCTTATAATTGGTTATATTACAAAAATACAAAAATCATCTCAACAAGAATCCGATATGGTGTAGTGGCTAACATCGCCGTCTCTCACACGGCAGCCGGGGGTTCGATTCCCCCTATCGGAGCTCATATACAAGTTTCTTTTTTTTTTTCTCTTTGAGCCTTTAATCTCAAATCTTCTTTTTGCCCTTCAGATATATCGAATGAACGCAGCTATTATGATACAGCAGTAGCCGCATTAATCTAATCGCCGAGTAATCGATCACCCACAATACGTAATGGACAAAGGCATGGTATGCAATGTGCTAAGCCACAGCAACCTGAATTCATCTATCGCCTCATACTCTCGGGAAATAGAAGAAGCATGCGGTGAACAACGAGCCGTGGCCAAGGAACTCAGCGGAGATGATGATTCTGGATGTAACCATTTCATAGGTTGTCTGTCCTTAGCATTTGTGGCTCCTTTTATATGGTGCATGAGGACAGAAGGGTAAGCCTCGTGGTAGGGGCGAGTCAGAAGACTGAAATACCGAGGTTTGTCGAAATACCTCGACCATGGCCAGGTCTAAGGGCAGGATGATGGCGAAAGTTGGTTGGCACCTGCTCGTCATCCTCACCGTCACCCCGTCCTCCATCTCGTTCTTCATCCTGTCTCTCGCCCCGTCCTTCATCCTCTGCATCACTCACCTCCCTCGTTGTTTCTTCATGATTGTGTCTGGTTGGTGCCCCTTCATGACCCATGACTTCTTCGTGGGGGGTGGAGGCGTCGTGGGGTGTAGTGTTTCCTTGGTGGTCTGCCATGATTTGGAAACGGTGGTCTTGGACTCTTGACCAAGGCAGAACAAACTGGTATATTCGTTGAGGGGACGATCAAACAGGGTGCCGGAACCTCTATTTCTTTCTTTCTCTCGGGGTTCAAACAGGGCAGTCCCGGATAGCTCATAGGAATATGGGGCAGAGACTGCTGTTGGCATCAGGGTAGGCCGTGTCACTATTGAGCCATCATGCAGCAATCCATTGGGTCAGGGTGTTAACGAAGCGAAATTCTTGCTATAATAGCCGGGCGCTACACCTGCAGCTATGTATGGCACCTACCTTCCAGGTTAGTAGCTTATGATCCGCGCCTTCCTCTCTACAAGATTGCTAACCCCCCTATTTAAATGCGCAGTGAGGTTCTTCACCTGAATTCCTTCACCAACCACCTTTCTATTTCATACCATCCATAACTTTCAGGTCTATCCAGATTTGGTTCCAGTCACTTCTACCAAGAGAGTATCATCTTTTCAGTCCCTCTCCATAATCATGCATTCTTTCCCATCTCTGATCATTGCAACCGCCCTTTTGACACTATGGGCATGGGGCGTTACTATACGGAACTATAAAGGAAGAAATTGTCGAAGCCAGTCTTATAACGAGTGTATCAACATTCGCGCGTCGACCTGCTGCAATGCCAGACCTTCCCGCAGATACTTCACCTCGTCAATGTTCACAGGCGTACCCGCTACCGGCGTCGATGTTGTGTGCACGCAAGCTGGCCGGGCACATGGTGGCATAGTATGCAAGATGGGCAATGGCTCCAATTTGTGTCTTACACATGCCAATTTGAGGGGCTCGTTCTGGTTCGATTATCGCACATGCCACAGATCAGAAGACGACCTGTTATCCTCCCCCCCGGACAGCCATTTGAGTTCCATATTGGCCTAGTCAAAGTCTTGGCTTGATACCAATCAAACGGCAGCAGCGGAGAAGAGCATGGCTCTTTGCGACAACATGAAGACAGCCTTTGTGTTCCCAGAAATTCCAGGTGGAGGATACGGTATGATGGCAGAGAATGCGAGTGATTCGCGGCGGAGTTGAGCTCCGATTGTATTGGGTGTATGATCAACTATAAGATGTTGCAATAGATAAGAGAGTCTCCTTGGCGCACACCCGGGCGGTGAACCCCTAAAACCAATCAGAGACCATCGATCCCCTCACCCCGCAGAAATTATCGCAAGTACCTTAGTAGTCAATCCATATCGCAAAAATTTCAGGCGCAAATCAGGAACACAAGCCCACCAACAACCTCTTTCTTTCTCCTACCCCATTCCACCTCTTTTTACTCATATACCCATCAGGAGGATACAGACACCTCAATTTAAACCACCATCTTAACCAATTTCCCAGACAGGAGATATTCTAACGAAACCAAACCAAAACAAACCACATCTCCGACCCCGCCTATCTTCCGCTACACCAAACAACCCACCAACCGCCCTCCCTACAACCAATCCACCACACACCCTCCCATCCAAGACTCCAAAATGTCCCAACCCCAACCCCCCACCCCCCAAGCCGCCCAGGCAACCCACTACCTCGACCTCGGCATCACCCTCGCCATCCACAACTGGCCGGCCCTCACCCTCGCCGTCCAATCCAACTGGGGCGGTCCAACCTCCTCCGACAAGCGCGACTGGCTCTGCGGCGCCATCTCCGAGATGCTCACGGACCGACCGGAGACCGACGCCGCGGATCTCGAGGACGTGTTAATCCAAGTGATGAACGACGAGTTCGACGTGGTGGTGGATGATGAGAGTGCGGGGAATGTCGCGGACCAGATTATGGAGATGAAGGGACAGACGGTGAGGGGGGAGTTTGGGGAGATTCAGGCGTTGTGGGAGACGTGGCAGAGTAAGAAGGGGAAGGGGGATCAGGGCTTGGGGGCGTTTAGGAGGGGGGAGGATCAGGTGGATGATGAGAGTGATGATGAGGAGGATGAGGAGGAGGATGTGGATGGGGATATGGAGATGGATGATGCGCCGCCGGCGTTGGTGAGGGCGCCGAGGGAGAGGGTCGAGCCGGAGGTCGATGAGGATGGGTTTACGACGGTGGTGTCGAAGAAGAAGCGGTGATTTTGGTTGGTTGCTTCGCGGTGCTTTGTGGTATGGTGGTGGTGGTGGTGGTGGTTGATGTTTGCTCAAAAAATTTGCTGGTTGCAAGCCTGGTTTGATTCCCCATTATAGACACCTTGCATGGGTTGGCTGCTGTCTATGCTACAAACATGCTTCATGCGATTGCTCTTATTAAAGAAAGATAGAATGCGTGAAAGACAGCAATGAGAATTTTATTGGAAGCCAACGGAGCAAGGGATGCAAATCTATTAAAACATCAAAATTCATCATCATCAACCAAACAAGACTGCCATTGGGATATCATCGCCGAGCCTTTTCCCGCCCATACCTCCCTGTCGACAGTTGCTTCGCTCGACTAAGGCCCCGATATTGCCATCGGCCAGTAGGACTGGTTTGTATAACGCAAAAGATATTCACATGTGAACGGTTCTAGTTGTCTTCGCTATCGAGCAGCTTGGTAATCATACCAATGGCAACAGTTTGACCCTGTTCGTAAATTCCCGTTAGCATTGCTCGTGAGCATTTTAGTAAAATAATGTAGAGTCGGCTTACCTGGTCACGGAGGGTGAATCGTCCCATCTGGTTGTAGTCTTCGAAACGCTCCACACAAACAGCACCGGCCGAGCTCGTCACCTCGATACGAGCAATGATGGTCTGACCCTTGCTGGCGAAAGGAGGAGGGCGTTTGCTCCGGCGTCCAGTGCCGGGCTCACACTTGTGCAAGAGCGTAGCAATAGTGACTTCTTCAACTGCAGAGTGCACGTGCATAACACAGTTGTAACCAGCCGTGAGAATGCTCTTGAGATCCAAGATTCTGATCTTGGCCTCGAAAGCCTTGACACAGTTCACCGGACGCTTGGGAGAGCAAAGCACGAACCCAGGAAGAATGTCCTCTTCTTCCACGCCACGGAGACGCATGCGGACCTGGTCACCGCAGGTACCGGTGGCAATCTCGTCCTCAGTCTCACCGTAGAGAGCGGCGATTTCGACCTTGGTGCGGTTGGGCATCATGATGCAGGTGCCGTTCTTCTTGATCACACCGGACTCAATACGACCCTCGACCATGGTACCCATGTCGCGGTACTTCGCACTGATGGGCATCATGAAAGGCGCATTGATCTTACGCTCGGGCACCTTCATGTTCGAGAGGTACTCCAAGAGGGACGGGCCACCGTACCAGGGGGCAAGGTCGGTAGGCACACGGTCCTTGATACCAGTGGTCCGCTGGGCGGAGATGGGCATGAAGAAGAGATCGCTCTTCTTGTAACCAAGGTTCTCCAAGAACTTGGAGACCTTGACGGTACACTCGTCGAAACGAGCCTTGCTCCACTCAACGGTAGGGTCGTCCATCTTGTTGACAGCCACGATCAGGGTCTTCACACCCGTGTTTCTGGCGAGCAGGGCGTGCTCGCGAGTCTGACCGCCCTTCTCGAAACCGGTTTCGTACTCACCCTTACGCGCGGAGATGACGAGGACACCAACATCGGCCTGGGAAGCACCACCGATCATGTGGTGGACGTAGGACTTGTGACCGGGAGCGTCCAGAATGGAGAAGTGTCTGGTGATGGTGCTGCCGTCGGCCGCGGTGACAGGAAGCTGGAAGTGAGCACGACCAACCTCAACAGTCTTACCCTTGGCACGTTCCTCGTTGGTCAGATCCAGGGCCCAGGAAAGATACCAGGTCTCACGACCGGCCTCCCTGGCATCCCTCTTGTACTTATCCAGGGTACGCTCATCCACCATGCCGGTCACGTAGAGAATAGATCCTCCCAGGGTCGACTTTCCGGCATCGACGTGACCGATGAAGACAATGTTGACGTGCTCCTTCTTTTCACCATAGATTTCCTTCAGAGTAGCCTCATCCACATCGGCTTGTTGCTCCATAGCGACGGCATCCGCATTGCGGGCGGCCTTGGCAGCTTCGCCCCGGGCAGGGCTCGACCTTCCAGGGCTAGACCGGCCGGAGGGTGTAGGAGACGACTTGCCACTGGCGGCGGCCTTCTGGTCCGCCTTCTTCTCGGTCTTCTCGATAGCCTTGGCGGCCGTCACCTTAGCGGCCGCCTCAACAGCCGCAGCACCCTTGGTATCACCAGGTGTAGCCGTCCCCGAGGTCGAAGAAGGGGTGCTGGACGCAGGAGCGGGGGAAGGAGTGCCGATCGAAAGGACCTTGGTCTTGGGAGCGGCAGGGGAGTCGCTGGCGCCACCGATGGTCAGAACCTTGGCCTTGGGTGGAGCGGCGGCGGCGGGCTTCGGGGCGGGCTGGGCAGCAGCCTTGGGTTGTTGGGTAGCAGCCGGTGCTGCTTGACGGGGCTGCTGGGAAAACTGCTGCTGTTGCTGGTAGCCACCATACTGCTGGTTGTAGTTCTGGTTGTTGTAGCCACCGGGTTGCTGGGCGTAGGCGCCGTATTGACCATAGGCCTGCTGTTGCTGGTCATAGGCGGGGTATCCGCCGCCGTAACCCTGCTGACCGTACTGGCCATACTGAGGGTAGCCACCGTAGGACTGGAAAGACTGTCCGGGCACAAAGGCAGCAGCTCCAGGCTGGAAAGTAGCAACACCGGGGTGGAAGGCAGGGGCCTGGGCCTGGGGGCGGGATTGTGCGTTGGCGTTCAGGCGGACGCCCTCAGTCTGTCTGGAGAGTTCATCCTCCCAGGAATCGGGGGTCTGGTCGGCCATAGTAAGTGACGCTAATAGAACGGGAGCAAGACAGAACAACCAAGCAGCGTCCCGGAGTAAAGGAGCGATCTAGAAAGGGGAGGAGGGTGAAAGAGGAGGACGAGAACAAGAGGCGCAAAGTGAGGGGCGTTTTTCTGCGGAGGCTCACATCCAGTTGATTTTGCACCCGCTGACTCAGCCGCGTCTCCCCGCCCCCGCGGCTGTGGCGCCTGGCGCCTGGCGCGCCTTGGAACGCGATTTGCATTGTTTGTCCCCGGTCTCCCTCCGCTGGGCTGGATGGCGACGACAGTGACCTCTCTGACTGCACGCGAGTTGTGTATGTGAGCGGAGTGGAGAGCCGGCTTTTTGACCTTTTCGCTCTGGTATATGGTGGGATTTATCTCCGAACGGCAGCCACAGTGGGTGGCCCGTTATCGATAAGCTCTGCAAACCGCTTCAGGGGCGCCACCGATCACTACTAGATGCAAGCAGCTGCCATTGCTGCACATCCTGCTCGGAACATTATTACCCACAGTAAGGGAGGGAAGCTCAACGTGGGATCACCATGGATGCGTTTCTTACGAGGGTATGCTTCAATGCTCATGGCCCTATCGGTGAGGCCCTAGGACTGATCTTGTATTAGCTCACGCAGCAGGCGATGAACTATGCCATTCGGTAGGATCTGCTTCCTCTTGCTTCGTGCATTGCTAGTTATAGAACCAACTAATAGGCTGCCAGCTCTGGTATCGCTATCACGGCCAAATACGCCATCGTTCAGTCATCTCGCTTACTCAAAGTAAGTCAACATGGCTTGACCCCATCATGTTTCATGGAAGCTCACGACTGACTATGTCTTCCTATATGTAGAATGTCGACGATGGCGAAGAGAGAGAAGAGCTACTTACATTGCAGCATCGTCTGGAAAGCAAGATACAGGTCAGCTTTCCTTACGTCTGCACAATATCGGTCCAGGTTTACTGAGACGACTGATTAGGTCATTTCTCCTGCTATTGATATGATTGAACTCATGTAAGTACTGTTGGTGGTAAAGAGGTGCCGTGGTGACCCATAATCTGACTTCTTCCAGTGCCGCCAGAGGTAATACATCGCTGGAATCCGCTGTTTTCCTTACGAAATCTCTTCGATGGGATATCCAAGCTCTTGGGCAGCGATTAGCAAAGGCTGCGTCGTCCGAGGAGCTGTACTTGAAAGGGGCAAATCCCAACCGAGATCGCTCTCAGCACAAAGCAGAGATTAAGCTCATTATCAAAGATATCAAAAAGCTTCTCGTTCGCATCGAAGATGCAGTGCCGCTTATGAATTTAGCCATCACGACGTCGGGTGCCAAACTATCAACCAATCTCCCATCGAGTGTATCTCCGTCTCGATTGCTGCAGGCAAGCACCTTTCTGACTGCTGGCGACACCCAATACTCTATGTATCCATCTCAAGCCGTCCAAATCGGCCCTACATTCACTCTATCAATGTACATGCTTTTTGCCAGTCACCTTCGCCCGCATGACGAGGAAGGCATTCGCGAAGCAACATGGAAGGAGGTTATGCATAAGGCACGTCTGAAGCTTCGGAGAGTGCCTATGGACCTGGCCGCGCTTCCTCAGTCTCAGAAAGAGAACTTTCAGCTACCCGCCGAGGCAAGAATGGACGAGTTCGCCTATCAGGTGCTGATCATCGAAGATCTGGATGACGGGAGAGTCCATACGTTCGACGAGAATGAACCCCAACCTCACAAGTACGAAGGTATCAACTCCGCAGGAATACGTGAAATTCTTCCTATACACGAAATCTCGAAGATCTTCTATGCAGACACGGGCAAGATCTTGAACATCAACACCGACGGAGAAACCAACAACCCGGTTCTCCTCCTGAAAAGAGATATCAATGCTATACCTCCCCGACGAATGGTTGAGCGAGATGAAGCAGAGTCTGGATTCGCTCCTGAGGGTTCTCAGGACGATGAAGAGGTAGATGAAATCCAGGCCCAGCTCGATGCTCAACTGAATGAGGCAAACGCCCTTCCCACGCATGCTAGCTTCCACAAGAGCTCTATACCCGAGGAGTGGCGGTTACCAAAAGATCTGGACCCCGAGTGGATTGCGTTCGAAGTATACAATGAAGAAGACTCGTCGGATTCCGAATCGGAAGCAGATGACCACAATCCACCGTCTGACGAGGGATCCATTGACCCTGAAATGATGGCCAAGCTTTCCCTTCACTCCGACAATTCAGCCACTCCCACGCCGTCTAGACGACATCGGGGCACCTCTCACTTCTCTTCACAACGCACATCTACAACCACTGTTGCAAACCCCCATTTCAGCAACATCCGTACCTCTCTTTCACTCCTGGAGACACTACTCCGTCTTACCTCCCTGCAACAGTTCCAGCAACAATCCCACTTATCAATCAGCGACGAGCTCCTGAACTTCTTCTTAGAAGAATCATCGACCACCGGCGCCGGTGGTGACGAACAACACCGTCAACGACTACGCGCCGACGCGAGGCGCAGGGTCGGATGGGACCCCTACGACGAAAGCCCAGTCAAACGAAGAGGCGAAGACTATCAATACGCCTGGGCACCAGAAGGCACCCCTCTCCGATTCTCACGTGAGACAAGCGAGGTCCCGTACTCGCCCAGTGATAGGGCCCGAGGATATCATCTCCGCTCCCGAGAGAATACCCCAGAGACGACACCCTTGCGGTACGGGCGCTCAACCTCCGTACAATCCGACCTGAAGCGTCATGGCGGTGGGCGCGGAGCATCATCCCTTGCCAACGAGAGATCAAGAGGGGGGTCTCCTCTTTCTCGAAAGTCCACCCCAGGACCCGTCAACGGAGCCGGTTCTGACCCCGAGGGTCCCTCGGAAGATCATGTCGAAGCTTAAACGCCGATATCCATCATGCACAAGCACATGACGAACGTTACGACCACGATACTGACGCACTTAAGTTTGTACATGGGAAATGACACTACACTGTGTGAAATAGACCTTGCATATCAATAAATAGACCACACGCTCTGCAATCTACCCTGAAAACCTAAAAGCATTATAGCAAATCCCAAGTGTATTCGACACAGAGGGAAAAAAGAGAGCAACGCACGCAATTGCTAATACCAAGGGACTATCGTTCGCGAAGAAAAGCAGAAGGGAAGATGATGAAAGCATCGACTATTGACATTCCTAACGCCCGAGGAGATTCAAATGACAAAAGCACCGTAACTCCTTGCACCTCAATCACTCAGGTAAGGGGGAGGGGGGATATCTCTCGAACCAACCAGTGGTCAAGGTCAAGGACCCCAACAAGTATGCAGCAATTCTAGTAGTGTAGCAGTAGATGGACTACTGGGGTTCGATCCAACCGGACTTGTAGACGAGTTATTTACTCCCAGTCATCGTCGCTCTCATCATCCTTGGGCTTCTCCTTGGGGCTAGCAGGAGTGCGACTGGTAGTACCGCTGACAAGATCGTAGCTGGATTCGCTGTCGGGTTGGGATTGCTGGTCGTTGGACCGGCGGGGTTCCGTGGGCTTCAAGGTATCCTTATCGGTGGGGGCGGGGGTTGCAGTCTTGTTAGCGCTGGACTTGACTTGAGGCGTGGAAGGGGAGTCGGTGTTGTCGTCGTCGGAATCATCGTCCCACTTGACTTCTTCCTCGTCCACGTTGACATCTAGAATAGTTAGTTAACAACGTAGGATATAAGGTTTGATATAGTTTATCCCCTGTAAGGAAAGAAAGGAAAGAGGGGGCGGACATACCCTTAAGAAGCTCCTTGCGCTTCTGCTCCTCCGTCTCAATCACCAGACGCAGGAAGTAGTACCGAGACCAAAAGGTCGCATATTCAACCTGCTCAGGAACCAGCTTCTCCATAGCCGAGCGCAGCTCAGGGTACTTCTCCAGATCCGCGGCGATCGCATCAGTCTTATCATCGACATTGAACGACTGCTTAAAAACAGCCCATTCATCACTAACGGGATCCTTCGAGAAGCTCTCCAGATTGGAATGAATGACATGAAGCTGAGCTTCGAACCGCGTAGCATGAATAACCCTCTTCCCCTCCGCATCCTTACTCTCAAACAGCAGCTTATCCGAGGACTCGTTGCTCGGCGGCACAATGCTCACCGCATCACGCAGCTTCTGACCAATATTCATTCCAAACCGCAAGATCGCCTCGTCGGCTGCTTCCTCCGCCTTCTCGATCTCCTTGAGTCGTCGAGCCGCCTCGGCCTTGAACCGCGAGAGGAAACCCTCACTCGAACCAGCCGTCGCCGTCGCCGTCGCCTCATCCCCTCCCTCGACAGCTTTCGGGGTGGATGTTTCCGCTTCCTCCTTGCTCTTATCGGTACTCGTAGTGGCGGTGGAAGGTCCCGAGTTATTGAACGCCGTGCTCAGGGATAAACCCCGCGTGCGCCCGACGATGCTACTTTTCAGATCCGAGAACCCCTTAACGGCTTCTTCGCTGGCAGCGGCGTATTCTTGACGGGCGCCTTCGTAGTAACTTTCGCCCTGCTTGCGGACATTGTCCCATAGTCCGCCTATGCGGGCACCCCAGGGGCTGGCGGAGAAGGCGCGAAAGGTTTCCTGCAGTTCGGCGTTGAGGTCGACGTTGGGGCGGTCTTGGGTGGTGGGTTCGTTCTGGGAGGGTTCCTTCTTTGAGGAGTCGTTGGAGGAGAAGATCTCCTCCTGGATGTGGTCGTAAGCTACATCCATGACTGGAGGGTTGGAGTTCAGTGATGTTCAACTGTCTATCGGTTGGAGTTGGGGGGTATCGTGGATGACGGAGCGGGCGGTGGTGTCAACTGGGCGGTTCCGTTCCCGGGGCTACGACGGCCCGACCGGCCCCCTCCACGTGGTGGAGGTCTACGGATTCGGACAGGATAGTGAAGGATATATATATATGTTTTGGTAATATGGTGTATTTGTTGCCGTTGCTCGTTACCTTCGTCATGAATATAGTGCTGTCACAAGGCCTGTCACATGCTTCCTACGACTCTGGTAAGCTGTAGGGTTCTCCAACGCTATCTTGACTATCCATCAAGAACGTCGGAAGGGGCACGCTCTCCATCACACTCGACGTGAGGATTTGGCTGCCTGACAGTATTCCACGAGGGCCGGAACTTCCCTCGTTATGCTGCTTGTGGAGTCGGTCTGCTGGCTGTGAAGACTCCACTTGCACCACGTCCCTTCGAGCAAGGGGTTCAGGGGGTATCAGCCCCTTGGCTTTTGTGCTGTTTCCTTGACGCGTGATAGGAGAAGACTCAGGAATGATCTCCATCGGGGTCTTCTCGGCATTTTGTATGTGAGTCCGGCTTATGGTTGGTAAGTCTGGCTTTTGCATCGGATGGCTTTCCGTTCTGGGGGATGATGGTGGCGGTGACATGGTCTTTAAGAGTTGGTCATTCGAATCCTCAGGGAAAAGCTCAGCCAATTTCTGGGAGCTCAAAGTCGGTATTGTCCCAAGGGGAAATTGGGTGGCTGGCATTCTCTGGTAATATATAGATGCTTCCGAGGCTGGGTTTAGTTCCGGAAGCGGTAGTTCCGACAGGGGTGGTTCCGTTTCGACGTCTAGTTCTGATGGGTTCATGGGCGGAAGATCCTGGTCTTGCGAGTCTTCTTTCGAGGACTCACAGTCGAGATCACCAGTTGTGAGCTCATGGTCGATTGGTTCTGGACTTTGAGAACCCGGAGCATTGGGCAAATCGTCTTCCAGATCGCCAAAGTCTGTCTCCGCATCTGTCTCGTATATCACTGTTCGTTGTGTGTTGGCGAGACCTTCTCTGTCGTCTAAGGTCTCTGTGTTTTCTTCGAATGTAGCTGGCTTATTAGGAGACTCCGCTTGACCGGCCAAGGCGTTGAGGGATGGTTTGTTGGTTGGATGTCGATGGGATAGTGGCGAGTTTGGCACAACGGACTGTGTCAATGAATCATCGGGGAACGGCAGCATCGGTTCTGAATCCGGGACGGGTTCCTCTTTGATGCGATTCAAGGTAGGCGATTCTTCCTTGATGCAACGACCGGCGAAATTCGCAGGCACGTGCCTTCGTGGAGAACGAGTGGCGCTATGGAACTGAGTAGACGTGATGATTGCGAGGCCGGGACTTTCGGGGGATTGAGACGAAGGTATTTCGAACTTGAGTCGTTTTTGCGGTGTGGTTGGTCCTCCTGTTGTCCGTTCCTGATCCTTCGCAGCCTCTGCTGTGACCGGCGCGCCCGGGTCATCCTTGAGTTGCCGCCTCTTACGCTCGCTCAAAGCTTGCTGAGTATGATCAATTTGCGGAAGTCGGTCCTCATTAGCTTGGGTGTGCAATTTCTGGGCATTCCGATCATCATTCTTCTTTGGAGTTATGTAGGTATACTCCAGCTTCACATCATCATCCGGTTCGATCTTCAGATAACGTCGCACATAGTCCATTTGCGTGAGGGTTTTATGCCCCTTCGCCTTGTCCTTATCCTTCTTACTGCTATTGCTGCCTTCGCCGCTTTTTCTGCGCTTCTGTTTCTTCTCGCCTCCGCCCTGAGAGCTCCTTCGCTTTTGCTTTGAGGCGGCATCCTTTGCACTTTGCTCGAACTTCACGCCGCGGGCCCGATGCGGCTGCAGATGACGCGACGGTGGCTGAAAATCGGCATCCTGATCGGAGTCGTCATCAATCTCAATCACCTCGTGACTCTTCCGCGGACGGCTGCGGGATTGATCGTCGATATAGTCGAGATCATCATCATTCGACCCCGGGTCCTGGGAGATCGGAGTGACAAAATCAATTTGCGTGAGAGTCGGTTGATCCTGTAGGCCGGTGAACGAGGCTCTCTTCCAGGATTTCGATGATGCCGAGGACGCGGGGGGTTCTGTTCTGGTCAACGCACCCTTGGACGTGCTGGAACCTGTCGTAGGGCGGACTCTCGGGGGTTTGTCTGCAGTTTGGAATTGTCCCAGACTAGTAGTATTGGCGGCTGTACCCGGATTCTCCCCTCGTCTCATCGCAACTCGGAATCGGACGTGTCGTGTAGAAGTTCGCGGTGAGCCATAGGCGTTGCAACGGTGGTTGTCGGATCCTGAGCATGGCTGATTAGATTAACCCAAACCGAGTAAATTGATTCCTGGGTCAGCCAACTCGCGTCACGCGTTTCAGCCCGTCATCGGTCTGTGCGCCCCAGGCATCAAGGCAGCAATACTGCTGGGTCGTTCATACTTCGCCCAGATTTGCTCTTCTATACTTCTGCAGCATTCCGGCGAGACTTGCATATTTTTCTGCCGGTGTCGTTTGACCAAGGGCCAAACCTTTATATCCATCCAAAAGCTACTAGCGTGCCGTAATGGCCTATTGGGCTAGTATACAGCCCTAGGGTGCCAGTTTTCAGCCCTGCTAGCCAGACTTTAGCTGGCAACCGACTCGCCGCTAAGCAGAGAGCCAGAGCAACAGGGGAAGTTCCTTCAGTTGAACGGCAGAAACAACAAATCTGAATGCAGCTTGACTCCTTGGTGCACCATGCCGAACTCTCATTGGCAGTCCAGTGATTGGTGCTTGATTGACTTACTCATGCAAGCAGATTGAGTTCAGTATTGCGTCACTACACGATTCCGGGACTACCAGGATCCCATACAACTAGAGGATGGACTCTTCAATTTTCAGTTTCAGCGGTGACTGAAACGTTCTTCACAATATCCTCACTCTCATAGAAGACCCCATCCAACTCTACCCCGACTTTCCCATTCAAAAGCCCGTCCAACAGCGCCCTACCCAGCACCGTCACGCTTCACAAAAGAACCATGCTCACACGATCCTTGAAACCCAAGGGACGTTTCCCTCTCCCATGGACACGTCCAGTCCTGCCATACCGGCGATGCATGGCCCATGTCTCCAACGTGTCGGACATTCCTTCAGTGCGTGCAATCCAATCCAGGTCGCCCAGGAACCCCCTCCACCTAACCCACCCTCCCCCTCCAGGAAGACACCAAGCCCTTCAACGTCCCCATCCCCGAAGACAGTTTCGAAACATACAACCTCGACCCCCCACCCTACAGCGTGGAAACAACCAAAAGCCAACTAAAGCAACTCTACCGTGACATGTCCCTGATAAGGTCCCACCCACCCCCCTCCCTCCCTCCATAACCCCCCCAATCCAAAAAAGCCTAGACCGCGCGATTAACTTTCCCAGACGAATGGAACTAGCGGCCGACAAGTTATACAAGGAACAAAAGGTTCGTGGCTTTTGCCACCTGTCGACAGGTCAGGAGGCCGTGGCGGTGGGGATCGAACACGGAATCACCCGCGATGACAAGGTGATTACAGCATACCGTGCGCACGGGTTCACGTTGATGCGGGGTGGAAGTGTCCGATCCATATTAGGTGAGTTGCTTGGTCGTCGGGATGGCATCTGTCATGGTAAGGGTGGATCTGTGCATATGTACAGTAAGAATTTCTTTGGCGGGAATGGGATCGTGGGTGCAAATGTGCCCTTGGGCACGGGGATAGCCTTTGCGCAGCAGTATGATGATACAAAGACGGTGACAGTGAATGTTTATGGGGATGGGGCTGCGAATCAGGGCCAGGTTCATGAGTCTTATAATATGGCTAAGTTGTGGGAGTTGCCTGTCATTTTTGCTTGTGAGAGTGAGTTTCTCCCTCCCCTTGGCCCCTCCCTCCCTTACTTATCTACCTATTCATCCACACGCCTTATCCATCCCACACCCCAAGATCATCATACTAACCCACACCCCTCCTCCCCACCAGACAACAAATACGGCATGGGCACCTCCGTCGAGCGCGCCTCCGCAATGACAGAATACTACAAACGAGGCAACTACATCCCTGGACTACGAATCAACGGCATGGACGTCCTGGCCGTGATATCAGCAATCAAATACGGCAAGGAGTACACCCTGGCTGGGAACGGACCATTACTGTACGAGTTCCAGACATATCGGTATGCGGGCCACTCGGTATCAGATCCGGGGACATCCTACCGGACCAAGGAAGAGGTGCAAGCGGAACGGGCCCAAGACCCTATCACGACGTACCGGGCGAAGTTGATTGATTGGGGCGTGTTCACGGAGGACGAGGCAAAGGCGATGGATAAGGAAATCCGAAGGCATGTCGATCGTGAAACACAGGAGGCGGAGAAGATGCCGGCACCGCCGACGAATCTGGATGTCTTGTTTGAGGATACCTATGTTCGGGGAAGTGAGCCTCAGCAACGGCGCGGGAGAACCGTAGATGAGACTTTCTACCGGGGTTGATAAGGGCAGCCACCGAAACTCTAATTTGGTGTGGTGGGTGCTTTTCATAGTGAGCTCATAGCATGTGCTTCGGGTTAGGAGAGATGGTTATGCTCTAATTCCAATGGACGTCATTATGATTGGTAATGCTTAGGATAGAAAATAAAGGTCGTACGCTTCTGAAGGCTGTCATCGGTATACTTGACCAAAACAACACCTAACGTTGCGGATCGGTAGCAGATTATCGTCGACATGGCTTCTACTAATGCACCATTGACTACCCCTGAGAACTGCACTGCAGACTTCTCTCTCATCCCGGTATGTTATCTCTTCTTTCAAGGTGTTTGTGGGGGGTCTCCAGCGATGCAGCACAGCCTAGTTGGACTGCATTCTAAGAATCATGATCTAGATCGGCTCTCAGAACGCGTCGTTCTCAGATAAGATTGCGGATATCCAGCGTCTGATGCAGAAATCAGGCCTCAAGTATCAGATGCATGCCACTGGAACTACTGTTGGTATGTCTTCTGCCGCGTTCGGGTGTTCTCGTTGTTTGAACGGACGCTGTCGCCGTGATGGTCGATACAGAACCCAAGCTATGCAGGGTAAATGACTGCGACAGGGTTCCGTCATGTTGCGTAGTTCACCTCTCGGTCTTATTCCATAGTGCTAATGGCCATGGTTAAAGAGGGATCGTGGGACCAGGTATCCCAGATCATCGGATATGCCCATGCCTTGATCCATCAAGAAGGCATAACCAGAATTCAGACCGACATTCGCATCACAACTCGGTGAGTCTGCTTAAAGGTCCTGCCAGCTTCCAAATGATCATCTCACACAGGTATAGGACGGATAAGGTGCAGCCGATGGAGGCTAATGTAGCCTCCGTGCAGAGGGCTCTGGCGACTTGACGCGGTCGTGGAAAGACTGCCTGGGTGCTCGTGGGATGATGTGCGTCTTGTGTGTTCCAAATGCCTAAGCGTTGGTAAAAGTCAGTAATTTAGGATGTCAAGTAAATGACGATACCGTTAGCAAACCTCAACTCCTCAGTCCATCGGCGTCCTACTATTTGCTGGAGTATGTTCATCGATCTTCCTGCTGCTAGGGGACACAGGGACATGTGATAGACTGGGCAACTGGGCAACTGGGCACCGTATAATCGTATATTAGCGCTCTGTTATGGAAGGAGGACTCGGCCGACCATCGGCCAGCAAGCTTCCAGCACCATCGACCGAGGAGCAAAGTGAAAGAGAAGCAGAGAGACGACGATAATGAACCTGTAACAGCGCATCATGGTGTGCCCATTATCGTTTAGCCCCTTGTACTACGGCAGGTTGGATTGAAAGGCGCATCTCATCATCGCGTCCCGGTGAAAGCGATCGAGCTCGGGTGTACGTATCTATGCAGAACACGTATTAGCGGAGTCACTAAGGCTATTTTAGGACATACTGTCGATGGCTTGGTGTCCTATCATCGCGACGATGGCGGGGTAGGTTGAGTCTGGATCGCTTCACATGGGGGTAGTGAGGCTTTGTCGCGTTAGCATTGTCGGGTCCGAGGTTCTCCGAACCTGGCGAGAGGATTCTGATGATTAAAAATTGGCAAAAGAGCCAATGCAACTAGCAGGAACCTTCTGCATCCCGGTGGATACGGGAGAGACTGGGTGTCTGGTCACCATGGTCACTGGTGAAATAGGAAGCATTCCGGGCATGTGGACGGCCAGGTTGGTGTGACCTGGCCGACCAATTCCAGTGGGTGCTGGTTGAAACGCAGACATATTACCGGCCACCATGGACCACGGACGGACCCTGTTGGCTGACAGGAAGCTTGATTGCAGTCCCAAGGCCATGGTCTAGGAAGGCCAGGGATAAGGCCCATCCTAGGACTGGCCTTGCCTGGCAACTGCATCTGAACACGGGCGAATTTGGGGGTGGGGAAGTTTACCTGAACCATCCATGCCTGGGATGGTTGCTATTGCTGACTTGCTGTCGGGGGCTTCTCCTCTTAGTGCGGCCGCTTCTCCCGCAAATCCACCCACAACGGAGGCATTGTATGAAGTTAGAACTTAGGAGTGGAGGACATGGATGTCGGACAGGAAGGAGTGGGGGTGGCAAGTCTCAGGGAGCCAAAGAAAAAAAGCGAGGTGAGATGAAAGTTGGGTTGGCTGTTGTCACTAGTCACCCATCACGGGCAAAAGTACGAAGCAGGAAGAATAAACGATATGACAGGAAAGTAAGTGAAGAGGGACGGCGTCTAGATACCATCTAGACTCCCATTCTGCCTTCATATGCCCGACCTAGCAACGATCGACAGCGTGGGTGTTCCATCTTCTATATGTTTAGACCTTAATGACTGGGATGAGCATCCCGGACGTCCGAAAACCCCCCCGGTTCAATCCTTCCCCCAATCCACAAGAATCCACTCAATCCACAAGCCCGCATCTGGCTTCCGCAACAACGACACGACCACTCTCTCGGGACCCTCCAGGCTATCTGTCATGCCAGAGACAGCCATCTACTGCATCGGAACCTGCCCAAAGCAAGCGATCTCGGATCTTGGAGGAAGGGAACCGGGAGTTTATCTTGGGTATCCATGTCCGATAGACTACAGTACCTATTTGGCATGGTGGAAGCTAAGCTGGCCAGAGTCAGATCGCCAGCACGACAACAAGCACCCCGTCCGGGCTTTGATACTTGAAGCAAGAGATCCCGCTAGCATGGCTCTAACATCCCGGCCTATACTGGGCAGGGTTAGCCATGCACGCTATCTGCAATGTAACATCTTTGCTTTTTCTTTTAGGCATAGAGACATGCAGACAACTGAAACCATCAGCCCCACAGCAGTGGGTGAGCATTTTGGTAGAAATTGTACCTACTTCATTTTCCGGCCCTATACGTCAGTGATACGGAATATAGAGAACTGCAACCCGCATTGATGATCTGCCTATGCGTGCAGGGGACGCGATCTGGTGAGTGGTGACAGCAGGGCCGGATGACCCCATAGAGAGAGGTGTGTTCCACGTAGCCCTGATAGTCAGTTATGTGGAATCCCTGGCAGAGAATATCTGTGTTGCACTCAGGTATGAGATAGGGATTCTCGCCTCAGGCGGTAATAAAACATGGCCTCGTTTTGGGACCACGAGCCCGAACCAGAAGCCAATGCTTTTTTTTTACTCTGCGTGGTCACCCCGGGTGTCCCAGATCCATTACCTTGGGAGCGTCGTGGCATGCTCACACCCTTCCATCATCAGGCATGCAAGTAATCATAATTCTAGCGCCAATCTCAACTCATAGATATGGTGCAGAATGGACCAGTCGGCTCCCCTGGCAAATTGAGGCGAACAGTACGCTTGGCCACGATACATACTAATACTGCCTGCCGAAGGTGGCCTGGGATTGGGATGAAATCAACATTCGGTTGGAACGAGTATTATTTTGGTGTACAGGGAGGAAAAGAAGCCGCATGCGGAAGTCCGCCCAGGGCAGGCCCGTCGCGGGGGGTCTCAACTGCATCATGACGATGAAGATCTGGGCAGCTCGCAGGTCTTGGCATGTCGTTCTCTTCCTCGTTCTTCCCTGGCGCAGGAGTGCCTGCCCCTATCAGGGCCAAGGATGCGTAAACCATGCCCACCCGAGTTACGGGGCATGCGCGCCGTCGACCCGTTTGGAGCCTTCTTGTCTCGCATTACTTTCGAGCTCATCGCGAAGCTCACCGCGATATTAGCAGTTGCTGTCGCTAGGCTTGGCTCTGTTTAACCGCCCACAAGAGAGGTCTGGGTTATAATGAGGCTTGAAAAAATTTTTGAAGCATAATAACCACCATTTATTTTTCGGTCCCCACCGCCGCCCATACTTACACCGCTATAACGAGAGCAGCAATGTACCATGTAGGTTCGGATACGTGACAGCTTGCAGCGTGTGTGCAATGAGGTTATCAAGGTCATGTTGTGAGGCCCGCTGTGACGGCGGTATTTCCACGGTTTGAAAGTTGGGGTGCGTCGGAGTTTTCTGGGTAAAATTTGGAGCGCTACCGGTCCTGGGAAGATGGCAAGTGAGATCGCAGGTAAGCCGAGCTCTCAACAGTCAACACCACTAGTAGTACGGAGGAATGAGGGGAAGATCACCCAAGTTCCTCCCTCAATTTTGTGACATCAAGGTCGTTGGTTCGGCTGCAAGGGTCAGATCAGGACCACGGCAACGGCGAGAGAGAGACAGTGTGAAATTCATGAAAGCCCGGACAATCTCGGGCTGGGTCAAGCATCGCGATGGAATAGGTCCAGAGTCCTTGGTTCCGTTGGAGCCTGGGAGGATCCAAAAGCCGTTGGAGAGATCGGTCTGATGGGCGACCCAGATGATTGACGGATATTCTCAACATGCAGTAGCCCGGCCGTCACTATGCTCTTCTGAGCGCTAGCAGGTGCAGTAGTCGGCTTTCTAGTCCCGAGTAAATTGGGTGAGACGGCCTGCTTCCGGCTCACTGGGAGGCCTCCAAGCCCGAGCATTCGCCAGAGCTGAGTCTGGTGCAGGACTAGTCGCCCTGGCCCTGGCCCTGGGCCTTCCTTCACTTAACACCCCTCTTTGCCTAAGGTACTCCGTACCTCCATACTCCCTACTACACATTAGTCCCTCTTTCCGGCCTCCATCGGTCTTCCCGATAATCCTCCGCTTCGTCCGGATAGATCATCCATTCCAATGGAACCCCTGCGATGGCTTGACAAGCGTCTTCACACCCTGGAATAGTGTCATTCCAGAGAGCTGGAACAAGCCAATGATCCCTGCTGGTGGGGGATGCTACTTGTGCTAAAGAATACTAGTAACTGGACAAGTGTCGCCTGCTGCTCTTGCCAATCGGACAACGGTCCAAGCTGCACCGGGGGAGCCCAGGAGGAAGAACTGAGGATGAGTGGGCTGAAGAACAGAACACTAACTGAAAGTGACACCACTACTCGCACCATCCCAGCATAGCACTTCCCGAATCTGAAGAAAGACGGGTCATGGGGGCTACGACAGACCGGATGGGCGTGCGACCATTTGTGGAGATCCAGATCAACCATAAGCTACCAGGATATTCCCTGCAGTCTGGCCTCTATTCAAGGGGTATACTTCAGTATGCCGTTTCGAATTTTGACAACTTGGGCGAATACGCCGACCCAGCTAATTTCAAGTTTTCATGCAATCTGGGTGAGGAGATCAATAATACCCTGACCACCGTGGTATTGTAAGAACAGCCCCGAAATTTCATGGACATCCGGACGAAGAAGGCTCACGACACCTATGGCTTAGCAAGTGAATAATTGCGACTGCATTGGCTACAATACCCAACAGAATAAGTTGACGGATTGCCTAGCGGAGCCTTTGATCATGGAGTGCCACTGTTGGTACCGTATCCGTACCAGCTCCGACCTAGTTAGATTACTTAGGTACGTATGAAGTACGGAGGACTGGGAAGGACTACTCCGTAAGTGAAAGCTAAACGAAGGGTTCAAGAGTCGATTTGAAAGTAAGAAGCGAAAATCGGATCTCGCTTGCTCCAGCACCAACCCGGTGTCAGTCTCGGATGTGGGGACATCAACCTACGAAGTACGAATGTCAGATGCCACTAGTACACACAGTGAGCACCGATCTCGTTTCTACCTACTGTGAGATGCGAGAGGGAATGCCAGAGGTCCCAATAACTGTCACGGACTTCACCTGTACCTTGACCATAGGTACAGCATGCAGGACACCTGGATTGACGACTACCTTTGCCTGTTAGGGGCTTGAAACAATCAAGATCCAGATCGTATTTCTCCCCAAAGCATAGATGTATTTTCCATTTTACTTTGGCTCTCGTGCTCTTTAACCTAAGCCGAACTTCTCATCCAGCGAAGTGTCTGCGGGGGCGATCGAGCACCGAGGCAACCAAGCAATTTCAAATGTTGAGACATCTGCGACTGTCGTACGATGCTGGGGGGTTCTCCCTCTTTTGGGCATGAAAGCCGTGACGAATTGATATCATGAACAGTGGTGGCTGCAGATCTAGTTCATCACCTGGCAGTTCCTCTGCGACCAACCGTTCGACATGTTGTCGGAGGAGTTGATGGCACTACTAGTTACAATCGAATTTATATTCTTCCGGACTTGGCCGAGCTTCAGGTTTACAGCAAGTACCTACGATCTATGGAGTACAGCAGGTGTACTCCGTACTCATGTCAACAACCCGGTGACGATTAGTGATTCAAAAACAAACTTCCACCTTCAGAGACGGGAGCTCCCCGGCATCACCGAAGGTGGAGAGTGGACTGTGGACCTATGAATTTGAAATAAAATCAGGGGGGGCCAGAAGCTGTCGAGGTCAAGTGGGACGAAGTGGAATTCCGCCGACGAGAAGGTGGGTCAAGGATCCCGACAGACTGGATACTGCGGTAACTCCGTCCACCATTGTTTTTCTTTTTATCATTTTGTGGCCCTTTCGCCGTGAGGGTCTCCATATCTAGAGGTGAAAGGATTAATCCTATCCGATGATCGTACGAACCCTCCCCGGGATCCCAAAGGGGTTGTTGCGATGGCCACAAAGGCCAGGAAAACCCCCTCACTTCGCCTGAAGATGTGCGCCCTTCAGTTGGCTGTCACTTAATTAATTTAACTTTTCCTTGAGTCAAAGATAAATTACGCAGGCTTATCTTACTAGGATCATGCAAATGCATGCGCTGCGACACCGTCTGATTTCAGCCCAGTCGGATAATGGGGTGGGCGATCCGTGGATGGAACTTTCCAGCGCTGCGGCACCAACAATCATTGGGTCCCGGGTGCTGTTGAAGATCATCATCCATCCTCTTCTCTCCGGTTGGATTGTACCACTACTCCCTTCAGGGGTGTCGTGTACCTCCCTAGTACCTAGTTTGTACCCTGTCACTCAGAGAGATCCGACATGGTGAATATTCTATCTTGCCAACATGCGAGCAACAACCTATTGGGCAAATGCCACATCATCCTGAGCTGCCCTAATTTCGAGAGGCTTGCGCGAACGAGTGTTCGGACCACTAGGTCCGCCTGACTAGGGGTGCTGAAGGACATTAAGTTATTAACCGACCTGACTGGCGAGAATTCACCAACTTGACCATCTTGGGCCCCTGTTTAGCGAGTGCCTTTAGTCCAAATTCAATATGCACGGAGCGATCATTTTAGTAATAGTGTTTCACACCCCGTTGCTGGATGCTCCCAGCAGCCTGGGACGCCCGTGCTTTCTATTATTTCTTTTTATTTAATATTTGTTAATTTTTTTTTTCTTTTTTAGCACGGTGTCTACCCACTACCCAAATACCTGGCGCTGGTGCCCGCAGGAAAAGAAAAGACGAGCAGTCGGAGGAAAAGGGCAGATCTTAATGACCTACTGATGTATGCGTTGTCAATCTCTTCGTTCTGGCCGCAATAATTGAGTGCTAGTGTGTCCCCTCCTACTGAAAATGCTGCTTTGGAACCACGGTCAGCTCCGAACCGAAGAAGGCAGAAGAAGCCCATTTGCTTCAAGTGATCAGGGAACCCCTGCAGTGAATCCAAAGGATCGTAAGTTGATTGCCTACGGTAGTACCCGTACTTTCCGAGCGGAAAGTGCAGAAAAGAGAAAACTTTCCGAAGGGTCGTTATTTAGCTTTTGGAGACGGACTTCCAGAAGGTTGGGGTTTGGCTTTGCTCGGCAGAAAGCAAGAATGACAGACTAGACATTTACGTCTTCCTCGGTGCTCCGTTCCTCGCCCCGGAAGACAACAATGCAGTGTCAAACGGGAAATCAAGCACCTGTTACATACATGCAGTGTGCGGGAGCTCAGATATGTGGGCACCGGGCAGGTAGGTCAAGTCCGTAGATTTTAGATTAGGATCCGACATTGGATGGGTTGCTTTTCCCGCCACCCGCACAGAACCACCCACTCGGTTCCCGGTTGGGTGCAGTTGGAGGATTCATGATTCATACCCGTGGGTACCACCCGGTTCGTCGTAGGTAGTACCTTCTCTGGACCTAGTTACTGCCTGCTTGGACGAGTCACTAGTACTTACTTGGGTGCTGTCAACACGACGTACGACGTACCTTTCCTGTCCAGTGGTGCAATGCTGCCAATGCCCCTTAATTATGCTCTGGTGCTTGCCTGGTCCAGTCACAGCCAAGATTTCTGGTATCTTTCTAATTTTCTTACTTCCATTTAGCTTTTAGTAGGATTAGGTATCTCCCCATCCTGCTAAAGTCAAACTTAATCCAACCTGTCGGGTTCAGGGAAGAGATTGGGAAAAGACAGCCGACGGTGCTCCTCTTCACCCACCCTGATGCTACCTACCCACAATAATGTCACCCCCCCCCGTCTAGCTACAATTATAGGCTCTGTAGTGCTGCGAAGAGCGGGCACCTCTAAATCTCTGGGCTTCTCCAACCCCCGGTAACGCCTTTGGTTTTTTTTTCCAATCAACCGTGCTTCCACCTGTACAGTAACGGAAGACTGGTAACCAACCCTTCTTCATTACTCCTACTACTCGCCTCCATCCACCTCCCTTTCCCAGTAAATTCAAAACCTTATCATTGTTATAATAAGGTCGTCGGGCCCGGGCCGTGATCGAAGTCTCTAGATCTCTTTCTATGAGACACTGATTTTTCCTCTTCGAGCACCCACCGACTAATTTGCCTTACCGAGCCCTGGACTTGGATACTACCTACGTACTACCATCCCCCCCACTCGAACGTTGGTACTCGAAGCCCCATTTTCCGGAGTCCGCCAGTACATATGATGCCTGCTGGCAGGTCAGCTGTAAGCCTTCCCTTTTGGAATTTTGATTGGCGCCATACCTCCTGGGAGTGGTGATCTGGACACTCTTGCTTCGACTCTTGGTCGCCGTCTACATCTCTCTTTCGATCGGCAACACTCTTGACTTCACTAACACACCATGTCGCAGGGATCTAGTCGTGAAGAGTAAGTACTGTCCATCTTCATACTTGCAGAAAGAGGCAGAAGTGCAAAAACTGTTTGCATACTCGCAGCTTTGCCGCCGTTGATACGCTGGTGCTAAATGTTCATGATAGCGACACACAGTCATTGACTGCCAGCGTAACGGACTACCCCGTGGAGCATGGAAGACGATACCACAAGTATCATGAGGGCGGTATGTCTACGCCATCTTGGTTCTCCCAGAGCCAGCTCGTCTGACTGAACCACTTCCCCAGCATACTTGTACCCGAACGACGAGCAAGAACTGGACCGTATGGACATGCAACATCATATGCTCAAACTTGTGAACAACGGGCGGATGCTATTTGCTCCAGCCCAAAGTCCAAAGAGGATCCTAGATATCGGCACTGGCTCCGGTATATGGCCCATAGAATTGGGTAAGAGGCTTTCACACCCCTCCCTGGCTCACCCCTTTAGGCTGTTTCTCACAGTGTCTTTGCATAGCATCCGAATTTCCAGCAGCCGAGATCATTGGAACCGACCTGTCGCCTGTCCAACCGAACGAAGTTCCAGAGAACGTCCACTTCCTCGTCGATGATGCTACAGAAGATGACTGGCTATGGGGCCCCAATCACTTCGATGTCATTCATGCTGGACACCTTTCGGGGTCCCTGCCGTCGTACAAAGACTTGTTGCGGAAAGTCTTCAAGTATCTCAAGCCAGGCGGCTACGTTCAATGTGATGAGTTCGACCCGAAGCCAAAATGCGATGACGAAACGATGCCTCCAGAAGATCCCGATAAGTTCAGCGATTATGCCCTCCAAGATCTGATGGACTTGCAAATCCGTTCAGGCCAGGTTTCAGATCCGCCACGGCAGTTTCGAGTGGCACACCGATTTGCACGTTGGATGAGAGAAGTCGGCTTCGAGGATGTTCAGGAGCGTATCTGCAAAGTCCCCGTGAACCCATGGTCTACTGATTCACATCTGAGAACCATCGGTTCGTGGCACGAGGCAAACCTGCTGGAAGCCATAGCGGGATGGTCTTACAAGCCGCTCACGATCTTAGGCTGGTCAAAGCCTGAGATTGAAGTCTTTCTTGTCGATGTACGAAAAGCTATCCAGAACCGAGCCGTGCACGCCTACATGGACTACTACGTGGTAACCGGAAGAAAACCACGCACTGCGAAGTGAGGCCCTTGAAGGGTGCTCTATTGATTACGGTTTCAAAAGAATTTTGGATTTGTTTCTTAGCGTCTATACCTGCTTTTTGGCCTATCGCATCTCTCCATCATCACATTCTATTCTTCTTCCATTCTTCCCCTTTTGCTTGTGTTGGCTAGCATTAACATGAGATACCACCATTTACGAAGGCTTATGCATGAAAGGCGTGCAAGGTCCCTTTCCTCCATCTTTCCTTCTCCTCTTTGTCTATCTTCTTTTTGGAAATACATACTTCACAGCATAACTCTTTTGGTGATAGCCACGGACTACAGACAGCAGGGCTATCTGGATCAGGGCTATACCAGATTTTGGGGTTATCAGAAATATTAGGGATATTAGCAATAGTCGTCCAAATTTGAAAGAACGCAATCAAGTCGACATCATGCACTAAATAGATAGAAATGAGAAAAGAAGCAAGATTATCTCCATAAGATCCAAAGACGTCGAACTAACAGCAGGGCGCGGATTTCCTTTTGGGGCCGGGTGATTACTCATCCCGGCGGCTTTGCGATCTCCAATCTTTCGAGCTCCGCGCCTTGCTAATCGACCACACCTGACAGGTTGGAATCCTCAATTCCCTTGTATGCGCCTGCCACCTCATGTCTTTCGGCAGACATGCCTGTAGGCATGCCATTCAGCCTTCCTCGTCTGGTCTGATCGACCATGTATGGATCAGTGAGGACTTTCTAGCCTCTGCGTTTCAGCGATTCGCAAACGGCCAACGACGCTACGAGAGCCGAGTCCCGGGACCATTGGAGGCCAGGCGACGACTCGCGAAGCGGAGGAATACTGCATTGGCTGGAATAGCTGGTACGGGACCGCTGGACGATATCGCTTGTTTGTTTGGGCGGAATGGTCGGGAGCATCTGAAGTGGACTGACGGCCGGAAGGCACCACGGGAAGCGAAGGGTACGAGGTCGACTCAAGGAACAATTGGTGTATAGAAGCGGGCTAATTTGCTACAGGCTCGGATTTTTACCAATTGAGTACTCCGCCTCCGCCTCCGGCGGTTTACAGCGAGAATGTCGACCCGGACGAGTCCAGCAAGCCGCCTGGTTGGCCGGACCGGGCTGACGAGGTATCGCGCGATAAATACTTGAAGAGGCGTCTGAGGGAGTGCCGCACGGTTTCATCTGTTAAGAGGGTGGTTCGCCAATTGGACAGTGATCTCTTACGAGAGCCGGGTTACAGCCGTCTTATATTCGATCATTTATTGTCGTGTTCAGTGCGGGGGGAATCCGGTATCGAAGAGCTTCTATCGTTTCTAGACGATCCGCACCTAAATATTCGAGGCGCAAGGAATTACCTTACCGCGGTGGAGCATGTCGTTTTACGTGGGACAAGCCATGCAAACCGGCACACACTCTTCGATAACGTCATTCAAGCTCTGGAGCTCGGGCTGATTCCTCCCGAGGAACTGTGCGCCATAATAGAGACACTTTCGAAATTGGCACCGACAAAGGGTGGGAAAGGAAGACAGCCACTATACAGTGTGTCAAAAATGTACCAGGCTATGTGGGACGCGATCGGACGGTGTGATATCTACGGGCACAATGACCTAGATGAGGGGTTAGTCGACGCGTGGCTCGGAGCTATGTGGGAACGAAATATGTGTGAAGATTTGCCCTTGGCGAAAAGCATACTTGTGGCCGCTCAAAATCTGGAGTCGGCTTCCTGCTCGTGGACGACCCTGTTCATCTCGCGTTGGCTGGAACTTCCCAAGAGACTGCAAGTCGAAATCGACGAAGCATATGCAAGCGGAATACTGAGCAGCTTCAAGCCGAATGTCGCAGCTGCTGCCATTATATCGACCACGGAATTCTTAAGGTCTTCCAACAAGACAGATCTGTTTGGGCGGTGGCACAGCTGCTTGTCTCAGATCCAAGAGAGTCGAAGTCTCGTTTCATCAGAGACTTGGATTGATATCCAATCACCGCGTGAAGTCCCTGAATCAAGTTACTCTCCGCAACACCAAATAATATTACGTCTTTGGGCCTTACGGATCCTCAGCAGAAGTCTTCCAGATGGGCCTCTGTGGAAGAAGGACGTGAGAGCCACCGATGTACCTATGACACGCCTATTGAGCCTCTATGAAGTGCTCAGGAAGGATGCGGATGAGCACGACTTGTTGAGCAGCCTGATGAAGGGAATCCACGACCTGAGCATGCCTGCCAATGGCCTGCTTATGCTGGCCGTTGATATGAAAGCTCGGAATTCAATCACTAGATCGACCCGTCAGACCTTAACAAAATCAGAGTCATCGAAGATCTCATTCGCAGACGCATTTGCCGATCTAGACACCTACAATTCCATGGCGCCTCATTTCTTCTCTAAGTTTGAGAAAACGGTCCGGCAAATCGACATTACATCTCCCGAGTTCATCGAGCACGGCCTCGACCTCGCCAGAACCGGAGACTCGAAAAGCGTCTGGACGCTAATCCGTCTCCTTCGCTCTCACACCCCTCTCAAAATCGCCCTGTCAAAGTCATGGGTGCCCGTTCCCGACGCCTCAGAAAAGGCGCTGGTGCGCTACTACCCGGAGCCTCGAACCAGCGACTGCCCCGACCCACATGCAGCCCTCGAGATGATCCATCTTCTCGCCGTCTCTCTTGCGTGTTCGAAGCGCCTGACTCCGCGTCGCTCCTACAGCCTCGTTCATTGGCTGTACGTCTTCCTTGTGAGACATAACGCGCCTGTGAAACCCGCTCTGGCACGCGCGATGTACCACGCCGGTGTTGAACGCTTCCGACGACAGGGACTCCGCGTGGCTCCGACGCAATATGCGTACATCTTCGATGTGGTGGAGGAGGTCGAAGGGCCTGATGTTGCTGCTGATCTTATGGATCCGCCCCGCATGAGGGATAGATTTTCTAGACACGACGATGAGGAGGAGCATCACTCCGATTAATATCGTCTGTTTCACCAGCAGGAGTTTTTGAAAATCAGGTATCTATTGGATTTGTCTAAGACACTCTTACTCGGGGGTTCTGCCTAGGGCTGTATATAGAATAAGTAGATGGCGTTCATAGAGCTACATGCCTCTGGCGTGCTTACAAAGCTTTGTCTCCTGCATGAGACCTCAATTTGTCATGTACCTGCATCTAAGGCACAAGTTACCGTGTCTGTAACAGAATTTCCCGAGTATTATCATTCTAAAACCTCCAACAATCATAATGTGTTTATTCGTGCGTGGCTCGGATGTAAAGTAGAAGACACAGAACAAAACAACCAGCCCGTTACTCCTCAATCGTAACAATCACAATCTAAATGTCCACCTCCATCAAGTTCGGATCACCCGACGCCTCCTCAACCGACACATACTTGCGCATATCTTCCTTGCTGATGATCTTCTGGTTAAGATAGGCGGTCGTTCCCTTGGGGAAGCGGTAATTGCGCTCCTTCTCACCACGCTCATTGGGCTTGATGTAGTTGCGCAGCAACTGCGTGGGCTTATCCTTCTCGATGACGCACACGTCCACGTTACTACCGGAACCCAGATCGTTGAAGATACCGGCCTTGATGGCCTCAGCGCACAGCGCAACCGCGCCGTCGCGGTCCAGATTCGGCTTCCACATCGACTCGAACACTGACATCGCGGCCAATGAACCAGATCCCATGGTCACGTAGGGGAGCTTGTCGGTCGATCCGTGGGCGTGCACAGTGAAAAGACCAATGCCGGTCGGGTCGACACCCGCAACTACCAGGTACGCTCCGATGTGGCCCTGGTATCGGAAGAGGTGCTGCTTCAGCATCGTCATGCAGGTGATTACTCGTGGGGGCCGGCCCGTCGAAAGTGCGTGCAGTTCGATGTTCGAGCTGATCAGTGCCGTCGTGAACTCGGTGTCGGCGGCCGTACCGGCTCCGGCACACCAGATCTTGGGCGCGATGTAGTGGAGTTTCTCGCAGTTCTAGGCGTGGCACGTGGTTAGTGGTTGAATTGTTGGTGGCGTGGTAGGGAGGGAGGTGATGATGGGAGAGGGCGCTTGAAGCTTACCTTGTCTGCTACTATCGGACCGCTGGTAGCTCTGGTATCTGCCGCAATCTGTGGTTATGCCAGATGGGTCAGTTGATGATCGTCATCCATGATGAAGGGACTCGTCGGGGCTCGGAGATGCTTACCACAACGCCATTGTCATATATACAACCCACAATCGTGGTACCGGTGCTGGTGGCTTTGGGAAGAGGCACTCCCTTCGCGTGGAGAGCCGCGTTACGGTTGTAGTTGGAGAAATCGAAGCCTGTCATGGTGACGGCGTGGAGGGATGGTAGCTGCGAGGAAGGGCGGGGGCCGTGAGAGGTGGAGGTTCAAAGCTCCGTGGGATGAAGACGAAGCGAGCTTGACGAGGGACGATGAGGGAGAAGAAGTGGAGGACAGAGGGAGGAGACAGGAGCTATAGCTGGACGGAGGGAGATGGCGGAGAACGGCGAGGTCGAGCTGGAGTGACGAAGCTCCGGGCGCCTGATGGCGGCGGCCTCAGGCAGGGCGGATTAGCTAATGGGCGAGCAATTCCGCTGTTTTTGTCCGCTGGGAGATTGTCCGTCCTTGGAATTGCTGGCGCTCAACATCTCCTCCGTGCTGTTGCTTCTCGCTCGCCAGTCATTGGCCGTGCTCTGGTTACACGTCCTTCCAGGGCTCTGAATCCCGTCTCTTCTACTCCACTTCCTTCCCTCGAGGGGAGGTGGTCAAGATTTTTGCGCGCACCTGGAAGCTCTTCAACCGGAGTCCTCAAGCACTCCAGCGTCGCTCCTTTTCATCATCGCCGCAAAGTCCACCTTCTCCCCATGCTCCTAAGACCAGGTTATCCCTAGGCGACCGTCCCCGCTCAATCTCGGCCGATTTCGACAGACTAAGAATGGCTTTCAACTTTGGAGCGTCTAACCCCGCCGGGGGAGGCGCTGAACTGGGCCCCGAGCTCCCCGATGTTTATGCAGAGGTATGTCGCAATGAAGCCGTCCTTGTGGGGTCAATTCGAAACTGACTGGATGATCAACAAACAGGAAGTCGGATTTAAAGGCGTATCAAGTGATAGCAACATTCGGTTACTCAACACTCCCTGGCCCGAAGACGCTCTTCCTAGCCCGACAAGCTCCCTCCTTGCCGTCGCACCCACGAAAGGCGTTGTGGTTGGCGCTGGACCAGACGCCCTGTATGTCGCTTCATCCGACGCCATTAGAACAGCCATAAGTGCACCCACTGGGGAGGATAAGGTCAAAACCAAGCCGTTCCAGGTGCAAGCGACGATCCCTCTTCCTACAAGACCCACGCACATCACATTCGCCTCCGGTGACAGCGCCCTTGTGCTGGCGACTGAGAATGGGACTCAGCTTTCGGTTTTCGAGACTGCCAGTCTCTTGCAAGGAAATGCGCAACCGGCCTTATCTATTCCGACGAACGGCACTACCTTCCGCTTCCTTGCCCCCAATCCCGCGCAACCCGAAGACTCTCACTCATCCCTTCTGGCACTTGTGACGACGGGGGGCGACCTCCTCATAGCCGATCTGAAGGCTGGAAATCTACTCTCGGGTCCGAATGGTCAGGTGCTGAAGTCTGGGGTTAGCACGGTTTGCTGGAGTAATAAAGGCAAGCAGCTCGTAGCGGGACTTGCAGATGGCACTGGATTCCAGATGACCCCAGATGGAGCCCAGAAAGACGTCATCCCGCGTCCATCAGATCTGGAGGAGAACCATCATGGTAAGTACCATGCTCAAGTGCTCATCTGCCATTAGGTGTCTAATTGGTACAGTGTCGTCTATCGCTTGGCTTGAAAATGACGTCTTTTTGATGGTCTACACATCGAATGCCGCCGAGGATGATATGGGCCAGACGCCATCGTCACCATACTATGTTATCAGCAGAAGAAAGCAGGCGCCGTTCTTGATCCAGAAATTGCCCGAATTGTGTATGCCCTTTGGCGTTAAGCGCGCTCCTGCCTACCAGTTCATCGCGCGTCTCCGAGACTACAAACCGCATCTGAAGGATGTTCTCATTGTCTCTTCGACAGCATCGACGGACGTAGGTCTGATTACCAGGGCGGATAAACCGTTGGCTAGTGACGATGCTGCCAAAGCCACCACCGGGCTGTTTGTTACGACCGAAGTGAACGATGACACAAAGAGAGCGTCGCTCCCGCTCAAAGACTCTACCGAGGAGACCTCTGTGATCGGGCTGGGGGTTGACCTATCGAGTACTGAGAATGTTGTAGCACCAATTGCTGGAGAGGATATTACTGAAAGTTCTACTCCCCTGCCAAACCTGCTGCTTCTCAATCACGAAGGTATCCTTTCTTCTTGGTGGTTCATCTATGCGGAATCAATTCGTCAGAAAATCCCCTACCACGGCATGGCGTCTGAAGGTCAACAGCAGCAGCCGGCACAGCCAGCGCAACCTCAGCCCCCCAAGCAGCCGGCGTTCGGACAGTCGACTTTCGGCAGTCCGTCTCTAGGAGCATCCGGGTTTGGGAAACCGTCTACTGCACCGGCCTTCGGCAGTCCCTCCGCTCTGGGCGCTCGCCAACAACCGTCCTTCGGAACCCCATCATTTGGAGCCCCCTCCTTCGGCACCCCATCACAGCCGGGGGCTTCCTTTGGCGCCGCTAGTACACTGGGACAAGGCTCACCTCAGTTCGGCAGGTCCGGTTTTGGAGCCCTGGGCGGCACGTCGACTTTTGGCCAGCCATCCACCCCGGGCAAGAGCCTCGGATTCGCAGCCTCAAGTACTGGTACTGGAGGTGGGTTTGGCTCGTTTGCAAACTCCGGGGGATTCGGTGGGCTTGCGGCATCGAAGCCCGCCGGGGAATCACCCTTTGCGGCAACGTCGGGTGCAAGCCCATTCGCAAAGTCATCTGTGCCATCGCCGTTCGGTAGCAAAACCGATACTGACACCGCATTCCCTCCGAAGTCCAACGAGTCAAAGGGGATCTTTGGACAAGGCTCTGGTGGCTTCGTCCTTGGATCTTCGTTCAAGGGTGATGGTACTGCCGTCAATGATGGCCCCAAACCAGATAAGCCGTCTGGAGTGTTCTCGTTCGGCCCATCCATGGATGACCTGGTATCCAACGACAAGACGAGTCCGCCAACTGAGTCGATGGATGATATGGAAGATGAACCTGCCTCTCCACCCAAGCCGGAGCCGGAGCCCAAGGCGCCCACGTCCATCTTCGGGGCGCCCTCTAAGGTCGAGTCTTCTGCGCCTTCCTCGATATTCGGCTCTAAACCGGCGGCCCCCAATCCTTTTGGCCAGCCGGCAAATCCTTTCGGGCAGAACCAGACGACCAAATCTCCTTTCTCACTGTTCGGGAATGCTACACCCGCTAAGCCAGCATCGAGTCCGCTGTCACCTCCCTCCGAGAAGACCACCGTCGCTGCAACTCCCTTGACAAAGACGCCTTCGGAGGATACGCATCGCACTCCTCTCGCTTCGAGCATTCAAACCCCCCTACCTCCTGACTCCACTAGCAAGGCTTCTTACGGACCCGGTGATACTTCCGCATCATCAAATGTCTCCAAGAGCTCCGTCGACGACGCCCCCCTTCCGCCCGACTTCACTGTCAAGGCGAAACCTGCTGCAGCCGATGTTGGGGGAGAGCCACCTCTACCTCCGGACTTCACACAGGAGTTGCCCGAAGAAGAGGAAGAAGTGGACGAGGCAGACGCCGAAGAGGCGCCATTGCCTCCGGACCCGAGTATTCGGAAACCTCCGACATCACCCAAGGAAGAGCCCGGCCCAGTGCCGGAATATTCCGATGCGGATGAGTCTGAGAGAGAGAGTGAGGAAGCGGATGAGGAAGATGAGGAGGGTGACGAAGAGGATGAATCCGACTTTGAGGAGGACAGCGGTGAGGACGTGTCACGGGATATTAGCGAACCCGAGGAAAGTCCGAAGGCCACCCCCGAGGGTTCTTTCGAGTTTGGCAATGGTACTAAAGGCAGCTTATTTTCGCAAGTTGGCAAGCCGGCAGCGGCTCAACCCCAGCCTCAGCGATCGCTGTTTGGGGAGATTGGGAAACCCGTTTTCCCAGCGTTTCAAAACCGGGAGCCACCCAGGTCGCCCAGTCCCGTCCGGGGCGGCATTCAGAAGAGTCTGTTCAAGCGTGAAGGTCAGAAGCCTAGCGTTCCCCAAAGCCCCGGAAGCACTCTGGCCGCGAGAAAGGCTTCTCTCACCGAGTCTGCCCGGCGCGAGAGTCTTCTGAGACCGCAGCCTCAAAAGAAGGAGCCTCAGATGGACCTCCAAGCGAAGCGGATGGAAGAGGAAGCCCAGGCCCTTTCGGATGACGACGAGGATGAGAGGCTGCGTGCGGACCTTGCCCGACCTTTGGAGCCGGTTCCGACCCTTGACCCGTTCCTGCCTCACCAGGACTATGCCGGGGAAACGAGTAAGCCAGGTATCCCTGGCCAAATCGAGCGGTTATACCGCGATATTAACTCTATGGTCGACACTCTGGGCATCAACGCTCGGTCGCTGGCTTCGTTCCTTCTGTATCAGAAGCAGTCGCCCAACGCGAACTGGGTCGATATGCTGAAGACGGAACACCCGGCCGAAATCTTGGATGAGAAGCTGCTTCTCTGTGAGATTGAGAAACTGGACGATGCTGTTGTTATGCTGGCTGGCTCTCTGGAGGAACAGCGGGTGCAAGGGGTGGAGCAGAAGCTGGAGAGTTGCCGCGAGCTGCTGAGCAAGGACATCCTGACGCTTCGGGCTCAGTGTGCCAGCATCCGCAAGACTCTGGACGCGCACACGGATGCGGCTGCCATTATCTCCGCACCTCTGTCCGCGGAGCAAGCGAACCTGCAACAAGATCTCCGCTCGGCATCTACCGATATCCAGGCCAAGCTGGCAGATCTTGAGTCGGCGGTTTCCCTTCTGCGGGCGAAGATTGCCGACGCCCCTCGCCCGGATGGCGCTGGTGCTCGACAGGCTACCAGACGGCCGACGGTGGAGGCTGTTACGTCTACCATTGCTACGATGATGAACATGGCGGAAAGTAAGCGCAGCGACATCGACGTTCTGGAAGTCCAGCTCAAGAAACTGGGCATCGACACGTCGGCCCCGGCGGCCAGCCGGGAGGGCTCGCCCTTCACCACGCCGCGGAAGGGAGTCGCCCGATTTCCGACGACTCCTGGATCGGATGGCCCTACCAGCGCATACCATACGCCCGACTCGGCTGCGCGGGGGCTTAACTTCCGGTCCAGCATCAACGGATCGGCGCGGGCGAGCCGGCTGCGCAGTGTCGAGGGGGTTGGCGAGCTCGTCAGCAAGGAGGAAACTCTGCAATGGAAGACGAAGAAGCAGCGGCGCCAGCATATGGTGAGCAGTCTGAACAAGGCGATTGGGGCGAAGAAGAACAAGGTGCGGGGAGTGGATGATCTGTAGGATTGGATGACTGTTGTTCTTATTATATTGACACGACCACGAAACAGGGACCGGCGTGGTGAGGCATTGGATGTTGGTAGCGTTTGTACATAGATTTTTAATACCGATGTACGTTGTGCCTCAGGCAGCACTGACATCACTACTCCAGAAGCTAAGTTCCACTCGGTGCTGCATCAACAACACCATTTTATCCGTTCTATCAACACCGTCCCCTCCATCCCCTGATTCCACTCACCCAACCCATCTCATTCCCCCCGCACCCCAACGCGACCACCATGTCCGGCATCACCGAATTCATCTACTTCCACCTCAACCCCGCCATCAAACCCGAAAACCCCACCAACGAAGCCGGCGCATCGCTCCTCGAACTCTTCCAAACCACCAAACACCAAAGCGGCTACAAGGGTTCCGCCTGGGGCCGCAGCATCGAAGACGAGAATGTGATTGTCTGGATAATCGGTACGCTCCAACCCTACTCCCACCTCCTGTATACCCCTTCCCCTTCCTCCCCATTCCACACATCCACACACATCCACACCACCACCAACATAATAATAACAAAACCGACCCCAGACTGGAAAGACGCGCACCCCCCCCCCCCCCCCCCCCCCGCCACATCCCTAACCCCCTACCTAACCCCCAACAAACCCCTCACCACCTTCTTCGCGACCCTCTCGCCTCCCCTGAACCTCTCCTCTACCACCCCCTCCTCCCCATCCCCATCCTCATCTCCCATCTCATCCCCCCTAACCGAACTCTTCACCCCCTTCTTCCCCACCACCCTACCACCCCCCGAAACGACCTCGCTGCACAATTCCCTCATCGCATTCCGGAACGAACTCATGAACAATCTACCCGAGGAGCAACGTCCGAGGTCGTTTGCCATGGGACAGGTGGAGCGGCCCGGGACGCGGAAGCATGGGGGGAGTCCGAGTGGGGAGGCGTTTGGGATGGTGGTTGTGGTGGGGTGGGAGAGTTTGGATGTGCATGTGGGGGTTAAGGGGACGGAGGCGTTTGGGAGGGGGATTCAGCCGATTCGGGGGTGGATGTTGAAGGGGGATGGGGAGGCGGAGGGGGAGGGGTTTGGGGTTATGAGGCATGTTGCGTTTAGGGTGGTTGAGTAGGTGGGATGGGATGGATGAGATGGATGAGATGGATGAGATGGATGAGATGGATGAGATGGATGAGATGGATGAGATGGATGGGCAGTGAAGAATTATTATTGAGCGCTTTTCCAATAAATACAGTACAGCAAAAAGAAAACACACGTAGACCCCGAAACCCGAACCAACCATCCAGCCGCCGAAGGGACAGATTTTGAGTGCATAATGGGAACAATTTGCCACGGGACGTAAACAAAGAATGCACTCACTCCTTAGATACGATGCTTTTCGCTTTCTGTAGGGACGTTAGCACTGACGCCTCTTAGTTGAAATATTGGGAGGAGGACATACCCAGTCTCGAGTACAGCATGTACAGCGCCATCTGGTTGCACTCCTGTGTGCCCGTAATGGTTACCAGCCGTTCGTTGCTGTTCTCCTGCGGCTCGTTGATCTTGATCACACTGCCACTCAGGTGCCGGATCTCGTTGATCTTCGCACCGCCCTTTCCGATGATGGCGCCGACCATGTCGTTTGGGATGTAGATCTGCTGTGTCAGTGGCTGACCGGGCATGACACCACCGACGGGGGCGGCAGGCGTCGGGCCACCCCGAGCCTGACCAGCTGCCGCCTGTGGCGCACCGTAGGGCGCAGGCTGGTGCGGGCCAGCGCCAGCATATGGAGTGTGGGGAGTAGTACCGTAGTGCATGGAGGTCTGGTTTACAGGGGTGGGAGCGGCCGGGCCGCCCTGCAGGTAGGGAACGCCATAGCCGCCAGCCGCGCCGCGGTTGGGGTGAGGGTGGTGTCGCTTAAAGGTGTCGGGATGGCCGTACTGACCACCGGCCGGTTGCGGCACGTACGGCACAACCTGCATGCCTCCAGGCACTGCGCCCGCCGGACCGCCGCTGCGGGTGGCATACGCCGAGGCCGCGGGTCCGCCAAAGCGCTCCGTCAGCTGCTCAACAAGGGTCACGGCAACGTAGTAGGTAGCGATGTGCACAGCGTCAGCAACGCCAAGGATTACAAGGGACCGCTCAGTGGACAGTGGGAGGCATGCGTCAGAAGCGTTGAGGCGCGCACCTGAGGCCTCCTGGATCTCGCGAATCCGGCTCCCACCCTTGCCAATGATCGAACCAATGAGGATATGGGGGATCAACAAACGCAAGGGGTATGTCTTGGATTGGGCAGTGGAGGGGGCATCAAGGGGCTCGTTGTTCAGGGTACGAATGATCAGACCGAAGGCCTAACATCCGGGTTAGCAAGAGGCCAAAACATACCATGCCAGATAAACCAACCTTCGCCGCAGCATCTTGGGGGCCGCTGACGGTCAAGATACGCTCGACGGCACCCCGAGAATAGTCGCTGACGGTGCACTTAGCGCCCGACAGACGACGGATCTGGGACACGTTTTCCCCACCCTTACCGATGACGGTGGCAGCCTCCTGGCTGGAGATTACAGCCCGAATGTGAATCCAGCTAGACTCATCCTGGGGACGGTGTTGGTCGGACTGACTCGCGGACTCGCCGTGCGAGGCCGTCGACTGGATGGGTTGCGTCTCAGCGTGCACGCCCTTGGAGGGAGCGTCGGGAACAACCGTGTCGCCCTGGCCATCAGCCGTCGCAGCCGGCGCATCCGTCTTGACATCGGCATACGCCTCGGACTCGTCGCCCTTAACTACTTTGTCCAACGCAGGACGCTTGGCTTCCGGCTGGTCATTGGGACCGGACGGCGAGGAGGGATCCTCCAATGGACGCTTGGTCGATTGCAGTGCGGACGGGGAGGCAGACATGATGATGGTGGCTAACTGTGCAGTCTTTTCTCGCTTGCTTCACTTACGCAGGAAGTCGAGTTGGTTCAGAACACTTGCTTTCTTCTTCTTGTCTCTGCTTTATTTGATCGACTATGTACACCAGGAGTTCCCAATAAAACTTGCTGGTGCTGGCGATCACGTGGAGAGGGAATTCTGGTGCTTGGAAGGACTGGGAAAATTGGCAATATCGTGCACAGTGCGGGAAGTGATGCTGGAAAGGACAGCCGGTGGAGGAAAGTGTGCAGATGCTGGGTTGTCACGGGCCTTGGAGCTTGGATTTGGAGCAAAAGGCTTCACCAGAGAAGCAGTGCAAGGTAGAGGGAATGAGGAGAAGACACCAATCGGGTCGGGTATGAGGAAACGGAGGGAAGACTGGGTGCTGGACGGTGACGCAGAGGGTTCAGGGTCCGGACGTGCTGTGAGCGGAGGGTGGACAGCCAGGGGAAAAGAATAGAAAAGAGAAGTAAAATAAATCCTCGAGCAGTTCACGAAGTCCCAACTATCCTTGGATTCCCCTCTGAAGACGCGACTTGTTCGCAAGTACAGGACGTTCAGGACGGGGCGGGTCCTCTACACGATCACCCACGAAATAGCTAGAGCAGCCGGCGTAGGGGATCAGATGCCGAGTGAAATAAAGCCAACTAGCTGGTGACAATAGTGGCCAGGGACAAGGAGATAGAAAGATGGGGGTGGAAGGGGGAGATGGATGGGCAAAGAGAGCGTTCGCTGGGGTCGCGGTGAGGCGAGGAAAGAGAAGACGTTCAGAGTTGCGACCTTCGCGGGCCCAACCCAACCTCGCGCTAGACCGCTTTCGGTCCCGCCCTCACGTGTTCTCCCCTGCAAAACACCGCCAGCCATCAGGTCGCTCTATACCATGCGCTGGTCGACGAGCGGGTTTGGGGGAATTCAAACAGACATCAGAGAGTGACGCCTACGCAGTCTATCAACTCCCCCCATCAGGCCATTCCCCATGGACGTGTCGCAGGAAACCGTGGACAAAGTCCAGCGCTTCGCGGAGAAGCGCCAACGCGCCGAGGAGTTCTACGAAAACCAACAAATTAGCCCAGCGACTCTACAGGCGTACAACCGAAAATTGGATGACACGCTACGGGAACTGCAAGACCAAGTCAGGCGCCAAGAAGATGACCTGCGCAAGGTATGTATCGAAAACCAAGACGTTCTGTCTATACATTCCGCCCGTAGGTCGGCTCTGACGATTGAATAGCTGCGCGAGGTCAATTCCTTCGATCTCTCCAAAATGGGCACGGATACTTGGTCGCGGGTGGCCCAAGTACGCAGAGCCAAGAGAGCTTACGACTCGCTTCTGAAATCCGAGGCCGAGTTTCCGGCCTCGGGATCCCCGCTACCTTCTCTACTAGCCCTTGAGGAGACGTCGCATCTAGTCAAGGACACTAAAGTCTCCGTCTCGATGACGGCGGAGAAACTCTCGGCCACTCGCCAACGTCTCAAGGCAGAGGAGGCGAATCTCCGCGATGCCCAGTCGATCCGAGATGGTCTGCAAAGGCGCATACAGACCACCGGCAGCGAGAAAGCGACCAAGGAGAAAAAGACCGCTTCTCAGCTAGCTCGAGAACTCGCGGAGCAGCAACAAGAGAAGCAGGATGAGCTTGACCGAGCCACAGAGGAGATGAAGATGACGCTCTACACCTTTGTCGACGAATCCCTTGCGTCCATGCTGGCTGCGGAAGCCCTTGGGGGCCCCACGGTGGGTGACGCCGCAGAGGTCTCTGATGAAACCTTGAAACTAGGCTATACAAACCATGGTAAACCCAAAAAGCCCAAGAATCCGGAAGCAGCAAATCCAGAAGCAGAGAATCTAGATCCCATCCAGCGCCGAATCGACGAGATTCTTCCCCGCCAAAGGAACGACCAGCCATCAAATCGCAGAGAGGCTGCAGCTCTGGAGATGCGCAATCTGCTAGATGCTTTGCTGGAGGCAGGCTCCTCCTATATCGAGGTACCCCGAGAATCCGCTGCGTCAAGGTTCTTAGTCAGGGCCAAAGTTGCTCAGTTCCACCCCCGTGATGCAAGAAGGCTAAGGTTGATTGATTTCGGGCGTTCATTAGACGATTGAATGACGACAGCATGATTCGTCATATAATACATAACATTCAGGGTATAATCAGGTGAAGAAAGCAGGCTGTATATATTTTCACGAAAAGCCAAGGCGCCTAGTGCGGGCCACCGTACCAACATTTGATCCCCCACAGCATAACGCCCGTACATGCGCTTGAGAAAAAACATAACTCTCGCCGTAATACCGTAAATTTCATTTTGGAAGTCGAGGATGTGGCACTCAGGAAAGCTGTCAGATAGGCATCATCCCAATTCGACTGGTTGGCTGTTTCGCCTTGGCACTTTTTCGGGGGAAAGAGGCACGGTTATCCGTGCGATCACCTGATTTTCTCCTGGCTCCCGGCGTTTTGGTCCTAGATCTGGGGGCAGCGCTCTTCTGACGAGGGCGCTTGTCTGTTGGACGTTTCCGAGACCTAGGTCTACTGGACTTCTCAGGGGCATCCTCCTCGTCGGCAGAGTCGAGGCCAGCGGTTTGTTGCGAGAAGTACCGACTGGACACAGTCTCATCCAGATTGAGTGTCGTCCCATGGTCCGTAAAGATACCGCCGTCGCTGAATTCATCCTCGGTACTCGTAAGGTTAATCACGTTGTGGTGGTTGGGATCCGGAACCACCCCATCAGCATCATCCTGCTCTTTCTTCAACTCCGCGTAACGGCGTTGCGTGTCGCGGACAAGTTTCAGAATTTGGGCTCCATATCGGTGAACTTTATCGGTATCGATCCCTGGAATCGCGGCAAGTTCCGTCATATCTGGCTGAAGGTCAGTTCTGTGCGCAGCTATCGCTGAGGGAAGTTCTCACCTTTGGGGAAAACAATGACCATCTCACGCAGGATGCTGTCCGTAAACGGTTGGTTGCGAAGGCCTTTCTGCAAAACAAGCTGTTGGGGTTGTCAGTACCATTCTATGTCCCTTTCAAACGAGAGCACACTCACGTCTTGACAATAGTTCTTGGCGTAAACCATGAAATCCTCCGCAACTGCCTTGTGAAGAGGATCCAGCTGCTCAAATCGACGGTCTTGGGTGATTGGCGGGCCAGGGGTGCGCCTTCGCTCTTGTTGTGGTTTGCCGGCGATTCGAATCCTTTCGAAGCCATCACTGTCTTCATCCGCAGTGGAGTCACCCTCGGCGCCACGGTACTGGAAACGAGCGAGACGACGCTGATTCGCCGCTTGCACAGGTGACGAGACATTCGTGGATTGCGGATGATACTCTTTGCCGCCATCAGCCCGCGATCCTACATTCGACCTCCGTCCCTTTCCATTCGGTGAAACTCGCACGTCCAGCTTCAGTTTACAACGCCCGCTCTCAAAATCCGCGGCTCGCCGCCCAAGTTTGATATACTGAATAGCAAATTTGCTGCCATTGACGACATTCTCCTCAACCAGAGCTCCCTCGCCAAGGAGTCTATGGAACAGGCGTTCTGCTTCCCCTAGTTCTAAGTCCGAACCGTCGCCGTGGCCAGGAGCTTGACGGTGTTGAGGAGATCTAAATCTCTTCACACTCCCACGAAAGATGTTCACGCAGTACGACATGGTAACCTTGTCGTCAATGCTCTGAAAGTAGCGAACGACCTTTATGGCGGAGGCAGCATGGTGGGAGAAGTCGTGGAGCTCGAAGACAGAATCAGATTTGCAATTATCACACGAGGCATTGCAGTCCTGTCGACGGAAGTACTCATTGAAGTAGGCAAGAATTTGCACTCTCCTGCAGTCGCTCTTGTTTTCGCAGTACTGTACGACGTTGTGGAGCATCTGCCGTTGCCGATTCTTCTGCTGCTTGCTCCCGTCGCTCTTGTCAATCATGCTAGAAATGGTCGTTGTGTCTTTATAGCAGTAATAGAGGTAGCAGCCAGACCGCTTCCCGTCTCGACCAGCCCGCCCCGTTTCCTGGTAGTATCCCTCCAGACTCTTGGGAATGCTGTGGTGAATCACGAAACGCACATCAGGTTTGTCGATACCCATCCCAAAAGCGATTGTTGCGACTATAACGTGAGTCCTTCCAGCTTGCCAGCCCTGCTGAACTTCTGCACGCGCTTCCGAATCCATACCGGCGTGATAATGTGCTGCTTTGATGCGATAGTCATCCCGCAGGCTGCTCGCAACTTTTTCACATGTCTTGCGCGATAGGCAATATACAATGCCAGACTTGTTCGGGTATGAAGTCTTGATCGTATTGGCTATGCTGGCCAGAAGCTCCGTTCCCTTTTTCTTGATCCGCACCTCATACGTCAAGTTCGGCCGGTTGAAACTCTGGGAGAACACCTCGCAGCCTTCCATCTTCAGGTTATGGATGACGTCCACTTTGACATTCTCAGTGGCAGTCGCCGTCAGTGCCATCATGGGGACTCCGGGTAACTGATTCCTAAGTTCTCCAAGCTCTTTATAGTCAGGACGGAAATCGTGTCCCCACTGACTGACACAATGCGCTTCATCGATGACAAGACGTGCGAGCCTACGACTGCGGTTGAGTTTTTCCAAGCTTCGAGTGATGGCCTGGCTTTTATTGATCATTTCCGGTGTAATGTATAGCAGTTCAATGTCTTCCTCCGGCATGGAGCCCGACAAGGTACTCATGATCCATTGCCGCTGCTCCCTCGGTGTCTCTCCGTTCAACAGGTATGCCTTGATGTTCAATCGATTCAGATGGGACACTTGGTCCTGCATCAAACTAAGCAGTGGGGATACCACGATTGTAACTCCTCTTGTGGAGCCAGAAGTAACAACCGAGGGTAGTTGGTAACAAAGGGACTTGCCTCCCCCAGTGGGCATCAGGACAAATGTATCCTTTCCACTCAAAGTCGCGTCTATGGCCTCGAGTTGATTGAGACGGAACCCACGAAGTTGGAAACGATCCTTCAGAGCGTTCCGGACGTCCTTGGACCATGCATGTTGGTTCCACAGAGCGGTATGGCTTTGTGACTTCTGTTGGGAAGGGGGAATCCGAGAGACGTTGCCTGAAGTTTCAGCGAAAACCTTGCGACTCTGGGGCTCGTGACCTTCTGTCGCGAATGAGTAGGAATTATCGAGAAAGCCGGCCGCTTCGAGCATTTCTTCATCATCCAAGTCAAACTCATCTGGCTCTTCAGTTGGAAGCGTGGGTGAGCCCATGGTCCGAGTAAACGTATCTTCATCATCCAGGGTCGTAGGATCGTCGTAGTCAAATGCCCTGTAACTTGAAGTACCATTGGTGTTTTTGAAGGATAGGTCTGAGACCCGGGTAGAAATCTCAGACCGTGAGCCATTGTAGTCCATTGTTGACCGTGTGATAGATCGAGACGATGGCCCTGATAGTATCGTGTCATCCATCGCCGAGATCGACAGAGAAGATGGACGAGGCAACGGGGTTGGCCGCTCTAGCCCACGAGGGAGAATTTCGGGGTTGGATGGTTGAATAGACATTAACTTAGATCGTGCAAGCAGAAGTTGTATGTTCGACTCAACCTTCTCCAGCCGAGTTGCTGCTTCTCGACTTTCCGCTAGCTCTGGCATCGTATGTGGATCCCCACCCTGTGTAATGACCTGCATGATTCTTTTCTTAAGCATATTCCTCTTTGAGTCGTGAGATTGATATGCCGTCCGATGCTGCTTCAACAATTCAATCGCTTCTATACGGTCTGTGAGGGTTTTGTTTTCGGCGATCAAGTCAGGTGCGAGCTCTCCCTTCATTGCCCGTTCATACACTATCTCAGAGTTCTTCGTAAGCGTGGTTTTGAGACTTGCGATTGCTCCTTCAAGAGACTCTGCTGACAGGGCCAGGAACTTTGCCACTTCTTCATTCTGAGGTTGGGACGCGGGAGAATTGGTAGAAGCAGGTACATGAGTCATCTGACTAGGGGTGGACAACGTCTCTTTCTTGGTTTTACGAATGCTGGAAGGCACGATATCCATCACATCAGATGCCGGCGGGGAAGCACGTGTCGTCTTTCTGACAGGGCTAACAGCCGGATGCTCGTCTGAGCTATCTTGGTTAGGCAGGATTGGATAGAGCGACTCGTTCGAGTCTAACGTCGGGCCCTCTCCGTCGTGAATCCAGTCGTCAAACAAGTTGTCATCACCATCGTCGTCCGAGTCAGCGATGACATGATCAACGCGAGAACTCTGAGAGAACGGAGGAGCGGCTGCCGGTTCCTTCGCCCGACGAGATGCAGTGTCATTCTTGGTCGTGCGAGGTGACTTTTTGTGTGGGAGACGCGCCGGGGTGGGATGGGATTTCGCAGTTTCAACAGCCTTCAATGGCGAGCGCGGTTTAGAGCTGGTCTTCCGTGGTGAAACAAGATCAGATATGTATTCATCGCTCTTCCGCTTTTTCCCGCGCTTCTCGAGAGGCTCTTGCCGGGATGCAGCGTCTTCGGTCCATAACCGATGTGGCTCACCGAACCCATCGAAAGTGCTGGACGAAAGAGCGGTTTGATCAAAATCGCCAGTCAAGTCAATTGTATCAATATCGTACTCGGGTATTGGCGACCTGATATGCAATGGCCGTTTCGATCCGAAAGGCGTCAAGGAATGCGTCTTGGGGCTGCGAATGGTAGAATGGGGACTCTGGTCACCTTTTTGGCGTAAGTCGCTATAGATCTCGCAACAATCATGTCTATTACTGTACCTTTGATTTTTGTGCTCGGGACCTCCTCACGCCTTCTGGCAGGCGATTTTGCAGGCTGGCTACTTTTAAGTGGTTTCGGCGTGGGAACGGGGTCTTTTGCAAGACTGAGCATCCGCGGTTTGCGTCCGGATCCCGGAGTAAGAAGCAGTCGGGCCATTTCGGTGTCTGGATCAACCTCCTCCTTCTTTTCCTTCACATTGTTTGCAGTAACTGGTTGGGTACTCGGTTGCAAATCATCGATTTGGATCTCCTCTGGCTGGCTGGCCAATATTCCCGACACTGGCACCGGAGCAGTAGGATTTCGGTCGGCCGCGCTACGAAACTCGTGCGCGAACGGAGATAAGGAGGGGTAAAGGGAAGGGCCTTGCTGCAACAGCCATTTGAGGTGAGCTGTTAGGTTATTTTTAGTCATAAGGTCGTATTTTTTGTTCTCATGGTTCTATATCAACGAGTTGCAACATAACAATCGCATGGGCGTTCAGCTAGCTGCCGAACAACAACAATCAGTTGCTTGAATCCATCGAGGCCGTTGCCCCGACGCGTCCCGGCGCGTCGTCACGTGGGCGGTGACATGCCATCACCAGACACGATCCTAACAATTATCTACGTTTCTTAACGTTAATAGGGACAACTCTTATAAAGACAATTGCAAGCTAGAGCTTCGCTTCTAGACTAGCAAAGTATTGGTCTCACAATCGTGACCATTTAACAAGACTTACTTACTGCCTTCATCAAGTTGGTTCAAAAGGCCAATGATAAGTGCCGCTATCTTACTTCTCGACAATGTATTGCTGTAACTAAACATAATAACACATCGCATGATCCGGCAATCCAAGCATGAGGTTCGTTTATCTCAGGTTTGAGATATCCGAAGCTTCTGCTTGATCTATGAGTCATGTTATTATGCTGACTTCGACCCAGAGCGCTCATTTTTCGGCCTAGAAGGTCGATCGATCGATCAATATCGTAATCGTTTTACAGGTAAAGTAAGAGGGGCTTTTTCCGAACTTTTTTTCTGGGCCCAAAAAACCCCGTGCTGAACGGAGTATTCCGTAGCAAGTAGAATATCAAACCCATAACTCCACCGATAAGAGGTGATAACCAAACGGCACCGTCGAATACGGACATCCTCGCTGCAATTGTCTAGAAAGCAAGGGAAAGCTCACCCGTATCACCTAAGCTCATCACCATGGGCAAGAAGAACAAGAAGTCCGCCGAGCACAAGGAGCGTGTAGCAGCGAAGCAGTCCAAGAAGGCTGACAAGAAGGAGAAGAAGGGCAAGGGCAAGGGCAAGGATGCCGACAGTGATGTCGAAGATGCGGACTTGGATGCCATTCTCGCCCAGTATGCTGAGGAACAAGCGAAGTTCCTCAAGGTCACTGAGGTCATTGGCGGACCACCGACTCCGCGCTCGTCTGCAACGGTCCTGGCTTCTCCCTCGAATCGGAATGAGCTGCTAGTCTATGGCGGAGAGTACTTTGATGGTACCCTTGCCACGTTCTTCAACAATCTCTTCGTTTACAATATCGATCGTGGAGAGTGGAGAGAAGTCACCAGTCCGAATAGTCCCCTTCCTCGGAGTGGACATGCTTGGTGCCGCGGTGGAAATACCGGCGGTGTCTACTTGTTTGGTGGTAAGTGGTTCTATGGAAATTTCAGTTTTCAGGGCTCTGATTTCTGGAATAGGAGAGTTCTCTTCGCCCAAGCAAGGCACGTTCTATCACTACAACGATTTCTGGCACCTTGATCCCTCAACGAGGGAATGGAGTCGTCTGGAGACAAAGGGCAAGGGTCCTCCGGCCAGAAGTGGTCACAGAATGACATACTTTAAGGTTCGTTTTCCTGACTTCCAGTGAAGGACATCCTGTCTAACGAAACACAGAACTACATTATCCTCTTCGGAGGATTCCAGGACACCTCCCAGCAAACCAAGTATCTTCAAGACTTGTGGATCTATGACTGCTCTAGATTCACCTGGTTCAACCCCACGCTTCCACCAGCATCCCAGAAGCCCGACCCTCGGTCTTCCTTCTCCTTCCTCCCGCACGAGACTGGCGCCGTTCTCTACGGTGGATATTCGCGTGTGAAGGCCACCACAGGCATCAACGGTAAGCCCGTCAAGCACGGCCCTCAGCGCATGACCATGAAGCCCATGGTGCACCAAGACACCTGGTTTCTCCGGATCACGCCTCCTGCTCCCGACGCTCCTGCCAATGCTGCGCCCACCGTCCGTTGGGAGCGCCGGAAGAAGCCCACCAACTCACCCAACCCCGCTCGTGCCGGTGCCACCATGGCATACCACAAGGGACGTGGCATCATGTTCGGTGGTGTCCACGATGTCGAGCTGAGTGAAGAAGGCATTGACAGTGAATTCTTCGATACCATGTTCGCCTGGAACACCGACCGGAATCGCTTTTTCCCCTTGGCTCTCCGCCGGCCCCGAGCCCAGGGGAAAAAACAGCTCGCAAACCAGATCAAGTCCCGAGACCGGAGCAAGGCCGATGAGGAGGAGCTGTTGCAGAACTTGAAGGCTCTGGAGGCCAAGGGAGGCATCCGTAGTCAGGATGACGACGACCTTGAACTGAACCCAGTTAAAAAGGATGAAGAGCCCGAGCAACCGGAGAAGCCAGCGATCGTCCGCTTCGAGATGCCCCACCAGAGATTCAATGCACAATTGGCAGTCCAGGACGACACTCTATTCATCTTTGGCGGAACTTTCGAAAAGGGAGATCGGGAGTTCACATTCAACGACTTGTACTCGATCGACCTGGTCAAGCTCGATGGCGTCAAGGAGATCTTCTACAATGAGCCTGGAAACTGGCATCTCCTCAACGAGGCAGACAGCGACGAGGAAATGGACGAAGACGAAGAAGAGGAGCTCGAAGACGAGGAGGAAGAGGAGGACGCGATGTCGCTGGATACCGCTTCCCCTGCACCCACGGAAGTAACCGTGCCCTCCGTGACCCAGGAAATGGAGCAACTGGAAGTGGAAGAACAAGAAGGCGAGCCCTCCGTACAGGACAGCAGACCTCCTCCTCGTCCTTTCGAGAGTCTGCGTGAGTACTTCAGCCGCACATCCGAGGACTGGCAGAGAATCCTCTTGGAGACTCTGAAAGAAAAGGGAACCGCCACAGAGAAGAACATCAAGGAGCTGCGGAAAGACGCATTCAATATGGCGGAAGAGAAATGGTGGGATAGCAGAGAGGAGATTATGGCTCTGGAAGATGAGCAAGAAGAGGCTGGTATCGGCGAGGTTGTTAGCATTGCTGATAGAGGCGACAATGTTGGAGGTGCCGGACGACGCAGGTGATGCTGGTTACTGCAGCAGATTGGGGATATACCTTGGATAAAAATAGCTCTGTTTTCAAATCGCATTAAGAGTCCAACTCTCTACACTTCTTCCTGCCCACATTCAAATAGAATGATGTTGCTTTAACAAATCCAACCCCAAATATCACTCAGCCCTCTCAACCAGCCCATGTATAACACTAGGAGCCTAAGGCTACAAACACGCCTCAGGCTCATCTGATAAAACGTCTAGACTCCCAAAGAAACCTGAACCTCAAGCAATCGCGAAAATCCACCTTCCAGGGCAAACCAATGAAATAGAAGCCCTGGGACGCGTCGACGTAACTAACTAACAGGGATATCCTTTGATGTCTGGATTACTTCACTGATGGGGGATCTGATCCGAAGGGTGTTGATGGCCTGAGGCAGCCAGTTACACGATGTGATATACAATTGTGATGTGCCCTCCATACAATGGACAGGCTACCAGAGGTGGTCTGATCAGGGAATGCGGCAGGCTAGAGAAGACAATTACCCTAGCTATAACTAGCTGTACTTATCCCCCATCGATAGTGAGAATTATCATCATCACACTTGTACCTCAATTCAGGTTTCAAATTTCTTGGGTGATGTGCAGGGTACCACTAGGATGTGAAAAAGGCGCAAAGTTTTGTCTACATTCCTGGCGCCCTGAAGCTAAATCATTCAATTGTATCGGAGCAGAATCAATGTGGTCTAAATTATTCACGGGCTCAGGTCGAACCCAATCGTGCCCCCCTCCCCTTTGGTCATTGGCATCCTCGTGCTCGAACAAGGTCTTTGTTCAGGCGTGTCCATTGATCTTAACGCTCTGCATATAAAGTAGGCCTTGTTCAGTCAGTTTGCAATGATCCGTAGAGTCTGGTTGCCATTGACTGTCACGTTGAGATCTGGAAACCGGGGCCAGGTAAGGAGATACACCAGCGGTTGCGTGAAAACGGGTTATGTTCCGAGCATATGCCACATGAGCCACGAGTTCATCGCCTCTGCGTCACTGCTTTCACACGCCTATAGGGTTCATCTTCGAAGCTAGTGGTTGTGATCGTGACCCCAAATGGGAACTAGATGTGTTGATATCAGAATAGCAGCCTACTATCTAATCAGTAGACATGTACTGCAGTTTCGGCTCGAAGAACCGCCGAGACTTTCGCAACAGGCAATAGGGGTCACGGAAGGAGGTGTAGCTAAGATAGCACGATACAAAGGAAAAGCCAAATCAACACATCACTGGAATGCATCACAGACTTTCAAACCTTGACTGGGAGGTGAGGACCGGCGATAATTAGACGGGCCCCTATCAAGGACAACGACCCAACCATCAGAGCAGCCCCGGCCCAGAGTTGTGCGGGTAAATAACTGTCATCTCCAGACCGCGCAATCAAAGCCCCCGCTACCGAAGGTCCCGTCAGGGGACCAAAGCTCATCATGGCAAGTGCCATCCCAACCCGAGTGCCGATCTTATCCAGGTCCTTCGTCAAAGATGGCACCGTACCAGCAAACAGACCCATGGCAGCCGCGGAAGCAAGACCATAGAACACCGCGAAGATATACAAGCCAGCCACATTGTGGACGCCCGCCCAACAGAACATCAAAACCCCACATATGCCGACCCACGGAATCAAGCAGTTCAGCGGCCCTATGTACCTATCCGCGAGATATCCACAGGGCGCACGGATTGGAATCCCGCATGCATTGATCACGATGACTAGGTTGACACCTGCGCGGGCAGAAAGACCTAGAGTGTCGGTCGCGTACACTTGAATCTAGGTTTTCTTAGATTTTGTCCGCCTGCTCAAGTAGACCGAGAAGGAGACGATCGCCCGCGGGCGGGGGGGGGACGGAACAGGGGGCTAGGGATGCGCGACATACATAAAAGAACGCAAAGTAGAGGGTCCAGTAGAGGAGAAAGACCCCGAGAGTGAAAAGCATATAGGCTGGCTCGGTGAATGCTCCCCATTCAACCAAGGGACCCGACTTGCGTGGCGGCAGTCGAGGACGTAGTAGGGCAAGTATAACCAGGAGCATGACAAAGACGACTAAACCCATGCACCGTACAGCCCATGGAAAGCCTTGGGGTGGGGGGGCGAAAATATTAAGATAATTAGAGTCCAAATCGGGATTACGTCAACAAAATGGAGGGTGGTCTCACCAATTCTTGGAGACAGGAACTGAATTATGGCTGGGAAGATAATCCCACCGGTACTGGTTCCGGTGGCAGCTGCCGTGACGGCGAACACACGGCGTCGAACAAAGTACGTGGACAGGAGTGTCACACTAGGCAACCACATAAGACCCTGACCGATACCAATGCAGAGCCCCTGGGAGAGAAATAACTGCCAGTAGACTGTCGCTAGGCTAGTCATGAAAGTTCCAAGTAATAACAAAAATGCACCAATGCTGACGACAAGCCGAGCTTGTCCAGCATCGGTCGCGCGCCCGGAGAGAGGGGAAATGAACAGGAGACAGAAGACCTGGAAGCCACCGATCCACGATATATCGGACGAGGTTTGCGGTAGAGCGACATCATAATGGTCTTGGAAGACGCTGAAGCTGGCTGCATAGCCCCATGTCACCGCAACCACCAAGTGGCCGGAGACCACTTGGGCCCAAGCGTGAAATCCACCATCGGGGGGAGGTGGGAGTGCGCCAGCGTTAGACATTCTTTTTAACGCTCTATGTTATTCCAATTCTTTAATTTGAAAAAGAAGACAAAGTACACGTCTGAGAGAACTTATAATAGATATAATAAAATCACTGTCTCACTGCTCATCAGCGATAGACGAACGGGGTGGCTAGGGACAAGAACATAGGACAGCAGGGCGACTTTATGCAATGGGTAGTCCTCGAAGGAACGCAGCTGGCTGGGAATGGGGGGATGCTGGCCACTGGTGCGGAGTCCGTCGGGGAAAAGGCTGCGGTCGACGGGGACGAGGCGCGGAAGGCCCGTGGGCATACCTCGCAATCCCGGGTTCACATCAAGCTGAACTGCCATGTTTGTGGTTGCTGGGACAATATAGTATATCTCTGAATCTTGATCTCGATTGTAGTACCGTTTGGTTTAAGAGCGTCTGGAAGACACGCCTCAGCTATATAGGCGACGAACTGCCATCAAGTGACTGAAAGTTGCATAACACACGGCCCATTGGTAGTGGCTGCGCTCAGATTAGGTGTTTGGACCGCACGGACTGTTTGCCGGCTGATAACAGCTTATGGATTGCGGTACATCTCCGACGTGCGTAAGTCAAGATCAAACGATTGCGCCAAATATTGGCTCCTGAAGCCACGAAGGAAGTATATAGTGACCCCTCCTGTGTCTGCACGAGCGGTGAACAAGTGAGACTCCTGAAAACAGCCTCTCCGCATCTTCCCCCGGCTTGCGAGGTCCCCGAGCATGAACGCATTCACATTGAAGGAGTTTTGGTCGGGTTTGGTGGCGTCTGTGTCCAATGGCATTGCCCGTCAGAAACCACTAACCACTAACCACACCCCTGATTATGCTGAAATAACACATACAAGGTACAAAGCTGCCATCCCTCCCACAAATCTGGTCCCCCTTGAGGAGCTACCTGCAAGCCATACCATGACTTATGCTGCGAAGACGGTTGCTTTTCCCTTAGATATTGTAGTCGTTCGAGGATTGATAGCCTCGATTCAGCCGGCCCCGAAACCATCTCTTTGGCCACATGAAGATGAAACAGTAGCGTAGAAGAATGCACGCTGGAGATCATACAAGGTAATTTGCCCTGAGCTCCCATGCAGGGAACAGAAAAGCAAATGTCCGAGGCGAGAGAAATAGCTCTCTGGTTAGCGTTATGAAGCGCTTTCATAGTAGAGGCATCGTCTGTTGTGCTCCCTAGTAGTTGAGCACATCGCTCACGTATGATCCTCGCTAGTTGGATGCGAACAACGCGAATATTATTCCAGCATCTCAACGTGTTGTAATCGGTAAACATCCAACCTGGTTACTGATGTGCTTGGGGGTTTCAGGTGTCTGTCTCCTTGAAATAAAAGAAGGCAGATGCTTGGATAACTGATCTAGATGGTTGTCAAGTATCGACTTCGTTGGCAAGGCAATCGAGAATAACAAGCTCTGTAAGGTGCGAGAACATTATGATGCCGCCCTCATCCATGAACTGACTAGTGCCCCTCAAGGACATTAATTTAACTGCACCTTGCAAATGTCCATTCCGCAGATTGAATTCTTGCCGTCCTGAATTGGCCACTCGCTCGAAAACACTCATGAGCAAAATGGAGAACAATGTTCTATCTAATAATGCCTCCTTCGGCGAGTGGATCGCTTTCCGTGTCAGAGACAAAGCTGATCCATAGCCAACCTGAGCATGATAAAGAGCTGGCCGACAACCTTGCAAAGACGAAAAGTTGGCCATGAACACAGCATTGATCACAGTGTCAAGAAGAGGGTAATCGTCAGATTTCGACGGATAAAAGACTTGCATGTACGAGAAGAGACCAGTTGGTGGTGTGTCTTGAACGTATTGCGAGATATAGAGGTACTTTGCACATTGTAGCACAGTGGGAAGGAGCCTCGTTGACAGAGGATCAGGGGAGGACTGACGCTGCAAAGAGCGTTTCCTCAGCACCTTCTCGGCCGTAGCAGGGGTCTCATCGAGAATGACCAGATCGGTGGGGTTTGCATATCCCGAGCATGATAGTCCTGCACGAGCACATTGTGAGCAGCAATCCTTCATCTTATCACACTAAAGACTAGTGTAAGCGCGGTTCATCCGGAAGTTCAACAGCAGAGGGGGTCTGGATACTTTAATGTCGCGTCTTCGGCACTCCCGGCACGATTTAGAAGGCTTTCCACGGTAGACCATACTGAGCGGTGTCAGGAGGTCTTCCACCTAGCCGTCGAATACTGAGGATTATGATGTTGCCTTAGGGGAAAAGCGAGAGCATTTATTGGTCGGACTCGAAAGTGACTGAACTCCCTTAGTCATCAACGTGTCCATGCATTGACACATGAACTGAACTATGATATGAAGAAACATGATGGAATGCGTATCTCACAATTATTAATGCCACTGGCATGGCGCGTATTAATCTCTATATCATATAAACATAAAGGGGTGCCGGGCTAGCCAGAAAATACTCTATGACAGTCCTCCAGCCACGCTATTCAAGACCTCTGTCACAAGCGCAAAATCCCTCTCTTCCTCGACCCTCCAATTCGAGATCGCGATCCTACAAGCTGGTCTGCCTTTCCAGGAGCTTCCAGACACCCACATCTTCGAAGTTGCGTTTATCCTTTTCGTTAGGTTGTTGTTCAACTCGTCGTCCTTCGCGCTGAGGAGTACTATGATGTAAGTCTGGTCAAGCAAAGCATCCTTGCTGGCCAGTTCTGGTAGTGCATTGTACTTGGGATGATCAAAGATCCATCCGGCAATCATTCTGCTGAGTCGAATCTGCTTCTGCAGCATTTCCCGATATCCAGTCCGACCATACGCCACAAGCGTGGCGTATGCTGGCAAGGCTCTGAACCGTCTTGAATTTTCCATTCCAATGTTGAGGGGAGAAGGAATCGAAGGGGCACCAGATTGGCCCCCAGTCAAGTAAGCTGCATTTGCGTTTTGGAAGACATTTTCTGCTTCACCGGAATGGCGACAAAAGAAGAAGCCACAATCATATGGCACGTTTAGCAGTTTGTGCGCATCGCCTGCGATGGAATCCGCCAGCTCCATGCCTTCGCATCCCTTTGAGATAGTGGAAAATTCCGCGCCCTCTAGAACACGGCCAAAAATGCCAAAGGCACCATCAACATGAAGCCAAGCCCCGTATTCGTCACAAAGGCGACGCAAGTTCTTCATTTCAGTCAAACTAGACGTCGCAAAGTGTCCAGTGTTCACCTCTCCACACGAGACAGTCACGATGCTCGCCTTGGTAGACCTTGCCAGTTCAGATTCAAGCCTCTCCAGATCAAATTGGAGATAATGACCATCCCGGCACATACTCTTAACGTTTGCGCGGCCAATCCCAAGTACCCCAGCCGCTTTTGTTAACGAAGAGTGGGGGAACGTTGTGAGAACTTGGACACCGGAGAGGCCTGTAGCCTGAATGAGTTCAAACAAGCCATACTCGCCAACGCTTCCGACAGCAATGCCCTTCTTCTTTGCAGCCGTCCGGAGGACAAACTCCCTCCCGCAGACTAACCCATGGATATTACTGGCTGTGCCTCCCGTGGTGAAAGTTCCATTACTCCAATGGTGCCGGTCTAGCCGTAGGAGATCTGCAAGAAGGCCCAATGCAGTGGCTTCGACGTCTGTCGATATCGAGTGCTCTGGCAGATGCACCTGGACATTCTGATCGTAAGCAGATACAAGATTGTCTGCGAACAGTGCGGCTGGGGTGGTGCCACCCGTAACGAATCCGTAATAATTGGGGTTTATACTGCTGCGATTGAAAGCTGGAACCAGATCATTCAGGATATGCTGCGTAGTGTTTTCAAAACCCGCCCCTGCATCAGTGAGAGACTCGGGCAAAGAGGCCCTGGCTCTTGACATGTCACTGGCAGTGGGCAGCACACCACCTGGTTGATAGGTTTGCGTGAGTTCCCATAGCTCTTGGTGTAGGTGGCCCTGCTCTTGAGCAGTTTTCTTGATATCTTTGAGCTCCATTGCACGACTTTTTTCTTTTGGCTCGATCTGGAATTCGGTCTGTCATCGAGGTACACCAGAAGAGACAAGTGCCGAACCTATGCGACACGGTCACTGCTTGTTGTCTTCAAAGTATTTTGGCAATATCTGCCGCGTTACAAGTCTTTATACTGTAGCTAGTCCGGCTATAGAGCGTGACTGAGTGAGCCGGCTGTACCTGCTACATTGAGGTAATTGAGGGAGCGGGTCTGCAAGGATCTCCGAGGGGTTCTGACGGGGTTTGACGGGGTTTGGCGAAGTCTGACGGGCGGAACCAGTGGGAAACGTTCCGGGGAAGCTAAGCAGGCAGCATAATTGGCAAATTGCATCTGGCCCCTGGATGGCCTCAGACTTGTAATGCTCGAAGCGATTGATAGGCGCGGTTATATGCCCGAAGCGGAGTGATGGCGGAGTCTGACAGCGCGGGCGAAGCTTTATCTATCTTGGGTCGGCGGCGTATTAGTTTCGAACATACCGTATTGAGAATCAACGGGGGCTAAAGCGACCCCGTCTTGACCACTTCTGCCGTCACGCCACCTCAATCACCTCGGGGAGCAATTGCACCCTCCAGAATAGTCCATCAAGTCAGGACCACCCCCAAGCCACGACCATGGCGGCTAAATTAATCGATCGGCGCTTCCATAACATCCCAGGTATGTTCGTTCTTCTGAGACAAAGAAATAGCACGGCTAAAAGGTGGGGTTGTCTAGGAAGGCTTCGAGTGGCTGAGCTGTTCTTTGATGTCCCTCTCAATTACAACAAGCCCACCGATGGCACTCTGAGACTTTTCGCCCGGAGCGTTCGTCGTCTGGTAACCCCGGCTGAGCCCCATGAGGGCATTAAGGATGACAAGCAGCTACCTTTTCTAGTGTACTTGCAGGGTGGTCCCGGAATGGGATGTCGCCCCCCGCAAGAGTATGGCTGGATTGGAACAGTCCTTGACAAGGGCTATCAGGTACCCGGTGTTTTTTGATTTGAATTAGATGAAGCTTTCTGACTGAGTAGGTCTTGTTCCTTGACCAACGTGGCACGGGCCTCAGTTCGACCATCACAGCAGGCACGCTTGCCCGCCAAGGCAATGCTATTAAACAAGCAGAGTATATGAAGAATTTCCGCGCAGACAGCATTGTCCGCGATTGTGAGGCTGTCCGTCGTTGTCTTACGACAGATTACCCTGAGGACAAACGGAAATGGAGCATCATCGGCCAAAGCTTCGGGGGTTTCTGCGCTGTAACCTACCTTTCCATGTTGTAAGCCAGCCTTCCCTCACAAGATTTTCCGAAATATTCCAACCAACAGACTAACTCTGCATCTACCACAAGCCCGGAAGGACTGGCCGAGGCCTTTATCTGTGGTGGTCTTCCTCCTCTTGTCGACAACCCTGATCCCGTCTATGCACGCACCTATGGTAAGTCACAACTCCATACCATTGACTACAAAATAAGCTAACCCACACAAAGAAAAGGTCCTCGAAAGAAACAAGGCATACTATTCTAAGTTCCCCGAGGACGTAGAACGCGTCAAGCAGATTGTCCAATATCTGAAGGACAACCAGGTTGCTCTGCCGACTGGAACTCTAACCCCGGAGCGATTCCAGCAACTGGGCATATTGTTCGGCATGCACGGTAAGCGGCATCGAGAGACGCCCATCTCTTGATATTTTTGCTAACATACCGCAGGTGGTCTCGACAGCATTCATGGTAACAGAATCTATAACTTAACATCCCCAGCCTCGCTAACACGAATTAGATCTCGTGCTCCGCGCCTGGAGCGACCTGGACATCTTCGGGTCTCTGACCCATCCCACTCTGACCTCAATCGACAGTTTCGGTGGCATGGACAACAATGTCATCTACGCCATCCTGCACGAGGCTATCTACTGCCAAGGGTGGGACCTCTCCCTCTCCATCTCCTATTACTCCTCAACATACAACTAACACCGTATTCCCGACAGGAAACCCTCCAACTGGTCCGCAGATAAGTTCCGCGCATCCAATCCCGACTTCCACATTGATACCACCAAGCCCGAAATCCTCTTCACCGGTGAAATGGTAAAAGTCCCCCTCTTGTCGACCACATACAACCCACTAACATAATAATCACTCCACAGGTCTACAAAGACATGTTCGAGTCATACACCGAACTCGCCAAGATCAGAGACGCAGCGGAAATCCTCGCATCAATTGACGACTGGCCCGCGCTTTACAACGAAGCCCAGCTGGCGAAGAACGAGGTCCCTGTTTACGCGGCCACTTTCGTAGACGATATGTATGTGCACTTTGATCATGCGCAGAACACCGCGGCCAAGATCAAGGGCATCAAGCAGTTTATTACGAATGTCATGTATCATAATGCGATTCGGGCCAAGTCGGATGAGCTTATTCAGCAGCTGTTTGCTTTGAGGGAGGATACGATTGACTAAGTGATCATGGTCATGGTCGGATTAAGAATACTGGGATAGTGGTGGAAGTATGTATATGGTTGATGTTAGTGTATTAATGGAGGTGCTGTGAATTTCTGTTGTGATGATGATTGTATGTCCTCCAACAAATGTCAGCCGTCATTCGATCCTTATATCTATAACCAGAACGCAGTTCCAACTGAAGTTTATAGATCGTCTATGATGAGTCGCTCAAAATACCTGTTAAAAGATGTGTCAGTTTAGTTCGACTTGAAGCAGGGGTTGTGTTATACGCACCGCACCGCCAATGATGAACAATCTCTCTTCTTCTTGATGCACCCACTCAATGATCTTGCTCGCGCTCTGAGCAAGTGCATTCCGGTTCGCGTTTGTACCCGCAACGCAATAAAACTCGAAAACAGGCGTCACCCAAGCAAATGAGCTTGATGATTGCGAGACACAGTGGTGAATCTTGACATGGGTATGCTTGGCATGGATGCTTGCATGGAGGTTGTTGTAGGTAGACATTAATCTGAAGAAGTCGCATCAATGCGTTAGCATCGAAATATCGACAGAACACGGTTCAAGCACAGCAGATGTACACACCTTCGACGTCGGGATATGGAGGAGAACTCCGGGTCATACGAGGACATGGTAAATTGGACGTTGGCCCGGGATTTGTATAAAAAGTGATGCAGGACTGTTCCTGGGACAATGTCCGTTGTGCTGGGCCGGCCCTTGTCAACGGCATCCTTAATGATCTTGAGACTGCCGTTCTTCTCCAATTGCTGTTATTGAAGAGGCATTGTCAGCCTCCTGCTTGTTATCATATGAAGCAATGGTGCCTACCTCAACGAACGTATCGCGCATTCCCTGCAATTCGAAGAAGCTCTCCTTATTTGCGCTTATGAAAATAATCGCAACAGACTCTTCTTTGGTGGTCGTATCATCGGCGGTAGTGCCAGTATCATCTCGAAGATCGAGAAAGCTGACGTACATGTAGAGGTACCCGCTGCTGTTGAAGCCTGGAAGGCACACTGGAATCCAGCTCTCACCACCGCCGGCTTTAACCGCCTCGGCCTCGAATATCATGTTGAAAAGCAGCTGCAAATCGCCAGGGTGCAATGAATGCTTCTTAGGCCGCACAACATTGACCAGCCGACCACCCGCAACTACCAAGCCATAAAGGAGGCTGCTAACTCTGGTCTTCAGCAGCGTGTTGTTGATTGTTTGTCGATGAGACTTGCGAATCTTGAGACATTCCAATGCGGAAAGGAGTGTGGATGGGGATCCTTTCGTAAAGCTATCGGCCAATGTGGATAGAAGGGTCTCGGACCCTTGGAGTGGCCGCTTGAGGTCAGTAGAAGGGCGGATCGAGAAGAGGTGAGACAAGGATGGAAGGGTCAGCGTAGACAGTATTTGCATATATAGGGCTTCCAGTTGGAGTTTCAGCTGAGTATCGCTCTCAAGCATGCGACTGATCGCAACAAGGTATAATGGCCCCTTGTTGACCACCACGAACTTGGTATCTCCAGCGGAGAAGCTGCTTAGATGATCTTTAGCATCTTCATAGAACGATATGATGGTCTGGATGACGCCAACATATGTTGATATAAGCCCACCATCACCATGTCGCGTCCAGATCGGCTTGCCAGCAGCCGAAAGGATGATATAGTGTTTCCGCTTAGCCTTCCAATTATCGAGGACGAGTTCTGAGAGGAATAGTAGGTCAGTGACTGTAGTGAATGTGTCAAGCAGGTCATGCATACCCTCATGCTCCCCTTCTTCACCCACGTCTCCCACTGGCTCAAACTCGCTTGCAAAGTCGTCTTCCACGTCATCGGCTTGAAATTCTGGGAACTGCAAGAGTCCCGTGGTTTGCTGTTGGGTAAGCCCAGGCTCTGTTGCCAGAAAGTCGCCAAAGACGTTTTCAACGTCGCCTAGGTCGCCTTGCGGTATGGAGCTTCGGATACTTGCAGTATCGCCAGCCTCACTTCCCCTCGGGCTGGCCAAGTGGCTGAGGCTCGCCTTAGCCTTCAGTGCGCCAGGCAGATTGCGCACAGAGAGGCCATCTTTCCCCGCATCCTGGGAAGCAATATCTGTGAGAGACACGGCTGTCGTTGCCCTGGACTGGAGAGCTGGCTGTGCGGGCTGCCGCGGTATCCGGGGAGATGCCCCTCCCTCATCCAACAGACTCAAGGTGTTTGGGCGCGGAGGTAGGGGCGGCGGTCGTTCATCGGGAGTCGAGCTGCGGTCTTCACCGGTCGAACCTGTGGACCTTGCGGATGACAATACAGGGTCGACATCTGTGGGGGTCTGCGCCCGTGGAGCGTTATGACCGGGGGTGTCCTGCGACGGACCGGGATCGGTCGAATCCATGCTCTCAGCTCACGCGCACCGGAGGTTGCCTCAGCCGGAGATGCGTCACACTAGCTAGGTATCATGTAGAGATCGAGTCGGTTGCGACGGATATACTAGCTAGTGAAGATATACCGAGCCATTCCACAAGACTGACGAGGGGTATGCCGCATGGCGGGAGTTGCAGGCCGCAATGCGACGGCGGCGGGTGGAGGAAACAAGCATTGACGGCGGACTGAAGGGGAGAAATGGACCCCCCGGCGGAGCTCCCCCAAAGGCGGGCGGGCGGACGACGCCAGATAGACGGAAACATGGCCGCCTGGCTCTTTCGCATCATCAGCTCAACCAGCCAACCAACCTGCCCCCCCACTCAGTCTGTCCTGATGCACAAAATATGACGAGGTGCGACCCGCAGCCAGACTTTCAGGACAGTATTGATCATCCGACAATCGCACCATGAGCCTTGATCCGAGCTCGTTTCCGAGGTCCAACTCCCCCGCAAGCTCCGACAGCTCTCTCACGCGCTCCCGACTACGGGGGAAGGAAGGTCGGTCACCACGCGCCCTGCGACCCCTTAGCACAGCTGGACACTTACCCCTCTGATTCCTCTAGAACCTTTGAAAAAGGACAAGAACTACCGCCGTTATGCCACCACGGTGGAACGAGCCCTGTCGCTGTTCGACACCGCGTTGCAGGAATGGGCGGATTACATTTCATTCCTGAGCCGGCTGCTAAAGGTATGATGACCTATGGACCAGGGGATAACTACGCATGTTATTGATGGAGATGATGACAGGCTCTCCAATCTCATCCGGCGGACTTGCCCATTGTGCCTCATAAATTACTGGTTGCGAAACGCCTTTCTCAGTGCCTGAACCCTTCATTGCCGTCTGGTGTCCACCAGAAAGCTCTCGAAGTATATACATACATATTCAATCTGATCAAGGTTCGCATCCATCGCTTGTTGTCCTGGGGGTCTGTTCTTCGCTAACATCAGTCTTGGATCTGTTAGCCGGAAGGACTGTCGCAGGACCTACCCTTGTATCTCCCTGGTATCGCGCCCACTTTGACGTTCGCTTCGCTCACCGTCCGACCCCTCTTCCTGTCCCTAATGGAAACACACATATGCAGCCTAGAACCATGGGCAATTCGGCCGGCTTTGAAGGCTATCATTTTGGCTCTTCTGCCCGGGCTGGAGGAGGAGACGAGTGACGACTTTGATCCTACGATGCGACTTGTCAACAAATTCCGCGACATTGCGAGCAAGATGGAGACATATAAAGAAGGAACGGAAGCTAGCCATAGTGGCCACTACTTCTGGCAGTGCCTGTTTCTTGCATCTATTACCAGTCCTAGTCGGCGTGCAGGTGTACTTGCTTACTTGAACCGCTATCTCCCGAAGCTGGGCATCACAGACCGCAGGCCGAGTAAGGGTGATGTGAACGATGCTCCGGATCTCCCTCATGACATCTCCGTGGCTGCCGATTCGGTTATTCTACCGGAACCTGGCTTGCTGATCCGGTGTTTCGCAACTGGACTGGCAGACGAGCAAGTACTTGTGCAGCGGAATTTTCTTGATTTGCTTGTGACACATCTACCACTGAGCTCTCCTATTTTGCAGTCTCGAATTACCAGAGAAGATCTCCAGAGGCTGATAATTGCAGCCGTGGGAGTTGTGTCGCGGCGAGACATGAGCCTGAACAGGAGATTATGGTCTTGGCTCCTCGGCCCAGAGCCTTCTAACGACCGACCTTCATTTGAAGTTCGCAATTCCATGTCAGAGAACGCGCATCAACCGGATCCTGATGCTCAGGAAATTTCTCAATCTGAGTACTTCAGTAGATTCGGGCTGACTTCCCTGGTAAATGGTCTGCTTGGTATGATTGAGCAAGATACAGAGGTGCCTTCGGAGAAGACAAGACCATTCCGCATATCGCTATCACTGATGGACCGGTGGGAAGTTGGCGGCTACATTGTGCCAGAAGTCTTTCTGCCAATTATGCGAAGTGTTCAAGCCTTTGAATCGAAAGCGCCCAAAAGTCAGTTTGAGGAAGTTTTCCGCAGTGCCAGCTCTTTCTTCGATGGCGTTGAAAGCGGGGTTATCTTCTCCGAGCTTCTCTACCTAGTTGACTGGAAGCCTCAGGACTTAGCTTCTGGGGACGAAAAATTATTGAGAAATCTGGAGCTTGCGCATTTTATTCTTGAAAACTTCAATGTGCGCGAAGAAGACATGGTACTTGCGCACGTACCTTTGCTGACCCTTTCCACCATCATCAAGATGAGCGAGCTCTCTCCGGAAAAGAATCCCAAATTGAGTGATAATCAGTTACATCGTGTGGCGAACGGGCTATCCAAGGTTATGAATTCTCTAACCGGGTTGCTTACCGAGAGGGCCTTCTTGATGAAGTCAGATTCACTCAAGGACAGCTCTGGTTCTGACGCAGCTGGCTCTGATATCCTAAGAAGGATACATGCCTTTTATGAACAAAGCAAGAACAGTCTGGATCCTCAGCCACTTCCATTCGTCCCCAAACCCCTGGGGGAACTCATTGTTCGGAATGCCTACGAGCAAGCCATTGAAGCCCTCGATGGTCACGGTGATGCTACACAGATGCACGAACGGATCAGCCTTCTCATAATCATGTTGAAGAAGCTTCCGAAGACACGGTTGCTACGCGATAGGCGTCTTTACCTAGCGCTTTGCAAACGTGTTCGCACTGAACAAGCTCAGACGTCCACTGCATCCTTCTCGGCCGTTTCCTCAATTGCTTCCGCCATGACGAGCATGTACTTTATCCACAGCCCTGGGTATTATATCAGCTATGAAGACGTCTCCGACTTGATACCGGCACTCGTCGGCCGCCTGTGGCAGTTCCTCTCACCATTAAACCCCAAGTTCCATGTCGAGGCTGTTCGTTCCTTATGGCACTTACATTCTGTCTCTTGGTCAGACCATCTAGTTGAGGCTGCTATTGCCTCCCTGATGGTTGACGTGTCTGGCGGATATCGCCAAGTATCGTCAGCAGAGCAGGCCGGACAGTATTTTGTTCTCTGGTCTCACAGTCATCACGGTACATATGAGCTTCCTCCAAAGCACTCCCATGATTTTCCCCAAACCGGAATTTCGTACCAATCCTCAATGCTTGAGCGCCCTCTATTCATAGTTTTGGATTTGCTCAACCAAGGTGTGAGTGAAGCTTCCCAGACCGTGCACCGTTGGCTCGAGGATCTGTCTTCCATACACAAGTAAGCTCGATACTCTCCTATCCTCTCCCCATATGATATGCCCCGCCCCTCGATCGTGTTGCCTTTGAAACCATCACCTTGAGCAGAGTTAATACTTTTCAGGGTCTTTCGTATGGTTGTTTCGAAGCTTGATCGTCTCTTCCAACGGTCAGACAGCTTGGAACCAGACACTGCAAATCCAACCATCTCCCCAGACGACTACAAAGAGTGTAGCTACCTATTGCAGACAATTTCCAATTTAATTTCAACTCTCGCTCATAACGGATGGATCAGTCTGCTCACGCAGACGCTGGTGCAGGTTGAGAAACACAAGGATACCCCCGCATCGGAAGGTTCGTTCTTGCAGGAGACCTCAATGGCCATGTCCTGATTATGTTTGCAGATAACGTTGGCGCTCAAAGTCTTCATGCCGTCATTTTCCAATCATCGCTCAAAGTGATTAGTGGGCATAAAACGACCGCCGCGCAGAGCTTGGAGGAGGTCAAATTGCAACAAACTGCGCTGCTTGTCATGCGCCAGCTTCTGCTGGGTCCTGGAGCCGAAGAGGTGGCAGAGTCGGGAATTGACTCGTTCTTAATCGATCGACTTTCTAGTGTGCTTGATAAAGGCGGCAGTGTCGCCATTCAAGCGGCACTTATTGACACTCTCCTCGCGGCGTTGAAGGTTCGATTCGCTCAGGCGTACCTCCCCCCTCCTCCCCCGCGGCCAAAGCATCAAAGGGCCGGCTCTCGGGAGCGTTTGACAAGCCCTTCCATCTTGTCTTTCACAAGCGACAAACCAGATAGAACCCCTGCACTGCCCCTTCTGCCTCAACCCCCTCAACAACTTCTTCAATGCCTTCTCAAGGGTATCAGTTCCCCAAACTCCAGAGAAATCGTGGAGAGGTGGACAGTACTGCTTTGTGAAATGCTTCCATTATACACGGGATCGATCTTCCAAATTCTCCTGATGCTGGTGGAATGTTTCTGCAAGGAAATCCAATTAGCCTATGCGAGCCTGCAACTGTCTTTCAAGCGCACGGAAGGATGGCCAGAAGATCGTTCCGAACACGCCACGATTGCTTTACTCACCGGCCTGGAAACCTGCATTGCAACTGCGCACGAGCGTCTACTAGTGGAAGAGGCCAATGTGCCGGCCGCCAAAAGTCCGGACCAGAATCATGGATTTTTTGGCAATATGGTGTCGGGCGTCTTTACGTCCGAAGCGAGTCAAACTCGATCCAGTGCGGCCAATAACCGCCTTACGGTTTTGCTTTGCTTTCAAGACGCAGTGAGACTATGCTTTTCCATATGGTCATGGGGAGCGGTGGAGCGCAGCACCCTCCCTCAAGACCCGGAATCCTTGGCATCGTTCCAATATACATCTCTTCGCATGAGGAATCGATCGCGTCGAATCCTTGAACATCTTTTCACGGCCGAGGCACTGGAATGTCTCGAGACGGCGGTGGAAGTGTGGACCAAATCGGATAGTGATACATCGTCCCTGATCATTAGCCTGCTTCATACCCTAGATGGGTCTCGACCAAAGATCACTATCCCGGCTGTGTTCAACTCCATCTACACGCGGACAAACCCTGCCGCATTGGATCCGAGCCGCAAGTCCACCTTGACTGCAAGCCTTACGGAATCGGAACTGGCAGGATTCCTGGTGACCTATGCTAGATCGCTTGACGATGACGTCCTCGATGAGATCTGGGCAGATTGCACGACATTCCTACGGGATGTTTTGAGCAACCCTTTCCCGCATAGACAGATCCTTCCACGGTTAGTGGAATTTGCCGGGATCCTTGGAGCGAAGTTGGAAAATACTAGTTTTGGAGAAGATAGGAGGATGAGAAAGGAGCTTGGGGTTTGTCTTCCCGCGCTGGTTTTGACGTGATCATGCTAACAACATGCAGGACGTCCTCCTGCGTCTACTGACTGCAATATTCACCAGCAAGCCCCTGGGTCTCTCCCAGGAGTCGGCACTTCTTGGTCGGGCATCAATCGACTATGACAATGCGTCAATGCCGCATGTCGGGCCGGATGACATGCTTAGCATTCTTGCCGCCTCCATGCCCGCCTTCACGACCACCTTGGGAGAATCGGACCGTATCAACACAGCGGTGTCTGGAATATCCACCCATTTAGTTGGGCCTCTCTTCCGCTCACGCCTCTTCCCCAACAATGTGAGCCGGAACTTTATGGTCCTGCTCCAGCACATAGCCAAGATACCGGTTGCCTCCAAGGTTTGGAAAAAGGATGTATCCGACGCCTTCAACGACCCAAGGTTCTTCGGGATGCAGATGGATCTTGTCAAAGACGGCTGGATGAATCTTTTGCGGCAATGGGTGCTTGCAGACAAGGATCGGTTCTCCGAATTGATGTCTCGACTCACTCCGCCGAGTACTGCAGGCATCATGTTTGGTGTCGGAGCTTCTGCCGCCCGTCTCGAGGCTGACCGAAAGGCGCAGTTGAACCTCCGTAGGATCTGCCTCCTCATTCTGTCCGCCAACAACGACTACTTTATCACGGAGCTGCCTGCGCTCCTTCAGAAACTGGAAGATCTCTTGGGAGCGACCAGCTCCTCGTCCCCATCCTCCACGACTAGGTCTGAGGTGTTCATGGTTCTTCGAGCCCTGGCACTCAAGAGCACCGCCACCACTCTGGCCACATTCTGGCCGTTGATAAACTCTGAGCTCCAAGAAGCCATCTCGTCGGTGCCACTTGGACAGCAGCAGGAAGTGTACAACCCATACTCACTGCTCCAGGCGTGCAAGCTTCTCGATACACTGCTGATCCTCGCGCCGGACGACTTTCAACTCCTCGAATGGCTTTATGTAACCGATAATATCGATGCCGTCTACCCTCCGGATCGCTTTGAGCCTCTGGCGCTCGCCGACGAAATATCGCAGAGTTTGGGTGCGAGGGGATCCGTCGCGTCAGATGGGCTTGGAGAGACAACGGATAGCCATGGAGGGAAGCAGCCAAGCCTGACGGCTGACTGGATTCGTGAAACGGCGAAAGATGAGATTGTTGAACGCGTCCTTCGTCCATTCTTCGATCAGCTCAGCATCCATGCTTTCGAGAGCACGTATAGCATGGGCCATCCGCGGTTGGACGTCTGCCGAGACGACCTGCTGGCGGATCTGTTCAACGAAAGCACAATGGCCAATTAACAGCGTAGTCCATTTGTTCCCGATTATCTAGCGAGCTCTTGTATTATACCCCATGCCTGCATGCCATCCTCCGCGCGGTCAATCGCACGATCTGCAATCTCTGTACTAGATAGACTCGGCTTAGCGTTGCTTTTGGGCGTCTAATAGTTATTGAGAAGGTTGCACCTGTGGATAAATCCAGTAGCATTGCCAGAAGTAGAGCCCGTCGTAGGCGGAAAACCGAATAGCCAGCAGGTAGCAGCTATAGTAGCAGCCAGCCAGCGAGGAGTGATTGACGCGCGCCGAGGGTTATTGGGCCGGCAGCACCCGCAGTCTCCGCCCGAAATAGCAACTCCAACGTCACTCATCCCAAGCTCCAGCGCCCAACTTCACCTCCTTCCAATGTGAGAAGCTCGAGTCACTCTGGAGTATGCTCTGTACTGATCACCAGTCTAGACTACTCAGTTGTTCATGACCATGACCGCGTGCAAGAGAATGGTGCCGGCCTTGCGCTCTGTCGCAATCAAGCCGGCCTTCGTCCCGGCGCGGAGCTTTTCGGTCTCGCCCTTCATGAGGGAACCCGCTCCCACTCTGCCCGCGAAGAAGCCCGTGGGCGCATTTCGCGGAGGGTATATCCATCCTGGACTGTACTTACATTGGTGCTGAATCGGTCACTGATGTTGGAATTAGAATTTTCGGTTTTCTTTCCGGCGCGCTTGCTGCCAGCGCGGGCGTCTATTTCTATATCCTGGGAGAGTACAGGATCGCGAACGAGATGCTGACTGAAGATATTACTGTGCACATTACCCCTTCTCCCCGATGTACTCTCAAGGAGCTGCTAATCGTATCATCAGGCACTTCAATCGGCGACGCAAAGGCTGCAGACGTACATTGGTGAACTAGAAACCAAGGTTGACCAGCTGCAGAAGAAGAAATGAGCTGGCCCACTTGCAAAAATCCTGAACTCATTATACCGTGCATTTTCCCCCTCTACCTGTTACTTACAGTCCTGATAGTCTTTTCTGTTTCATGTTCACGTGTTGCAACTTCGGGTCTTATCATGTCATTCGGTTCGATTGCAGGGTCTGAACGGATGGACTCCAGGAGGAACAGCGATGGATGGCCGCTTAATGGAACATAACCCTGTATTACATATGAGTACCTGTCTATGAATATCGATGCTTACCGTGAAATTCCCGGATACTAGATCACTCTGATATACCAGTCGGGCGGCGAATAGCAGCGTCATCGACCAAGCTCACTGCAAACAGGACAAACAGCGCGAGCCACGGGACCGCCTCGTATCATTTTCGCGGAGATCCAACAACCCATGAGAATCATGATTCCCCATCCATCCGGACTCTCCGTCTCCAAAACATGTACCACGTCGAACTCCTCCCCAGCACAAAAACTCACGCTACTCCGGGATGGACCTATGTCCCGGATCGCGGCTTCGACCCAGCCAAAGCCGCCATCACACCCGCCATCGGCCGCAAACGCGGAATCCGGGATCCAGGCCGAGCGGATCTCACCTCACGCCAGAGCAATGCGATCGTTCGACATCTAGCGGAACTTGATCGCGAGAACCACCGAGAGACTCAGGTCCCAATCCCCGTGAAACAGAAGGATGCATCTGGTCGAGGTATGCCCCCACTCACCCACACCATCCCCATCCCATCCCTACTAACCTCACATCCCCCATCAGGAACAAGAGGCAAAGTCACCTCGAACGTGCGCCGAATCCTACAATCCCAAAAGACCTTCCGCAACTACCTCGACGACGAAGAAGCATCCCTAGCCCAACAAGCAACCACCCAAGCCCAACAAACCACCTCCCACCGACCCTCCGTCAACAAAATCACCAAACCCACCACTTCCTCCTCCCGCCGCAGCTCCACCCCCCTCACAGCCACCACCACAGCAGCAACAACAGCATCAAAACCCGACACCTCACGCCAACGAAAACACCCCTCCATCGCCCCAACCTCCTCCCGCGCCTCCACCGTAACCACCCTCGCCGAAACCACCGAAGCCGAACCCGAGACTCAACCCCAAGCCCCAGCCCCCGACAAAGAGAACCCAACAGAACCCACCAACACCACCGACCTCATCAAATCCGAACACGACAACGACCCGCTCCTGAAATCTTATATCCCCTCCGCGCCCTCGGAGCGTATCATGCAAGCCCTGGTCGCGGAACCGCCATTAACGTATAATGCATCTCGTGCGGGACCGCCGATAATGAGGAAATCGCCGAGGTATTTCTGCTGCATGTGTGGGTATTGGGGTAAGATTCGTTGCAAGAATTGTCATTTGAGGACGTGTGGGTTGGATTGTTATAAGGTGCATGAGGATTCGAGGTGTGGGGCGTTCTTTTAATGGGTGGGCTGGTTCTTGGGATGGGGATTGGGGGAGATGATATCACTGGGATTGGGTCGTGAGGTATCGAGACGGCTGTCGATCTGGGATTTTATCCGAATTCGCAAAGACGTGGGGCTCTCGTTGCTGGGTATTATGATACAGGCGATGTATCAGGGATCCAGCAGGCTGGACTTCCCGGCAGGATAGACCTCGTGGCGAGAGGTATTATCTCATGGCCTAAACGTTCGAATCATACAGTCCCACACAAGGCATGTATAAGAGCATCGAACTCGGTATTTCAGGTTCGGATGCCTGCAGAAGCATACAGCCTACGGGAGCTCAAACTACGCTCCAAACAGAAAGGAACCAGGGGACAACTTCGCCCGGAGCGACACTGACGCCTCACCTAGTGCCTCAACCTATTGGATAGTCTCTTGCTTTTCTAGAAGCTACTAAACCAATGCTGTACAATATTCACAGATGATCAATACTTCAAGTTAATACCAGCCCGTGCTTCCTCTTCACGGATCTCAAACATGACCTGCACTCCAACGAATAGAGCACAGCACGCTGAGATGAGGTAGGCAATGCCGGCCCAAGAACCCAATATGCCGGCCAAAAGCCCATTCAATCCATCCACACCCAAAGCGAAGCCAACCAGGTTCGCGATCATCATCATCAGGACGTTCGCGACAGCTCCGATTCCGCAAATGACGCGGTACGCTGTGGGATGCGAGCGCCATCTGCTGGCCGGGAATAGCAACTTGCCGATGATTTCTGGCAGAACGAAAAGGGTGATGAGCCAGCCCCACATGAGGAGGCGAAGGTTAATGTCATGCCAGAGGGCGACAAAGGTGAAGACGATGAGCGTGTTGAGAATTTGACGGGCCTTGGCATACATCCCGGAAGATTTTTCACGGCCAGCACCACCCCTGCTGCCTCCACCCAGAGGCACGTAAAGATAGCGTACAATCCAACGGTTGAAGGAACGGTGCCATGCACGCCAAAAGGAAGACGGAGAGTAGTTGTTTGAGACACAGCGTATCATGTTCTCCGTGGGGTCGATTCCATCAACTAAAGCCCAAAAACGAAAGAACCGCCATGGGATCAACAGTTTCAGCCAAATGATATGCAGATTGAAGTACGCCAGCATGCTGAGTTGGCCGGCTGTGTACAGGGACCAGTCAGGAGACGCTTTAGAGATTGCCACGGCGTATATGTAATGCAAAATGAGCTCCATAGCGAAGAGTGTCAGGAAAAAGCGAACTCCATAGAGGATGATTCGAGTCCGGGTAAGAGACGGTGGTGCGTATCTCTGCTGAGAAATGTAGTCGTTGAATGTCACAATGGGACCTGTCAGGTAAAGTGGTGCGTAAAGGACGTAGGCTAGATAGTAACGTCCATTGAACGCGGACTGCTCCGCGGGGATACTGACACGATCACGCTCCGACAGTGCGGCAGGGTCGACTTGTTTCTTCTTATGTCTGTCAGGCATGGTCGTATGCGAGAGGTAATGTGGACTTACTTCGATAGGACTGCCGGCGGGATAATCAAGACTCCAATAGTAATCCATGTTGAAGCTAATCAACCGGAGGATTGTGATATTGAAGAGGATCTCCCACCGGGGCATAATACCTCCGAATCCGTCGAGATAGCGGCCGAAGAGCACCAGTGGTGCTTCCTGTGCGGCACCATCCTGGGACACTAACAAAGCGGCCACTCGTTCAAACGGGTAGCCGGCACAGAGTTCGTTGGCAAACAGCGTCCCAATGTTGAATGTCCAGGTCGCCGCAGGGATGTACTTCCTTGGTAAGTCTTTGGCGATTTTATAGTTCACGTAGAGGATTGCGAGGACTTTCAGAGAGGAAACACCGTGGAGAGCTGCGATGAACACGAGTGCGAAGTAAAAGTCGAAGCCTATCCGCTGAGTGAGGCGAGCATCCCCAGCAACGACTGCCGGGGAAGACTTAGAAGAACCGGAGTCTACATTGACTGGGCGCACATAGGAATTATACACGCGACGAAGCAACGGGTGGCCTATTAATAGCAGCAGCAGGTAGGGTATGTTATCGCGGAACGACGAGTACTGAGCATCGGAGTTATCCTAGCAGAAGAGAGCAGTTAGCGATTAGCATGAGCATTTGACGAGTGACACCCACGACTTTGCGTCCGAGGATCCAGCCAGGAGACAGTAGATCAGAGTAGATGGAATATGTAGGATGGCTTTCTACAACAATCCGTCAGCATGGCTCTTCCGCGTCCGAGATCTAAGCTTACCCTGCGAAACGCCGATGGCAGTTATGAACATCAATGGCACAGCGATTAGAAATACTATGTAGTAGATGTAAAACTCGAATGTCTGCCATTTCGGAGGGGAGGCATTGCGAGCAATGGCTTGTGCGCGGGCATCTCTGGCAGAGGCCGGTCGCGTGTCGGCCGCGGCTTTAGGGGGAGTAGAGGAAGAGACAGTGAGACGAGTATCTAGAGTATCGAGGGAGTATAATCTCCGGAACCACGAGAGTGCTGAGCGAGGCATCTTAGCACTAGCATTGCGTAGTGCAAGCCCGCAGAGAGTGAAGAGGAAGACAATGGAGAGGGAGTGCGGAGAGCCACCGGAACAATAATGCTGGGGAGATCATCGCAGATTCCATTTTTGGCTCAGGGGCGGATCTCGCTGTCTGCCATGCTGCGGCTGTCAGCACGCCCAACCGCTTGGTTTTCTGATCCATAAACGAGTTCCACCTTGGCCTTTAATATGCATCTCATTCTCAACCTAATTCCTTAATATCTATGGCCATGGCCTAGATACCGTGCACCTGGAGACGCTTCGATAAGTGACTAATCCAGATAGACGTGCGCTGATTGGACAGCAATGCGCTACTATATCGGGACTAGTGTGAGCCTTGGGCGCCAATGCCGGATCGGGAAAGCAGCAGTCGTGGACCCCTCATGATATCAGATGACTAAGCTCCTCCCTGCTCAACAGGTTCATGACCAACAATACAGCCATAAGACATTAAGCGCCAGTGATCTCTTCTATGACCTGGAGAAGAACATACACTTCTATGAAAATGGCATCGCAGCGTGTCAGTCCCCCACCCATGGCTAAGTAGCACCCGCGATCATGTCCTTCGCGGCTACGTCATCTAAATCAGTGAACTGACATACCCAGATTGCATTCAAAGTGTCTGGCACGGTTCAAGGCAAGTATACACTAGATCCCTCGAGAGGTTATAATGTAGAGTCTGTATCAGATCGACTAACATAACATCTCCCAGGTGTTGGATTCCGGTAATATACTCAACCTCTATTCTAGATGCACAACCAGCTCAGACACCTTACCAACTATAGGGACTTTACCCAGCGAAGAGCAGCCGAATATGACCTAAAAGGCTGGGTTAAGAACACTCACTGTGGACGGGTTCGTACAACCTCAACCATACATGCTATTCCTTCTCTTACCTACAAGCCTTTATCTCCCGTGACATCCAAATGCTAAACCCAAACAGGTAGAAGGAGAAGCCCAAGGGACCGAAGAATCCATCCAGAAGCTACTGAAAGATATCAATAATGGGCCTCGTCACGCGCATGTCGTCAAGTTGGAGAAAAAGCAGATCACTCCGAAAGATGGCGAAGTAGAATTCGGGTTCATGAAGACATCGGAGTCGGGATATGAGGGGACGCAATGATTGCTGTTTTGTCTCCGTGATGGTTGTATGTTAGATGCGTAAAATTAGGGTACGAGATATATTGATTCTTTTCTTTTTCTTTTGCTGTCATGGATGACTCGAGCGATGTGTTCTACTCTGTCTCGACTCCTCAGTAAAATCCTAGCATTTAGATGGAAAGGTCATATGACACAGTTCAATATCCAGCTAGCCAATCTACAAAAGAACCGCTAAATAATAGATAGCCCTATATCCAATGTGTTCACCGGCCCCTATATCTGCCTAATGATCCGTGACGTCGTAGGTCAACGAACGGAGCAAACCCCGGCTCAATCCCGAGTTATCTTCGGGATGCCTTGACTCACAGGACATCCCGGATCCACCCGATCGGGCAGCCCGGGTTGCCTCCAGGAGGATACGTAGAACGGGTCAGGCATTCTTCAGATGATGCTTGACGTGGAAGACTCAATCTTTTGCTCTTATCTAGTTGCAGTGAGACCTGTCTGCTTTACGACTCTATGTGCATACCAGGAAACCTTGATTAAAAACCAACTGGGAGGCATGTAGATAGGCATTCTTCACGTCACATTCTTCACAACATATACATCAAAATACAGATTTAGTACTCTAAACAAACAACAAACACAAACACAAACACAACGCAGACCAACCCAAAACAATACACCGAACAGAGCAGATTACCTCCGCCCGGGATGCGTTGATTTTGAGTAATCCTTCCCCCATGCAGTGCCATCCCGACAGACACCGAACCCAGATCCATATTCCATACAAACCCGTATTCCCATACGAAGAGCGAAATTACTCCGACTTTCCTCCACCCATTTCATACTCTCAGACCTATAATGGGAAGGGATTTCAAGCTGCTTTCATTTGGGTAGTACTGAGTCAGCTCTACGGAGGACACACTCGATCTTAAACAGTCATCCTGGAATTTTAGGTAAAGATAAAGAGTTGTGTAAAGCAAAATGGTGATAGCAGGAGCCGGGATGTCCCTGCTGACCCCGTTGCTACTTTCTACGTCCGTTCTAGGCGTCTGGCTTACCGTCAGACCCACCGCGAAATGCAGGCGGATGGAGCTTAACTGGGAACTGGCACCTGCAGCTGGAGGGGACGGTAACCCGCTAGTAAGGATGGTAATGTACTATGTAGGTAGGCCATTGGGAGCCGGGACCAGGGGAGGGGAGTCGAGTTCGATAGACGATGGATGGGTTTAGATAAATTATGGAGCATGGGTCGGATGCAGTGCCGAGCCGGTAGTAATAGTTGATGGGCTATTGGTGACGCTATCGCCCCCCTTTACCTTTACTATGGGTGTTCGGTGAGGTGAGGGTGTTATGAGGTAATGGGTGTATTTCAAACGGCGTGGATTTGGGATGGATTCGTTGTTCATCGTTGCGCTTAACAAGATGGGTACTACACCGTAGACATCTCAGTGTTTTTATCAAGAATGATTGAGTAGGCTCCTCGAGACCGAGAGTATTTTACCTTAATAACTGAAAGCAAAGGCAACCTTCAGGTACCGTACCTGATGTGGCAACGGAAGCCCCGATCCAGCCTTCGTCTTGTAGAAATTTCCCATCCCTACGAAGAAGTATACGGTCTAGATCTTGTCAAATTTACCATGAATACCAATCAACTTGAACCCCTCGTAATGGGGCTGAGCACATTTGAGCCTTAAACTGCTTTGTCAATGTCAGAAACCTGGGTCTTGGGGCTGACGGATCCGGATCTTTTCGAGCCGCGTGACTTCCCCTGCGGCCGTTTTGTGAGGTTCCGGTGGCACTCCGGCTTTTGCCGACCCTTCCATAGAGTCATACCTGGATACGAAGCAATGAATAGACCTGGAAAAATCTGCGTGGGCTGAGTATAAATAGAGACGGGGTGTAGAGGTCATACATGTAATGAGACAGACCGTCGACCGCTATATCGAATACCTTATTGGTTCATACCAACAATATCCATTGACACTACGATATTATCCGTCTCTGGCTTATATCCAGATGAATTCGTTGACAGCCACGGCGCCCATCCGGGCTGCCATCCCCAAGTCATATATGCATCTCACAGCTCGAGGTTACTCCAGTGTCGTTGCCATGAATGGGCTGCGCTGTAGCAGTTCGTTGGTGGCGAACCGACAGCAGACGGCCGGAAAGCAATTCATATCAACCACACCGAAACCGCAGATCAAGGAATTCTTTCCCCCACCAAATGCGCCTCACGTCAAGGAGGTGGAAACAGCCTGGGTCCATCCTATGTAAGCTCGCTACCACGCACGCCCATTGACCAGCAAGAAGCTGACAACACCAGCTATACCGATGCGCAGATGAAAGAAGTCGTAATTGCCCATCGAGACGCAAAGAATTGGGCCGACTGGGTTGCGCTGGGAACTGTGCGCGTTCTGAGATGGGGTATGGATTTGGTGACTGGGTATCGACACCCTCCGGCGGGGAAAGAAAACGAGGCCAAGTTCAAGATGACCGAGCAGAAATGGCTTACGCGCTTTATCTTCCTGGAGAGTGTAGCCGGTGTACCAGGCATGGTGGGAGGCATGTTGAGACACCTAAGAAGTCTGCGACGCATGAAGAGAGACAACGGATGGTAGGTTCCGGCCTATATAGCGTGGCTCGACAGAACTAACGTCCTATAGGATTGAGACACTGCTCGAAGAGGCATACAACGAACGAATGCATTTGCTCACATTCCTCAAGCTCGCAGAACCAGGATGGTTCATGCGCCTCATGGTTCTCGGAGCTCAGGGGGTCTTCTTCAACGGATTCTTCATTTCCTACCTGCTGTCGCCACGCATATGCCACCGGTTCGTCGGGTACCTGGAAGAGGAAGCGGTGATCACTTACACGCGGGCGATCAAAGAGATCGAAAGCGGAAAGCTTCCCGCATGGGAGAAGACGGAGGCGCCCGAGATCGCCGTCCAGTATTGGAAGATGCCAGAGGGCCAACGCAGTATGAAGGATCTGCTGCTGTATGTTCGGGCAGACGAAGCCAAACACCGAGAGGTGAACCACACTCTGGGAAACCTAAACCAGGCGGCGGACCCGAACCCGTATGCAGCCAGGTACAAGGATCCGACGAAACCTCATCCGGAACAAGGGAATCGCGAATCTGAAGTCGACAGGATGGGAGCGGGAGGAGGTTATCTGAGATCGCCCGATCAATGACTCCTTGCATGTGTATCCGCGGGATCGGTATACCATGCACCATGCAGATTGCTTGATTCTTATTCTTTCTTTCTGTTCCTTTGAATTGCAACACTGCTGGCTGGTGTTTCAAACGTCGTGATCAGCGTCTTTGTTAGCTGCAGATAGATCCTCCCTCATTAATGATAACGAATACCATGGCGTGCATCTGTTTCAGACCCCAGGTCCGAGATGAACAGGACTGGCATCAACCGGGGTGCGTTCCTGGCTCAAAGATGGCTTGGGAATCCGTGCCGAAGTTTGGATGCGGGGCTTCCAGGCACCGGGGGACGCTAGACCGAGGCAGGCCAAGGGCCGCCCGGGCGGATTGCTGGCTTGGGCCTTGATATTATTAGGATGTCCACCTGGAGCCATCCGCTGGTCCTCGACCTCGGCGTGCGGTACCTGACGGGCAAATAGGAGATACAACTATCTACATAGTATCTACCCTCCGATGACGACCGGATAAGGCGACTCGGCTGTTCGCTCACGGGCCACTCACTGATGGGAAAAAAGAAAGCGACCTACTATAAATACTCGCGCAGGAGTTATCTCGCCAGCCGACGACGACGTGTTGGCACCGCGGCCATCGACCCGCTTCCCCTTTTAGTGGTAAAAATCCCCCTTTCGCGCCCCCCCAAAATTAATTTCGTCGGCCGATCGATCACCATCACCAGTCACTCATCCGAGCACCTATCCCTATTTTTAATCACGTCAAACGTTCGCGCCCCGACGACCACCTGTCCTTTCCTGCTTAGTGTGAGGCATATCCATATCTCGCCCAAACCGGATCTGTGCCCCCAACGCCCTACCGTTGAGATCTATCGTCTGCGATACCAACCCTCCGTTCGAACGAGCCTTCAAGATTAACGTGCGCCATCATGGATGAGTCCCTCGAGCCCGAATTCATGGCCCCTGTCCGTGCCTCCTCGCCCTCCCCCTCCATCCCAGCAACGCCGGCCATCTCCTCCTGCCCGTCCCCAGACCGGACCTTTTCCACCGTCTCCTCTCTGTCGACATCTTCCGCCACTTCCGCCGATGCCAGGTCTTCCGTCTCGATTTCGTCCAAGCGACGAGGATACATCCGTCCTCAGGGGGCCGAGTTTGCGGAGTCCGCCAAGAATCGGGAGAGTGTCATGAGCCTGGGTAGCATTGCTCATCTGCAATACTACTTCGCACGGACAGGTCTACTGGATGGCAAAGGAGCTCAGGCTCGTGAATGGAAGAAGAAGAAACCGGAGGATATGCCGAGGCTACTTTTGACCCCCAACGCCCGGTTTATCGATGACCTGACTGCCAGTCCGACCAGCGCCAGCCCCACGGAAGAAGAAAATATGGATCCGCTGGACGAGGTGTATGACGACGAGGTTGAAGTCATGCTTCCCCCCACGGTCAGCACTTACAGCATCAAAACGCACCACATCCCACCCCCACCCAAACTCAAGGCCCTGCGGAAGGATCTGCGGGATGCGATGGAGAAGGCCCAACACAGTATCGAATCCATCGATTCTCAGAAGGAACCGCCGGCGGAGATGGTTCCTCCTCGGATTAGTCTCTCGAGTGATGACGACAGTGCAGACGACCCCTCGCGTCAGATCCCTGCGGAAGCGACCCCGCAGACCTGGCAAGAGATCCAGGGCATGCGGGTCTTAGATACTGTCACTTTTGCAATCCGAGCCGCCAAGATCTACTACACTGCGCATGAACGGCCCGATCGACTCGCATCCATCAAAAGTGAACGCGATATACGACAGGAGCTGTTCAATGTGTTGGAGGTCTTGAAGCGGTGGGCGTCTCGGAATTTTGCCGACGGACTCCGCGATGACGAGCGGTCTGCCATTGTAGGATGGATGGCCAATGTGCGAGACATGTTGGCCCGCGAGGCGCAGCTGGAGTCGTTTGAGGCCAAGGAACGAGCGGCCTGGCTCTGGACCGAGGGGGAATGGATGGGTAAGGAGCGGGAACGAGAGACCTTGTTCCTGCGTAGCTTGATCGGCGCCGATGCACAGCTTCCGACGTGGACTGCGCCGGAGGATAACTCACCGCCACCCGCCATGCTGGAGCGGCTGCGGGATGGCCGCGACCTGGTGCGCGCCCATAATTTTGCCGTCAAGAACTCCAAGCGACCGTTCTTTGACATCAAAACATACCACGAGGATGTGGCCAAGCCGTACCGACGTGCCGAGAATCTTCGATTCTGGGTGAAGGCGGCCGAGCTTCGGTGGGAGACGAAGCTAGAGTTGGATGTGATGGGGATCGTACACGGCAACAGCGACGAGGCCTGGAAGCAATTTGACACGGCTCTTCTGGCCTGGTGTAAAGTGGTCCGGGAGGAGCTCGTGCGAGACTGGCGAGAGAGAAGAGCGTCTGCGGCGAGCCTTCCGCCGGACGATCTGGTGATCCGACCTGCCTGAGGGCACCGGAGCGGAGGGGGAAGTTGAGTTCTAATGATGGGACCGATTGAGAGCGATTGGGACCACGTATGGCGACTGATTATTGCGTTGTTTGCTGTCCACTCCGACCACCTTGATACCCCTTACTTGTCGGAGTGCAGTCGGGTTTGAATTTTCTGGTTTCGCTCCTCTTTTCTGCTGGCTCCCGACCGATGGCTGGGAGCGGCCTATAAATTCGTGTTCTCTACACTCCTTGAGCTGTTGGATGTTCCGATCAGCCTTCACTTTTATCTCTAATTTTCTTCTGTTGATTTTACTTGATTCTATACTATCTTTTGCATGGGTCGCGGGAGGGTTCCATGGATGGGCTGTACATAGGGATGGCTGGCAGGAGGCTGGTAGCGAGAATGCCATGTTTTGATTCCGGATGGTCGCAATGTCCCTCAGCACTAAGTAAACGGAGGATGATAACAAAAGACGCGCCGGTGTAACGGTCCGCGTTCTTGGTGGGCCGGGTTTAGAGTTCAATGCGGATGGAGAGGGAATTCCTTAAGACGCCCAAAGGTGGTTCCTCAGGCGGGTGATCGGCCTGAGGCCTGAACGGGACAGGTTGGCCGCCCATCCTCCATTCCGGCCTCTTCTTCTCCCTCCCTTCTCTGGTTCTTCTTGCACGCTGCTGCCCAATGCTCTATCATGTAGCCGGGTCTTCCCGACAGTTTTGATTATCTGGTGCTAGAGAACACAAAGATTGATTTATCCGAGCGCAGGCAGCCGCCCAACCGACTTACATTCACAGCCTGACTGACTGACTGATTGATTCCCGGCCAGCCTGAAACCGGATAGGGGCAGCAGCAAAGCATACTAGCTGACATAGCCCGCCGCCGTGTTGGCGCATCCTCAGCCCATCAACCACATTCCTCCACCCACCGTCGTTCTTCACTAAATCGTCTAGTCCCTTTGTTCCTACAGGCCAGCGCGGTCGCCTCGTGGATCGCACCCATGCGTGCCATGTCCGCCGCGTCAACGGCCACCACTGCGACCTCCGACCCCCCGGATTCCGGGCCCAACTTGTCCACGTCGCAGCTCTTCTCCCCTCCTCCTCCTCCTCCACCACCCGCTCTGTCTATCTCCGCTGCCGACCAGGCCACACCGCGACGAATCAAGTCCAAGTCATCCCTACGCAGCCTTCGCAGTCTGGGGAGTAGCAGCCATCACGAAGACGACGCCGACGAATCTCACGAACCTGGTTCCGACAAGTCGCTCATCCGCCCGTCCATCCTCCGCCGCTTATCCCCCGGCCTCGCCGCCCGCGTCAAGTTACTAGACGGCAGCCACAAATCTAATAGTCCCTCTCGCATCGCCAGTGCAGTGGGTCGGATTCCGGAGGAACACATCAAGGAGCTCGACAGTTTACACCAGAATTTATCGATCAAAGTCGAAAAGAGAGGTCGCGCGTGGAATGCTATCCCACGGCTGCACAAGGACAAGAAACAGCAGAGTGCTTCCGCATATTTAGAAGTCCCCGATCCAGAGCTACCGGAAGAAATCCCAGAGGAGCTAGAGGAGGCACCGACACCCCATTCGGATCGTCTATTGGATCTACTTCTGGGCCAGGAGCAACCGGAGCAACCGGAGCAACCGGAGCAACAGGAGCCACCAGAGCCGACACTTACAGAAGAGGTCATTGAGAAGGTGATTGAAGAGGAGCCGGAAGAGGAGCCAGAAGAGGAGCCAGAAGAGCAGAAAGAGCCTACGCTCACAGAACAGGTGACCGAGGAGCAGGCTAAGGTAGTGGAAGAGGTTGAGGAAGAGCCAGTCATGTCTCTTGTGCAGCATGCTCCGGTACCACTGGTCCCCGGGCCAGCCACGCAGTCTAATTTATCCAACCAGACAGATTACGAGAAATACATCCAGAGCACCAGTGACCGCGAGTCGCATCCCCCTCCTCCCCCGCCGAAAGAGTATTCGCGCCCGACGTCAACCACCTCATCGAACTCGCAATCCTACTTCAACCCTCTGGGCCTACAACGCACCGAATCGGTTTTCTCCTTCTCGCGCGCCTCGTTTAGCAATCAACTCGCCCAGCTCACGTCCATCTCCCTCCCGCAACCCGCGTCCCTCGAGGCTAGTATTTCCTCGATCCCAACCGCCCCGGTGGCGGTCCGGGCGCTGACCGGGGCTGCCGAGCAAATCCAGATCTGGGTTAAGAAGGCATTCGACGTGCTAGGCGGGCTGGATGCGGAAGACGAGGTGGAGTGGGCGGCCGCAGCCGGACGAGAGGGTTTAGAGGGGGTGGACGCAGCGATCAACCGGTTTGAGAGCTTAATCAATGTCTACGTCCGGGCGATCGAAGCCGTCCAACTGCGCGACGACATTGGCAACGTGAGCACCGACAGCCTCCAGACGATCGTGGTGCAGATGGACGCCATCATCCAGAGCTGGGCACAAATCAAGCGTCGACTGCGGGGGGTCAAAGAACAGGTGGAGCTGGCGATGGAGTGGGAGGAGCTGTGGGCGAACGTCTTGGGCGATGTTGGGGCCGAGGTGGAGAGCCTTGGTGAGCTGATCTTTGAGATGGAAGAGAAACGGCACTGGACGCTCGCTGGCGAGCAGGATTCCAGTGCCTCGGGACTTGACATCAACGAACTGGAGACCATCGTGGAAGAGACCCCGTCGAATCGTCGCATGCTGTCCAGCAAGCGGCTCAGCATCGATCCCATCCTCACTGGGCCGCCCGCCATCGACACGCCCGTCATCCAAACTCCGCACGACGACACGAACCACTCGAACCTGATCGCGCTATTTGCGCGGATCCAACCGTTGCGAGCCTCGCTGGATTTCTTGCCCATGCGGCTGTCCATGTTCCAGTCGCGGGCCGAGAAGATCTTTCCCAGTGCGTGCCAGGACCTCGAGCGCCGGCGCGATCAGCTCGAAGCGCGTTACAAGACGCTGGAGGCGGATGCAGAGGCGCTGCAGAAGGAGTTGAACGAAGACCGCTGGATCCTGGTGTTCCGCAATGCGGGCGGGCAGGCGCAGAAGATGTTTGATTCCGTCGAGCGGAGCATCGCCAAGTTGCAGGAGGCGATTGAGACGGGCGCGCATATCCACGATGCGCCCCTCTTTACGAAGCGGATTGAGAGCTACGAGGCGAAGAAGCAGCACTACGTGGCGGCGATCGAACGGGTTGTCGGGATTATCCGCAAGGGCGTCAACGACCGACTCACGGTGAACGGGGAGACTCTCCGGCTGTTGTCGGACATGACCTCGCGGGTCGACGCGTTGAAGGCGAGTATCCGGGCGATGGACGACTGGCTGGAGGACATCAACTTTGTCCGATCGCAGCATCTCCGGGACTCGATCTCCAGCATTGTGACGATGGACAGCCCTCTCACCGGCAGTGTGGCCGATACGCCCGGCAGTTCTCCGGCCTCGTCAGTGGTCATGACGCCTGCCAACCCTCACAAGGGGTCTGGGATGCCCTTGGGGTCGTCCAGCCGGCGAGGCAGCTCGGTCAGCTCGGCAGCGCGCACGACGATGTCGAAGATGCGCCGGTATTCGGGCATCCCGCAGGCGGCGGCGACGCTGACGAGCAAGAAATCGTCTCTCCCCAAGGCCACGCTCACGGCACCGTCGCCTGGTCGAGCCGGAGCCGTCACCCCCACGCCCGCCACGCGCAAGTCGGCGCGGCCGATGCAGACGCCCTCGGCCTTGAGCAACCGCCCGCGGTGGAACTCGAGCACCAATACCAACGACCTATACGGCAAGCCCCAACCCTCGCCGGTCCGCAAACCTGCGTCGAGCCGGCCCGCATCCACCGTGCCGTTCCGGCGCGACCTGTCGATGTCCCCGGGACCGATGACTGCGCGGTCCCTGAGCCGAGTATCCAGCCGGCTGGCCTCGCGCAGTCCGGTGCGGCAGGGCTCGCCGACTCCCGGGGGGTCGCTCCTGGATCCTCCGCCGTACAGTAAGCTCCGGCGACCGGACGGGATGTCCAATGCGCCGCGCAGCCGGCAGAGCTATGCGGGGCTGTCGTTCAGCCGCAGTGTGTCGCACGACTATGACCGGGGCCTGGCGAGTCCGACCAAGGCGCCGCGGCCAGGGACGGCGCTGGGCCATTCGGCCAACCGGCGGATCAGTTTGATTCCGTTACCGAAGCACAAGGAGACCCCGCACAGCAAGCTCGGGGAGCGGCCGCCGTGGCGGTATTCAGGGCGTTGAAGCATTTCCGGGGTTTTTGATTTAGCATTTCCGTTTTCTCGCATTACTACACTCATGTACTATGCATTGGCATTGCGGTTGGGAGCCAGTGGTGTCATTACCGATTGCTTGATGCCGGTTGTTAGATTGATTCCCCACTCGCATTGATTTAGCGGAGTACTTTGACAGGGCATGTATTTGGCGGTAATATCTATCTATGGAATGTGATTGAGCGTTTAGACCAGGGATCTTCCAATGATGAGAGCATCGACGAGGTCGGGGCTGTTCGCCAGACGCGCGGCGCCAGGCACCCGGCCGATGATTTGAAACCCGAGCTTCTCCCAGATTTTGACCGAGGCGACATTATTTTCAAACACGAGGTTGAACACGGAGTATTTGTAGCCCTGCCAATTAGCCATACCTTCATATCCTTCCCGGAAACCAAAAACTCACCAATTTCGGCGCCACCTCCAGATACGCCTCTCCCATCACCCGTCCCACACCCCGATTCCTCGCCGCGGGGGTGGTAAAGAAGCCTGCGTTGCACACATGCGAACAGCGTCCTACAATACCCCTATTAGCTCCCCCCCACAACCACAACACAACACAGCACAATAGAAGGAAGGAAAGGGAATAACCATACCCGGATAATTCGGCTTCACATAAAACGTCCCCAAACAACACTCCTCCCAATTCCTCCCCTCCCTCAACCCATCCTCCCCCGGATGTTCCTCCTCATCCACAACAGCAACCACCGCAAACGTCCCAAACCAATAATTCCGATACAGCTCATACTCCATCGGCGATTCCATGGGATACGTACATCCCTTTTCGATCTCGAGGGAGAATTGCTCGTGGAGGTAGGTGGTTAGGGAGTGCGGGAGGGTCGAGGGCCCGGTGGTGATGGGGTATAGGGTGATTTTGGTGCCGTCGCGGAGGGTGGAGGGGATGGGGGGGAGGAGCGATGAGGGGGGGAGAGGGGGTTGTTGGGTCTTCGAGGAGGGAGGGCATGGTTATTCTTTTTCTTTCTGTTGGCTTGGGATGGGGTGGGTGTGGGGTGGAGGTGAGGTGAGGTGAGGTGAGGTGAGGTGAGGTGAGGTGAGGTGAAGGGGATAGAATTGAGTTGGAGAGGATGTTCGGGAGGATTGAGAGAGCTGGGGATATATGTACTAATCATTGTATAAGTTTGTGTGGGGATCTTGGAGATGGGATGTCAATGATAGGGCGTGGGTTAGTGGTCGAGATACTACTATCTAGTTCTTTCGGACTATCTAGTTGGTTGGTTGGGTTGGGTTGGGTCAGGTACGGTGGGGCGGGTACCGAGGTTGAGATTCTATTTGGAGTAGTGATAGTAGTGTATCGATAATCGTTATCGGTGTTCTTTTGATGGGTCAATTGAGTCAGTGTCTGAGTGCATGTTCTATCACAAGTTGTGATTATCTCCATAATTAGTCTTTCATGATTAGTTTGCTATACCAGCTAAAGAGAATGAGTTTGGCTCCCTCCCATATTGTATCAAGATAGAACCCATTTCACAAGCGACGAGCGAAAACATCACCCCTGCTAGGCACCTGGCAGCACGTCTAGATCTCTCACCACCTGATCCATTACGCTGTAGTCCCCATTCCAACACCGCAAAATCACATCACCCAGTACAAGCGTGTCCACACGCGGGTATTCACCCATGGCAAACAATTGTTCCACTCGTCTCATCAAATTCCCAGCGTTCAGGGTCTTCTCCAATTCATGGTAAGGCTTCTCCCCCGTCTCGATTTCATATAGTGTCGAACCAAAGGCGAAGATATCTGTCCTGACATCAGGTTCCGATCCCGGCTGATAGCTACACCATTCGTAGCATACGGTTGCCACTTCTCCGTCGATCCCCGAGCCCGCAAAGTCAATGAACTTGATGTGCCCCGACTGGTCCAGAATTAGATTATGACAGCCCACGTCCGCATGGATAATATTCTTCATATGAATGTAGCGCAACCCTTCCGCGGCCTCTTGGGCCCAGCGGAGCTTGGTCTGCATTGCGGTCTGGGATGCGTTGCTCTGGATCTTCTGGCGTAGGCATTCGCCTCGTTCCAGGACTATGCCATCGTCCGTAACCTCCCGGAGACTCGCGATTCGTGGATGATCCCCCAGCCGTCCGTACGCGCGGACTTCGATGTTATAGGCTTGACAGGCAAAATCGTCTGAAGGTCCGGGGCGGCGTTTGATGACTGAATGGCTATCAATGGCTACGAGGATGGATTGCTCTCCACAGAGGCTGGTACAAAGGGTCTCCTCCCGCCCCACCCTTTTGGGGAGGAACAAATGGAACGAACCATCCCCGCCCCTCTGCATCTGCGACATGGAGGCGGTCTGCGCCGTTCACGACCTTCCGAGATTCAAGTCAACTTTCGACGCTTGGACCTCTCTCAACCTGGATATCCATGAGCTCGACTCCGTGATGATCCAGGCTGTCAGACAGGATCAGAAGGATGTGGTCGCTGAATTGTTGCAGCAGGGACTGTGTCCCTGAGCCAAGATTATGCTTTAGAAGCGATAAGACATAGATCAAAGGAATTTCTCAACATCCTCCTACAACATGGATGGGATGTTAACCAACCGACAAGCGAATTAAAGCCCCCAGCGCTCGGGTAAGTCATGGGATGGCTTTTCCAACCTTCACTGCTTACGCGCAGTATTCTCCCAGGTATGCCATGGACGACTACGAGATGACGCTTTGGCTTCTTGATCACGGAGCCGACCCAAACAAGCAGTGCTCTATTGATCTGACGCCATTGTCCCACGCGGTAGAACAGGCCTCACTTGCCACCATCCAACTGCTGCTGGACCGTGGAGGGGATGTTCATCAAGGGCAACTGCTGCACCATGCTGTCGCCCGTCCAACGGATACCATCAAGGTGTTGGCCATGCTGCTCGAGAGAGGTGCGCCTTTGAATTCCACAATGTACGAAAAGCACTATGCGTCATGGAGACTATACTACTTCATGGGTTTGGGAACCGCTCTACACAAAGCCGCGGAGTTGGGCAAAGCGGATGTTGTGCGCTATCTGGTCGATCAAGGCGCGGACGTTGGTATCAAAGTTGCCACGAACCGAAGTGCTAGGGATTGGGCTGCGCTGAACAATCATCAGGAGATCGTGGAGCTTCTTCAGTCTGTGGAGAGAAGACACCGTCTGTGATCAAAACGATTGGACACAATTGAGACCACTTGGTGAACTTAGCATTTTCGCGTGTGAGTATGGAGTTTTTATGACAGTATGAACTTGCCTCAGCACAGGGTTTCTTGTAGTTGCTTTCCTAGGTGCGTTCAGTAGCGTTCGCGCCGCCAAATGCGTCTAGTGAAAGAGCTCTGAGGTAAGTCGGTATTCTAATCTCCCCATGGCGCTCGAAAAGACGACAAATGCAAGGCTTTCTGAATGGAAGAAAGTACCAGCCTCGTCATAGTGGAAAGATAGTCCATATCCATGCTCCGAGGAAGGTCAGGCATACAGATTGCTGCCGAAACCCCAATGAGAAACAGGCTAGAAATACCATGTCTGTCCCTCATCTCCGCAGGGTCATCTCACTTTCCACGTAATACACATCATGCCTTACACCTGATTGAGTATTACGCCCTGTCTAACTTTGGGGTATCTTCCACTTACAGACACTACAGTCTTCTCGCCGCCTGCCCTCCCGACACCCAATAATCCTAGGAAATTGAATACCCGAACGCGCAAAGCTGGAAAGAATTCATACAAATTTTTCTCATCGGTCAATATCATGACGACGATTATAGATTAGTAGGTTCAACTTTTCAACTTGGTTAATAGGTGTAGGTGTAGCTCGATTAGTGTAACTAATCCACTTCAGATTAGTCATTGGATCTTCTACCACCACTAACTACCTAAGTAGTACTGCTTGACCCCTCAGACATACACAGAACTCATTCATTCCCTATATACATACACACATCCATATCATACAATCAGGGTATCCATCACCTTTCTTCCTCTATCCTCCATTCATTTCATTTCTTTCCCTCGCCCTCGCCCTCGCTCTCCCCCTCTCCATCCTTATTCTGAATCGTCTGCATCAGCTCATACAGCTGCCCAATCTGCTGATCTATCCGCCACCTCGTTAGCTTACTCCCACGTCAGATCGGAACCAGGACAGAGCACTAACCACTCATCTTATCCAACTTGGACTTTTCCAACTTCTCTCCCACCCACGTATCTCCCTCCAGTTTCTGTACATATAATTGCCATTCGGTAAGGAAGCCGATCTACCCATCACCAATGCCCGTTAGCTATCATTCATTCAATCCCGATATACCCCACCATCCACATCCACATCACCGTATAAGAAACAAAGACATACAATATGCAACGGATTCTCCACATTCCGATGTGCCCGGAATTCACTCTTCACATAGCCATCTCCCAGGATCCGCATTTCCGGGTCGAGTTTCTTCCGGTGCACGCGGAGGATGCGTCGGTAGAGCGGAAGCGGAGGCAGAAGGGCCAGAGCATCGGAGAGGCTGGATTTGGATCCGAAGGTGGAGGGCGTAGCGAGCCGGGCGGCCGTGGGGGTGAGTTTTAAGAAAGACATTTTCCTCCTGCTGCGGTGATTGAATTGATAGAGTAATGTAGGTAGTAGGTAGATGAGGAAACCTAGACAGTCCGGGGGAAGTGCGATACTGCCGCATTCCGCAAGGCGGGATTCAGCTTTCCGTGGCAGATGATTGGATCATCGATATCAGATTGTCTACAACTTATTTTATCACCACCCATTCTCTATACTACAATTGATTCCACCAAACAACCCAGAGGAAAGAAGGAGAATGCTCCCCACCCCCTCAACCTCCCACGTCTCTTTCGACACCATCTACGAACCCTCCGAAGACTCCTACCTCTTTCTCGATACCCTCTCCTCCGCCAGCGAATCCGCCTGGCTCACAACCCACTTCCACCCCTCCACCACCCCCACCCCCTCCCCCTCCCCTCTAATCCTCGAAGTCGGTACCGGCTCCGGCGTCGTCCTCGCCTTCGTGACCGCCAACTCCCAGCACATTCTCGGCCGCACCGATGTCCTCGCCCTCGGCACAGACGTGAATCGCAATGCCTGCGCTGCAACCAGACAAACCGTCTTGAAAGCCATTGAAGAGCAACAACAACAACAACAACAACAACAACAACAACAACAACAACAACAACAACAACCCTCACCATCCAATGGCATAAAATCCACAATAACAAGCACCCTCCTCACGGACCTCGCCACCCCAATCCGCCCCCACACAATCGACATCCTCCTCTTCAACCCACCCTACGTCCCTACCCCCGAACTACCATCTCTCCCTGTTACCACAAACCACGACACAGCAACGTTATCGCGCAGCGAGAAATTCGAACAAGAATCCTACTATCTCTCGTTGACGTACGCGGGCGGAAAGGATGGGATGGAGACCACGGACCGCTTGTTGGAGGATATTCCCCGGGTGTTGAGTCCCCGGGGCGTGGCGTATGTGTTGCTTTGTGCGCAGAATCGGCCCAGGGAGGTGGTGGAGAGGATTGGAAATTGGGAGTTTGATGATGCGAATGGGGAGGGAAGGGAGGGGAGGTGGTGTGCGGAGTTGGTTGGGAGTAGTGGGGTGCAGGCGGGGTGGGAGAAGTTGGTTATTGTGAGGGTTTGGAGGGAGTACATCTAATTTATATATATATATATATATGTCTGTTGGGGATGGAATATACTGGTAGGGTATGGGCAAGGGTGGATCAGACTCGATCATTTTTCTGTTCTCGAGGTGCGGTGCGGCGGATTAGATAGATGTAGATGTATACAGTACAGTAGTATTTCTGGATCGGGGTCCGACCCGACCTGCAGCTGCAGCAGCCATCAACCAGATATCTCAGTCCCGATGGCATCCCCTTGGTAGCTGGCGACGGACGTGTTTAACGAGCTAAGGCAGCCCCATCCATCCATCCATCCATCCATCCCATCAGGGCGTACTGCTCGCTCATCCCTCAATCCCACCCATCAATGCCAACCCAACCATGAACAAGCAACAAACAAGAGAACTCCATCCCTCAAACGTAATATCAAAAGCCCGAGAAAATCTAATCTCCCCTAAGATGCAGCTCAGAACCCACGTCCCCTCCCACGTCCCCTCCCGCGCCCTCTCCCACGAGGTCCACCCCGTCCACCCCGTCCACCGCGATCGGCCTCCTTGCGCGCCTTATTCTTCGGCTTAGGTGTATCGTCAATCAGCAGCGTGTCCAGGGGCAGACTGTCCGGGAGGATGTAATAGCGGATCGTGGAGCCGCGGATGTTGATCGTGTCGAGGGAGATGGGGTCGCGGCCCTTGGGGGTCATTTTCACCGTGCGGAGAGAGGTGTTCATCTGCGGGGAGACGGAGGTGATGGTGCCGTGGAGGATGGTGCCTAGAGTTATTGAGTTAGTAAGTGATGATGGTGGTGGTGGTGGTGGATTGGGATGGGTGGAGGGTATGTACCATTCTTCAACTCGATTGTCACCGTCTCGTTGGCGCATTTCATGAGGAACCTAGATCATTAGTGGGATTCGCGCGTGGGGATCAAGGTATCTACCGGACGAGCTTCATGGTGGTGGTTGCGACGCGCGAAGATGGTCAAGACGTGGGCGAGTCGACACGGCCGGCTCAGTCAGTTTCTCATGAGGTTCGTTGGTCGACTTGCCGCAGAGGCTGAGCTGCTGACCGCCCGCACGTGACCGCTGGTTACTGCTACTGCTACTCCTACTGCTACGGCTGCTGCATTCAATCTAGCCAATACTAATATACCAGATCACTATCAACGCTTACCGAAATCGCTTCATGGTATCTCGTGAATGCCAATGTCACCAACGCCCAATCCCGTGTTACAATACGCCATGCCGCGCCTTGAAGATGGAAATCTTGTCGTCGTAGAACAAGATCTCCCGCAGCCGAAATGACATCCGAGACTTGTTGCAGTCCATGTCCGAATCCTCTCCGTCGGACGATCCTCGGTCATCCGAGGACAGATCAGAGTGCGAGTCCATCGCACTGACTGCCCCGTCGTCCTCGGATTCATCTTCGTTGGTGTCGGACCCCGCCCATTCCTCCCCTCCCGGCACGAATCCTTCGCTATGACTATCATCCGTGTCATAGAACTCGCCAGCCTCCCCGTCTTTCGCCTCCAAAATCTCGTAGCACTTATTCTGTATACCCACATATGTAATCCCGACCTCCGGGCGGATGGTCACGATATCCAGGATCATCAGCGCCAGTTCTTTCGGGTCTCGGTGCACTTGGCGGGCAATGTGTGGCACATGGAGCGAGCGCAGTTGAGCCATGTACGGGAGCCGCTGGAGAAAGAAATGCTATTGAAGTCAGTAAATGCCATCATCACATTTGGCAAACCTACCCAGTCCTTCGAGTGCAGAGCCACCGAGAGTTCCCGCAGCCGGGGCATACGTCCGCTGCTAAGAAATGTGATCATCTGGCGTGTAAACATCCACTTGTACCACCGGACACTGGGCATCTCATTCCCTCCGGGTGCCCGCTGGGTACTATCTACCAGGATCTTCTGTAAGCTCAGGTGGTGGGTCCGGATCGCATTCTTGTAGATCGCGTCAATATGCACAATCGAGTCGTACATCGGCGCCTCGTGCAGAAACAGCGTTTCTAAAGTGTTGGGTGCCAGGGTGTCTTTAATAAACAGCAACATATAGGGCGACACCGCATCCGTATGGATATGCTTGAGCTGCAACCGATACTCAGAGCCACCCTGGTCGCTTCCATCACGTTTCCCATGCTTCGAGCGGGTGGCAGGCGGAGAGAATTGCCGGCGAAGAGCTCGCCAGAGTTTCTCGTGGCCATCGCAGCGGAATATCGTCAGGGTGGTCAGCCGGGTCCAATCCAGCGACTGCAACACCACTGGAATGGACAGGGTGACGCGCTCCAATTCCAAAATCTCAAGCTTCAACTGATGGGCAATGGCCGACACGGCAAAACTGGTATCCGCGGAAGTGTTTGGGACCACTCGGGGGTTTTTGGCCCCTACGGCAGATGGTGGCTCCCCGGCGTCGTTCGATATATGCGTGTTTTGCAGGTCCATCGTAATTGCAGCGACGCTGTCTGTCAATTGGGGCGAAGCCCCCGACGAGGTACCATTGGCAGCTGCCTGGCTAAACACCGGCTGACTTCCTGGTCCCTGTTTGGAGGACGCCGCCCCCTGAGCCGGCGGAGGGACCGTGGGCTCCTCAGACCTGCCTAGTACAGCCCCAAGCACGCCACCCGATTTAGGCCATCCTGGAGGCCCGCTGGCTCGAGACGGCTGCTCAGACTGCCAGCTTCCCGCTGGCTTCAGCCAGGACGCTTGGTAGACCTTGTTGGAAATCCCAATACGAAGTTCTTTCAGTCGGTTTCGGGACCGCTCAATAAGCACGGCCATTTCTTCGAGATACGACGGTTCATCTATGTCAAGAACACTCAGGCTCTTGAGCGGTGGAAGGATCGACAGAGAAGGGTACTCTACATGCCCATATCTCTGGAGCAGGGAGGGACTAGTCGCGCCCGTCAACGCAGGTTGCGTCTCTGGAAGCGTCACGGAAGATGCGGTAGGAGGCCCCGCCAACGGACGCATGGTATTCTCAGAGTTGTCGTGCCAACGGATCCAAACGCGCTCCAGGCGGCATTCATGACCGGGCCGATTAGCTAGCGACGAAAGTGCGATCCACACATCTCTCAAGACCCCGGTCGGCATGTCCCACACGAACGTCTCCAGATTCACCATCCGGGCCACCGCTAGAGCAACCAGTGTTCCGAGCATTTTCCCCGTCTCTTTCGTCACAGAGTATTCTTGGACCCACGCCAGAGGACCGTTTCCGACCGAGAACTTGCGCGTATACTGTGCATAGTAGTTGCCACGACGGACTCGCAGTAGGGTATCCGCCTCATCGCGGGCGGGGGCGGGGTTGCTGCAGCCACAATGGGGACAAGGGTGCGCCCATCTGGGAGGTAACTCGTGAAATATGTCCTCGCCCATAACGAGCGTTGCAAGACCGTAAGAGAGAGCGTCCACACCAGCTGGATGGTCGGAAGCCGATAGCGTCTCGGGCCAAACGATATCGAACCGCGAATACATCTGGGGGATCGCTAAGGAGTGAAGGGCGGAGCAGGTCAAGGCAAGAGACGTTAGGTCGTTGGTGTGCGTCACCTAACCACAAGAAGTGTCAGTGATCTGTCGAGCAAGCCCATGGAGGGTTAGGCATACCTCTTTAATGATCTCCTGCAGTATATCCATCGGCAGATCCAGCAAGCGCAGAGGTCCCTTCAATATTGAATGAGGTATAAAAATATTTCCAGAACGATAGCTCTGATCTCCCGAGTGCACAGTCTTTGAAACACCACTGGGGGGTGCCATCAGCCCATCATGTAAGGTGTCCGCCTCGATTGTCTCCAGCTCGGGTCGTTTCTCTGCCCGTTCCTCGGACCCATGAGAAGTCGTGCTAGCACTTGACACGAACTCTTCATCCTCATCCGTCAGAGTATCCAGATCGGAGCCGGCTCTAGATCCGAGATACAGTCTGCTGGAACCAGCCATATTGTCGGATATTGCGTAATAACTGCCCATGAGGAATGAGGGGCTCGGGACACCACCAGCACTCGAGCTGACGGTAGTATGGATGGAAGGAAAGCTGTTTCAGAGCAACGGTCCTGACGGGTCTGATCGTCGTGAGCGATAGCACTGATAGGAGATGCTAATAGCGGAACTGACGGGATCGGATCCGGGGTAAACGACAGTCGAAGCAACGATGGGGCAGTGAAACACGGCCAGACCGAGCCAGATGGTGCCGCAACAAGAAAGTGCCAATCACGCACCGGCGGTCGGATGCATACCTCAGGTTTGCATGCCACACCTCAGCACGGCGAAGAGTCTATCGAGTCCAGCTGGGGTTAACTGGGAAGTGGAGGATTGGAGGATGGAGGAGCTGCGCGGTCACGGTGGGACGAGCGTCCACTTGGCGGCGGCGAGGGTGGTTGGGGCTCCCTTTTCGGGCCTAGCACCGGTGTGATGTGACAGCGGCCAGACCCGTGACTATCATTACATTGTATGTATGATCATGTATGATCAGCATCATCTACGATGTACCATTGACCCCTTCCTTTACAATACGCAACACAACAATGAACTACAAAATAAGACACAATCCAGGCCCACCTCTAGCTAGACGCTGGCCGTCTCCTCAAGGCAGACCACATCGCAGACCCGACCAACAAACCCATCCAGGCCGGAAGGCACACTGGACCCCTGGGCAGCCAGCGCCGTGGATGCTCCGGGCATGAGAAGCACCCGCGACCCGGTTTCGATCCATTCCACCGATGTCACAAACGCAAACGTGATTTTGATATCGCCTTGTCCCGGACTGCCAGATGACCGGACCATCTCTTGGACGCCTGCCTGGTCCCGTTCGCGGGCGAGAACATCCCCATCGAAACTGAAAAATTCCGGCTCCGTTGGTGACGGCGGCCTCGAGATGAGCTCATCTTCTGCAAGCGCCATGCATGTCAGCTTCACCGTCGTGCGAACATTGGCCACGTAGACTATGGCATTGCCACCCAGCAGCACCGGCGGAGAGAGGGCAGAAGTAAATTCACTAGACGGGAAGCTGGCCACAAATCCGGTGTGAAATAAAAGGGACCGTGGTATAGACGCAGACGGGGTCAGCAGCTTGACCAAGATGGAGCCTTTCCGGATCTTCCCAAGCCGTGGCGGCTCTCCATCGGCCGTCAGAGGCAGAGGCTCGATCCCGATCGTACCGACTTGGTCTTGGGTTAACGTCTGAACCGGGAGTCGCAGATTTCGTACACTGACTGCGCGAACACGTTGCCAGAGCGCTTGGGTGGGAAGAGAGCCCTGCAGAAACGTTGTCGAGAACTCTCCCGAGGTAGGTCGGCTTCGATAAGAGCTAGACTGCTGAGTGCCATCCGGACGCTTTTCCGACCGGCTTCTCTGACGCTGTAGGCAACCTCCATGGTCAGACAACGGTCCGATGAGGAGTTCGTCTCCTGCCGAAATGGCTCCGTAGCGGACCAGACCACAAAGGACGACCCCGTGGCTTTCTTTCCGTTGCTCTGCAGCCATCGAGTAGACCTTGGATGGAGGGATAGCGAATACCTCATCAATATCAAAGACGTTTTCAGGTGCACTTGGAGGTGTTGGGGACTTGAGCAATGAAACATCTCTTGATGGCGGCCTCGCGGGGATGGGGAGGTAGCGGAGAAGAGCATGCAATTTTCCTATGCCTGAGCCATCGACCGCACTGGTAAGGGCGATGGGGACCGTTGAGGTCCAGCTTTCTGTCGTAGAAATCAATTTCCTTACTTCCTCTGTGTCCTTCGACCCACTGTGTTGTAGGTCCACTGCCTGGGCGGTTTGAACAGACAGCATGGCTGGCTTCTTGCCAGATGATTTGAGCGTTGAGAGTACCTTGGCCAGGGTATTCCGCAAGCCCGAGCGCGATGCCAAATCCATCTTCGTGATAACCACGACGGTAGGAAGGTCCATCTTAGTACAGAGCTCCAGATGTGATAATGCCAGTGCCATGTCTGTAGGCTGCTCAGACGCAGATTGGCCGGGCTCCTGTGAGTTTTCGTCATCACAAGTTGCCGGTATGCACAAGACGACATAGTGCGGAGCCCAGCCAATCATGCCTCTTAGTGTGGACTTCAGATAGCGCACTGAGCCCGGAAGATCGGAGACAAAGGCCAGACGGCCTCCCTCTGAGGCGGCATGAATATCATCCCAAGCCGCAACGTTGCCAGAGGCATAATTGATTACATCAACGTTTCGTGCCCCATCGGCAGCATAGCCAATTAACTCATGGGCAACGGAACTGGTGATTCCGGACGAGATTTCATGTCGATGCTTTAGCAGATGTAGTCTGCTCGTTCCCCTCCCATTGTCAAGGACGGATGAAGTTAGAGTACCTAGAAGAGACGACTTTCCGGCCGCACTAGGACCGGCAATGGAGATACGGATCTGCTCAGTTTTGGAAGAGCCACTTAATTCTTCCGTTTTTGCATTTTCCGAAGACGACTTCTCCGGTCGACCCTTTCTGGGAGTCTCAACGCGGTAAAAGTCCCAGTCGGGACTCACTAACGCCTCTGCAACCCAAAGACTTTCCATGTGGACCTTTCCAGCATCCGCCGTCTCGGAGAATGGGTCCTCGGCCCATTCGCAGTTGCCAACAATCACTCGGCGAAGAACTTCGACCTTGCAGCCCAAGCTCGCGGCCATGACCTGCAGAGTGGATAAACTTTCCTCGAGCTCATCCAGAACGAGCCCCACAAACGTTCCATCGTCCGCAACGCCGACTTCGTACAATGCGCCCTGGCTCTCTTCGAGCCCGGGAAGTAAGCGAGCCGGTTTCTGTGCCGCCCCCAACTGGGGGGTCGCTTCCGGAAGAACAGGCAACACCAGATTTGCCGTTGTGGATGAGTGGAAGGGCGAAGATTGCTGCAAGCGCCACAGTAACTGCGTTGTGAGATGCTGCAATCTCTGCTGTCGGCTTTCCGTTGAGCGGGTCTGTTGCGGCCTCAAGGTCGAGTCGTAACTCGAGGGCGTGGGACCATCCGCGGAAAAGCTTGCCCGGGAATGATACGATCCACCTACAAGGTGACTAGTTGACATGGAAACATAGGGGCGGCGAGGGCGTAAGAGCAGATGGAGTTTGTACTCAGTGGGTCCCTCCTGTGGTTCAGGGTCCAATTTGGTGATTCCATAATCGGACAGCAGATCCGGGTCCGCGCGGTCCAAGTTCGTGCTCGATCGTGCTCGAGGCACTGTCCGATTACTAGTTGCTGCCAACTGAGGAGTTGAGGACCCTGAAGTGGACCAGGGCGAAGAGACCCGCGGAGGGTCAGGATCGTAAGTAAACACCGAAGCCATGACGGTCGATACAAGTCCAAGGGCCAAGGCGTGCAAGTATGGAGAATATGAAACAACTAGTAACTAATGGGCTATCGCTAAGCCCATTCGACGTATTCGACAGGCTCGTAAGTGTCTCGCACGCAATGTATGTAATCTTCCACGGGTGTAGTTGATTGGTGCCGTTCGAGCCATCTTGAGGCTGGAGTGTACGGAGTGGATAAAACGGCGGTGGGCGCGAATTGACCGTCAAGAGATGGTTCAACAGGGCGCCAGGGAGGGTCTCATGCAGTTAATAAACAACGGACGGTGGATGGCAGTCAGCAATGACGCGACATCTTGGAGGCCCGCCTGGAGGGATGAGTGAGTCACTTTGTGCTTGGGATCCGGTCATCCATCGCGGAGTAAATACGGAGGCCCGTTCGGGTACCCGCCTTACGACATGACTGGGTCAGGTGACGGGCCCCATCCTCGGCACGTGCTGGACTCGGTTAGTGCCTGAGGCCCTTGGCGGGCTGCCTTAGCGTGCTGCCTAAGCCACATCGTACTTGGATTTCGGCTGCAGGGGGGCCCTGTTTCAGATAAACCTAGCAGAACAATAGTTGTCAATCTAGGCAGCCTGGCCTTATTAGTGCTTATCGTCTTGGAGCAGGCTAGTATCGGCAAAGAGGCGTCTTACTACTGCAGCATAATTACTAGCCCGTGGTTTGGTGCCGCCTGTCACGACTCACCCATCTGAAGAGTTCGGGTGGCGCGAGAATCTCCCAATTTGCTCCTGGTCCCGATTCCTCGAAGTATTTTGGCCTGGTGATGAGGACCAACTTGGATCATCTCAGACGGTAGTGGCAGTCACTGTGATAGCCCTCTTCTTGACGACCATGTATTGCAGGGGTACGGGTCAAAGTTTTACCTAAAAATTCAAGCTGGCTATCTAGCAAGGTATTCACAGGGTATTAAACGAATGCAACTAAGAAAACGACACATGCAAGAATATTCGTTCCGAGAAGTTGATATGCAAAAGTGGACACTCCTCGCAGTGTCCTTCGGCCAAGTCCGTGTGGGTCTTTCCCTCTTCTGATCCCCACACCATCTGTACAGATGACAGATGTATCTGTTCTGAGTCCGTCGCCCAGACGGGTGATGGTAGAATACGCTGCAGGTTAAACTGCTGCCCGACCTCTGGGTGTAAGCCCGTATTCGATGATTAGGCGTTGCCCTTGTCATGCTAGACGCATGTCTCGTTGATAGCCCCTGACGCTAGTGCCTTTAGGGCACTTATTCAGCGGATGGCTCCCTGGCTATGCCCTTGCACTTCCCCTGAGCAACATGGATGTTCCGGGCAGTGGTGCGTGTGAATACCGCACCACAACTGGGGCATTCTGCTTTTGCAACCACCCCTGATTTTTCCCGTTGGTGTCGGAGTAGGTTGCTGAAGGTCGAAAATTCACGACCATTGCAGCCGTGGTCCCAACATTGAGGTTTAGGTCGAAAGCTGATGACCCGAACTTGTTGATCTTGATCTGAGGAGCTGGGAGCGGAATCGGGAGAGGAGTATACGGTGCCTGCAGGCATCAGGGTGTGCGGTTGGGGCATGGAGTTGGGGGTTTGTCTGTCATTGAAATCGGTTAGATCATAAGAGTAGATCGATCACCATGGTGTCTACTTACGAGAGCGAAGAGTTTGGTGTTAAGTAGTAGTCTGGTTGGTTGACTAGGTAGGAAGGAGGTCTAATAATCGGTTAGACTCTCGATGTTACTCTCAGGATGCTGTGTTCTCACGTTGATGTGAATGCTGGGTCCGGGATTGTGGGTGGACTGCCGGACACAGAAGCGCTGGGGTATGGGTAAGGAATGGAGGAGCTATGGAAGCAGGTGTAAGTCTCTCAATCTCGACGGCTTTACTGGGATGGAAATCTGTACCTTCGAGGTTGGTGCCGGCTCTGTGGCACACCCGGCTGCGAGGAAAGGTAATGTGACGAGGGGAGTCCCGGCTGATAAAAGCCCTGGGAGCTAGTGTGCGGAGGTTGATATGCAGATGGGTATCCATGCTGCGGCGGCAGAGCATGTGCTTGGGGATATGAGTGCTGGTCCATGGCCATTGAAGTGGGATGGAGAGGCTGCGGCGGCCTGTTTTGCCAGCTGTAATCTGCTCTGCGTTAGTATATACTCTGCTGCTGCGGAAACGCACTATAAAACCTACTCTGAGAGTTGTGTGCCATGTTGGTTGTTAGAAATGCTACTGATCCGGGATGCATCGACTGAGGTAAAAATCGGTAATCTGACGTCCTGAAGCCAAGGGTTTTTCAGTAAACAGCGCCTTAGCAGGGAAAATATGAAGAGTGCCACATACTGTGAGGGTTCTGCAACGGCTTGCTGTGGACTTCTTCGGACCAGGCTTAAAGGAGAGCTTGCTGGTTCACAGTCCCGAGAGATGAGTTCCGATGGAAAAGGCGTTCTGGCTAAGAACTGATTCGGATGTAAGGATGATAGATGGCTCTGTCCGTCGACTGAGCTAATGCTGGACCTCTGACTGCGAGGAGAACTGAAAACCGAGCCCGGACTTGGGATCCCAGGAAACCAGCCTGGCAGAGTCGATGCAAGGGTCGTTTCTGATGGATTCGCAGATTTCACCTGAGCTGAGTCGTCCAGGTGGGCAAGATCCAGGACGAAAGGCGCAGAGGCTGGTGAAGGGAGTCTCCAACTAGATGAAACAGACTCGTTCAGCTGCCTGTGACGAACATGCGAGTCCGCTGGTGAGTGATAGAATTCATTGGAAAACATTGGTGCTTTGGGGGAAAATGCCAGAACTAGAATGAGAGAGGAACAAGTGCTGGGAGAAGACTAGAATAAGAAGAAGAATAAATGAAGGCAGGGAGAAGTCCACAAGAGAGAGGAAGAGAGAGAGGTCGTGGGGGGAATGAAGGGAAGAAGTACAACCAAAATCCAACGGGTGGTAGATCGAAGGAAAGCAAATCAGGGTACGGAACATACAGTTAGGTAGGCAGGCTTAGGCACAGAATCCTTCCGGATGGACAAGCAACTATATCCACTGCGGAAGGTTGGTTCACCTGGACGGCGGACGGGATGGATGGAACACTCAGGTCGATACGCTGGGGAGATTCCAGAAGACTGGCTAGAAGAGAGTATTTAACGTTCCGTGGCCCAGCGATAGAATAAGCGCAACGAACGGGGGCCGAAGATTACCAGGTGGTTCGTCCTGGAGTTTGGCAGCTTATGGCGGGCGAACGAGCGAACGAGCGACGGCCAGTGGGTGTATGGAATTACCTGGGCTTACTTACTGCTGCCACTAGGTCCAGATAATTACGCTGATTCGCGATTTTTTCGTATACCCATTACCGTCGACGCTCGCTATTTTTAATTTCCAGCTGAAGCTCTCTCCCGTTTGGGACTGGAGAGGAATTATTTTATTTTGACAGGTCGGGGATTTGGATATTATGGTTATTATTATTTCAAATCCTCTACCGCGTAGTTGTCGATGGAGGAGGCCCTTCACTGCCACCGTCCCAGACTTCCCTCCAGGCCCATCTTTCCCTCCTGGGACCATCAACCAACACGCTTGACCTGCCCGGCGTGCTTCCTCCCTGGATGGTCCCTGGGGCGTGGAGACGATCCCATCGCGGATTTTCCTTGGCCTTGCCCATCGGTCGCATCGTTGGCAGTAGCCATGGTTCACCCGCCTGTGGTCTGATAGCACGGAGAATCACCCGTCGTGTTTGGCGGGTCCTGTCACTGCAGAACGGCCCTTGGGGAATAACATGAAAATCGTTAGACGTCGGCCCAGCCCCGTCGGAGGGGGGACTCTGGTTATTACTAGGATCGAACCCGGCCCATTTTCAGAGTTTATTTAACTACTCCGGACAGAGCTGGACCACTCCAGTCGCCCTCCAGTCGGATTATGCTTCCCTCCGGCTCTGAGTCAGGGTGCTCGATAGGGGATAGTCCTGCACCATTGCCACGTGAAGGTCGGTCCCAACAGTTCAAGTGCCAGGATGGAGTCGGACTCGACTGACCTCTTACTCCCCCTCCCCCTTGTCCGTCCCTCGCGACTCCACTCTAAGATGACGGGGTGAGAGGAGATTCGCAATTGACATCAGCAGTCGTATCGCCCTAACCGGTCTGATGATCCATACTCCGTACCAACACTTCGTTTGCGAAGAGGAGAGCCACGGCGGGAATAGACTCGGAGATGGCGGGTTTTGGGCTGAGAGCCGCCTTGGGGGAACAGAAACAAGCTCCTAGCATAGTGGAAGGACCGGCTGAAACTAGTTTTTTCGACCCTCCTTCCGTCCCCAGTCACGCTCGATTTGGAGAAGGTTAAAAGAAATCATCGTTTCGAGCCCCAGGAGGCTAAGGGTGTTGAGCCAGCTTGAGTGTCACCGCCAGTAAAATGGATCCAGTGAATGATTTACAAGCCCCCCGCCCGATGATGCTCTGATTTGTTTCGGCTCATCTTCCTTCAGCGACGGCGGCGATGAATTACCTGGACGATTAGTTGAATCCGGATGGTTTGGGGGCCAATTCCAGCATGGCAGGATAACCCCCCAGCCCTGATTCGTATTTGCAGGCGGGTCTGGAAAGCGTCCGCCGGGGCTAAAGGCAGTCCTGGCTGGGTGGCTACTGGCTCAGTGCGAACGACGCCGCCTGACATACGTGGAGTCGTGCGAGATCGTCATGATAGCGAGGCATGGCCTTTTAGATCCGGAACCACATGGCGATAAGCAATGGGCGGTTCAATTAATTCCTTCCCCGGGGCGATGCATGCTCCCTAATTCCTTCCCCCTTCCTCTATGCCAGGGAGGCAACGTCAGGGAGCAGGGAGCAGCAGGGGGGGGAAGCCGGGGGCCCCATTTCACCAACCGTCTGTCCCCGAGGATTGGCTTCCTTCCACGATCACCAGGAGGCATTCCCGCGCACTTTCACCACCCAGAGCCATCGGACCCGATCAATGTTTCGCCTAGCGTGGCTAGCCTCTGGCGGATGCATCAGGCTCAGAACTTTTGTCCTGTTCTTTTTTGGCCCCCACTGACTTAGCGGCCGCCAGCCACGCTATGGATCCCAATTCTTACCGTTTCGGGCCTTGGAGGGTTATCGCGTGTTTCTGGCTTCGTCTCCCTTTTCGTGGCCGGGCAGACCAAACTAGAACCAAAAGGAAATGGAAAAAAAGGGTCTTTCTGGATTGTTCCGCCAGACGGCCCCCCTGGAACAGGAAGATGATGATGATGCAGATGGCGATGCACTCACTTACCGTTTTCTGTACGCTTTGGATCGGAGGTGTCCATCCTTTTCGTACTATATGCTGACGGGGAGATCGACAAGTTTCGTTTCGAACGAATACTTTCTGTGACGACAGCTTGGCGCATCGCTGCAGGCTCACGGATCCTCCTGTCACCTCAGAGGGTCGTTTAATGTTTATTATCATTACAGAGCATTCTAGCTGGTCTGGAGGACGGAGTACTCCAGATGAGATGCCCCTGGCGTGATGTTTGTTCTTCCTACCAGGGTTCAGATTCATAACAAGGGAAAGTGGAAAAAGGGAAAAAAAAAAAGAAAAAAAGAAAAAAAAAACTACAACAAGATCAAGACAGCAAAAAGGGAATGGACCACCCCCCCATCCAAGATTTCTACCACTCGGGGCTGTCAGATCCGGAGGATCGCATATGTTGCCTGTCCTGAAAGTAGCCGACGGTGAAACGGTGGATGAGGTCAATGGAGGCGCTTTGGCCGAGACGGTCAGACTCAGACCCGTGGACCGACCCTAGGCAGGCTACCAATTACCAGTTACGTGACACGTTTATTTGCGCCCCTCTCCGTCCGGAGCATGGCGAGCGCCCGATTGTCCGATCCTGTGATTGCGTTGACCGCCACGGCAATGATCGGCCAGGATCAAGAACCTCCCTCTCGCGGGAGGCAGTGGGATGTAAATTGAATTAACCGCCCGCCAGGCGTTGGAGACTAACCGAACGAATCCCCTCGAGGCATTGCTTGCGATCCACCTGGCTGCCCTTGTTGGTAAGGGTAGAAATGTAAATAGATTAACTCGCCCCTCCAAGTGCCGCGCTGAAAAACACACGTGTCACGAGGGAGTCCCCGAATTCCCCGTTTACGACCAGCGTGCGTCCCATTGACCAATTTCCTCCGTCCGGTTAGCTTTTGCTGCCTTGCTCCACCCGGGGAGCCTGCGGTGGTTGACACTTGGACAGCGTCATGGAAGAATTATGGGGCCCGTTCTCGGCGACCGCCATCCGAAGCGCCTGGGATCTTTTCCGCTTTCCACGGTGCCTGATCCCTCGTGGATGTCGTGCGGAGACCACAAGAGAACTGTGCACAGTCCAGCGCTTCGACGTCGCAGTAGCCAGCTGGCGTGGGAGGATTTGCTCCTGGGCCGCGCAGGCTCCTCTTTTGTCTGTTGGGAGCACCCCGCGATACGCCGGCCTGCATTGTCAATGTCACCAGCGTCTGGAGGCTCTCAGCGACCATTTTCATCTAACGCACTCGCAAAGGCCAGACTAACCAGGATCCGTCGATCGGGTCAAAAACTCCACGTGCTGTGGCACTTTTATTGATCCTGCTAGGATTCCGCAGTGGCCGAGATGGGAGCCGTTGAGGTGGGTAGCCGGCTGGCCACATGGTTGAGGTAGCACCTTAGGCAAGTTAGCACTGCTACCTCGCCTACTAACCTCCTGGTCGCTGGCTTTCTTTCACGCTTGCAGGGGTGCTCATGCCGGGGGGGGACAAGGGAGGGGAGGGGGGAGGGGGACAAGGAACTCCTCCCTCGATCGCATGATCTGCTGGCTCCCTCGACGGCCTTCATTAGTTCCCTTTTTTTTAAATTAACCCTTTCCCTTGTCTCTTCGCTATGGCCACCATTTCCGGCCGCAGCTCAGCTCGATGACCCCTCTTTGTCTCCTGGACTAACACCATCCCCCTCCACCGTCCACATGCTTGACCTACGCGAGCCTTAAGCGCCAGGATCGAGCGGCTGAGCCAGAGACACCATCCAATCTCGGAGGCGGAATGAGCCTCCAGCAAGAAGCGCCTCGCGATCGTGGTATCGCCAGGCTAATTTCGACTGGACCGGTTCACCTATCAGCAGGCAGGAAAGCCCCGCCCATCAATTTCGGCGCCTTATCGCAGATGCCTGCAGGTCGTAGGCAGATACTACTAGAGACTCCGTACTACACTCCCTAGTCGCTAGACTCGATACCAGCCAGATACTAGTGACATTCACCCAACCACGCGCGGTGCCAAGCAGACAACGGCGGCAAATTCTCTGGATCAGCGACGCACCTGTCCCAGGTTACCAGCCTGTAGGTACCAACTCCCAACTACGACTTCCAACACATCTACCCTGCATCCTGGACCATACCACCGGAACAACCGGCGCTAAGCAGGTGATGTTACCTGGAGGGGATGCAGGTCATGGCGCTGTCTAGACTCTCGACGTGTCTGGAACCTGGTCCAAGCCAACTGCTGGCTCTTAGTCTTCGCCCTAGTCATTTATGTAATGAAAACCTGCCATGTGTGAAATCGCAACTGCAAAAGTCCAAGCTCCGCCCTAGTTGACCGGACTAAGGAAACAAGACGAGGAAATAACCATAAGCCGTTCTATGGTACGGAGGACGGAGTAGTGAGTATCCCTTCAACCAGTGATCGGCCTAAGAGGCGCACGATTTCGTCATTCTCTCGTGGTCCCTCCTAGTCACTGTGGGGTGCTGCGGGCTGCGGTCTGCGTGGTGGGGTAACAATACTTCATCTATCTAGTGTCTACTCACTTCTCTAGACTCTGGACATTCGCACTTTGCCTGAGGCCTAGTCAAAAACTCTGATTGATTATTTCGGCCGTCGAGTGGGTAAGATAAGGATTCATTCTCCGAGGGAAAACATCGAATGGATGAAATGAAAGAAGGTTCCAATTGTGTCAGTCTAATAACTACGGTTGCCCAATTGTGGATTCAGATTCTTAAATTGGTGCACACTTTTATATATCCACGGGGTATACAGACTACAGGAGAATCATCGGCGTATCCAATCCGCACATGGCCCTCGAGAGCCCTACTCCTCCGAAATTAACCCCGATGATCTGCCATGATCTCAGACCTACAAGTGCAGATCGACCGCTGTATGCTTCGCCTTGATATATTATCCTGTCTACGGAGTACTACGGAGTACTCTGCCAAGTAGGTAGATGCACTTAAATAAACTCTTCGAGATTGCAGATGTCTGAGACAATCCGCGAAGATCGAACCGTTTTCCCATCCCGTACCCGTCCGTACCTTGAACTAAGCACCGTTCTGCAGTCCCGACCCATGGACCAGATCGTTTGATCCTTCCCCTTTTCTTTTCTTTTCTTTTCTTTTTTGCTTTTCTTTCTTTTTCTGTAGAAAAAGAAGCCACTTTTCAAACCAAGGGAAAACATAAAATAAATAAATAAACAAATAAATCACATTAAATTAGGTCTCAAGCTGAGTAAGCCCCAACCAACCCCACTACTACCGATCCAGTTAAGCAGTACTCCGTACGGCGTAATGCAATCGACTCCGTAGTCATCCGTAAGACACCGATAAGGCATGGAACAAGTCGGGCTTTAGTCCTTACTGTGAGGCTAGTCGGTAGTTTAGTCCATGGATGAATGATGACGAATGCTCCACCGGGCTTGGTTTTTGGCGAACCATCGAATCATTGGACGTTTCCTTTGGGGAATGGATGTAAGATGAGGAGATAGATTCCTGGGGTGGTATTGGTGTGTACGGATACTGCCTTACCTAGGTACTACTATGTACTAATTTAGGTTGGGGTGATTTGTTTAACGATATATGTCTGTTAGGATTGGTGGTGTGGGCAGTGCTGGGATACGAGGAGACTGGTTTGGTGCTTATGTTGGATATTAGATGGTCTGGGAGGTATGAGGTGTTGTTGTTCATTAGATTGGGTGCTTCTAGGGGCAGGTAGATTGGCATATTCCTTCAATATCATATGATCTTATTCTCTTGGCTTGGTTCCTTCGGCTCTTGACTCTGATCTTTGATGGATTTCATCGCGAATCATGCGTACTTTTGTTTGATTACCACCGGGTGTATTCGGATTTTGTTGTCTCTGGTTTCTATGTCTCCAAAGATAGTAGTGCTATATATATTCCGTAACAGCTCCGATATGTTGTCTTTGGATGGCGGTTTCTTGGCTTATATCAAGTTTCAGTTAGTGTCTTGGATATTTGAGGCTTAGATTTGAACATCTCCAGAGATGAAAGTACATAGTGCATAAGCAATATGCAATGCATTTCACAACGACTTGGCTATAAGTCTGTTCGAAGGAATCGAATACCGCAGGATGGAAGGAAGGAACCGGAAACTCGGCAATGGCCCAGCCTTGTCTTATTGAACTCGAAAAGGGGCTCCATTGGAATCTATATGGTCGATAGCAGGTTTTCCTAGCAGTCTAGAACAACAAGTCCAGACTCGAAGACAAGCCAAATTTCTGACCTTATAGTATAGCACAAGAGTGATGTGGTTGTATCAATTCTTTCAATATTTTACCCCCAGGCACGGATAGAATATATTGCGGCCATCATTATTTCAAAAGACGGCCTGTAGCTGATAAGATTGCTTCAGATGACTTCGTGAGCGCTAGTAATCCAATCTAAGGACAACTGATAAAGGGAGTCATTCGAAGCAGGAAGTAATGACGTTTTTGCTTTGTTGCTGACGCAAAGCAACACTTGACAAAATAATGGCCAGACTTGTAAGACAGATGAAGACATAAAATATGACATCAAAGAGATGTTTAAACTCATGTACACTTATTTTATGATACAACTTCACAAATCTTAGGTATTCCATCTCAATACATTCTTATTCTACTGACACAAAATATTAGGGAAGAGTAAAAGCCTTCGAATATTACCATTCTTAGTGGCTGCTGGGTTTTTCACTTACTACTGGACCATACCAAACCGTTTCTCTTTATTGCCGCCTGATCTTCCGCCCCCTCTTGCCTCTCTCACCATCTTCGTCATCTTGTCATCCTCTTCTCCTCTTTAAGATGTATCGTCCGACAACAGCCCCCTTTCCTTCAGATGAAGCAGGGAGAAGGTTGACGGTGGCCGAAGCCATCCACTTAAGCTACGAGGACGTTCCAAAACCCGACCCCAGTCACAATGATCTATGCCAGATGTGTGGAAGCCCAAAATCACCACGTTGGATGACGAGATTCTGCCCACCAGGGACATATGGGAGCTACGAGTGAGGCATGGCAGTTTTTTCATCATCTGGGGCTGAGTAGTCTGGAATTCCCTCTACCGGTGATTATACTAATGAACGAATAATGCTAGTAAGACCCGTGCTTCGTGGCAGTCAACATCATTTGCTACATTGACAGAAGCTGCAGAGCAATGCAGCTCTTCGCTGGTCTGTCGAGATATTGTACAAGGTTCTGGTTCGGAGGAAACCTGGTGATGTGCGTTTGGCTGATGATAACGCATGTTGGTCTATATACATTGGCACGGATTAGGTGGAGGAAGTCATGCTCGTGAGTTCGAGGATTCAAGTGATTGCCAAACCACCGCACCGACAAAGCGAGAAGACTCTTTCTCCTCCACTTTACTTACACAAAGCGCGCAACAATAGTCTCCCCGATAGCACAGGCCCAGTTTCCTCGCCGCGAAGATTCGCTTTATCTTCATCCACATGAACCATGTCATCTACCTATTCATCATGAAAAATTATATGCCTATTCATAAATAACTGCAAGAAGCCAAGTATGAAATTATCACGCTTGCATAACATATATCAGTTCATCTTGCTGTATGTGGCTCCGCATATTATGTTATTCTCTGTCGGCTGGATATTCACACACTAATATTGATGTCGTCACGGCTAATGGCTTCAGACAGACATGATCAATCTTTTTAGCTATAGGTTCGGACAAAGATTCACCGATGATTTATTTAGGAAATTGCTCAGCTCTGATAGGATCACTATCTAGCGTTTTCGGTAGATGTTAAACTTATTCGGTATCTTATCAAATAAGAGCACACGAGTCAAGCCACATTGCAGAAATCGACTCAAAATCAATCGAGTATCAGCTCCAGACCACAACCGGACAATCGCTGGAGAATGTCGTATCTGACAAGGGCCAATGCCAACAGCAATGGCTAGCACAATAATGGCCATTCACCAACCAACCCACGCAATAGGTTCGATACTGCTCGTCGTACGTCTCCCCCTCCAAGCCTCTTGATAATGCCGCGGTTGTCATGGCGATTAACTTGGCTTGCGCGAGGAATAGCGGTAAGCATCGGAGAAAAGTTCTCAAGCGTAGCGTTCATGTCAAGGCGTAGGCAGCGGAACTGGCGTTCCAGAGTAACGGCCGACTCCTTTGACGTAAAGCATGACTCCGTCAAACGAACAGGGAGCGTTTGGCTGAAGGTCGTGCGCAAAGTCTCCCCGATGAAGAACGGCCCTGGCCGAATCCTACGCAAGATTGGGTGCCTGGGTTCGCGTAACCAGGAACATGCAATCCAGCCACTACTTTCTTCCTGTCAACCTGGACATAGGCCAGGAATCGATATAAAACCTGCGTATATCTGACAGGAGGGGAAAAACAACATCACTCCCATTTGGTCAATTCTGGCATCCTGTGTACCTGTCATCCCTGGACATCCGTGCCGGTGATGTTCACATATTTTAGTGAGGCATATCATCAGAGCACTCCGAATATAGTATCCCCGGTGATACCAAAACCCGGGCCATCGGACGATGATCCCCGCGCTCTGCTCTTCTTCTACCTCCTGACAACCGCAACATCTTCGCCATTAAGATGCTCCCAGTAAACTCTTTCAAGTCAGCATAAAAACCTCACCAGGCTATAGCGATAAATCCTTCTCTAATATCCTCGGGGGAAATGGTTCAAATCCACACCCAGCCTCTCCTTCTGCGATCTTCAACACGGCAATGTATGTCTTTGACACAGCCGACGTCTGTGCATTGAAAGTAGTATGTTAGATGCTTTGATTAACCCCTTCGACAACGGAGTTTAGTATCTATCCTCAGAGGTCCATTTCCTCGGCCAAGCGCAGCCAACAATCTGTGCTTATCGGTGTGCGCTAGCATACTGACGTCTGGGTCGTCGTGCCCATGGCACTGTCTGTGAATAGACTTGGGCAGGTGATGTCCATAGTCTATCGCATGGAAAACCATATTTCATAAGCTATATCTGATGTTCTTGAGTAGAATGGCCTCTCAGCATGTGATGCGCTCCCTTGCTGCCCAGAAGGAGGATAACGGTTATTTCCGTTGACATGACGGTATGTTGAAAGCACGGATGCCGCGTGAGTTGGTACTATGATATAAGATCCCTTATAGAGGTAATGAACACAACTCTATCATCTATATCTTGCTGTGGATGACTGCGCTTGATTGTGTGTAGCTTATTGATATAGAACGGAGTTGGGGCGGTGTAATATAAGAGACAGTACTCTCGTCTTGATGCCGGCATTGCGAGACGTAGTATGTGCAGTCATAGATGGTTTTTGGCGCTTGATGCTTGTAATCATAACTCGGATGATCTTTTGATTGTGGAAACTGTAGAGATGCTATAAAAGCTATAATGATATATGGCTGAGAAAAGAGCAAGGCGTGGAAGCAGGCTTTTAGGGGCAGAGTTTGGATGCAGAGAGGATTGGGAGAGAGGGGGAGGATACGGTATTTATAAATGTGGGAGGTGCTGTACATTTCCTAGTACCATTGATAGGGCTCTCTGGTGAAAGGAGAATGGGAATGGCTTGAGCAGAAGTGAGGCTAGGGTTGCTCGAATAATTACAGGGAAGTACGGGCTTTATCCAGGGAGAAAGAGGAATGGCGTCTTGAATGAATGTGGTCGATGATCCGAGAGGGAATCGTTGCATGAAAATGGACTGGCTTCGTGAATGATATCGGAGAGCGATTTGGCGCATAACCCTAAATTGGACCCTTTCAAACCCAGGCTAGGTCGTCAATAGGAGCCGTTGTATTCTCTCGGTGGCCTATAGCTAGGTGTAGATTAATATAATACCATTCTTTGAATACCGTATTAGCCAGTAGAATAGAGAAACGCCTTCGCTCTGGGCTACACATCGTGATCCACACGTAGCTACTCCCTGAAACTCATCTGATAAAGGGATACTTCAGCTACAAGGTAACGTATTTACTTCACCTCCTGTTCCCGCGGACGGATTTGCTCAACAAGCGAGCCCAACCGGATCGAACCCCGGCGATAAATGTGCCTGAAGAAGACTTTCGTAGGTGGGATACAGCTGACAATAAAGACCACCCACATTTCGGTCCTATGAGCTGTTAATTCGCGATTTGGCATGTAGAGAAAGGGTACGCACTGGTTCCATACAATAACCGTGCCAAGTTGCTCTATGCTACGGTTAGCTGGTGTCGCTCATAGACGGACTGGACGCACCAGTGGGATCATTGATCCTTGTTAAGATTGTTAATTGAACTGTCTTCACAATCGCACAAGCACCTGCGCTATACTGAGTCAGTATAACCTTTTGGAGAGGTATACATGGCATACATTATACCACAACCCATCAGCGCGCAGAGACCGATACGAGTTAGAATGGAAAAAGCCTGTACCCGCGCAAGGATAGTCATCGGGTACAATGCCAGCAGGAAGTCACAAAAAGCGGACCAAGCTATCAGGTCAGATCGAGCCCATTAGTCAAGGTTCACGAGAACTTACGTCCTTGTATATAGCCAAAGATTTGGATCCGAGTCCGCCAAGGACAGCCCCCCTTTGCATATGCCTCCCAGAGTAACCTCCTCGGGGAGCATTGGAGCATCATCAGAATCGCGGCGATGCAGTTCACGATGAGATTGCTCCCCGCCAGGGACCACAAAAAGATCGACCGGGCTTTGGTATGATAGCCTTGAATTTGCTCGAGGAATGCGACCATGGTAAGCTTCCCTAAGCCGATTGCAACAAGGGCCAGCAGCTGATTAATCCAACCATAGAGCAGCGCCATCTTGCTGTCGTTGAAGCTGAGCAAGGTCTGGGGAAGGCCAAGGCCGTATGAGGCTCCCAGGGTGAGCATTACCATGCTTGCAGCTCCAAGGATCTGCGATTCTCGCATGAGTAGGTCTTCAAGAAAGTTAGGAGGAAACTCACAAATGTGGCAATGGCTAGATACACATCCGTTGCAATCTTGTGGACCAATCTCGAGGCAGCGAAGCATCTAGCAGCCATTAGAATGATGCCCAGGCCAAACTCGACCCAGGTAATGATAAAGAATGGCTGGCCATAGCCGTCCGGTTGATCACCGCTCATTGACTGTTAATTGGAATGTTCCTCCCACGGCACAGTCGTTGCATTCTGGTATCAGCATGAGCTGCTCGCAAGTCGCGGGTGGCCAATGTGGATAGCGATGGCATTGCTTGCGTACATCTGTTACTCAGTAGGACCGTCTGGAGTAGAAAGTACAGACTTGATGCTCAGCCCAGTGGACGAGTTGAGTTTGCTGAAGACGCCCAGAAAGTCAGTGGACGGATGGTCAGGTGACAGTCCACTACGTCAGCCCAGGCTTGAGAAAAGGATCTGAGATCACGAAACTCAATTTGAGCGACAGGAAACCTTGTTGATGATCACCTTGCCGACTGACCCGATGGCAATCCTGATACCCCATGGGTGATGGCCTCGTGCATCTAGGCGTACCCGTCGTCCAATGAATGTCCTGTCTCCAACTACCATACAAGTTACTAGCATGAGCGCATGCCCTCAGTGCCCACACATTCATATCTGCAACGCATGTTGGCTACCCGCATTGTAATACCTGATCTTATTGAAATCATCTCCATGTGGTATGTTGCTTGGCACTTCTACAAGATCCAAAACCGAGGACGAGCCTTTCAGTGAATGTCGCTTTTTCGTCTTCTGGTCTTCTGTTTCTGATCCACAGTGAGTCTCGAGCCCGCCCCTTGAGGTATCATGAAAGGGTTGGGCAGAGTTTGCTGGCCAAGGATGCTTAGGTCCAGACGAAGCTGTGGGGTGATGCTGCGTCCCTTATTTGAGTCACTGGGGCTTTTGGAACCTTTGGTGTCATCTTCCGGAGATTGTTTGGACAGCTTTCTCTTCTTCCCACGACCAGAATAGTGGCTGTCGCTGCTCGAGTTCGTACGTGTCATAGGCAGTTGCCTTGGTGTCGATGGGGCCTTTTTGCTCAGGCTCGATGGACCCTGGAGACTCTCCAAGCTCCCGCGATGGGAATGATAGCAGAAAAGCAAGCATATGCATATCGTAAAGTCGAGAATGGTCTTGAAAGAGACGCCATGTCCCTGCAAAAGAACAAGGAGCACCGGCACAAACAGTCTGCCGCCTATAATGCCCAGGAGGCATGTAGGCACTAGTGAGCGCTGTCCTAGAGTCCTCATATAAGTTTGGCAGGAGTACCCAGCTTTCTCGAGAATCGTTGGCTGTGTCCACCGTTTCCATCCTGCGCGCAGGCACGCTTGACAAGCAAAAGGCTTGGACTCTTGACGCGAACACCTGTTCCCATGGCAGTTGAAATATGTGAGCGCATTTCTATTCGTGGTGAACGTCTCCAGTCGTTCCACCCAGAAAGGTTTCAACCTATTCTTCTTGTCATACGGCTCGTAGTTAACGAACCAGCGCGACCAGCGCTCCAGAACCTCAGAGGCAGTTGCATTGGAGCCACGAAAGTATTCTCGATGTTTGGTACTGCAGGCACAATTGGGGTCATGTCTCAAGTTTTTGAGCTCACTGTGAGCAAGCCTTTCTAGTCGTTTATACTGCCAGATCGGCATCTTTGGCTCCGGAATCAGCTCCCAGCCGATATGCTTGCATTGGTTCTGAAGTTCTTTTTCGCGTACTTGTATCCGATCCGTAGAGCCGATTTTGAAATATTGACTCCCATCCTTACGGTCACGATAGACGTATGCGCATCCCATGTTCTCCTCTTTGTATTCTCTCGTCATTATGTTGCGAATTCCAAGGATAATATCCTCAGTCGTAAAAGGTGCATCGTCTTTCTTAAGGTCAAAATCCTGCTTTAGAGCGGTATCCTCAGGAAGGGATGCTGGTAGAGTTTCGCGAGCAGGCCCAATGTTAGAGTCTGCAACTTCGCAGGGTGGCAGTGATGGGGGCGGAGTGGCAGACAGTATTCGTTCCAAACAAACGACATTTTGATCTCCATTGGCAGCATTTCTCAAGTAGCGTTGTACTGTCATGTCACCCGACGAATTAGTGAGTCTATTCCCAGGTTGCGGAGACGAGGGTGCCCTTGTTATCGGTCTGAATTCGCGCCTTGCGATAGGCCTAGGAGAGGCCTTCGCATCTCTCGGATCGGCCACATCGTTAGGCGAAAGCGAGTCGACATCATGCCCACCATCGTCCAATGATGTGCACGGAGACGGTGAACTGGTTCGAGATGGTAAGGGTGTGAACATTTGAGAAGCCATAGATTTGTATCGGGGCGCGAACTTTAGACAACTTCAACATGGCCATTTCAAGCGGGGCTTGGTGGATTTGATATAGACAGCTACGACAGGGATCAGTAGGCTAATTTCGAATATCAGGCTCCCTCATGAGGTATGCGGAGTACGAAAGTGGTGTTCTCATGCGGCTGTGCTTCGGCCTATTTCTCACCTGCACCATTAGGACCACAAGGCTAGCCACTTCCCTCGTCCGGTGTTGCACGAACGGTGCGTGTGGCCTTGAGCATGCATTAATGGCGACGCTATGCAGTAGTTGAGACGTTGGTGGCATTAGCGCGGAGCCTGTTAATTGCTATTTTTAGATCATGGGCGCTTAAGCGGGGCTTATCTCTGGACGATAAGGCTAATACTAGTACTCTCAGTTAGTGCCTGTCGTGACAGTCGAAAACTGGTAATCGCATCGTTGGGTGTAATTTCACGTCAAATTGCATGAAGCTTTTGGACAAGAGATGCTCCATGTGGCACTTCCAGCCAACAGAGCTCGCGGATGCATAGTAAATGCCCATATGCTATTGAGTATGCGCGGAAGGTATTGGGTATAGATAGGCCAGGCTGAACGATCTCTTCGTGTCCTGTGACGCTAATGACTCGTTTGAAGCAACAATTGTGGCTGGGCAAGGATTCTAACCTATCAGTGCTTAGTCTAGACCATCGACGAGGCGCTAGTCCGGGTATCATCCCGCTATCTGTTAGCTGCCTGGGTCATGTGCAAGGCAGAAAAGGTGGAGGGGAGCAGCTGCAACTGCAGCCTGCATCGGAGATATCGGGGGCAATGTCGTGTTTCTGCCGAGTTTGCGCATAAGCCTCGCTGTAGATTAATGAGCCCACGTGGAACCATATAACAATGGATGATCGACAGAAGCTGAAATCTGAAGGCTGAAAGGAAGTTATAATTTTCGATCAGAAATGTTTGATCCAAGTAAACGGCATGGAATGAGACATTTAAATACAGATCGTCAATCGTGATAGCTATCCCTCTCGTTGACATCATCAGCCCAATCATATTCCAGTATGTGCTAGTCAATGCCATATGCGTCGTTAAATCTTTCAGCGTCCTCGGGGAACTTAGACGCTGCGGGAATGTATCTGTGTGACAAGGCCATTCTAGGAGTCAATCATGGGTTAGTAACGGTCATGGTAAAAGCGATATAGGTTGAGATATGGACATACCACATTACAGTGCAAATGCAGCAATCACATTCCTCATCACCGCAATCGCAGCCGAAGCAAGGCTTGGACACCGTCTTGATGGGTTTCTTGATGGAAGAGCCTGAGCTGGAGGATGGAAGGATAAAGTTGACAGGAGAGGAGATGGAGGATGCTGCCATGGCGAAATTCGGGATAAAAAAAGGTATGCTGCCTGCTTACTACGTGTTTAGAAAGAAATGAGCTAGTGCACTAGAATAAAAGAAATTGGTTGAACGATCAGGCACAAGGACGAGAACCAGAGATGGAGAAAGTCGAAGAAGAAGTAGACCAGCGGTCGGCAGGGGCCAACGACGTCACCGGCCACCTCAGATACCACTAGCCAGAATCGGTTAGTGTCAGGGTCTCGCGCAAACAATACAAACAATGCCATCCTCCATCCTCCATCCTCCATCCTCCATCCTCCATCCTCCATCCTCCATCCTCCATCCTCCATCCTCCATCCACTTCCACTTCTCTTGATAATTTGGATTACTATACACACTCTCACAGCTTCGCTGCTCGAAAGCCTCCATCGGAGTCGATGTCTCTAGGAAATACTGGGGATGCATTGACAAAGGCATCCCATCGGGAGGAAGAAATCATCGGGGCGGTGCAGTATGGCTCAATACCCAACCCATCCAAATGCTGGTCAAGCTGCGACATCACGGTGTCGCATGCTCGGCGCTCCATTTCAAACTGAGCTGCTCGACTGAGCTTCAGCTGCTCCACATACCAACTAGAGTCGCTCTTTACTGCCCCAGCTTCGTACAGTGCCAAAAGGTCCGAGTCGACCCTCCGGTCGATGGCTGCCTCGTATGCCATCCGTTGGCCAATAGCCAGAAGCATCGGACGACACCTGGGTAGGATATAGTGGTTGAACTCTGTACTCCGATGCCCTTTGATTCTTTCGAGGAGCCTCTTCAGCTCCGCAGTCAATCCAGCCTCGTGCCGTGCCAGAAGAGAGCCAGGCCTTTTGGCATCGGGGACCTTGTACCGGCCAAGGAGCAACTCGGTGGCAGCGCCTACGGAAGAATCAGCAGATATACAACTCATGCGAGGCATGTAGTATCTCACGGATCGAAAGAACCAAGGTTTCTCCCTCTGCCGTGGTAGAATCCCGACAGATGGACTGAATGGGATGTATTACTTGTGTGCACAGGCTACACATGGGAGGAAACCGGACATACCTCTATTTTCAAGAGATTATTGTCGGGGAACACCCCTCGGGCACCGCTTCTCTCGATCAATTGAAATAAACTGTCACGTCCATTCTGAAGAGCGACCACCTTGAAGATCACGCTGAGCGCATGTTTGGCCCCGGGGCCGATCGCAGAAGACTTATGGTACTCGATCGCCCAATCTGCAAACCGTTCCAACACTGCAGCCCCCGCCAAAGCATGGGCAATTGGGAGCTGTTGGGTTCGAAAGGTTAAAATTGGGACTCTTTCTCCGTGCAGTCCTGCCTGGACTGTGCGTTGCTGGCTGTACTTTCCCACGATAAAAGCAGCAGCCTTCAGAAAGGGTATTACCCACAGACTGATGATCAGTGCTCCGATGTTCAGGCGGTGAATCGAGGCGAGATACTGATCGCGCAGGTTGGTAGGTTTCGCCACGTCTCCTATCACGGCGGTGGGCGGGAGATGGACGTGATCGAAGGACGTAAGGTCGTGGTTGAGCGCCCTTCCAGACCCAGTGTCGGGAAGGCGCCTAACCGGATTAACTTTCAAGCCTGACGCGCCTGCTGTTGGACTTACCAAGCTTTGATCCCTTGATGCATTTGCCGCCCATTGTTAAGTGGAACTATAAACGCACGGATCCCTCGGTTCTCGCCGTCCACGAAGAGATGTGCGAAAACAAGCGCAATGCGTGGTAGTCCTGCCACGGGGGCAGACGGTGGCATGAACCTGTCACTTAGCCAATATTCTTGTGGGATAATGATGGTGTCATACTTTCTTGCGGCAGGGGTCGGGGTATCCAGGATGAAGCTGCCATCGGGCTGCCGAATGGCAATGGTTTCGATATTCCTCGCATCGCAACCGTGTCCGACTTCTGTGAGCATAAAACTGCCACTGCAAAGGACGTATCAGCGATGCCTTCATGTGACCGACAGGGAGCATACACCACATCAAAGTGCAAGATCTGTTTCATCAATGGCTCCAGGTCTGGGCGTTTGGGCAGATAGGAGGCAATGGTTCCTCCGATCAGATTAAAGTGTATGGTGAAGATGGTCTGGGCGACTGGGTCGCGGACAACAAGGCCATCTGTGTGGGCACGACGGTACTTTGGGGTCAAGTGAATAATGTCATCCACAGTCAGTCCTGGCTACGGTTAGCATGACGAGTACCCTGCGGCTGGAGAGTTACTCCAATATCTAGCCATGGCCCTGGCTCGGTGATATGATCGTTCCAGGTGCGCTTCCCGCGGACCATTCTCATAGCGGTGTTTGAAGAGATCGGAAGATAGAAGGTCGACTGTAGACTCCATGGTGATTGGACTAGAACATTCGGACAGAACTCTTAAATATGAGCATTTGAAAGGTGCTCCCACTCCCCGAAAGAGACGTGTCTGGCTTAAAAGGCTTCTATTGCACCATTACAAGCCGGTCAGTGTCTAGTCCGGAGCTTCCATCATATGGAGGTGGCCATGGATCCGAGCCAGCAGACATGGATGAGCTACCAAGGTCAAATTGGTTGAGACCTGCTTTAGAGTTTATCTATTCCAGACCTACAGCCTTCAAGCAAGGAAGCCTTCGCTTTGGCGAGCTTAGATCCAGGTAAGCTTTAAGCCAGGGTGGTCTAACCAAACTCTGCCGTCACAGCTAAACCTACCCGAACCCAGATACCCATAGTGACTTTACCAGAGATTAGGTCCGTGCAACAACTACTTCAGTCACATACTGGGATAGACGCACTACCCTTCAGGTTCTCACAAACCAAGCCTATAGTTTAATTTCAGCGCACAACATTGGACCAGTAGCTGATATTGACGCACTGGCCAAAGATTCCATGTCTATCAACGGTAGTAATCACAAGACCATATGCTGATAATCTTTACCCGAAGTGGCCCATCTAGAACAGCCACAGAGTCATTTGCTCGATGCCAGACTCAAACTAATGCCAATTGCGATCTAAACTACAAGAACGCCAAGAAAGTCCCTGCTTTCTTGTTAAGCTAACCTTGGATCTCAGAAACCATCTAGTTAGCAGGGTAACCTTCGTCCCTGTAACACTTATAGTCATGACCAAAACACATAGGAATGACTGATAATGGTGCTTATTGGTACCGGTGTGTGATTTAGCATCAAGGAGTCTCTTAGGATTATTGACTCAGCGTACCAGATTAGCAACAGGCATACAGAAAGAGTGATTATCAATTATGTTTTATCAATGGCACCTACCCAGCTGGACTCCCTTCTCTAAAGACATCGATGTCTTCACTAGAGGACCACATTAAGATAATATATTCACCTAAGACATGAATCTAATGACTAGCTGTGAAGATGCCTTCCTCCATGATAATTATTCTCAAGGTGAATCCCAATTCGACCAGCTCATCTGCATAAAACCCATCCAACCTGCCAGTCCCAAATCCGCAACCACCTACAAGATTCCTTATTACGACTCATACTAGAGGTTCTACTCGTTGACATACAAAGACGGACCATTACCCAGATGAGACTTTACCAATTAACAAGGTGTAAAACTACCTACATACCTGGTTATTAAAAAATCCGTTCAGATGGATATCTGTGTCGGTCTATCGGACGGGAGAAGTAAAATATCTCGTGATGAAATCGATCGTACCACACCACTGTGTACCATCGTGATGAACCTCCCCAGAAGGGGAAAGATTGAATCCCTCTAGTGGCAATCCTCGCATCCGTAGGAAACAAGATGGAAATCAAAGCATGGAGTCTTTGTAAGTATGTATGCAGTCCCGATACTCGCATCGGTTTCAATATAGCCCTGACCTAATCAACTAACACACGGCTAAAGACCCGTACCGTCAAAAAGAAAAGCATATTTCCACGCAAGTGACCCGCAGACAAAACTAATCTCTGCATCGCTACTAACTATCGGGATCAAACCGCCCCCCATAATCATAACCAAGATAATTGAAGTAAACGTCAACAAACAGGCTGCGGTCATGGCCACTAATGCATCATCCGCGAATGTCTCTGCCCTCTGACCAACAAGCCAGTCTCGACAAGAACCACCAACCTTAGCCATCCACCTGAGTGACAAACAAGCCATCCAGCGCGAGAGGTCTTCATCGAATCACGACAGACAACACTCAGCTCTACGCCTTAGGTTCCTTAAGCACCGTTTCAAGTGTATTGGTTCAATTGGGCATTGAAACAACGCTTGCGCGAGTTGGCCCTGCTCAGGACGGGTAAAAGCGGCGAGGACTGTACGCTTGTATGGAATTGCGGTGGTGGGATCGTGGGATCGAGATATGTTTGGTAGTGCGGGGTGTATCACTGCGAGCATTATAAGGTTCATGTTCAGATATGTAGTAGTGGCATGGATATGCTGCCGTTATAAAGGGTAGGCGTATATTGGTACTAGAGGCTGTGGTAACGAGCCACTTTCTCTTTTGGGGAGGGAAAAAAGAAAAGATCGAGTAGCAGGGAGAGCCGGAATCGATGCTGAGTCTGTTTAGAGGATTAGATCTCGAGATGATTTCGATGAGATTTGACCTGCTGATGGGATATAGAGTAGCCCTAGTAGCTAGCTGGCTTGACAGGTATCATCTCGAGTGGTGCGGAGACCAGGGTATCTTTCATGCTGCGACGACTCGGTCGAACAGCTATGTGGTAAATGCTATCGGGACATTCTGTAATGTACTTGAGTGGTGATTTGGATAAGTTGTGCTAGAAGAGTGCGGCATGGTCCATGCCATAGAGACTTATGTAACTGCCACTGTTACTTTAAGGAGATGGGTTAAGGAGAATCGACAGCTCCTGGAGCAATTACCAAGACGCCTTACCAGCAACCATCACCCTATCCACGACGACTATACCCCTAACAATCCCCAGACAAGGATATCATTTCTATCCTACCCCCAAACCAACCGTATACCAAATATTCACTTATCCTCAAACGGCCATACCCTCTCCCACGTCACCCGTTCCTCCGCCGTCCTCGCCTCCCGATCCAGAAATCTCTCTTTCGCGACTCGCAGTCTCCGAACAACCTCTTCATAATCACCCGGCGACACCGCACCAGTCCATCCGGGATATACACCGATCTCCTCCAGGACTTGTGCTTTTCGCTCAACGTCCCGTTGCCACTTCGCATATGCGTCGCGGTGCATCTCCAGCTCACGATCCGTATACTTTAGTGGACATGGTACCCGCGGATTCCCGCGCTCATCTTCCCCGACGATCTGCTTCCATACATCGTCTGTCGTCACCTCAGTAAGAAGGTTCTGCACGTGCGGTTCTCCATCGTCAAATATCGAACCGATCAAACTGGATAATTCACACTGTAGGGTATCCCGGTACTTGAACGCATGGATCAGGTCCCTGGCCTCTTTGAACACCTGTGTCTCATAGTAAAGCCAGAATGTTTGGGAAAGATAGAGTTCCTTGGTCGCTTTTCTCTCCTGGGGACTGAGCTCATCGATATTTTCTGGGAGACGGGGCTGAACAAATCGCTCTGGCTTTGGGCCGTCATACTCGATGAGGGATGGATGGTGGGCAATCAGATACATTGGGTAAATCGGAACAGCTTGCCAGTCGATGATACTAGTTATTTGGGTGGGATTGGCTTGGTCGACGAAGATGTTGTCCGTGTGGAGATCATTGTGCCAGAGTATGCCTGCGTTGAGGCCCTTTTCTTTGGGAAGGATGTATTGGTGGATCTTAAGATAGTCGTTCAGGACGGATAGTTTGGCTGTTTTCGTTGGGCGATAACCGCCAGGCCCGTTGAAAATACCCTGCTGGCTATCTCTATGGAAATGTGAGAACCGTTTCAGGCAAGCGATTTCCCGTTGAGCCAACGCATTCATGGTGCTTTTCGTACTAGTCCCTAGGATGTGTGACGGATGATTAGCTTGGCCATAACCCAGCCTGAGGGACGGACTGGCGTACAGGGGCCTCGGTGGACGTCGAGCTCGCCTCTTCGGTCATCGAACCACGCTCGTCCTGTTGTCGGTCCGATCGCGAAGGCATCGTCGACCTTAATGCTTTCCGATTCTGAGACGTCCTGGCGAAGATATAGTGAGCCGTGTGATGAGAACGTCGCCCGCGCGAGCGTAGAAGTGATGGTGCCAATCTGCTTCACGATGGCTAGCTTGTCCCGCGACTTGAGGCTTTCCCACACCCGACCCAGCTCAATCCCTGGGGCCTTCTCCATGACAATGTACTCTGCCCCTAACTTACTCTGGTCCACTCGGGAGCAGTACGTGAGGATTTCTGGAACAGGTAGTTGAAGGTTCTCTCTGGCCTACAGGGAGGTCAGTATAGCCCAACCATTCGGGAGTCTACGGTGTTCGCACATATTGCATAGTAGCCACTTCTGACGCCGTCGTATAATGGCTTGGTCCTGCGTTGGGGTTGGGGATCTTGATGACCAATTCTCGGCCATCGCGCATGGTGACAAGGAAGGCCTTGTTGAAATTTCCTTCGGGTAATTTGGAGATATGGACGCAGGCTGCGTTGTGTCCCGCAGCGTCTTCTACAACCCGAACCAGGGCGTGCAGATCAAACGACACGTACCGGCTCTGGAGCTGCTGAGCTTCATTCCAGATCCATCGCTGAGCCGAGTAGGTGAAGAGGTCCTCCGGATTACAGTCTAGGGCGCCAGTGAGCGTGCATTCGTCACCGCGTGGGGAGGGAGAATACCGTAGACGTTGGTTTCGGAGCTTGGTCCTTGGGTGCCCATTGTGGACAGTGGGCGACATAAATGTAATGTATTTTTGTATGAATAGAGCGCCTTCCAAGCCCATCTAACGCCCGTGTGTTTTCGAAACCCCAAAGACATTTCCGGGATGTGTTCTGTGTGGCAGGAGGAGGACGGATTGAATGCGAGAGGAGGGATCCCGGGGGTGGGCGAGGGAGCCAATGCCGGGGCACGTGATGAGTCTGCCTGGAAGAAGTATGTGACGGTCCAGGTGGATGCACAGCAGGAGGCAACTGAGGAGAACATGGACAAGCTTCAGGATCAGATTGAGGCTGAGCTCGACAACATTGATGATAGTCTTTGACTTCCAGTCCCGATGATCAGGAGACAGCTAGCAGGAAAGATGTCTTCTTGCGCTCAGGCTTCATTTGCATGTATGGCTACGACTTACCGTTGGCTCAATCGCTTGGTGTTCGTATGTGAATTGTATGTGTTTCTTATGGGGATAAGATTGTTGGTCTTATCATGTTGTCCAGATGTCCCTCTCTAGCAACTCTTACAGCCCACGGCTTCAGCACCAGGCCACTGGGAATGCCTCAATATTACGTAGGGATGTCTGCATAGCAAACCATGGTTCTAAGCGAGACTCTGACTCCCCGTCTCGACTATGGAATTTCCTACCATCCATCATTATCCCAGTTGTCCACCCCCCACAAAATCGAAGCATCCGCAGCTATATACTGTTTCGGAAGAACACGCACCTTTGACACCTGGTGCAAGGACAGAAACGATCACTCCCTATCCTCAAGATGGACCTTCTCGCCGAGCTCGAGAATCTGGCCATCATGACCGAGCACGAGAACGACGAAGAGAGCCTCAGAACAGGCCCGTCTCAATACCAACCCGCTCCAGCTCCCCTCGATCTCTCCGCTCGAGACCAAAAGTCAACCTTCCTCGTCAAGCTTGAAGGGCCGTTGAATAGCCCAACCCACATCCAATCCCTCTCCAACTCCCTCACCACCCCCATCCTCAAATCCGCTGAAGGCATCGACGCCACCGCCCCCGCCACCTTCTGCCTCATCACCGGCCGCATGAAACTCGCCCTTCTCTCCGCCCTGGCGGGGAGTACTTTCTCGCCGACTTTTATTCGCGTTAACTTGGCTGTGAAAGATCTCTCCGAGTATAGCCGTGCTCCTACGCTGGGATGTGATGTCGACCCTACGCTTCCGCAGCATCGAGCATCCCATGCGGAGGTGTTCTATCCGATGCAGGACCAGTACCCGGTGTGGTATTTCTTCTATGGCACTCTGGCCGTGTCGGACAACCTGGCTGCCCGACTGGGTCTCAGCGAGATACCGATGCTGAGAAAGGCCTGGGTCAGGGGAGGCGTGCTGAGGACGTGGGGAGGTGGAAAGTATAAGGCGTTAATCGATGGCTCGGCTAATACACGCGTCGATGGATGGGCGTATGAGGTAGCCTCGGCGGATGAGGAAGAGATGCTGAGGTACTATGAGACGGACTATTATGAGGTCGTCCGGTGCGATATCCATGTGCAGGACGTTGCGGGGATCGTGAAGGGACTGGTGTTCAGATTTGTCCGGGGATGTGGATGAAGCCTAGTCTTGGTCTGCGTCGACATCCAATCGCACTTGTATGTTCTGGTCATCGGTATTGTTCTTACCAGAAAGAACATGCCCCATTTTCCCACAAGGTCTGACGCTCCATACCATCGGGGCAATTGCAGCACATGCGAGCATGTCACTTCGAAAAGCGCACTGCGTCGGCTGGGACATGGCCACATTGGATCCTAGGGGATACGAAAAGCAAACGGTGCCCTGCAGGATTGCCCTTTCCGGAAAGGTTCCATACCTCTGGAATGGCCCGTAATCCGTTGCATGTGACTTGTCCCCGTGGCGAGGATAGAAGGGAGTCTGGTCCCTCCAGGAATCCCCGCCTGACTTCGGCGAGGTCTATGAGTCCGGAGATGCCGGTTACAGGATCATTCTGAAACTGGTGCGGTGGGGTATCGGAATGGGGAAGACAGAGACCAATAGAGCTGGAGAGGACATAGAACGGTAGCCACCGATACCAGTATGCGCCAAGGTCTACATTCAGGTATTTTGCGCAGAGTACTCGCACAAGGATGCAGCAAGCGGAAGAGAAGCACTGAAACATCTAGGGTATTCATCTAGGGCATAAATGAACAGCAATCGCAATTCAATTGAACTCATAACATATATACACCACTTTTGATCATAATTCATAGCAGTCCGCCATATCTATCGCTGTGGGTTCATCGCGCTGTGGCTCCCCAGGGGTATCTTCTAACGTCGTCCATCAGAGTCCTCGGTGAGAGACCCGGTCTATCCATTAAGTAGTATTTGGTCATCAAGCGGTCATCATCGTGCGCCGCGGCTTCACAGCTGCTCGGCCCACGGGGCAGCACCAGGCTGCATCTGGTTCAGCCACTTGACCAGCTCGATGAGCTCGGCGCGGCGCTCCTCCTCGAGCTGGTCCTCGTCGCTGAGAACAGCCTGGAAGATGGGCAGGAGCTGGGGAGTGAGCTCGCGGACAGTGGGGTCCTCCCACTTGTACAGCTGACAGATCATGTGGTACAAGGGGTCGTTCTCCTCAAAGTCGTTCTTCAAGGGAAGAATGGTGAGCAGCACGGGGAGGACATCCTTGATGGGAACATTCTCGCGGTGACGGAGGATCATGCGGCTAAGGCAGCCAGTGGCGTTGTCCTGGAGGCGGGACACGTTCATGTGCAGGCACTGCTCCAGGCGGGTAAGGATGGTGGGGAACTCCTTGACAATCAGATCCTTGGCGTCGGAGTGCTCAACGAGACGGCCGACGGCGTAGGCAGCGTTGGAGCGAGTCTGGGAGTCCTCGTCACCGAGGCGGTGCAGAAGCAACTTCATGAACGTAGGGGTGAACTGGGTGACAGCAGAGCCCATGCCGTTGATGCACTCAGCGAGAACACCGACAGCAGTGGCACGCTCAAGAGCCTCAGTGCTGCCGGCATAGCGCAGAACAGTCTTCTCAAAGACCTTCCACAGCTCAGCGAAGCTGGGGCCAAGGGCGGAAGCCATGCCGGAGACAACGTCCAGACCGGTGTCGACGACAACCCAGTCGAACTCGGAGGTCTCCTCGCCGGCCTCGAGAGTCTCCTCTTCGGGGCCGAACTCCAGCTGGCAAGGGTGCTTCTTGGTGATGATGTCGGTGATCATCTGGATCACGTTGTGCAGGGTAGTCTCGTTGGAGATCAAAGAGGGACCGCAGTAGCGAAGGTTCTCAGCCATGTTGCGGTTGATGTCGGCGACGGTAGCCCTAGTATTCATCGTTAGCTGCTGAAAGCACAACACAATCATGTGATGAAAATAATGTGAAGAGTATTATCAGAAGGTTGTGAGTAATCGCGTGTCACATCATCCACGACTTTGCGTGTCGGAGTGAGCTGGGTAAAACGTGGTGCTCATCATATAATGGCCCGTGGGCATGCAATAGTAGAGAAGGAAAAAAGGATACATACCGATCATCTTCTTCGGTCCACATCTTGACGGTAGCGGTCATGAGGATCTCACCGAACTTCTGAACCTCCTTGGCGGGCTGGACCTGGAGAGGCAGACCAGGCTGCCACTTGGCCATCTGGCCGCTCTCCTCAGCAATGGAGTACAGCATAGCGTAAGAGCGGTGCAGGGTGCTGATGGTGCTCTTGCGCACACCTTCGTAGGGGTGCTCGGCAAGGGGCAGAACCATCTCGATAGTCTTCTCAAAGTAAGGCAGATAGGCGGACTTGGTGTGAGTGACAAGATCACCAATGACCTCGACAGCAATCTCCTTCTCAAGAGACAGAGGAGTGGTGGCAGTGATATCATCCCATCCATCCTCATCATCAAGGTCGACATCCTCGATATCGCCATCCTCACCGACCGGCTCGTCGTCCTCATCGGCATCGGCAACGCGAACCTTCTTGCCACCGATGGTGACCTCCTGGCCAATGAGGTCCTTGGCAGCCTCACCAAGGGAGACATCAAGGTCGGTCTCGTCCTGCTCGATGCAAGCGAAAAGACCCTTGACAACACCATCGAGGAAGGGAGCGAAAAGCTCGACGTAGACCTTGGACATGGCACCCCAGAAGATGTAAGTGCTCTCCTTGAGACGGGAGTGTCCCAGGTGGAGAGCCTCCTCGGTGGCACGCATCAGGGGCTCAACGTAGGGCTGGTAGCGCTCAGGTCCGGCGGCAGCGGCCATCTCTCCCATGGCATCAGTGACACTGGCACGCAGATCGAGTTCCTCCTCGCTGTCCTTCACGGTAGCGAACTCCTGGAGGAGGTGCATCGAGTCGTCGAAGAAGGGAAGGAAAGAGTCGCCGGCAGAAGAGGCCAGGGAGCCAAGGGCACCAGCAGCCAAGCCCTTGATGCGGAAGTCGGGGTGCTTGAACAAGTTGTGGAGGATGGGAACCAACTCGCCCTGGTAGGGAGCAACATCCTTCTCGTCGAGGCCGTCGACAACAGCGTCGATAGCGCTGATACCAGCCTTCATGATGTCGACGGTAGGACCGTCCTCCTCACCCTTGTACTCCTGCATGGCACTGGCCAGGTTCTGGAAAAGCAGAGGCATGAGTCTCTTGTGCTCCTGGCTGAGATCCTCGGCAAGGTCATCGGCCAAGCGAGCCACGGCGTGCAAGGACGCCTGGCGAACCTTGGGCTCGGAGTCAGCAAGAAGCTGGAGCACCATGGGGAAGATTTCGTGCATCTGAGTGCTGATGAAGTCGGGGGCACCCTCGACACACATGCCGAGAGCCATGATACCAGCGCGACGGTAGTCAGGATTGGTGTTGTTGAAGTACTGTCCGAGAGACTGGAGCAGAGGCACAACAACCTGGCTGGGAGGCAGGCTCTGGGCCAGGATATCAAGCAGACCAAGGGCAGAGCGGGCAGGGGTAATGTCATCGTCGGCAGGAGAAGCATCGCCGAGCTCGGTGACAACCTGCAGCGCCGTGCGGGTAAGCTGCTCGCCAATGCGCATACCCTGGATCTTCAGCTTGCGGTACTGAACGCACTGCATGAGGAAGCTGATGGCCTGGGTACGAACATCCTCCTCCTGCTCGGTGTTGCCGGCCAGCTCATTCATGAAGATAACCAGGTCCTTGAGATGGACGGTCAACAGAGCGGGATCACAGCCGAGAAGAGTCTGGAAGACCTCAAAGCCCTGCATGATACCGTCATCCTGCTCGCGGGTGATGACGTCCTTAAGGACGGCCACCATGGAGGGGATAAGGTTCTGGAAAGCCTTGACGGGAGCCATGTTCTCCTCCGAATCAAGGTACATGGCCAGCTTACTCAAGGCCATGAGGGTGTTCATGCGAACTTCCTCGCTCTCGGGGTCGCTGATGGTCTTGCTAAACAGCTGGAACAGCTCCTCGAACTTCTCCTCGAATCCATCACCAAGGGTCTCCAGGATAGTGAGGAGGATGTAGATGCTGACGGCACGCTCCTCCTTGTTGCCGGTGCTGGCAGCCTGGAGCAGGAAGTTGGGCAGATCGGCCCACTCGCCATCGTTCAGATCAATCTTGGCAATCGCAGAGATGACACGAGCGACCGAGTGGCGGACGAGAGACGAGCTCTCGCCAACAGCAGCACGCAGCAACTGTTCACGGATCTGGGGCTTCTGGCTGGCTTGGACGGACACCCAGTGCTTGACCACCAACGTGCGACTCTCGACAGCGGCGAGCTGTCTCAGATTCGGGTCTTCATGGCCAGTGGCAATCTGGATGAGCAGAACGAGGGACTCGGGGTTCTTGTAGAACTCGCGCTGCAGGACGCCGGTCGCTTCCTTAACGTTACCCTGGGAGGCTAGTGCTGTTAGTTGACTGCTCTTTTCATTTCAGAAAATGTGGGGACTCACGATTCAGCACAATCTGCAGCTGCTGCAAAAACCGTTGTTGATCCATGATGGACTAAACAACTCCTCTTTCCTCAACAAAGTTTCGTGTAAACAGTGGGCACACCAGTTCCTCCTGTGAAGAAGGTCCTGGAACGAAATGAGCTGTCTGCGCAAAGACAGGCAGCTCAAAGGGTATCACAAAAACAAAAAGGTCACAAAGAAAGAGAGAAACAGAAAGGAAAGAGAGTGTTAAAAAGGAGGAAGAGGAGAAGAAGAGAAAGGAGGAGGAAGAAAAAAAAAAAAGATGGAGGGGAAGAAGAAGGGAAAAGAAAAAAAAAAATTATGCTCGGGTGGGCTGCTTTATGGAGATACCCATGTAGCCTGTTGGGGTTTAGTCGTATTTGGAAGTGCTCGGGACCTCCAATCAGGGGGCGGGTTCCCATGGCGGGATGAGGAATGGTATCGTCCGGGCGCCGTCCGGTAAGATTCCATACTGCTTTGGGTGGCTGCCCAACTGCGATCGGCCAACGTCTGTCGGTCAATATCCACCCTCGGTTCTTTAGACTTTTTCTCTAGTCGAAGCTTCAGAACTCACGGGTTCGGGGGCCTCGAACACGATGCTCGCGGCTGCCTACAGGAACGCTGGGCGCGGGATCACCTTGCCTTGCATAGTAAATTCGCTGTTAAGTTCCCGGCCGGAACAAAGTTGGCCCGCGTGTGACGGGTCACGCTTTTTACCAGGGCAGATACATGCGACGTCGCGTGATGGAATAACCAATAGTTCATTGACCTAACTCCTTTCCAACCATGGTAACTCCGGCCATCTTGTATAACATAGAATAAAATATAATCTGGTGTACAGCCTCACTTAACGGATCCTGTTATAGGTCGCATCCGTTGATAGTGGCGTGTGATCAACGCCCCATAAGACGTGATATCATTTCTTGCTGTATAAGACGGTGCGTTCCGGCGCAATGGACGTCTAGTATTCGTCAGAGTCGTAATAATCGTCGTCGCCCAGCAGGGAACGGTAGCCCCTGGATGCCAGGTTCTCTTCAAGGCCACCATCAGCCCCAGGGTCGGCATAGCCTGTTTGGATCAGCATTGATTTTCATAGATCACGTCAGACAGAGTGAGCTTACCCTCGCCGCCAAAGTAGCTGAGTGCCACCGGCAAGAAGATCAGAGCATGGGTGGCAGCAAACACAATCAAAGCCAACCACACTCGGAAGTAATAGATTTCGAAGATCTTGCTCCGAGTAAAGGCCAGCACGCATACTCCCAGCAGCTTCGTCACGGTAATGCCACTAAAGACACTGCCTCCGACATTTACCAAAGCCGTCCACGCCCGCGCGTCTTTGCCCCGAAACTTGGTCGGCACCCTCTCGAGGATAGCTCGGGATGGGAACATGAATGCACGAGCAATATGCGCGCAAAACTCGACCGCGATACCCACACAGATAATGAGGTTCACGAGGGAAACAGCATTGAGCGACACGCCGGCTACAGCCATGGCGCCCATGATATCGACCAAAATCATCACGACCGTCGTAGTGACCACCGCGCCAGTCGCCACAGACCCAAGGAGCGTGGATGTTAGAGCGAAGATGATCGCGACGGCAAAGCCCAGCAATGTCCCCGTCAGCTGGATGATAGAGACATACTGATCAAAAAATATGTAGGTTTTGGAATACGGAAATACATCGATTCCGTGCTCCTTGGAGATGCCATCGGCGATCCGGCGGGCCGAAATGTACGACTTGATGAAGTCATCTTGCGTCCTAAGAGGGGTGTGGGAGGTTCGGAAATGGCTGGCGTTGGTGATCGTACGTTTCGGGTCGATAACGAGCGCGTTGCTGTACGGCGCCTTGCCTCCCAGGGGGCAGGAAGCGTCCGTAGGGGATTCCAGCCACTTTTCGACGTAGTGGATGAACTCGTCTCCTTCTGGCATTCCGTACAACGAGATGTTCCAGGCAGGCGTCCGGTCCTCGAAGCAGATCTCATCATTTTCCTTGCAGCAGTCCTGCTGGGGGTTGAGCCAGTAGAAAAAGTCATCAATCCAGCTGGCGGTGGATCCCGCAATATAGGAGACGTTGGATCGTTTGGACTCTTGCTCGAGCACAAAGGGTAGAGAGAATTCCTCGCAGGTAGTAAAGCGTCCGCAAAGCTGTTGCTGGTGGTGCCGTTCAGTGACATTCACGTTCCGGGTCACAAAATAGACCGGGGGCCCAGTTCCGAAGTAGGCATTCAAGTCCTCAAAGTACTGAATGAGGTACGAGTCGCTCGGCACCGCGATGCGTTGGTCCAGCCCGAGCGCCACCTTTGGAATCAAAGCCAGGCCAGCTGTCAGAAGGCCCAGGAACGTAATCACCACTAGAACCTTGACCCGGCGTCCAAGAAGTGAAGATGCGTAGACCTTGCGAATAAATGCTTGCAAGGCGCTTTCTCCCTCCTGGTCGTCGAGAAGCTGATCGTCGGACATGCCGGAATGCGCTTTGCGGACCGTCAGGCACGGAATGCAATCCGCACGGAGGCTCTCCACACGCTTCTGGTTCAAAGCCAGAACAGAGATAAACATGGTAATCTGCAGAACACCGTTGATAAAGACCGCACCGGCAGCATAGACTGCAAAGTTCTTCACCGCAGGCATTCCGACAAAAACGCCCATGGCGAAAGCGATAGTCTCCGTGGTTGCGGAGAGGAAGATACTGGGGCCGATTCGGCCCACGGCACGAGCGATCCGCTCATCGATCTCTTCGTCTGGGTGGCTAACGTTGATTCGTTCGAACTCGTGGACAATCAGGAAGATGTTGTCGACACCCACGGCGAGAACCAGGAATGGGATGACTTCAGCAATGATCAGGGTGACCTTGATCCCTGCCGCAGAGAACAGCCCAACCGATGCGGAAACTGACATCAGAACAATGACAATGCCGACAATCCCCAGGGTAAACTTGGACTGGACGAGGGCATTGGCGGGATTGGTGAACAGAGACTTCCAGGTCACTGTCACCGAACCCAGTGCCAAGGATGCGTAGATGAACATGATGATGTAGCTAATGACAACGATCTTGGCATCGGTGTTGCTGGACTTGTTCAGCTCTTGCTCGACGCTGACTTCGGTGTTGAACGAGACCCGGAGTCCGCGCTCCTTGGCTTCCTCTTGTACCACTTCCAGGATGCGTTTGAGGCTGTCCTCCCAGTCAATGGCATTGGCTTCACCTTCGGTCCCTTGCTGGTGGTTGTCCACCACCCAGGTTGTAATCAGCGCTTGGGCATCCAGCACATCGCCCGAGTCTTCATAACCTCCAAGGATCATCTCCGGCCGCAAGGGTTGTCCGAAATCCGGGAGACAGCTCACGTCACCGGGCGAATCCGCGCAGTGCTTAAGGCGGGCTTCCCAGGTATCGGGGTCCAGATTGACCACTGATCCTCCGAAATAGCCCGTCAAAGACTGCACCACACAAGCTTCGCCGGTTGGTTTCGTGCAGATGTCGTCGAGGATCAGTTCTCTGTCCAGGGAAATCATCCGGTGCACCCGTGACTCCACGTCGAACCACCAACTTAGGGTATCATAGCTCAGAACGCGCCCGTCGCCGGACGAAGTATCGTTGACGAGGAAAGCTTGTTCTGCCCGGTAGAACGGTCCGAAATTGGCATCAAAGTAGGCCTTTTCTTGCGCCGCTGCTGAGGTCGGGCTCACCCAGAGGCGGACCGGGTCCGTCTCCACGGCAAAGCGAAACCATCCCAGACTCAAGAGAATGACCACAATAACGCTGGTCAGAATTGTGATGCCCGGGACGCGAGCACAGGCACCGCCGATGCGGTTGAACATTTTGTCGAGAAGGGTGTTCAACTTGTACACGCCATTGGGCTGCTCGATATAGCCCCCCGCGCGGACAATGTCACCTTCATCCTCATCGTCACTCGGGGATGGATCCTGCAATAACCTGACACGTTCCGGTTTACGGTAACGGCGTTCTCGGTAAGAGAAGTAGCTGGAGAAAGCTACCACGACCAGCAAGAAGACCGAGTAGATGAGGATCACAGAGAAGGACAGACATGGCAGAAGGCCCACATGACAGTATTCGTCTGTTTTGATGGCTGGTAGCTCAGGGCACACGTCGGGACAGTCCACGCAAGAACAGCGGAAGGCCTCATCGGCGTCGTTGCACGCCTTGGGCTTAATTGGCAGCGCCTTCATACCCTCAGGGTCCGGACCAGCAGGCTCCGTCTTGAAGTTGATCTGAAACGGGCTTCCCAGCAATTTCTTGTCTCCCAGGAACTTTAAGAACTGGGAGTAATTCTTGGCACCGCCACCGATGAAATCGATGGCCTTACCCCCGGAAGCACCATTCTTGACGTTCTTGCAGCTGTCATAGAACCCGCTCTGGAACTCTTCCGACCAGACGTTATCGATTTCGGTGACCAGTTGTTTTCCAGAGCTATTCTCGTCGATCTGCGTGACGTTGACGAACAAGGACTGATCTGGGGAGCAGGTGAAGGTGCAGAAGATGTTGAAGAAATTCGCTTTGCAGGCGGGACAGGACGCGATGATGCCCTCAGCGAGCTTCAGATTTCTGGAGAGGGCATCGATCTGAAGCAAGCATCCACCTGGTTAGAACGATGTCAAATGCAGAGTTATGATGGAGCTCACCTGCTCATCTTCACAGCACACCGGGCCTTCCTCCCATTTGCTGCCACAGAGGTCTACCAGCTTCTTCCTCACCGCTGTTTCGGGCTGCTTTGCCAGGCCATTGTCGGGACAGGGGAGCTCGCCACCGAAGAAGGACTTTTTGCCGCAATGCCCGCGAATGGCACAGCGGCCGGGCTCATGGATATCCGTGAAGCCCAAGCTCGGATCGTCTCGGGCCAGCGATGGAGGGAGAGCGCCAAGACTTGCGATAATGGGGATGAGGCGGAGTCCCCGCATGGTTGGGGGAGTAACCGGTCCGGATAAATGAATGGAGCTTCTGGTTACATTCAAAGAGGCGAAATCTCGGGGTAGCGGGCTGGATGGGATGAAAGGGTTGGAGATGGCGAGGAGAAGTAAATAGAGGAGGCGCAGTGTCGGCGACGAGCTTCCGGGATGACGATAAGCGCGATGTACGTAAGCGGCGATCACGGGTCGGGCGCTAACGTCAGGCACTCCCCCGCCTGCTCCAGGAACCGACGGTTACTCTGTCAGGGACATCCAGCTTCCCCAATGATTACCTCCATTGACAGGGAGGTTAATGGCTGACAGCTGACCGCTGACAGAGCTTGGTCCACATCATTAATACGGAGTACATGGTTGATCTCTGCGACGGAATCATGGAACTATTCCCGTCCGAATGCAGTCGTCGATATATTTCCAGGCGGAGATACTCCCGCACGCCATCAGGTGATGCACCCTCACCTGACCGATGGTCCGTCACACCCTTGAGTTGGTCTCGACGTGGCAGCGGAATGGCCTTTGCCGGCTTCGGCAAGGGATGATCGTTCGATTGGCAATGGCGAATGATACTCACTCGAAAGCTATTGTACCCCAACAGATAAGCGCATATGGTTGCCTAGCACACAGCATACCCACTGTCCATTGCTCATTCGAATGTAATCTGGACTCGGCTTCATTGACGCCTTGCCGTCGCCAGAATTGATACCTTGATCAATGCATTCAATATGGGCATACGAGACCATTTACCAAATGCTTGGTTAAGCCAACAAGTTCCTACAGCATGGTACACCGCCAGTCGATGGGAGAGCCCGTCTGGCTGGAGCTGTCATAATCAAGGCCAAACAAGAGCCGAAAGGCGCTTGGTGAATGACCTGTCGGTGATTGCTGAATCCTACTGTACGGATTGCGGGTAAGCGGATCTACTCCGTACTCCGTACAGCTAGCAGCTTTACCGTCCAGGATCTTTGCAGGGCGTAAACTCTTGTACAATGTCGATCCGTCATATTCTGACCCCATGCGTCATCAACTAAATATCACTAATTAGGTTTACTTTCGGGTGTGTGCTCCTACTTTCACTCTAGCGTCATCACAAACGGATGTTAACGTATCGCCAGATATACATTCGCCTCCGTGATATTCCTTTACTTTCTAGGCCATCGTAACACTTGCTAGACAAATCTGATACTATCAACTCATCCCTCTTATCAAACCCCAAACCATCAGTTACTTCTTCTGAACACGTCCACCAGCTCCCTATAACTGCCCTCCCGAATCTCACTCAACAAACTGGGCATCTCCACCACCCATCCAAGCTGTCTCCTCGCCTTCGCCCCCGAAGCCCTATTCCCCGTACTCGCAAAGGCCACCAAAAACGGGCCCCATCTCGCCGTAGCTTCCTCTCTCGCAACGCTCCGAACCGGGACGCCCGCCACCTCTCCAATCGCCTCCGCCAGCTGTCGATACGACGTATCCGTCCCAGCAACCCCATTAAACACCTCCCCCGCACCCGCCTTCTCCGCAGCAAGCAGATACAACTCAGCCGCATCATCCACATGCACCTGAGAGAAGCAGTGCTTCCCATCCCCAAGATACCCAGCCACCCCATATTTCACCGCCACCTTAATCCATCCCGACGCAAACCACACCCGATTCCTCCGTCCATAGACATACTGCGGCAACCGAATCACCGACACCCTGACCCCCTTCTCGGCCCACGCCAGCGCCTTTGTCTCTGCCTCCCGCCGCACCGTGAAATGCCCATCCGGAGCCACGGGCGACTCCTCGTCCGTCTCCTTCCCCTCTGGATCCGGCTGAATGAGCCCCGTCCCACTCGTCACCACCAGGGCTTTGCCCGTGCCCGCCAATGCTTCCGCCATTGCATCCACCGCCTTGATATCAATCGGGATGAGCTCCTTCAAAGGCTTAGTAAAGTCGTGAACGAACGCCAAGTGCAGCACGATATCCGCGTTGCGGGCCTCCGCGTTCAGAATGTCGTAGGTTTCGAGCGTTCCTCGAACGGGTACAGCCCCCAGGGAGGTGAGGAAGTCGTCGCCGGACGCGCTGCGAGAGAGCGCACGCACGAGATACCCTTTCTGGAGGGCTCGCTCGATAATAACCCGGCCGATGTAGCCTGTACCACCGGTGATGAAGATGGTCGACATTGTATTAATTGGCTTCTGACGTTGTTCGTAGTGGTTGACTGTATGCTCGACTGTATGCTCGACTGTAGAACTCAATTGGAATTATAATTGCTGGCTTCTCAACAAACCAGATCATAAAAAAGTGGGAGCATCTCCCCATATTTATACCCCCAACTCCAACTCCAATCCACCCCTACTCATACCACTACTTACCCCCACCTATAGTATAATACCCCATCATAACATCCAACCCAATTACTAATAACCCCCAAATCACCTAAGCAAAATATTTCTAGTTAAGCAAAGCACGTAAGCGAATCCTTTACTCCCTGGGTACTAGTAGCTCCCCTCTTGAGTCCCTCACTCACTACGGAGTACACAGACTGTACTGATGTAGCTGAGCTTACATACAACTAACCCTAAAGTTAGTCAGGACGTCCCGAATACCGTCGGCGATCGGAGGTTCCGATGGGCCGGGATTCGGGGTGAATCCTTCCTTTCTGGTGTGGGGTTGTGGATGGTTCTGGGTTTAGGTGCTTAGGTGCTTAAGCTAGACTAGTGCTACTGCTAAGCTGTGGGATATATGAAGGAATGGAGTATGGAGTATGGAGTATGGAATATGGAATATCCGGATGATGCCCCGGGAGGAAGGGGGGTGGAGGGTAGGTATGGGATGAGGTGAGATGAGATGATTGTCTGGTTGGGGTGGGTAAGTAATACCGTGACGTATGGTTAAGGTATCGTGTATGATTGATCTATTGTTGTGCTGGTGTTTGAGTACTTGATGTGATGTGCTCTTGTTATGCTGTTCTGTTTGGTTTGAATTGGTTTTAGGAGTGGATGTTGTTGCTTGGGATGTATACGACGTGGTCTTGTTGGAGATGGAATCGATTGATCGGATGATGGGGGCAGTCAAATGTTGTACATTTGATTTGGTATGGTGAGAGGGTAATCAACTAGTCAGAAGTGCACACAATACTAGAACAGGAACTTGATCGACAGGAAACAGGAAGCGCTTAAAAGCCTAGTAGATTCCATCGACTCATTCAGATGATTCAACAACTACATCCACGTGTATCACGCCGCTAGATTCGATTCCGTCGACAATCTTCACACACGCGAATATGACATCGCCGGCATTGGAGAATGTACTTTCGATGACGATCGTCGCAGATTTCGCACTGGAATCGGCGCCTGCCGGTACCAAAGATTCGCTCGAATTTCCCAGGGTGTTCGCATTCGTGGTTTCCTCGGAGATCTTCTTGCATCTGCTCAATCCGGAGCTGGCGAACTCGAGGCGCTAATGGCTCCACGGCTTCTCGATCTACAACTTCCTCTGCTCTCACCACCAGATGGTCCTCGGCCCATCGTTCACAGGTGCACGTCTTCCATCTCATTCCACAGAGATAGCAGAACTGGGCTCGGCATTTGCAGCTGTTGGCGTCGTTAGTTAGGGCTGTGATTATGTGCATGAGACACGTACGTGATATGATAGCATCCTATACCTAGAGCGACAATGGCTCTGCAGGAGAAGCAGCGCTGCCAACCCTCGTTAGCAGCAAGAGCCAGTGTGGCTTGAGTAGCTGTGTCCTCGGGACAGTCGTCGTAGTGAAAGGCATTTTTGCACATGGCGCAGGTGAAAGTGTTGCAATAGGGGCATTGCGCTCGCTCTCCATTGATATGGCTTGGAGGTATGAATTTCCCGCAGTTCAAATTGCTGCAGTATGTCCGGTCTGTCGTGGAGAATTCGAGTTCCGCGCACTTGAATTCATCAAGCTCAGTCTCAGACAAAGCTGTCTGAACGACGTCCAAGGAGATTGGCTGCCGACAGCAGCGTGGGGGGAAGAGAGACTGATCCTTGGTGGCTCTCAAGAAGAGATCCTTGAGACAGTCACTGCAGTAAGTGTGCTTACAGCTCAGACGGTGTATCTTGTGTGCATGGTAGCTGTCGTAGCAGACACAGCATTGAATCTTGCTCTGTGACTTTTCGATCGCCTTTTCTTGTCGCTGGGTATAGGTCATTGAGGGACCTGCGATGCACTCATCCTCGCTATCCGAGGGCTCGCGGACCCGGAAGTATTCTGTGCTGTCATTCACAGTCAGCTGCTCCAGCGAAGGATTTCCATGTAGTCTGATTGCCAGTTGTCGATCATTGTTCGCACCACTCTCCTCCTGGGTAAGCGCTGCAATCAGCTGGCCGTCTGAGTCCACCGCACGGGCGATGCTGGCCGCGAGCTTCTTGTCCAGCAAAAGGGTTATGTGCATTTTTATTTCCTCCAGGTATGCTTCGACAGCAAGTTCGTGGTCGGGAGGACTTCCATCTGCTCTGGATTTTCCTTTACGGCTCTCGTTATGATGGCGGATTTCTTCGATTTGCTGGCGCAGAGCATCGATCTCGTCGTCGAGGATCGATCGACATGAGATATCCATGCTGCCTCAGTCAGTAAGGCTGTGGTGATGACAGGTTAGGAGGTTAAGGAGTTACCTTGGTACTTGCTAACGATGAAAGATTATATAGATGGAATTGACGGATAACTTGGTGGGAGTATGATGTGTTGATGGTTCTTCATGCTAGCAGGCAAAGTGTGAAAGGAGGGGCGAGGCGACCGAGGGAAGAAGTGCCTATATCACCTGACGTGCACCGATGGAAAGCGTTTGATAATATTCAATGGCGTCTCCATGACGCCGGTTGACGAATGGGGGGAGGTGTCACCGAGGGCAGGGTGATAGATCCAGTATTCGAGGCATCACGTACACAGGAAAAAAGAGATTAATCATGTGCGGATTCCGACTAGGCCACAGAGAAAGTTGCAGAGACAGATGAAGGGGGATGGAGAGACCGGAGAAAGACGGAGAGTGAAGAGTAGAGACAGCCCCAATCACCTGACCGAGTGCGCTCGACATTTTTCAGGCAAGCGGCCCTGGAAAACTTGTAGGCAAGAACATAATATTTCATATTGGTATATGGAATAGAAAAGTGTGATCTAACTTTCTTCAGTAACACGAGTCTACAACCACAATTGGCCAATCAATTTCCATAGACCTGGTAGAAGACATCATGGCCCTCTCGCGCATTTGCCCCCAGTCTGATCAGCTCCTTCCGAAGGCTCCCAAACTCCGGTGACGCATACTTCCGATAAATACTGGTGATCACTTCTAGCGCCGTCGCGGACGGATCAAACCGAGTTTCCGGCAGCATGGCATCGGGATCAGCCCCGTGTTGCAAAAATAGCGACACGACTGCAGCCTGACGTCGAGTACCTTCCTCAGTCGTGTCATGAAACTGGATCCACTGACGACGTTCGGCCTCACGAAGCTTATCCAGTATGACCAGCCAAGGTGTGCGGTATTTCTTGTCGAGATCTCTGTATGTCTGGTTAGGATCAGCACCATTGGCGAGAAGGGTGCCGATAATTCTCGGACTGGACAGTGGGTATACGGTCCTCTGTCGACTGGCAAGAAACTCAATGCAGTGGCTGAGTAGCGGAATCCCTCCCACTGGAGCATCGAGTCTGTCCCTCTGGACCCGTTCGCGGACGAGAATGTCCAAGCCAAACTTGGCTGCGAGGGAGAGAAAGGGATTTTAGAACACTGCGTTCTTTCGCTTCTCGTACGAAGAAAAGAGATTCTTTGCCCAGTGGTCTTTCTCAATGGAATCGCGAAACGCCCAGTGTTGACAGAGGGAACGGTCAAATTCAGGGATCAGCACAAGCTGGGATCGCGCATCTTGAGATAGCCGGGCGTGGGTGAATGCCAAGGGTATGCTGGGCCACCACTCATCAATCTGTCGATGCGGCTCGAAGCCATCGAGGGGCCCCTTGAGTTGGAGAATATGCGATGTGAGAAGAGCGAGATGCGAATCGAAGGACGTTCCTATCATTGATCCCAAAATCCGGGACCAGATATGAGAAAGGGAAAGATAGTCCTTGACGGTTCGATGTACATATGAGACCTTGCTTTCTGCTAGTAGTCGCGCCGGTGTTAGTTTGGCCCGTGTTCGAATCCCTGATGGGCTTGGGGCATGCGTAATGACCAGGCCTGCGCAATCATTGGAGAAGCAGTCTTTGGTTCGTGCGCAGATGTGATTGATAACATCTGCCGTCGGTTCTTGGACTTTATCAGGAATATCGATCTGTCCCTCTACTTGACATGCAAGCGCCAACTCCCATAGCTGCATAGTGACAGCCTCTTCCTGCCCGGTGGCATGGCATGCTTCTTCCCTAGCATGCAGGAGCTGAAACAGTTTGGAAATCAAACATGTCCGATCCTTCGCCGGTTGTTCAAAGATAAAGTATGTGAAGAGCCCATCTATGTCAGCCGGGTGTTGAAGCAGGAATTCGTGTATTGTTGAGACCTCTCGATAGTCCTGACGGCGCAGCAGCGACTGCACCACCAAGGTCACCCAAAGGAACACTCCGTCAGCCCTTGCGACAACTTCATCGATAAGCCGCGATACTCCATCTGGATCTTTGACAAGCAGAACCTGGGTTATGGAGTCCCCATGTAGATGATCCCGAGCATATTCAAGCATATCCTGGCGGGTGAGGTCGTGAAGCTCGAGTCCGGGGTTATTGATAAAGGCTGCCTGAAAGATCGATAGCTGTCGGCTAGATAAACAGAACTTCACATGAGAAAATAGGGAAGCCGTAGTTTTAAAGAAGGAAACGATGTCCTTGTGATTCCCCGCACACTCATCTAGCCCGTCGATGAAGAGACAGATTTTCGCTTGGCCCACGGTATGCTGCATAAAGCTTTTGAGAGCATCCTTGAGCTCTTGCAGCTCCCATGAGACGGAGGCTTTGATCCGTTCTCGCGTGCTGAGAGACTGGTAGTGCTTCCACTTTGCTGAAAACACAATGGGAACGAGATACTTCTCCTGGTCCAGCAATTGAAATAAGAGATGACGCATGAGGCCCGTCTGCGACCTTTGCTCCAAGGTGCCACTGATCCAGAAGTAAAATCCGGCTGTGATGAGCGGCTCATTCCCTGCCCATCGGTGAAGGAGATCTAAAGTGGTGGGGTGGTGCCGTAGAAAGCGTACCAGCGTCGATTTGCCTGATCCTGGCTTCCCACTAATCCAAAAGATGCCGCTATCGTGGGCATTCGACAACCAAGTAGTGAGTGATTCCTCCACGTGCGACTTCTCATGCCCGGGCTCTTTACTGGTAAATATCCAGTCAAAAGTGGCCCCATGGGCAACGGTTACACTGTCTTCTCTGTCAGTCATTGATGAGAATTTTAGACTCTCAAGCAGAAAATCACGGATGATCATTTCCTGGTCGGTGAACTCCGTATTCTTATTGTATAATTGTGAATCTGGACCCGTCCTACTTTTCCCTCCAGCCGGCGTCTTTCCAAAAAGGGACACCGCACTGTTCCCTGATGGCAGCTTACTCTTCGGTGTTGCTATTGCTTTCCGTTGAGTATCGAATTCACGTTCATCCAGGGAATTCGCAGCAGCAGCGGAGTCCAGAGATTCCCGAGTTCCAGTGTGTTGACTGATTTCCAGCTATTGTCAGCCGGTTATGAAAATATCATCCAAAATGATACTATGGTTAACATGTATACCTCGACCGGATCCCTAACCCGAGCTCTGACTTGAAGATGCCCAGTCGTTCCTCCAAAATCTCTACATCCTCTCGCGGCCAGAGTTGTTTGAAAGTCCGTATTTCCTGTGGGAATCGCGAACTGAACGTCTGTATCAGGTTCAGGCGCGATAGGATGGTACGGGCGACGATTGCGCAGGCAGAGCGAGTGTTGTCCAGAGTCTGCTCTTGCTCACAAAGTGGCCCTATTTCCCGACCAGGAAATGGTTCCGACAGTTGTCGTTCTAGGAATGCAAACTGCGCCGAGGTTTGGTTTGCACCCCAGTCCGGCGAAGGCTGATCATCGTCGTGTTCATGGAGTTCGTACAATTGCCCGACGAGTTGAATCCCGGCACGAAGGAAGTCGGCGACCTGAGCCGCGGCCAGCTTCTTAGGTTGGCCTGTCATTTGAATGGTGGTCCTAGCTGCCACGGATCATATGCCGTCTAATCAAAGTTGAAGAGGTATAGTGAACGATAAAATAAGTGGCAGTTGTGCAAAATTACCACCTGTCAGCAGCCTGGCGGGGGCCAATCAACCTATAAATAGGTGGCTGCTTATCATTAATATCACTCGTGGCAGCAATAGCGACGGCATAGATCTAGACCCTGAGCAGAGATGATAAGCAGGCAGAAGGACGGCTTCTGTAGCCGGTGCCTGTTGAGAGATAACCTGGCAACAAAACTCCATTGGAGCAAACTGGGTTCTTCATTGGGTCAATTGCTGCAGGATTCGGGTGGTTAATTCGAATTGTTGGGTTCGGTCGGAGGTGACTCACTGCTTATTTGCACGCGGAAATCAGCGCTCATATATCTCCGCTGACCGAGTTTGCGGTATATAGCAGCTAGGTCGGTCTGCAGCAATTTTTGTGGCTTGTTGAATGCCACTTTAAGACTCCTTCTCCCCAGGATTTGACTCATTCCCCTGTGGACTAAAACCGAGGGCAACGCTCCCTTGCCATATTGATTCACATCGCGCCATGCCATCTCATACGGCAACAACGCTCCATTCGAGCCCCCTTTCGCTCAACGTAGAATAATACTCGAGACCTCACGACTTGTGCCAGGTGTCAGGCATCATGTCGAGTCTTCTCAAATGCATTTCTGGCAACGTGTTTCCGGGATGTATGGGCACCTCAACCCAAGGTCCTCCCCGATCAGATTGCTGCAAATCGTCAGTTATTCAATCCACAATAACCAACCCAAGCATGTCGTTATACCAAGACCTACCAAGACCTGGGGTTGACAAGGACCCACAGGCCCAGTCTCCACATCTTGTCCTCGGTAGTCGGGATAGCCTCAACACCACGGGGTTTCACCTGCGCTGGTAGACAAAAAAGGAACTCGAGTGATGTGCTAAGAGCTGTCTCCATAAAGCAAGCAGTATAGTCGAGCATCGGGGAGTCGTATCCCATAGATCGTGTCCCGATCATTCTAGAGTCATCCTGCCCGCCTGTGAGTGAGATCGGATAACCACCACCACCATTCCACAGCCTGTCTGCCTCACTTTCCTAATAAATTCCAACTCACAGTCAGAAACCCAATATCTGCACGATCAAAGAACCAAAACCAACCAATTTAGATAATCCAGCCCACAAACCCGTCATCGTCATCGTTCCCAGTTCCATCACGATGAACCCATCGGAAGACCAGCTCACTATCGGAAGCGCCCTCCCCAACCCCACATCCGAAGGCTTCCCCCTATCCAAACAGCCCAAACCATCAAAACCACTCAAACAGAGCAAACAGGTTTGCAGTCCGGCCCTGATTGGAGGATAGTTACCTTGGCCGACCGCAGCGTGCATGGGGTTGCGGGGGACCAATCAGATTGCAGTACTTCGGGCATGGAATTTTTGTCCTGTTTGTGTCGTGTTACTTCTTGGGCGTGTTTGGGGGTGGTGAAGGGATACAGTTTTGTGTCTGGTTTTCGCTTCTGATTCTTTTGTAATGGATTTTTGGTTCGATTTTGTATGGTAATTTTATCTTGGAAGTTGGTTGAGTGAAAGTGGTGATAAGGTTCGCCATGACGCAATTCCATGATCTCGCGATACTGCCGTATACTCCGATTGAGAGTCTGGTGAATCCGGTGTCGTATGTCTGGGAGTGGGTGGTAGAGTTGTCGTGGTCGATATCGGAGCGTAGTCTCTCTGAAGGAAACGGGATCGGTTGGTTTGATGGAATATGATGCTTGATGGTATGTACTTGATCTGCTTTCGGGATGATACTGCATCGGATGGTATTGACACTTCATTGTTGAATCAGATGTCGTGATGTGAGACGAATGGTGCTGTATTCTCTGGGTTCCTGGTACGATCGTGAGGTGGGAGTAGGTTGATAGAATTGAGTGGTGTGTTTGTTTGGAGGCTTCGTTGCATAGTACGGTATGATGGGGTCGCTTTCATACCAGGTAGCTACGGTGAAGTTGGAGAGAGGGATGGGGTGATTCCAGTGAGCTGCGACAAGCTATGATGAATGTATCCATTGACACAAGACTGAAGCAATTCGAATATGAACAAACCAATAATTTCAAGATAGCTTCGCTAGTTCCGTAATCTATTCAACAAAAGCACAAAGCGGAATAGCAATCGCTAATCAACCCAATCATCTATACACGGCTGCAGATGTATCTATAAGGAGGCCTTCTCCGCATGAAGCCTCTGCTCCAGTTGCTTCCGTGCGTCGTCGCACATCTGACCGATATCCACATTGGCGATGATCCCATTCCGGTGGTTAATCGCCGCTTCAATCTTCTGAAAGTCGCCGCCCACGCCATCCGCACGCCACTCGTAGCAGTCGCCGATAAACCGACTGCTCTGCACCAACCACTGCGTGCGCTCGCGGCGATTCTCGTCAAACGCTGCCAGGGCGGCCTTGAGGTCCTTGTGCGTCTGCACCCACTCGTCTTCCAGCAGAGCAGCCAGGACGGCGGTATCCTCGATACAGAACCCAGCGCCGGCCCCGTGGTGCGGCGAGGTGGCGTGCGCGGCGTCCCCGGAGATAGCCACCCGGCCCTTGTGGAAGGTCGGCACAGGGTTTTCACCCAGGTCGAAAATAGCCCACTGCGATAGAGTTAGAGTTAAGTTCGAGGAAACTTCAAAACTTCAGGGGACGAAAACCTACCACGCTGAGTTCGGGATCGGTCAACTTCAACAGATTGATCACGTTGGAGCCGTAGCCGGCAAAGTCGCGCAGGACCTCGTCGCGGGTGCCCTGGCGCGTCAATCGGGGGTACTCGGCCCATTCGTCGGGGCTGGTGTGGAAGGCGACGATGTTGAGCGTTTTGCCCCTGTTGACGGGGAAGGTCAGCATGTGGCCGCTGGGACCCATCTAGAGTCGTTAGTGCTGCTAGTTTGGCTGCATTAAGCTTAAAGAGGATGCTTACATGCATACAGGCGTTAGAAGCCAATTCCTCCCCGATCGCGTCGACCGCCTTATCCATGGGCACCAGTCCCCGATAGGCGTACTTGTGGGTGTAGGACGGCTTCGCAGAGGGATGGTCGGCGCCCACGATAAGCTGGCGCACCCGCGACTTGATTCCATCGCAGCCGATCACCACGTCGGCTTCCTCCTCGGATCCATCGGCAAACTTCAGGATCAACTTGCCATCGCTAATGCGCTCGTGGATGTCCTCTAGTCGCCGGTTGAAGCGAGAAATCTCCTTGGGCACCAGCTTGATCAACTCGTCGAGGAAATGCGCGCGGTGAACGCCGTTCTGTCCCACGCTGTTGGAGATGGTGAACTCGATGTCCTGGCGACCGTTGTTCGCCGGGTTGGGCCCCTTGTTGTACCCGTCCAGATAGTCGAACCACACCTTTTGCTTCGTGGGCCAGAGGTTTCGGGTGCAGACCTTTTCGAACGCGTTGTAGATGCCCTCGTGACAGAAGTTCATGGCTTGGACGGCATTGGGGCCGAAGGCGACCCCCGCGCCGACTTCGGCGAACTCGTGGGCTTGCTCGTAGATGGTGACGGAGATGTTGCGGTGGTACAGGGCGATGGCTAGAGTGACGCCGGCGATACCACCCCCGACGATGGCCACATGGAAGTTCTTCTTGGGCGCAGTCATTGTGGTGATCGGAGTGTGGGTGGTGGTAGAGCTAAGATTGAGTTGTGATTGAGATGCTATCGACTTGCGCGGTCAGCTCTTATGTATCTACCAGGCACAGTGCATCCCCTCACCGGCGATGTCATGTAGCGTGACGTGGAGTCGGATGCTGGCAATCACGTCGGTTCCAGGGTAAAGTGCCCTCCAGCCATCGGATGCCGTTGGTGCTGATCCCCGTGGGGCATCGGACCCGGATATACGGCACCACCGCTGGGGTAGCCGATGGTCAGCATGATGCTATCATGCTATACAGGCTGAAAGCAGCCTGGTGAAGCCTGGAGGAAGCGGAAACAAGCTCCTTAGTGATCGGGCTAGCTTGTAGCTCGTGTGGAGGATCACCATCCGTGATGGTCCGTTGTCTCCTGTCGGGCTATGGTAGTGACATCACCACATCCGACGGTGTTGCGGAGCGCCATTCAACACAACCCCTATACAAGAAGTCTTGCGATAAGACTCCCATCCCGTTGCATACGTTCGGATGCAGGGATGAGGCGGGCGATCCGACATCACCTTCAGGGTTTGAGATCTCTGCCATGGCTCGACATCCCTTCGTCGGATAAAGGGGTGGACAACCAGACTCCGTTCTCTCAGAAGTGGTCGGCATCTCGACTTGAAGTCTTTAGGGTCCCTCGGGTATCACGTCGAAGCTACGGGGATTGATACCTTCACGGAGTATATAGGCTGCGGTGCAACGCAGGTTCATGTACTCCATTCTGCCGCCAGCCGTTGACCGATCGGGAGGTACAGACTGAGTAAGTAGGGAAGAGAAATGTTGGATCCCAGATCCTTGCCGATCCCATCTCGATCGCGCCGGCCATTCCATGGAACAGTATCCTCTATCAACTTGACTATTGAAACTGGGAAGGGGAATTCAGCACTGAAATTGAGGGGTTGTTCTCCTTCTCCCAGGACTCTCCCAAACTCGCCCAACGGTACAACCAACCTCCGGTCATTGTTACCGTACCGGTACCCGGATGAAAGATTGAAGAATACAGACCAGCCGAGTGGGGGACTCGTCCGAATCGGTCGAGACATTCACCAACAGGCGGCCTCTGATTGGGTACCGTGCATCATCCCCTGCCGGAAACTGAGCCAATCATAATGCTTTGCGCACTGCATCGTGCCCGGAAAGGCAAGTGACCAGCTGCCCGCAGAAAGTGCCATTTGGACGTGCAATTTTCGGCGGCCACCAATGCAGGCGGCTCCCCAGACACGGCCGCCTGGAATCTTTGCTGTTGGGACGATGCATGGTCCCCTGCGAGGAGTGCTCGCGGCCTGCATGAACATCGTGTGGTATTGGCTAGGCAGATGCAAGGGATTCAAGAACAAAGCCTGTCAATGCGATTGTCAGCTCCTCCATCTTCTACAGTACGAGTAGTATCAGGTCCCGCTCGGCCACCGGGAGTCAGCCAGCATACGGAGCACCCAAGTACATCAGACTTCAGAGTACTGTGTACCTGTACCATGTAAGACTGACTCAAGCTGGTCCACGGCATGCTGCGACTGGTGGGCAATTGAGGTCGTTTTTCCAAGAATAGAATTTTCTCCGCACCCAAGTGAAACTTTTGACCAGCTCTGTCGGTGAGGATTTCGGACCAGACCAATGGACACCATGTGGATTAGGCCACGGTTGGCCAGCAGGAATTATTCTTTGCATATGGACTCGAAATCCATGGATATGGGTGAACATTCCTGGGCGAGTGTAGCGGAGTGCACACATTAAACAACCATATCGGCTGAAGTCCGTAACCGAAGCTAAACCGCCCCTCTTGTCCCCAAGCTAGAACCGCTTAGCCGCGTGTGCAATGCATAGATAGACTTTCTGGCCGGACAAAGTACTGGCTAGTGGCTACTGACTGGAGGGTCAACGGACAAAGACAGCACGGGCAACGGGTCAAAAATTAAACAAGGCCTACTCAACTAAGCCCGGGAATTCACGGCACCCTGTTTCGCTTAAGACAGGACTTGGGCATCAACCCCTCCACTCCGGCGGACAGCGATAGTGTGATTCCGAGGCACCTCCTCTCGGCCGTTGTGCTGGTCAAGATCACCTGTTGACGAGTTGCCCCTTTTCCTGGGGAATAGGAATCTTCCGTGTCGCCTTACTGAAAATCGCAGGAATGGTCCAGACACTCCGCCATGGGCCAACAAATTGCCCCAGCCTCCCATGGAATCGGCGGTGGCCACTTGTTTCGAGAAGGCGAAAATTTCCTCGCGCGCATCGTTTGCTAAGGTACACCCGTTTCGAGAGCCCCACCCAGACGGGAATAAGGAACTGGAGTGGCGTCGCGCTAAACCAATCTTGCCACTAGCGCCGTCTCTAGGCCACGCCCAGGGAAAGCTCCAGCTAAGAGCTCGGCGCTGCGTTGCATGGAAGCTCAACCCGGAGCTGGGGAGAGCTGGAGGAGGAACTGGGAAGGAAGAGGGGTATGTTGCACATGGCCGTCCGTTCGCTGGCTGGCCAGACACCACGCGATCGGGATTCCTGAACTGCCTAAACGGACTACGAGCAATGTGACCTTCCGATCTGCCATGGCCATAAGGCCCCCTCCCATTCATCCGTCGCCAAAGCTGATTATGCTGCAGCTGTCGCAACCCCAAGAATGGAGGGGTTCCACCGGCATTCCCGAAGTGCTGGTCAGGACGTGTGACCGTACCGTATGTATGGTATTATTCCAGCTGCAACTGCATCGGCCACCAATATCATCCGGAAGTTCGGTCGAAGTTTACCTTTTTAATCGAAGTCAAGGGTCTTTACGGAGTACATAGAGTACATCGTAGAAGTCATGGCGAGGATTTATACTCCGTACCTCACGGAGGTCTCCGTCGTCGCAGCTACTAAGTTAGAAAGTTGCCTTCCCCCCCCCTCCTTGATTGCGGTACGGTATTGTCATCTCGACCCGATACTGCTTGAGTCTAAGCGTCACCGACTTATCGGCAATTAGATTCCCTGCACATTCAGAGCTGCTCGAGTGATCCAGATATCCTGATGAGAACAATAAGACTGACTTCCTAGAATCTAATTCCAAGGGTATGCCACTAAACAAGTAATATCTGCGAGGAGCGAACCCGAATTCATGCTTTGTGCGGATATCGCGCTGTCCCACATTACAGTTATCGATAGGCGCAATCGGCATCAGATAGTACTAGCTCTATACACGGTACGAAATGGTAATACCAGCAAGCACATGCTGTATCACCCAGGATGATAATGCCTCATAGGGATTGATGGCAAACCCTCTGCTGCTTGACTAAGTACTACCGTAGCACGATGTCGTAGCTACTTGCTAGTTCTGAGCTATCTCCAGCTATCTTGTTAGTTGCTACGGAGTACCACGCCCATGATCGAACAGCTCCCGGAGGTCCGTTATCTTCCCCGTGACTCTTGCTCTCACCCGCCGTACGGGGCTGGAGTATGCTTATCGTGTCACCGGATCGAGTGCCGTGATACTCTGATCCCAGCCTCGAGGGTACAGCTCATCCTGCCGATGCACAAGGGCGTCTTCTGCATTATTCACTAATCCTGGACCTCCGACCTCTACAAGCCACGCGGTCGGGGTGACTCGGATTGATCTTCCCACTTTTGACTTTTCTGTATTGTATGTAATGTTAGAGGTAATTCATTTCATACGTGTACGGAGTACAGTATGTACAGCTCGGTTCCCACCCTCCTTTTCTTCCCCTCCAGGCATCGCCGCCTTTCCCTTTTTCCATTTTCTTTTTTTTTTTTTTTTTTACGGAGTAACGCTTTTCTTTTTGGACTCTTGCTCTTTTTGCCTAGTGGATTGCCATCCCCCAATCCGCAGGCTGTCAATTTTCTTTTTTTTCGAGCCGACTAGCCCAAGGCAGCCTAGGCTGGGTGGCCGAGACCTGGACTGGGCCTAGCTGCTTGACCCCCTCCCCCTTCTTGGACCTGACCGAGTCCTCGACGGTGCTTTAGTTTCCTGCCATTACGCCGGACGTGCTGGACGACGACTACAGTAACCACTATTATTACGACCTCCGAGGCGTAGCTCAGCAGTAGGGCGAATTCATTCGATATTACTCATACACTCTATTACTTGCCGTCTAGCTCGACCACGGATTCATTCCCTCCCCGATCTTTTCTTCCTCATCGTTCGCCTCTCAGCTTCTCCTTTACATACTCGTTGCTTGCTTTCTGGATCCTTTTCCTGCGCCTGACAGTAGAGCATGCGTTGGAGGTCCGGTCGTGCAAATTGAATTGATCTCGATCTAGTGCTGCCTGTGCCTGTGCTTGTGCTTGTGCTGCTTGTGCTGGTTTCTGGCTTGACCCTCCCACCGACCCCGCCGCCAGGACGGATCCATGCAGACCATGCCGCCGCGAGCCTCGCTGACCAGCTCCTTCTCTGTCACCGACGTCAACAATGAGGTGGTGTGTCCCTTGAAGAATAATGATGGCTCCAATTGTCGGAAACGATGCCTGGGCGTGAGTGCTCGCTCTTCTTCCCTTCCAGCTCCCATCTCAGTCCTTATCGATCGGGAGCCCCACTTTCATGCAATGGTCAGCAAGCAGCCTGCGCTGCCTGACAATTGGCCGGAGCACTGTTGAGATATATCGGTCGCTGTCCATCCGATGCCTGCTCTAGTGCCTGCTCTAACAGGTTTCTGCCCTTAGGAGAAGCGATATCGCTCCATGCAGGAGCACATCCGGCGAGCCCACCCCAATCACTACATCCCGAAGCTCCCGGCGACCGAGGAAAGCTTCATTTTGATGGTCACCACGCCTCCCGACCAGCGGGCCCATCTGTCTCCTCCCAATAATCAGGCCCCTTCGCGGCGCCGTAATGGTCGGTACTTCACTGCCTGTGTGTGGCTATAGACTGACGGTTTAGTCGCCGACCGGGACATCTACGTCGCGGATGCCAGCTCTCCGGCGACCCCGCGGGGCATGGACGAGACTCACCCCGCCGCCGCCACCGCCGCCGTCGCATTGGCGCAATTACATCACAACCGTCTCGCATCCGACTGGGATACCGACATGGTATGTATACTTGGGAAGAAGGAATTAGCTGCGAATTAGCTAACGGTGCGCAGGAAACACACTCGGATAATGATCAGGATCGCCTGCGGTCGATTGAACTGCCGTCCCTCAGGGAGCACTTCAAGCAGGAATCTCTGCCTCCGTTTTCGTCCCCGCGCCCTCGCGAGCTGCTCCCATCGATTCTGACGCACTCGCCGCCCGGTCGCTCTTCCACCCTGCCCCCTATTCAACACCGAGACAAGCTTCCCCGTCCTCGCAAGTCGTCCATTTCCAGAGCTCGGAAACCGAAGCATGAACGGACGAGATCAAAGGAATACGCGCGACGCCCGAGCCTCGGTGAACGCAAGGCGCTGTCTGCCGAGCCCCAAACTGCGGCGTGGGCTCAAGGCAAGCGCTGGGAGGATTTGATCGAGGCCGCTACCTCGGCCACGGAAGCGGATGACGATCATAACTCGGAGGTAGGCGCTCTTCGCAGTCAACCCGAGCTGTACTAAGATCACAGGTTGGTCGGTCACCTACGATGCCGCCGTTGATTTCGCACATTACATCGGCTCCTTCGGTCGGCAAGAACCGGTCATCGCTCCCACCGGCCTTTCAACCCTCGCCCGGACTGCCGCCACCAACTTCGCATCGGCCTTTTCCCCCTCACTCGTATGCAGCATCGCCTTTGCACAAGTCGTTGACCCCGCCACCGTTTGACATGGCGCGCAATCGCGACAGTGATTTGGAGCCTTTTCCGTCCATCGAGTCTTCGCTTGATTCAGCCTCCTCGGCCTCGGGCAAGACGTATGCATTCAGTCACCTCGGGACTAACAACGAGTCAAGTCCGGTGTTGAATATGTATCCCTCGTCGGCGTCGCAGCGCCAGCATCACCGGTTTTCGAACCCGACTCCGGCTTCCTACCGCAGCAAAGAGATTCACATTTACTGTGCGAGTTGCAAGCGGCCGTGGGCGCTAAACGAATGCTATGCCTGCACGGAGTGTATTTGCGGCGTGTGCCGGGAGTGCGTGGGGTTGTTTATCAGTAGTCCACCGGTGTCGTTTCGCAATGTGACATCGAGCCCTAGCAGCGTGATGTCGCATGGCCCGACCAGTTACCCCAGTCCCCGGGGCTGTCCTCGGTGCCGCACGGTGGGAGGCAAGTGGAAGGCGTTTCAGCTGGATTTCCGGTGATCCTGGTGATGTGTTATGTTTTACGGAAGTTATGAATAATGGCTGGGCACGATGAGAAATGAGTGGCGTCCGACTGTAACTGGTACAGTGTGAGGGCTGGCCCAGGATGCGCCTGATGACCGGATGATGAAAAGGACGGTGTTTGGTATACATACGCTGGCGGTATATACAGGATGGTGTTTGGATATCTTCATTTATGGTTAGATTTGATGCTTAGGTTTCATGAGGTTTGCTTTAGGATATGCTTAGGTTCTGGTCGACCAACTGATCAACTGGCCGATGAGGCTGAGAGTAGATGCCAGCTTTTCTTTTAGCCCGGCTTTTTCTGCCGGGGACAGGTACTCGGTGGGTTCATCCTCTCCCGCCAGGAATCGCACCACCACTTCGGCCGCCACCTTGGAATCATCCCCCTCGCCATCCACCTCCCCAATCGCCTCCACATATTGCTGAAGAGATTCCTCCGTCCACCCCAACCGCCTCCCAAACTCCACACAGGTTTCCCGATTGACCACCGAATCGAACTCAAAATGGCCCTGATACGACAACACCCTGCCCGGAGCATACAATCCCTGAATGGGACACTGGTCCGTCGACCCAATATTCACCCACGGGGCTGGTAGCGCGTCCCCCTCCCCCCCCCCCTCCTCCGAAGATAATAACGAGGAGGCCACCCAATCCCCATGCACCATCTGCACCCTCCACTCCTTCGTCCCTTTCAAGCAGGGAAACGCATCCACGAACCCCGAGGAGAGTGTCACCCTCGCTAATCCGATTTCCATGCCGAGGGGACAACGTTCGACCCGCACGTTCCCCTTTTTTGCTCCCGTAGCAGAGGAAGTAGAAAGAAGAGAGTACGCAATAAGCTGATGTCCGAAACAACTCCCGAAGAGCTTCACCCGGGGGTAGTTCTCATATACTGTTCTCAGGAAATCGATTAAGGGGGGGATCCAGGGGAGGGTAGGGTCGTAGACTGAGGCCGCGGAGCCGGTGATCAGGAGGGCGGAGATGGGGATGGTGAGGGGGTTTACCGCCCCCTCTTCTTTAGGGTTAGGTGGTGGATGGGAGGGGGTGGTGAGTAGGCTGGAGAAGGAGGGGAGGTGGCCACCGACGGCGTCGTAGGCGGTCGTGTGGATGCGAATCTCCTTCTCCTCCTCCGAGGAAGAATGTTGGTTGAGACGGGTGGTGGCTGCGGCGAGAAGAGCATGGAATTGGGTACTGTAGAGACCGCGGGTAGTGTAGATGGTTGGGACGGGGACGTCAGTGTCGAGGATGGCGATGTGAATAGTTCTCATCTTTGTTTTTGTTCTTGATATTTATGAGATGTGTGACTGGATCTCTCTCTCTCTGTGTGTCTGTTGGTTTGGATGAGGGAGAGGGTATGTATGTATGTTGTATGTTGGCTGAATGAGGGTCGGGTTGGGGCAAGATTGATATACTCGATAGATAACAGATAAGGCCCGGCAAGGCTGGATCGGATGCCCCGATCGGGTAAGACATGGCGCGAAGGTTAGGGTTCAAGAGGCGTTGGTTCACGTCGGCTTCTGAGGTAGGTATGTGTTCATTTAATGCCTATCTAGAGTTTATTTGGGTGGTTTCCTAGTAAGTTCGAGTTGATTTTGGTGGGAGGGTATAGATTGGGTTCTTAGGGTTTTGGGGTGGTGGGATGGGTTAGACGGAGTATCATTCAGGTATGGTATCAGTATAGTAAGTGAGTAGAGTATAGCTATGATATCCACGCCGGAGGTAACTACATAATGGACTTGGATATGACTCCTGTTCTCCTGAGAAGTATCGGATATTCTCAACCCGGCTGTAGAAAGATCATGGGACTGCCTGTTGGATCGCATCATGAGTATAAATCTCTATGCTATACTCCTGCAACCGGTGTATCCCTGTTCGCTATGGTATCTCCCTCAATCGTGAGCTGCCTCCTCATCTACGCTACCCTATCTACGACCCCTTGTAGCGACATTATACAAACAATTTTTGACACATCTCTCACCCAAGCTGATTCATGCCTGAGCATCCGACAGCTCCCTAATGGCCTTCGGACCCTCCCGTCCTGCGGAGAAATCCTCCGCATTCCTTTGTCCGTGTTCCTCTGCATCTGGAGGGACCACGTGCCGTGCGGCTATCCAGACGGGATAATAGAGCGGCAAATCATGTTGGCGGATAGAATGATCCCGGTAACTTTCGTGTAGGAAGTTCTTATGAGATGATTCGATGACTCCTCCAGGCTCTATAAGAGCTTATCTGGCCAGACACGCGAGTCTACCGTGTACGCCATTGCGGGATTCTGCAGTCTGACTTGTTGCTCTATTCGAGCAAGGAATTATCCGATTCTCAATGCTACTGTGCTGAGATTGTGGAACAGCATGTCGCCAGTTCGCACCCGTCTGCCTTCCATTGTCCAGACCAGTCGACCTCTTAAGCACCTTTCAACAGCACACACCCCGTCTCTTACATCTATTCATCCCAATGTCTGGGCCCTCGACCCCCTTCCCCAAGTCCGGCTTCGTGACGCTGGAAACCCATCGAGGAGGAGAAGCTCCCCAACTACAATCCCCAGCACTTCTATCCCACCTATGTCGGCGAGATCCTCGCATCGCAAGACCAGGTCGCGTCCAAGCTAACATACGACACCACGTCCACCACCTGGCTGTGCCGAGACATCTAGTCAGTTCATGCCCCATTCCATACCCAGCTACGGGAGTACTAATTAGCATAGCATGGAATCCGTTGATATGAGCTGACATGATCAGATCTGGACCTTGTTCGAGGGCGACGACCTCTTCCATCTCGGACAGAACGACATTGACGAGCACCATCTTGCGGAATTAGTAGCCATCATGGGGGCCCCCGCCAATGGAGTTTCTCAGAAGAAGTAACCAGAGTGGGATGTTTTGGAATGAGCAAGGTATGTCTTTTCCTATATATCCCGGACAGATAACTGGTCCCGGATAGGTAACTGGAAAGGATCAACCCGCATACCAAAGCAGTCCTTGGAAATGCGAGTGAACCAGCTTACTGGCGAAGATACAGCGCTGTTTCTGAACTTCCTCAATTACAAACGTAGGACTCAATGACAGTCCGCAAGCTGAGTCTCTGAGATCCAGGCTTCGTATTTCGAGTATTGTCCGTCTATCCACTCACAATCCAATCCCATCCATGATATCAGTATACTTCCAGCCTGTACATTACAGCCATCACCACAATTACCCCCAACACGAATCCAACCCCCCCTGAAAGAAAATCCACTACAATGTAAACAATCCCGTGCCCTAACTTCATCTTCCCCCGATGATTCCACCCCGCAGGCATTACTCAATACTCGGTATGAACGCCACCAACGGTATTGATGCCACCAAATAACCATACCAAAAAAAAAAAAAAAAATCAAACCCATCAAAAAAGTCAAGAAGACATCAATCTAGGCTAGAAACTCCCCCGCTCAACAATCCTTCCCGACCGTCCACTCAACACAAACGACCTACAAGCATCGGAGAGCTTCTCATACAATACCGTACCCTCCAACCCCCACAACTTCGGCACCAAGCACAGCACATACCGCCCATCACCCATTCCAAACCGCGCCTCCTCATCGGTAGTAGTAATGGACTGAATCCCATTGTCATGGGAAACAGCCCAAATAGACATATACCGATCTAGAACCCGCGCGCGCCGAATACACCACCCTGGATCGAGCTTTCGGCCGAGATATTCCAGGAATGGGAGGATGGATGCTAGGGTTGGCATGGAGAAATCTATTCTTGTAAGCCGTGAGTTAATAAAACAGAAGGGATAACCCACAATCCGGACGAGTCCAGACTTTCAATATGATCAATTCTAACATTTCCTCCTGATCCAGCGGCTGCCAGAGAGCACTATCCACGAGCTGTTCTGAACTGGACTTGATGAGGTGGGAACGTAGATCTCGAGCCTTGGCTCTAAGTACGTATTAGCTATGATTGAGGGGAAGAGGTTTATCTCTTACCGTTCTTCGATTTTGTAATTCAACACGTCTACGTTCACCCTCTGCTATACGTCTCAATGGCCGGGGTTTGCCGTGATTGACCCGAAACGGCAACTTGGGTGAAAACGTGTATGCTTCAGAAAAGTCATATAAGACTGTATCGTGGAAGTCGTCAGGAAGTCGGAAATGCCAGTCCTGCACGTCTCCGTGGGTGATTCCCATGCGATGCAAGGCATTCAAGCGACGAAGTCGGTCAGATAACAAGGAACGGTACCACTCCTGTTCGAATGGGCTTAAGTGGAGAGTGGTGAGGGTTTGTAGGCAGCTCTCGGAGTAGCTTTCAGGTGATGGAGAAGGGGATTCAGCTAGAATGCGTCGAGAGCGGATGTCCGGTTTGATGGCTTCTAGCACGATTGCTCGCCGCTGGGCATGACCGGAAGAGAATCGGGTTCTATCCAGGGTGGTGACCGCGCCATGAAACCATGGAAAATAAATTCTTTCCCGGTCAGAGCAGAACTGGGCAATATGGGTATATGCCCTAGCTTCTCGGAAGAACCTATCGAACTCGTGCACGGCAGCGTCTATCAGATTTGGAATCTGAGACTTTGCTATCCTGAGCCGCCAGAGTTGTTCTGCGGCCTGCCTTTCGGGGTAATCGGGGAATTAAACCGGGATTAGTTCTAATTGATACGGTGTCTTCTGGCTGCGTCAACCCACCATCTTGGCTACGTAGGTTCTGCGTCCGTGATGGAGGAGCCAAAACACCTGAATCGTACTCTGATCGGTCTGTCTTCCTTTACCCAGCAGGCTGCCCAGCTTCCAGTTCTCATCTTCCGAACGGAACGGTCGAATGTGCGTTTCGCCAGTCGATTCTCCGACAAACTTGTTATTGGCAGGTCGTCTCCTGAATGGCCGATAGGTTTCACTTCATGGGTACCACCGTTCATTCGGAGATTCAAGATGCTTCAGTGAAAATACGGAGAGTTCGACTAGAGAATGCAGGGTGCTCACCAGACTGGGGCGCTGGCCATGAACGAAGACGGAACGCGAATGGAAGAGCCAAAGCCCTCGTTCTCGGCGACACCAAATTCAAATGGAGGCCCGCCAAGGCCGTCGACACGGTTCGCAATACGGTAGACGATTCCTACGAGGACGGCCCGATGAGGGATGATGTTAGGCCTTTCGAACAGGTTCAGTATTACGGCGCGGTCTACAGATGCCGGTATGTCTTTATCATCACGGAGGAGGAGCTCGTGGTTATGCAACTCCATCTAGCCCCTGACCCCGTTCGAACTTCGCCCAGACCGGTGCGAACCCGGCCACCACCACCCGCGCACCAACGGGGTCTATCCTCCTCGACCATTTCAGGGCAGCCCACGGATATGTCGGTTGATGAATCTGACCTGAAACCTCGGATTGGACTCGTGAAGTACAAGAGTATCCCGTGGAGTGCTGAAGCCGGTCTTACCATTAAATTAGCGCTTTACTGTCTGATTCGCTTGGCAGATGAAGATGGGAATGACCTCAAGGTCGAATACCCTCCCCTGACTGGTAACTCGATGCGAAGCACGTGATCTTTATATCCCTTACTCCTGTATATAGCCCTTCTCTTGGTTAGTCTTGATGTTGGGTCGTGGCTGTATTACGACGGCGCCGTGCGCAAGGCAGGCTATATCATTTCATCCCCAACAATATCCCCTCGGTAGGCTCGATTCAGGGAGCCTTGTTGCCCGATATTCTTTACCTTAGACTTTTACGAAGACTTCTGTGTTCTGGGGTGCATTGGCTCCTGTGGGCAGATTCTCAAGCCCTAAAGGAAGTGCATTCATTTGCCCTGGCATGCATGCACTTTGTTCTATTCACATATGGCTTGAATTGCACTCTTCAATTCCCACGTCCATTCTATTAGCCCTAACTTGCGCACCGGATGTCTCCAAATGAAGATACTATCTATGAATGTATATTCATCCCATCTTTCCCAAACCCCTCACTCTTCCTCTCCTACCACTACCGAATTCCTTAGCGCAGAGGCAGCCTGTCAACAGGCGCTGAGGCATATCTTTGAGTTAACATCCAATCGGTACAACATCGTGACGAGAGATAAGTTCGTCATCCAAAGACTAGAACCATGTTGGGTTCTGTCATTCTTCGCGATCCACCATCCCAGTGTGTCCTCGCCTACGAAGACGATACTGGTGCGGCCACACTGAAAGGTCAAGTCCACGTTTGGTAACCCAAGGAACCGATTGGACTATTGACGTGTACGGAGATCTGTTATCAGCTGGCAAGTTTTTGATCTGATGTCTACTGGTAGTACGGTGAGACCAGTACGACTGAATTCAACAGCACTCTGAGAAGGTCAGGCAATCTGTCAGGACCACGTTGTATGCTGCAATTCCGCTATCCTGCTTACATGTAGAAACCAGTTCCTGGCACATAATAACGCCACGATTCAGCACCAACCCCGCCATAGACTTCATCCAAGGGGTAACAGTATACCCATCATGTTATTTACCGTGCCCAAGTCACCTAGTTTGCTAGCTAGTTTATGACCCGCTGACTAAACAAGCACCATTTCAAAGAATTTGAAGCATGCTGTTGTATCCTCTCGAGCAATGAGGGTCTCCTGTTTCTCCGTATGGTATACTTCAGTCTGGTTGTTTCGCACTTTTTGGTGTCCGCGGCTCGTGTAGATCATTTTGGAGAGGTATATTGCTTGGTTATTCAAGATCAAGGAAGCTCCATCGATTGACGCCCGGGGGTAGCAAGGTTGCAACTACTTTCACTGGCCAGATGGGATATTCAGGGTGGGTCTGAGTAGTAGTATTAGTGAGATGTCTCGCATAACGTGCTGGAGGATCGAATCAAGGAAACTTATTCTGCGAAGGATTGTACGCAAGACTTGAATCCGCTGAATTCTCCTGGGCAAGTCTCGCTGAATTGCTATGCGATAAGATAATCGGTATCAGATATCCCATCTATGCAATCCTGCCTATCTGATAAAAATGAAGACTGCGGGGTTGCTAAAACAACAGCACGGGAATCCGCAACAATCCATTTGTTGGCAGCTGTAACCGAGATCCGAGTACGGATAGTTCCCACCCCGCAAAAAGTATCCAGCAAAAGGTCGTGCCCGGGATCGAACCGGGATTGCTGGAATCAGAATCCAGAGTGATGACCATTACACTACACAACCGTTTATATAATTTTCAGGGGCTATTTGCAATATGTTCAAACATGTTTCAATCAAATAAACCTGAAGCTTTACAGACTTCTTCATTGGACATAGTGGCCTAACAATTAGCGACCATGAACATCTCGTAAAATGCAGAGTACATTAGAGATCATCCTGGATTTATACACATGCAGTGTAGCAAAAGTACCATCCAAGAACTGACCCATGGAAAGACCAAACCTGACGCGCATCCCCACAAGTGCCGATTACCCGATCCGGCAACCCTGCCCTCATTCCCATCCCATCCATCCCTCAACCTCAAACCAATAACTGGATCCGACCCAGCAAAGTTTCATCTCTCGCCCGAGAGATTCCCCGGTTTAGATCGCCCGTATACCCTTCACTACCACATCCATTACATTACTAATACTACTACTACTACTACTACTACTACTACTACTACTACTACTACTACTACTACTACTACTACTACTACTACTACTACTACTACTACTACTACTA